GGGGAAAATTGAATAAATTGACCTCAAGAAAATCTAACTCGACTTTCTCTCTTCAAATTTGAGTATGATAAAATAACCCATATTTATAGTTTCTGTTCGGGGTATTTCTTAAAATTTATTGTGTTAAGGCATTCAAAATCGCCGAAGTATTTTTTTCAAAGTGATTTGAAAATTTTTGAAAAAAATTCAAAACAATTATGGCGTCTTTAGACAGTTATAGTTAGGGTATTTTAGGTGAACTAAACCAAGTCAGAAGCTTTAGAAGTTTCTAGATGAGGTCCCAGTATAAATATGTTGCAAAGAAGCGTTTTTTTGCATTTATTGAAAGAAGGATAATGTGAACAAAATTATGCGATACACAAACCTATTAAAATCAGTGCTCTCTGAATTAATTGACGAATCTACTAAACTAAGAATGAGAGCGGTAGATGTATTAATGACCGAGTTATTTCCAAATTGAATTTTCAAATTGGTTATTGTGGGACTGCATATAAGTTAAATTTTTGGTTTTTTGAAACATCTTCAAAGAGAGGAGAAGAGTTTCAGAAATCTATATTATATATTAATAATAGTATATAAGTATTAGCGTTCCACGCTTTTGATTATTTCTTTTTGAGATAGTTCAAAGTTTACAAGCTCATCTTTTAATGTATTGATCGTCGGTATATTGTTTTTGTTCATCTTGTTCAAGTAATTATACAAGCATTTTAACGCCGGTGCAACCTTATAATCAAATTTATACAAACCATTTTCATAATCGAAATCATCTGAGGATTGAATATAAGCTGTTGTTTCATGATCAGAATTTTTGTCATTCTGATTTGAAAGTAATTTTGATCTGAACTTTTCAATTCTTTTCTTTTGATTATGGTTCTCTTGTTCCACAACTTTTATAAATTCTCTCGATCGATCATCAACTTGATTTTTGAAATCAATCAACACTGGATAATTGTAGATGTTGATGATAGTATTGATACCAAAATCCGTTATCATTGTTTCTTTAAAATTAAATTTATTAGACCGTATGCGTATGACGTCAAGATTCTCAACACGGTTGAAATCGTGATTTGGCTCGATTTGTTCAAGATACGTTTCACCAGCTTTCAAAATATTTCGAGTACACAAATATCGTGATATAATCTCTTGTCGAGTGTTGAAGAATGTTATAACTCTTAGTAATTGAGTAGAAACATTCAATAAATACGCATATTGATTGTAATTTGGTACTTCCGATGGTTCAAACAAGTATAACCTGCAATTAAAGTCCAAGAGTGGTAATGTTAAATTCCAGGTATCAACTAAGAATACACTTCTTATGGAGGGAAAAACATTTGCTAAAGCTTTTGCAATAGCATTGTAATATAAATAAAACGTTCTTTTTAATGGTGTCATTGTCTTTCCAACTGAAAGCGCATGACTAGGTATAATTTTAAGCCATCTAAATATCAAATCATACAATATAGTTGGGGAAATGAATGTTAAACTATTTGAGGTATCAGTGTCTTTATAAATATTCTTGTAATATCTATCTAAATATTTCATTTTGGGATAAATTTCTTCTGTTAGATCTTTTAAAAAACTTTCCAAGTCAACAAAATAACGTAAAATATAACCATTTCGTGAAGTAGTTAATACTTGATTATAATTGATAAATTTTTTGAATAACGTAAGACTGTGATTCAAACCAATTAGTACGTCGAACGTATAATCTGGTATTACTGATGCCATCGTGTGAGCTCTAAATACACTCGTAACGAATGATAAAGTGGGGGAAATGTCATTATATGTTAAGGAATTGTTCAAACAATTTAAAAGCAAGGAGGCAGAGCCACCAAAAAACATGCATCCTGTCTTAATACTAGCTTGGCTATGTAAAAATAATGTCCAACTAGCAGCCCAGGAAATCACTGCAGCACTATCATTATCAGTTTTACCAATAGAATTTCTTAAATCCTTAACCAAAGCACCATAGTAAGTATACGATTTTTTGATCAACTTTTCCTGTGTTATGAGATCAAAACAGCTATCACTACTTTCTGAATTAATAGCCGAATTGCAAACTTTCAAAATTACATTAATCGATCTATCCATAAAAAACGAAAAGTAAACATAGTCAAATACCATTGCTTTCCCATGAACTGTGGCCCATATTTTGCTGTCATCCTTCTTTGTCCATTTTGCGTTTAAAAATAAGGGGATATCATCCTCGATCATTAAATCTTTTTCCAAGGATTCACAGTTTGTAAAAATTTTACGCAAGTTTTCTGAAATTTTCAACAACCTAAAAGATGTCACTGAGTTATTTGCATTAGGTAAAGGCAAGCCAACATTCGAATTTGAAATCGAATTGATGGAGTTTATATTGTTGTCATGGAAATTAAATGAATCAGCACCAAAATACAGACTAAATATTGATTGAGATCTTTCAAAGCTATGAGTGGATGCATTATCTAGATCATTATCGTGAGCATTTTTCAATGCAGACAAATTGTTATCATTTGTAGTTGATTTATTGTAATCTTTTACATCTACCAAACCTGCATTTTCCAAATTCAGATTACTTTGAACATTGTGAGAATCCATAAATTTGTTGTACACATCCTCAAATAAAGCTATCTGTAGATCCTCTTTAGCATTTGGTAACCTGAAAAAATAATCAAAATTTTCTTGTGGAACGTGATCAAATATATTCCCAGGAGAATTGTCTTGGTTATCATTCGGTATAGATAACGGTAAATAATTAATGATCAAACGATTAGTATTGTTCGGAGAATCAGACAACGGAGATGAATTTGACGAATTAGATTGATTAGCGGTTGGGGGTGTAACAACGATTGAACTATTGCTAAACAATCCAGGAGATTTGTTAATAATATTCGATATGTTACTATGGTCGGAGGTTAATTTTGCTTTTGAATTCACATTCGTTCCAACTCTTGCATTTGAATAAGTGGAATTAATTTGTAATGCGGCGTTTGCATTGTCATTTTCTTGCATGGGAAGACTTAGTTGAGGTATAATCGGAGTGGTTATTGAATTAGTTGAAGATTCGGAGATTTGAAGTTGAGCTAAAGTTTGAAATTCTCCTTTTCCTACTATTGATGCATTGTTGTCAAAATTCTGATGATTGTGAGTAAAGCTTTGATCTGGATGGAGTTGATGCTGTTCATAATGTTGCCTATTTCGTTGTTTCTGTAGATTTTTATTACGAATCATATCAAGCTTTTCTTTTGGAAAATCCAAGTAACCACATCTATAATTTTTTTTGATACAATTATGACAAGACGGAAGTTCCTCAGAACATTTTATTCGCTTGCTTTTACAGTTTGGACAGCCTATAAACCATATTGTTAGTAAATCAAAGCATAAAATATGAATTGAAATTTTGACCAGGGCAATTTTTGAAAAAAATTGTCGTAGATTAAACCCAATTGAATATTTCACGTACCATCTCGAGAATTCTTATGCGTCCTTCTACTTTTTCTTTCTTTAGGTCGGGATAATAACGTGGGTTTTTGATTATTCTTGTTATTAAAATTTTTACTATTTATATTGTCGGTATTATCTTCAATAGTATTTAATAAAGAAGAAGGTAGTTGATTTGACATTCGATGGTAAATATAAATGATTTAAAAATAAAGTTTACTTTGGGTATAATTACAAATGATAGTACAATTTAATAATATAAGATGATTGATGGATTGACGAAATAAAATAATGAAATATATGAAACTACATATATGATTTAAGTTTTAAATTTAAAAAACAACAAGACCTACTATAAATAACTATAACTAAACAACGACAATAATTAGTAAAGATGATAATCAAATTAATGGATGGGATGAAATATTGTTAGTTAAAATGATAAATATTAAATATATTGAATATAATAGTAATAAAATAATTAGATGAAAAAAAAAAAATCTTGAAATTAAAATTGATAATAATCAAATTAATAAATGTCAAAAGTAAATCTAAAACCAATATTCCAAATTTGATCAAAGAGAAAGAGACAAAACTTAAATTTGGAATCTATATATATATATGTGTTTTAGTTGTAGAGATTATTGTATTTTTATTCTTAAAATTAATTTCTGTAATTCATTAAATCAACGCTTAACGTACTCGCTTTTATAGTAAGAAAATAATGTATCTTTATTCCAATACTTCGTCATTTTAACTTCACTTTTATTGTAAAACATGGAATTCCGCATGGCATTAAGAGATATTTAAGTACATGTTTCCTTATATAGTAAGCGGCACTTTTTTTTTTTTTTTTTTTTTTTTGTTTTTGTCTTTATTTTTATTTTTTTTATTTTTTTTTGTTGCAAACTCCATCGACATTTTTGTTTTCTTAAAGGTTTCAATTCAATTATAGAGGTTTAATTATTAATATGTTAAACATAATTTGTATCTTAAAAGACTCTGCTAGTTCGATAATTTTTCTTGTGAGTTGCTTCAAATAATTTGTCGTCTCTGTAGTCTCCTTATTATGCAAATGAACAAATTTGCGCAATAATATTTTCTATTATTTTCTATTTTAATCGGAGAATAAAATACATTTTGATCCCAAATATCTCTATTGAGAGTGAGGCGTTTCATTCAGTTAATAGAGTTTCATAATGTAATTCGAGTAATTTGTAAAAAGAAGATAATTTCAAGTTTCAAAATTTCATTAATAATATGTCAATAATTTTATTTCTTTTTTTCTTGAAATTGATTATATGCCACACACACAATAACTTGGTCTGAAATTATTTAGAAGTAAAGAAATGATACAAACACTACTAACTTCAAAATCTATCTTTAATCAATTTATGATGAACATCTATTATTCTCTACATTCTTCAATTATTGAATTTATTACAAATTCAAGTTATCCAGCTTAAAGTCAAGTTCTTGAATTGAATTTAACTTTATTAATTAGATTTGTACATTACTAATTAAACTTAAGACTAAAAGTTATACTTAAGGGGACATGCTCATTCCAAAATTATTTAAACTCTAATAGCTTCTTCATAAGTTGGAGGAGGGCCAGTATATATCACATTACCTTTTTCATCAAAACTTGCATTTTCATCGTGAACATCAACACCTTCTTTCAAAGCTTTATTTTTTTCGATTTCCGATAATCCCATAGAATCTCTTGAGATCCATATATGAGGTTCTTCATCGGTAATAGCTGGATCATCATAAGCATGTCTTATAAATTCTGGGTTATATTCAACATAATTGAAGTAGGAATTTGGCATAATATTTCTAATCATATCAAATGTTTGACTTTTTGGTTTGAAAAACAATTTCAACCATGAAACTCCTTTACCAGGTGCACCTGCAACTGCTTTCATAGCATTCTTATTTCCAACATGTTTTTCTAGATCTTCATTTTGGATTCTTGAATTCTTTTCATCAAATGGTCCACCATGACTAACATATTTATCAGATTCGCTCAATCCAATTTTTGTATCAACAGCTGATGATTCACTACCACGATGATTTGGATCATAAGTTGCACCACCAACAGTTGAAGGAGCTCCTCCTTCGGGACCAGTATATTTACTATTACCAATGCTTTGAAGATCTTTATTTGGTAAGACTTGTTCATTTGGCTCACCAGTGATACCCAATTGATTTCCTCCTTCCCAAAATTGTTGACCTTCACGTTTAATTTCTTTTAATCCTTGATCATGCATTGGGTAAGCATAAGTTGAATCACCAGCAGCATATTTGATTGCAGAAATTGGAACTGCATCCACTAATGGTAAGAAGCGTCTTTTAAAATAAAATCTTGCAATAATTGTTACAACAATAATTACACCTTCTAAAGCGACACAAGCCCAATTTTTTGAAAAAACAAAAATTGCTGTTATCCAAAGTTGAGCTAAAAACAAACCAGTAAATAATTGAAATAAAGATTTAACATAATTAGAACCCCTGGCATCAACTTGATTTGGTCTCATCACATAAACCATAGTATATATCCAGGCAAAATAAATCAAAATAAAAGCAATTGCTGTAAAGCCTAAAATTAATGGTGCAATTACAGAATAAGCTAAAGCAATGACAGTTAATAATTGAAAGCCTGGGTAAAGTGTTGAGTAAGCTGGAGAACCTAATGTATTATATCTATTCCATTTAGCTCTTGGTGTACCATCTAATATTCTACCCAAAATATGTGATAAAATTAAAGCTACAATTTGTAACAAGACACCTGAACTAATGGTTAAACCTTGTAAACATAGATATGAATAATAGAAATTAACTGAAGTTGGAAATTTGTTTGATAATTTTTCCAATGCTGAACCAGGATCTTGAACAATTGAAGTAGCAGTTGAAGCTGCAGAAGATCCCAATGCCATTGCAAGAAAAACATTTACAACTTGAAATGCAAAAAACCAGGTTTGACAATAGCTTTCAACTTGTTGAACAGTAAGACAACCTGAAATTCTACCCATTAATTTGATGACTGGTGGAACTAATGACATTAAAACCGCTAATGCAATAACTGGAAGTAAACCAGTTATAACACCCATGATCACACTTGGCATGTTATTAATAAATTTTAAAAATGGAACTTTATCAGTTAAGAAATTGATATTTGAAATTGCACCAACAACAGCAACAGGTATACACCAAAATATAATCATTAAAGTTAAAAAAGTATTTGCGCCAATCTTTTTGATTCTTCTTTTAGTTGCAGTTAATTGTAAATTAGACCAAATTATATCATCAGGAGTGACATTGATAATTCTTTTAACACCTTTGAAATCAGGTTGGTACGGAATTGATTGATATGCTTTTTGTAATTCTAATTGAGATGGAAACTCTATAAAAACAGCAGGTAATTGTTTATTGGTTTGATATTCGGTTTGCTTCTTGTCTATAATTTTATTCAATTCACCTAATCTTTCAGCACCATAATTTAAAGTATCAACCTTCTTACCAATTAGGAATTTCAATTTATGAGTTGGTCTCTTTTTACCATCTTTTAAGTATTTATCTAAATCATCTTCAGGTTCAATTGGAGGTTTGTTTTTTTTCGACAATTTATTTTTCAATTTAACGGCTTTTGTCAAAACTTTATTCAAAGCTGATTCATACTTGTTTGCTAATTTTTTACGTTCTTTTATTTCATCTTCTAAATTTTTATAATCTCTTGAATACCAAATATTTGTTGAAGTTGGAAAATAAGATCTTAATTGGTCATCAGTTAATTTTTCAGTTGAAATTTCAGTTAATAATAAAGTTCTTGAACTTAGTAAAGAATCATATAATGGAGTTGTTTGTAAAACATGTCTATAAGTAACATAATAAACTAATTCACGATAAATCAAAAAAATAACTGAGCCAAATAAAATCCAAGATAAAAAGACATGGGCAAAAACTCTCCATTTATTTCTAATATTTGAATAAGTTAAAATATCAAAACCTTTGATCTGAGAATTTGGTTGATTATTATTACCATTTGTAGCATTAACTGGAAACAAAATTGGCCATGTTATAATGCAACCTAAAATACACACACAAGTAAATTCAAATAAAAATCGAAGGAAAAAATAACCATCTGTACCAGTTTTTTGAATCAAATAACTTTCAGGTCTCCTTAAAATTGAAGTTAACCAACCAAATAACCCAGGCGGAGGAGATTCAGTTTTTAAATCATCTGGTAAAGTATTAACAACTGAACGTGGTTCATAAACTCTTTTTTGCTTTTTACGTATAGCAATGAATGCAAGAAAAAAAACCACCGATATGACTAAAGTTGGAATCAAAACTGATAAAAATTGTGAAACTGAAGAATTTGATGGAGTACTTGATGAATTAGAAGACATCTTTTCAAATTTTAATTAAATAAGTAATGAATTGAAATGAGTATTAAATAAAATAAAATAAGTTTATTGAATTGAAACTGAATTTGAAAATGAAATTGAATTTGAAAAGGTTGAAAAATAATAGTATAAAATTAAATGAAAATTGATGAAAAAAAACAAATTATTATGTATAAATAGTTGTGTTTATAGTTTCAAATGATGTTGTTACTTGTATTTATATATTGATTCAATTTTGTGTAATAAATTTGAAATTTAATTTTCGTGTAATTTATCTATATTTTATTTTTATTGTTTTATTTTCAATATAAAATTCTTTACCAACAAATGAAAGCAATTTATTTCTCTGTTAAAGCCTCACGATTAGTTGAATAGATAGTCTTCAATAACTATTTTGACCAAATGAAAATAAAAATTATTGAGTAATTGAATTGATAATTTTATTAAACAATCTCAATTAATTTTAATGATTAATTAAAATTGAATTAAATGAATCAGTATAAAGTTTCGAAGAATTGAGAAAAATAGAAAAAGTTATAATAGAAAGATGAATGATGATGATAATTTATATTTATATAATATTTTCAATGAGTTGATTCGATTGTATATTATTTTTATTACAATGTAAAAAGTATTATGAATTTTTTTAAAGTTTGCTCTTATACAAATCTTTATTATAATTTGATGATCTATATTTTACACTGATACATACATTACATACATACATACATACATACATGATGAGTAGTATATTGTCCCATTATTAAAAAAAATGTAACTGAAATTTCAGATTTTTTTTTTTTTTTTTTTTTTTTTACTTTAATATTCAATTGGTTTTGATACATTCACACGCCAATCTTTTCATAATTTTAGAAGAGAACTTAATATAAGCTTTTTATATTAGATTATACACTCCTTGATTATTATGTTTTAATTGTTTATTGATGCATCTATTATTTAAAGTTTATTTGTCCTCATCTTTTGCGACCAATTTCAGTACTCAGCCGCGTGTTTTTTTTTAGTGTTTGCTTATATACCGGAAACTTTTCATAAAATTAAAAAAAAAAAAAAAAAAAAATAAAAATAAAAATAAAAATAAAAAAAAAATTGTATATAGTATTTAATATTAAAGTCATGTATTTATGACGTCAGTTTTTTGAGAATTAATCAGTTACATATAATTATCGGAGAAGTGAAACAGTTCAATTTTAACAGTTAGCCTTTCTATCACGTGCATATACACTTTTAAACGTTAATAGAGCAATCTTAATGGGAATACTCTTTCGTATTAAGCAATGAATTCTGATATCATTTATCACTAATTAACAACTGAATTTAACACATTTCTTATCTGTAAACAATCAATTTATTATTGGTTCTCGTTAACTTTTTCGTTAGTTAAGATCCCACACACATATATGCAGTTTTTTTGAATTTTGGCAGAAAAATGTTAGTAATGTTGTATTTTTTGAATTGTAATGATAAAATCTCAAGTTCGTCCCTTCATCAATGTTAATTTCGTTCAGATGAACAGAATGCCTTCATTTTCAGAATTATCTTGAAATATATCTAAATTTACACAGCTATTTCTGTTTCTATCCGTGAGTGTATCTAATTTTTTTTATTTTGTTTTTTTTTTTGCAACCAAAACAACACGATTAAATAATATGTTATGAAGGTTATTTTAACTACACTAATTATCCTTTTTAATATACTATTTGCGGATGCTGACCCATCTATTGTCAATTTAATCAACTTTAATTCTACTTCATTTCAAGTTGTTAATGTTAAAAGTTATGAAGATTTACAATCGAAATTACCACAATTGTTTATAACTAAACAACTAGACAAACAATCAATTTTTAATACAATATTTCATTTACAAGATATAAAGAGTTATTTAGTAGCAGAAAAACCCGGCTTTGGTAATAATAATGATAATAATAATAATAATAATAATAATTACGTAAATAATATTGTTGATAAGTTGAAAGATTTATCTTTGAAAAATTTACAATCATTTCATTACAAAATTGATGAAAATCCTACTTCATCTGATACCATTCAGCATCAAATTCCTCAAAATTGGATTCAATTTCAAAACTCATATTTCAGGAAACACCTACATCAAGATGGTATAACTATAATCAATCACAAAATAGTTAGTGATTCCAATGAATCAATAATCAGTGGTGTTATTTCTTATACATCATCATTCGCTAAAGCTACACCTTTTGAAGTAGACTTATTTTCATCTCTATACACTGGTTATTATTTTATTTTCAATTTCCTAGTTGGAGCAAGAATCTCTCCCGAATTTGAATTTTTGAAAGTTAATTCAGTTATTTACAATTGTCAGATCAATAGACTAGACAAATCATTAATTTTAAAAATTCATCCATACATATTCACTATTGAACCAAAAATAAAAAAAATTCATTGGAATAATCAATTACAAAAATTTGTTTCAAATTTATTTTTTGAAAAATCAAGTAGAATTTCCCTTTTAACCTTGACTGGATTGGAAGATGTGGAGTGTTTATATATTTGATATAATATTAAACATAATTATATATACAATATATAAACAAAATCTCAAAATAATACAAAAGAATTTGGCTCAAAATATAAAATTTCGATAAATAACCCATCAATTCTCTTCTTATTTTTAAATATGAACTGAGCTAGAAATACCTTCAGAAGCATCATCAATTTTATTTGATAAATTGTGATGAGAAGTTGTATGTTGTGCACCTACTCCTGTATTTGTTGTTGACGCAGCTACTGGTTTCACATACTGATCTGAAATTGGTTTAATAATACTGTTATAAATCAATGTAGCACCTCCAAATGAAGGAATACCAATGTATAATAAAAATACAGTTTTGAATAAATAATAAAATGGTACCCAATATAAAATTGCTCTTGACCAAAATTCAATTACATTGAAAAACGCAAATACAACCCAATAAGTTAATAATTGAGTATCATCTTTTGATGTTGAAGTTTGCAATGCTAAAATTGAATAATAACCTGGTAATAAGAATCCTGCAAAATTTGATAATAATTGACCAATACCACCAAAATTCAAAAAAATTAAAATAAAATAGACGGCAACAAATCCTAAAATAGCATAAGATCTTGGTAAACCAGTATTTCTTTCAAAATGATTTAATAATGGTAAGTTACCTGTATTCTTTTCGTTGAGTTAGTATGATTTGAAATTCCGATGTAATCAATTGATTAAAAAAAAAAAAAAAAAAAAAAAAAAGACATACTCTATCGATACTGGTTAAAAAGCCTTTCAATTGATCTGGTAAAGATGACATTGTATCAAATTATTAAATTCTTTTTATAATTAATATAAAAGTAATAAAAAGAAGAATAAATTAAATTTATATGAAATTCAATTTCTATGTCAAAATTCCAATTTTCGAATTTTAGTACAAGTTACACACTAACACTAAATTGCTACCAAATAACTTTAAATACCAAGTTACTGAGTATTTTCTTGTTTTGTTTAGTGTTTATTAGTTGTAACTTTAAATGTTAATAGAATATTTGAACAGGTATGCTAGATTATTATTAAAGAACTTATAGTTGATTGTATATTAAAAATGACGAATTTGATATCAAGTAATCATTTAGTTTATAGGCTTAAAGTAATAAAAATGTTAATTTTAATTAATAGTTGATGCACTCGAACACAACTCTAGCTACATGAGCTATTAGGTTATTTAAAGTTGCTTCTATTTATATATTTGAGCATGATTAATTTCAAGCATGTTTCACATTTAAAGATAAGATTGATTCAATTGAATAATTACTCTAATTACTCTAATTACTCAATATCGTGAAACTACGGAAAAACTTAAACTATGACACTTTTAAATGTTAGAAATAAAAATTTAACCGAAAATCTCGGATTTAAAAAAAGAGTAATTTATTGATAAAGGATGAAGTATAAAAGCACTAAATGATTTACTAAATTAATTAATTGAAATCTGTCACTTTTGCTATTTATTTGGAATAATTTCAACAGTTAAGTGATAATTGGTAGTTATATAGAATTCATGACAATTAAAGCTAATCCTATTTATATATCCTCAAAAAAGGAAGCTGAAACTTTTATAAGCAAATTTGATAATTTTTTATTAGATTGTGATGGTGTTATATGGTTGGCAGAGAATTTAATTAAGGGTGTGCCTCAATTTTTAGATTATTTGATTGAAAATAATAAACAATTTGCATTTGTGACGAATAATTCTTCTAAATCAAGGGATTCATATATTGAAAAATTCAAAAATTTAGGTATCAAAATTCAAATTCCTAAAAATAGGATTTATACAACAAGTTTTTCAGCTGTTTTAGAATTAAAAACATTGAATATTCATCCTGGATCAAAAATTTGGGTTTTAGGAGATGAAGGTATCGAAGATGAATTAAAAGATCAAGGATATATTCCATTAGGTGGTTCAAATAGCTTATTAGACAAATCTTTTGATCCTGAAAATCCATTATTCACAATTGATGATGAAGTCAAAGCTATTATAGTTGGATCAACAAATGAATTTAATTTTATGAGAATTTCAACAACTTTACAATATTTAATGTTTAAAAATAAATCATTACCATTTATTGGAATAAATTCCGATAGATTTTATAATGGTCCCAATAATCTATTCTTACCAGCAGCAGGTTCAATTTGTGAAATAGCTTCATATTCAAGTAATCGAAAATATATCAACGTTGGGAAACCAAGTTCTGTTTTTGCTAGAGAAATATTAAGGGACACAGGATTTAATAAACACAAAACAGTAATGATTGGCGATACAATGAGCTCTGACATTAGATTTGGTAATTATAGTCATTTAGGTGATGGTCAAGGTACGTTATTGGTTTTGTCAGGAGTTACTAAATTTGATCATTTGAAGACGGTTCTAGATAATCCAAATCAATTTGATGATGTAGAAAGTTTAATTCCTCGATTTTATACTGACTCTTTAACCAAATTGATTACTTTATTGACAGAAACAGAATAAGAATTTATTAGAATTTTTTAGACATTTTATAGATATTTTATAGATTTAATATTATATTCAATTTAATTAACGGTATTATGTAAACCAAAGATATTCTTCAAATTTTCGTAAACAAAATAAGATATTGACATAGCAGGAGCCACTTTTGCTAAATTTGGTACTAAACCTTTAAATAAACCGGGATATCCTTCTCTTGCAATTGTTTTATGCAAAACATCAAAAAATCCATTATAAGTATATGGATGAGCATAAGTACCTTGAGCTTGTAATCTCGTTCTTAATAAATTAATTGGATAAACAACAGTTGCACCAAGTGAACCGGATAAAGCACCTAATGATAAAACAATAGAATTTGGTAATTTAACTTCATCTACTGGTTCACCAGTTTTTTTACTTTGACGTTTTATTAACCAGTTTTTGATGGTAGCAAATGTACCTAAATCTAATGCTGCATATGGAAATATTCCACTTAATCCCGCTATTGTACCACGATAAAATATTTTTATTCCACCTTCTTTATATAAATCTTTGACCGTTTGTATCAATAATGCATTTCCTTTTAATGAACTATCTAGATTTGAGCATTGTAATCGAAATTTTAAAGTATCAATTGGATAAACGGTAAATTGCGATATAACACCTCCTATACCACCAGCAATGTATGTAGAGACTTTGGAAATTTTAGAAACATCATCAACACCTTCAATTCTTGCAAAAAATCTCTTTGCAGCTTCAAATGATCCAAATTTCATAGCAGACTCGGGAAATATTTTTAAAACATTTAATCCATTACCAACATAAAATGCTTTAAATCCACCTTGAAGCCATATAGTTCTAGCAGCTTGAATAATAGGTGATCTTATAGTTTTTGCTTTTAAATTATTTGCAGTCATCAGTTCTGCGGCTTTTTCCAACTCAGCATGAGCTAATTTCTTTCTTAATTCATCTATAACATGTTTTTCAGCTCCGGACGCTATTTGTTTGGCAATTTCTTGTTTTGAATGTAATATAGTTGATGTAAGATCAGTTCTAGCAATTAAAAAAACCTTTATTCTATCAAAAGGAGCCGTACAAGTTCTTGAAATTACTCCGGCTAGTCCACCAGCCATGAAAAAACCAAAACCATTCAAAAATTGATTTATCAAAGTGACATCACCATCTGAACTTATATCAAATTCTTCAACAATAAACGTGAAAGCTGTTCTAATTCGAGAGCCATGCAATCTTGGCATCAATAATAAAAATTCTCTAAATTCATCATAAGTAATGTAACCATCATTTTTATAATCAATCTGCTTAAATAATAGGTCTATATTCACATCAGTTGGTTTTAAATTTAAATTTTGTTTGAGATATCTAATAAAATCTGATTTCTTTAGCTTTCCATCATTATCCTCATCAATTTTATTGAAACCTTTCAATATTTGATCATCTGTACTATTTAAATATGCTTTAAAATCATTAAAATCTATGACCTTGTCATTATTGGAGTCAAATGAACTGAAAATCTTCTGTAGCAATTCTGGATTAGAACTAATTGGATGATTAAACTTTTTCATTGCTTTTTTAAAATCTCGAAATGTTATTTCACCTGTATCCTCTATGTCCAACTTTTTAAAAATTGCTTCATAATCATTAGGTTTTGCAGGTATAACTATTTCCTCGTCAGTAGATGATGATGGTGATGACAGGATCAGTTCATTATAAGCTGATGCTGAAGTTATTATTTTTGGAGTCTTCATAATTATGCAATTTTTATGACTATTAGGAAATGCAATATGGATATTAAATTAATATATTATAATTGAATTGGCTTTCTACTACAAAACAAATGATTAAACTAAATAATGATATGATACCATTTAAATCAGTATACTTTCAATGGGTATAGTGATGAACTGTTATAATTTTGAAATAATTTCGTAGTGCGAGTAGTTTATCCCAATTTTTATTATTTATACGAAGAATATAATTTGTTCGCTTACATTTACCCATAGTTTTGGTATCAAGTATATCTATTTATAAAAAACTATATATATTTGATATATTTATAAATTAATGATTTCTATCAGCTGTTCTTGGTTTTGCTCTAATAATATTATCAACTCTTAATAAAACTTCAGCCGCTTCAGCTGCTGATGAAACAACAGCTGCTTTCAATTTATAAGATTCTACAATTCCTAAATCTCTCATATCAGCAATTGCTCCTTTATTTAAATCTAAACCAGATGTTGACATTCCATTATAAATTGCTGATCTTAATTTTGTTACCAATTCTGATGAATCATAACCTGCGTTATCAGCCAAAATTGTAGGTAATTGCCTCAAAGCTTTACTGAAACATTCAATTGCTAATGCTTTTTTACCAGTTTCATTTGCAGCAGCTTGATCAACTGATTTTGCCATTAACATTTCTGCACAACCTCCACCTAACACAGTTTTAGTTTCTTTGGTAGTTTGAGATAATACTGATAATGCATCATGTAATGATCTTTCAGCTTCATCCAATACTTGTTCAGTAGCACCTCTTAAAACTATGGTACATGCTTCACCAGCTTCCACACCTGAAAATTTCAAAAAAGTATCTTCACCAATTAAAATTTCTTCAATAGATTTACAATGACCCAATTTTACGTTTTCTGGATTATCGAATGTACTTACAACTTCACCACCAGTAACTAATGCTAATCTTTCAATACCATCAAAATCTGCATGTTCAATTGAATTAATTTTACCATCTGAAAACAATTGCTCTGGATAATCATAAATTAATTGTCTATTTATAAATACATTACAATTAAATTTTTTTATCTTGTCAACTTTGTTCTTCATTTTTATCTTTTCAGCTTTTTCAAATTCTGCTAATTTTGATGTGGAATCAACTTTGAATTTAGCACCAAAAATTTTAACTTTATCGGTATCCATTGAAGTGTTTGCAATCAATATTTTAGCATTTTCAATCTTTTTTGGTTGACCAATACCAAATTTCTTATCTAATATAAAACCTTCATCTAAATACGAATCAGATAATTTACCACCTACTTTTTTAATAATTTGAATATTATTTAGATTTGTTGACCCTTTCAATCTTAATATAGCATCGACAGCTAAATTTGAAAACAATTCTTTATCTTGTGATAAAATCTTTGATGATAATGTTGTTCTTGAAATATTTAATAAATCTTTTTTAAATAATTCGGGATTTGAACCATTATTAACAGCATTTTTATCTAATGCTTCAATAGCTTTTTTACAAGCAATTCTATAACCCTCTATGATTGTTTGAGGATGAATTTTTTGATCAATTAATTTTTCAGCTTCTCTTAATAATTCGGCACTTAAAACAGTTACTGATGTTGTACCATCACCAACTTCATCATCTTGAACTTTTGATAAATTAACCAAGACTTTTGCTGCTGGATTATCGAAGGGAATTGATTTTAATATAGTTGCCCCATCATTTGTAACCAAAGAATTATCTGGATTACTTGCACTTTGTAATAATTTATCCATACCTTTTGGACCTAATGTTGATTTAACTATATCTCCAACGGCAATGGCACCGACAAAAGCTGACAAACGAGCATTTTCTGCTCTTTCTTCAGTAGCTTGATCATTAAATATTTGCACCGACATTTATTCAACAATTATAAAATTACTATATATATGAATGAAATCAATCAATAATTAATGGATTTAAAGATCAGTGGAACTTCGAAGATTCACTTAGATAAATTTTGATTTTTTTTTTTTACCAAATTTTTTAAGTGCTACCAACTATGTGATGGATCCAACTTTATGTGAATTGAAGTGATGATCTTTATTAAAGTAAATATATGGCTTGTACTGTGCTAAAAGCTTTGAAATCTTGTTTTTCAAGGAATTTAATTTCAGCTCAAGAAACAATCTCTTAAAATGCACATTAAGAGTGTTGGAGATCACCAGTGTAATATATAAAGTTTGAATACATATGTAGAGCAGGATGAGAACCCGATCGATGGAAGGAACATATCATTGGATATTGTGCTACATCAAATGTTTTACCTATGGTTAATTCTACCGATGACAAAGTTGACATTTACTAATTCAGCTTTGAGAAAGCTTTTACCTTTTGTGTCTACTAGTGATACTCATTTAGTTTACACCATTTGAAAAAAATTGAAGTTTCAGAATAATTCTTCTCTGAAGAATATCAGTGAGGCACTGAAATGAATAGGCACTGAAATGAATAGGGCACATCCAAATTTATTGAAGTGTCAAGTATACGTTTTAGCTGATTGAATGTAATTATTTTAATTCTGAAGCACCATTTACGACAAACCTAGCTTGTAATCTCTAACCTACTGTTACCCAATACGACATCGCTATCCGATTGTTCTAAAGATTTATTGATGGAGCCGATTGTACCACGAATAAAAGTCCCATTAATCCTAAAAGTTTACAAGCATTTCAATCAGAATAATGTAAGTAAACAAAGAGTTGCTTCAACTAAGAAATGCAGCACTATAGAAATATCCTATACCTAAAAAGTCCTTAAAATAAGTACCGGTCGAACCTCGTCTTTTAGTTTTCTATCAATTTGTTTATTTCGAACAAAACAATACATGCCTCTAACAACATTATCAAGGCTATTAACACTAAAAAGGAGTCAAAAACCAAGTTTATGTCAATACTTTGACCGAAGAGGACTTAATACCCATTAAATATATAATGTGGAACAAGCGCAAAAAAATCTTAAAAAGCGCAATCAAATATGAAACAGTATACCGAGAGCGCGAAATTAAAAAACATCACAAAAACAATAATAAAATTTCCAAGTTTTAGCATGTTTCAAGTACGTCTGATATACTAAGTTTTTGGCTGATATACAACGTTTTTGGTACCATTCGAATGAGATAAATTAGAGAAATTCGAATTTGATGGTTTTTAAGTTTAACTGATCTTGATTTTCTAAGAAAGTATTCAAAAATCAAGGTTTTGTTCGTTCCGATACTTGTATTACTGTGAGAAAAAATAGCAAGGGATGTAGAGGCAGCTTTTATCATAATATATATATATACTTTTCTATTGCTTATTACTTTGTTTTACCCTTGTTTAGAATATGTATGCAACTCGATAAAATTTAATATACGCGCCAAATTTCTAGTATCAATCTAAAAAAAGGTGCTATTTAAAGGCATTTGGTTATGAATCTGTTAGATTCGAGGCAATTTGAAATCTGGAAAACCGACCTCTACCAAACTACGACACTTTTTTTGACTTTTTGACAAAAGTAAATAATGAAGGGGTCGCCTAAACGCCTTGAGAGTATAACATTTGCAATCGTTGAGTCATTCTATTTCTAAGCCAGTAGTTAGTTTAGCAAGAGAACTTGCTGTTGAGAAGTTATTTAAGTTTTGAAATTACTGTGTTCGTTACAAATCAATATAGTAAATAAATTCGTATATTGATTAGGTATAGATCTCAGAATCCCAGACCTACCGGTCTTAGTTCTATTGAAGTTCAAGATTATTAATCAAGTGTTAATATTCCATCACAATGTATGAAGTTTAAATTCTTCTTCATTTAAATTACCTTTGTAATTTTGAACACAGACACAGATCGAGTTTATTAGAAGTCTACAGCAAACAACACTTAAAAAGTAAAAGTATATGCACTAAAGGAACTAGTATAACAGGCAATTGTGTGATGAATTTGTATGTCGTTGATCTATTGATTTCTTAAGTAGAGCAAAATTTGAAGATGATTTAATTGTGTACAATACATGAATTAATCTTATTAAGTTTTCCTATTGTTACTGCGGTACTAAAATCACTTTAAATATCAGTCTAGGATTGATTATAAACAACCCTTTGTAGAATTAGTTGATAGTTTTTCATCAGTTTGTCATTTTGCTTAATTTGCAAAAAGATTATTATTTTAACAACTCTCGGCGGTTAAATCTTGAACTAATAAATTATCGAGTTTAACTCTATAACTATACACTATTAATTAAATGGTAATTAATAGTGTATAGTCATTCAATGTATTGATATGATTCAATTGATATAAGTGATTGTTATGATAAAGAAAAGTGATATATACTGGGAAATTTTCTTTGTGTAATAATTTTTTGGTTTGTTGCGCTTATACACAGGAAATTCAGCGTAACAAAAAAGCAAGAGAGCGCTACCATTTAGCCCCCTAAAAATTACCCCCTAAAATATATTAACCTGAATTCTGCTATTTGAAAAGGTAATAGAACTCTAGTAAGTAATCAAAACTCTCAAGAAGGTTGCATACTTGATATAATTACCAATGCTGTGTCTTTGAAACTTGAAGATGAATCTAAAATGACATTTGTCAAATAAGTGGTCACGATATTGCAGTTCAAACTAAACTGGTTCAGCACTGAAAAGCATATTACAGTACATGAGAGCATTTCTTGATATTTCAGATAGAGCTATATTAAAATAAGGCTATGTACAAGGCTGCTAAGTAGTAAAATAGATTTCGAACTACTTTTATAAAAGATCTAAATATTTTGTTAAGAAGGTTTTCAAGATAAATGAATAATTTTTTTTGATGATGGTTCGAATAACTAGCAGCATCGGCCGTTTGATATCGTAGAAAGATCGTAAAGCATATTTAAAATGCTCTGAGAGTCTTCGTCCCAATTTCAACAATTTAAGAACAAATAATCAAATTGTAGAAGATCACTTATAGTTTAAAAATCACGTGCTTACTTCATTTTCATCAAGTTTCAGTAAGTTTTCATTTGTCAATTGTTACGATCTAAGCGATCCGCGTTTCACTGGAATTGAACAAACCTCAAGTTTTGGTTTTACTATCGCTACTATGTTTTTCTCCACATACATTATTTCACCAAAGGTCAAATTTGTTGAGCCACACCAATTACTAGTAGTGTAATCTAAGCAAGTTTCAATTTCAAGGATTTTAACGAAAATGTGAAATTTCATATAATACAGGCTTAAAAAAATTGAAAACGTTCAAAAAATGAAAATTTGTATACAAATTGAAAGGGTAACAACAATAAGATTTAGAAATATGCTAAGTTACTAAGAAGTGTGTATATTTTACCACGTTTCACTTGTTTGATGAAGCTTAATTTTTTAATTGGTTTCAATCTTTAAATCTACCAATTGATTGATTTATTGGGTATTGATTTTACTGTGATTAACATACTTAGACCGACATATTTATACACAAATCAATTGATTTTTATTATAATATGATTACCTCAAGAATTTAAATGGTTACGATGTATAATATTAAAAATAACAATAAAAATGAAATGAAATTTAAGGGGGTTTTGTTTATTTTTATTGTTTATTTTAGATTATTTGACTCCAAATTTTTACATAATTATACCTTGGACTATAAATAGATTATGAATTCTCCTCAATTCCTTATATTTAATTAACTACTTATTTTATAATGGTTTTCGGTTTTGGTAAAGATGATGATAAACATCATCAAAAAAGAGATAATGATAATGATAATAATGATTCTTATGGTTCTTCACTGAATAAATTTGGTTCAAATAATGATGATGATTCATATGGTTCTTCAAATAGAAGAAGTGGAAATACTTATGGTGATGATAACAATGATAGTTCATATGGTAGTGGTGGTCGTACATCAAATTTTGGTTCATCAACATCAAATGATGATACTTTTGGTAGCGGTAACAATGATGATTCATTTGGCTCTTCAAATAGAAGAAGTGGAAAAGATGATTCTTATGGTTCTTCCAATAGAGGAGGAGATGATTCATATGGTTCTTCAAACAGAGGAGGAAATGATTCATATGGTTCTTCGAACAGAGGAGGAAATGATTCATATGGTTCTTCAAATTATGGTAATGACGATGATAATTTTGGATCATCAAATAAAAAAAGTGGTGGTGTCTTTGGTGGTAATAATGATGATTCATATGGCTCTTCAAACAGAGGTGGAAATGATTCATATGGTTCATCAGGTTATGGAAATGATGATGATGACAAGTTCGGCTCTTCAACGAAAAGAGGTCAAGATACTGGTCTTGGCGGTGATTCATATGGTAATGATGATTCATCAAATAGAAGAAAAGGAGACAACTATGGTTCATCTGATTATTAATTATGATTGTATAGTGTTTAAAAATGGCTGCAAAAAAAATCAAAAACAACTATAATATAAAACCAAAAAAATATATATTAACAATGGCCAAATGATTCTCTATTTAATAGTTCTTCGTATTTTAACTTTTCGATTTTCCAATTGTTAAGTGAATCATAGACTAGACCTTCGTCAAGATTCCAACTTTTTTTTTTTTCTCTAAAATTTTTATATATATCGATAATAACTAGTTAAAGTATGGTAATAAAATATTTTACTTTATTTTAATATCATTCTTCATTATAGTTTGCTCCAATAGTCTCTAGTTTTGTTGTAAAGGAGCATATAAAACTTGCGTTACATATTTTCTTTTATATCTAACAATTGAAGCAACAGCCAATGTATTATGTTTTATTGAAGTTGTTGCTAAATGATTTAAAACCACATGATTAGGTATTGGTAAAGCACCAGAATTATTTTCTATATTATAATTCATACCATTTTGATTATTGAAATTGTTTAATATAACATTATCTAAATGAGGAGGTAAATGTGGAGGATGTAACCAAGCTTGCTGTGGTTGACCATTATTACTACTTCTTGATTGTTTATCAATTGCAACATAGTACTGTTCCATAACTTTTGGATCGGTGAAAATTGGTGGAATATCTGAAATATATTGTAATTTTTTATTTTGAGACTCTAAATCTTCATCTTCATGATATCTTGAATAGCCATTTCCCATATCATCTGGATCATTAATTAAATTTGTTATTGATTTTGATATTGATGATTTTCTGCTTTGAGATTTTGTAGCTTCTTCTTCTTTTTGAAATTGTTGTTCTTTATAGAAATTTTCAACATTTTCAGGAGTAATTTCGATATAATTTACAAAATTTCCTAATTGATCAGTTGCAGTTGGTAAGAAATCGGAGAATCTTAATTCATTATCAACGACAAATCTAAATCGATGAGTTCCAACAGGTAAACCTAATGTTATCATATAAGTAGGATTATTATTTTCATTATTTATATCTGGTTGTTTAATTAAACCAATCATTTTTTTCCAACCTGTAAATGAGCCTGTGACATAAACTTTTTCACCTCCTTGGACCCATTTTATATCGATTGGAACGGTTATATTTGGATCTGGAGTATTGAGTTGTGGTTGTGCAATTGGTTGTGGAGCTTGATGTTGTTGTTGTTGTTGTTGTTGTTGTTGTTGTTGTTGTTGTTGTTGTTGATTATGATTTGGTTGTGAATTTTGAATATCATTATCATGATTATCGGACATTGTTATATCTTCATCTGCATCTTTCATTTCTTCTTTTTCATTATCAATTTTAATTTTTTCAATATCATCTAATATTATTGTTGATTTTCTCCTTTTTGGTTCTTCTTCTACTGATGGTTGTGGATGATCGGAAATTTCAACATCGTTATCATTATTATCATTACCATTACCATTACCATTACCATTATTCATTGCATTACTTACATCAATCATTGAAACATCTTTTTCAGTATTTCCATTACCATTAGCATTTTCGGTTGTAGTTGATGAAGACATTATTTATCGATGATGCATAAAAATAGAATCTTGGAAATAATTGGACCGGGATGGGTAAAAAATTTAGTTAAAATGATGGAATATATAAGAAATCTGATTCTTGCTTCTTTGTGAAATAGTCTTTTGATTTAATAATTAGTAATTGAACCGATCCTTTCTTTAATTATAAGTTTGTAGTAATAAATAATACTATTGTATTATATCTTAATTTGACGATTTTATCTTTAACTTCTTTTTTTAATTTTTTTTTTTATTTTTTTTTTTATTTTTAATTTTATTTTTTTTTTTCTGTTTCCATAAAAATTAATAAATTATACACGTATTGACTTATGTCACGTTCTACGGTATTTAATCTCCGATACAGATCGTAATTTTTTAAGAATAAGAGCAGAATCAAATAAGATATATGGTAGATGTAATGATTAGAATTGAAGACAATATGCGGATAAAAATTTCAATACTATATATATATATATTATTATTACAACTTATAGACCATAAATGTCAATAAATTGAAATTAAATGGTTTAAACTTAGTAGTTGCCTCTTTCCTTCTTGACTTCATCAACCATTAGTTACTCTATAATTATACCCGTTTTTTTTTTTAATCGCCTTTCCTTTGACAGTATAAGTAAATCTATTGATTATTATTTGATTTTATATTTTCAACATTAGTTGATATAGTATGATATATTAATATTAATACAATAGAAGCAAAACCAAAAGTTAAAGCAATTGTATTTAATTGACTATCAGAAATCATGGTTGTTTAACTATCTGTGATATAAGTGATATAAGTGATATAAGTGATATAAGTGATATAAGTGATATAAGTGATATAAGTGATATAAGTGATATAAGTGATATAATCTTTATATATATGTATGGTTATATTAGTTAGTAGTTTGTTTGTTTGTTTGTTCGTTCGTTGTCAAAAAAAAAAAAAAAAATCATATTCCACGATAGTTAATATTTTGAAATATATATACCATACTAATGTCATTTAATATACCAATAGTTACAATACCCGAATCATCTTATAATCCATCTTCTTATAATACTATTAAAACAAAATCTCAATTAATTATATATTTAACTAAATTAACTCATGGTTCTTCAATATTTTTAATTTTATTTTATTTAATTGGTTATTTTGCAATTAAACCATTATTAGAAATTACTATTACAAGAAGATTAGAATTATTAGAAACTACAAGATTAAATTTACGTGATTGTTATATTAAATTAATATCAAAAGTTAATTATATACCAATTATAAAAATTAATAAAAACGGTAAAATTATATCCGACGAAATTATTCAAACTGATGATAATAATAAAAATAATAAATATAAAGATGATGAAAATAATAACGATGAAATATATTTAAAATTAAAAAGATTATCAAATTTATTATCAACTAATATTAGATCTTATGATGCTGGTGAATTTCTCAATTTTAAATCTATTAAATATTCAATTAAAGATTTTCAAAATAAATCTGATTTAATATATTTTAATGAAGATGAATTATTTACTGTTGAAAGTAATAGTAAAATAGATGATAAGAATATACAAGGTATAAAAAAGAAGAATATATCAATTGAAACTAAAAACGAAATAAGAAGTATAAAAGGTTTATTTATGAGTGGTCAAGCATAAGACTACCAAGACAGAGCAACCAACTATATGTAACCAACTGTATCTTATCTACTTATATATTAGAAATGAAATAAGAAGTATAAAAGGTTTATTTATGAGTGGTCAAGCATAAGACTACCAAGACAGAGTAACCAACTGTATGTGTAACCAACTGTATCTTATCTACTTATATATGTTGTATATATATAGTTTGTCTTGTTTGTTTATTATTAATAAAATGATGATTTAATGAATTTATATATACATCTCTATATATATCTATATATATTTGATATTTATTTCATTCACCACGCTTTTATATTTTTTTTCTAGTTAAAATTAATCAATTAATTAATCATGGCAAAACATAAAATTATAGTGACGAGTGATGAAGAAGATGATGAACCACAAGTTCAACCTCAATCGCAATCGCAGTATACTGAATCTCAAGATGTTTATGACGATGAAGACGAAGATATTGAAGAACCAAATTTAGATGATGATGATGATGATGATGATGAAGAAGAAGATTTAGAAGAAGATAATGATCAACTGGAATTTAATAATTATGAGTCACATTATGAAGCAAATGATCAATTAGCTGTTTCTAGTGATGCTGAAGATAATAATAAATTAGAAGCTTCTGATATGAGTGAAGATTTAGAATTAAGACCAGAAGAAGATGATGAATATGATGAAGAAATAGAAGTTAGACCTCCTCCACCAAGAAAACTCAAAATAACAATTAAACCACCATCCAGAAAAGATTCAGATGCTAATGCTAAGGAAGGTGCATCAAGAAATACCAGAAAAAGACAAGTAAATTATTATAATGATGAGGAAGAAGAAGATGCAGAAGAAGAAAATGAAGAAGGAGATGAAGAAGATGAAGAAGAAGAAGAATTTGAACTGGCTCCACAACAAGCATCAAAGAAACTTAAAAAGATGAAAATAATACCACCACAACCTCGACCTCAACCACAAGATTTAAATCCAGATTTATTATTAACTGATGAAGAAAATGAATATAATCCACAAGCTAATCCTCCTGATGTTTCAAGAATGACTGAACGACAAAGAGCTAAACTTAATACTGAAGCTGATCAATTTATAGAATTAGATGATAAGGGTAAACTTTCAAAATCGAACAAAAAGAAACAGCAACAACAAAAAATAATTGAAACCGAAGAAGAAATTGCATTAAGAAAAGCTGAAAATGCAAGAAAAAGATTAGACTACAAAAATAAGATATTAGAAGAAGAGAAAAGAGATACATTAAATAAATTATTAAAAAGAAGAGCTACAAAATCAAGAGAAATTATAAGTGAAGATAATGGTAATAATGATGGAACAGAATCAATAAAATCAAGTTATAAAGAAAGAAGACCAATGTTACATCATCCTGCTTTAATAAGATATGTTAATAATACAACTACATTGAATGGTAATTCAATAATAGCTTATAAATAGTTAAATATATAACGTAAACATTTGGTAGCACATATCTTTATCTCTTCTGCTGATTTTAATTTTTTTCCAAGTATAAATTTACGATAAACTTAGACAAATTTATAACCAATACATATATATTCCATTAAAAACTATGAATAATAATAACCAACCTCAACCGCCACCGCCTCAACAAATGTTTAATCAAACACCACAAATGCCTTACCAACAACAACCCGGAGGAAGGAATACAAATCAACAACAACAAATTCATCAACAAAATCTAGTGCATCAACAACAATCAAATCAACAACAACAACCACAATTTAATGTGAATAATATGTCTAATTTCCCTCCACTAATGAACCAACAACAGATGCTAAATGCTCAACAACAATTACAACAACAACAATCATTAGAAAATCCTGCAATTACTACTAATATGCGCCCTGGGCTTCAAAGAAATTCAAATTTTAGTGCTAGTCCTAATTCAAGTCAACCAAATTCAGCAAATTTACAATATAATCCAAATTCTATGATGCAAGGTTTAAACTCAGCTAATATACCAACTGGTTTAAATTCTCAAACTCAAACACCGTCCATGCCAAATCAACCACAACCATTTATGAGAACTAATGTCCAACCACAACAACCACAACAAAAGAAAATTGTTAATGGTGCCAATATACCCAATCTACAACCAAATAATACAACTCAAGCATTTGATTCTCCACAACAAGCTTTTCAAAATCAACCAAAATCAACAATGACACCAATTCAAAAAGAAACCATACCTGCAACAGTAACGAATCCACAACAACAACAACAACAGCAACAAGATATAAATTCACGTAATGTCAATATAGAGAATGAACAACTCCAGCATGAATTAAATACAAGAATAATTAAACGTAATTTAGGTAATGCTGCAGCTATGCGAATATTAGATTTAGTTGATTATGTATCGAATGAAAGGTATGAATCTTTATCCCAATTATCTTTTTGGCAAAGAGTTGTATCTGCATATTTCCTACCCAATGCAGTAATCAAATTCAATACTATAAATTCAAAGAATTTTCCCAAAAAATACAATAATACAACATTACATGATGCAACTGGTCTCAATTTTGATTTTTTAAATTTAAATAAAATTAATAACTCAAACATTTCACATCAATTTGAATTAAATTCAATTACAGCTCCTAGATTTTTTGTAAGTTGTATTAAATCTGAAAAAATTGTATCATTTCATGTCAATTTAGAAAATTTAAAATTTCAAGTGTTTAATAATGGATCAATTATTGTTGTTTCCAAATTTACATTTAATTATGAATATCAAGATGGTTCAATTGCTATTGTTAAAGGTACATCTAAATTTTTAATGAGCCGAGATTTAAGAATTGAGTTTGCTGATTTAAATTGTATTGATTATCAAACTTCAATTGGGTTTGATGCTTTGGAAAATATGTTTAATGATTGGAAATCAAAAGATTTGAAGAAACAAAATCCATTTAGTGAAGCAAATCGAAATTTTGACGCTGTTAATGCTTGTACTACTTTTGGTATTGATGCAAAAGCATTGAGAGTTTTACAAGTGGGTGATATAATGTCGAGTTTAAAATCTTTAATGGAATATAGTGTGATGACAAATACATTATCTCCGAAAAAGGCAATTGAAGCAATGGTGAATTCTCCAAATAATCATCAACAAATGGCTGCAGCAGCTGCTTTTCAAGCTCAAATGGTAGCTGCTGTGAATAATCATGGACAATTTCAGCAACAACAACAGCAACAACAACCTAATAATTCTCAACAACCTCAAACCTCATCAAAATAATATTGAATATAATTATGAACAAATTTGATAAACTATACTAGACAAATGTGGATCAGAAGCTTACAAATGCTAACAAAGGCCACTTAGATATAAGTTTAAAGGTGGTATTGATATAATTCATAATCATTTGATAATAGTCATAACTGAGTGTGACTATAGACGAACTAAAACGATTAGATAAAGGTACATTTTTCGAGTTGATAGCTCATTACTAAACTCTGGGTCTTTATATAGGGTTTTAATATATGAATTCCACAATAACTATTGAGCAAGTTTTTCGTGACACTGATTTCATCAAATAATTTTTGAACCGCAAATTATGAGAGTAAAAGGACTTTCAAAACATGCATTTAAAATTAAATAACATTAAATTCAACTAAACTTTATTATGCTTATTGATTTAAAATGTGTATATTTTTTATAAATTCAGTAAAAACTTCATTTTAAAACTTGATTGACTCTACAACTATTCTATTTTGCACAAAGCTAAAATTAGTTTTACGATCAGAAAACGATGAAGCTTCGAATGCATATAATTTGGAAACGATTTAAACACTTCTAGGTCGTATAAGTTAATAATATCAAAGAAAATGAATTTTACTGATTTACTTTAAGATCGACAATTAATCTCATCAATACTTTACACAGGTTAAACTAGCGTAGAACTTAATTATGAATAGGTAGCTTTGGGGTCATAAGATGTGGACAAGTTCAAGTAACTAATGATTTAAATAAAATTTACAAAAAGAAAAGTTGTCAATTTTGGATCGTGTTTTTGTGTAACAAAAATTGGTTTTGCTGATGGTTCTAAGTTAAATAATCTAATTAGGAAATGAGGCTTGAAAATATAAAAAGTGCAAATATCTCACGAACTAGCAGGTCTAGCGAGTAAAGCTCTATATGAGCACAATGAGTAAGTAAAAGTCTATTGATTCGTATCTCCATTAAACTGATAGCGTTAATATTCATGAATTTGAGGTTAATTGACCAATCAGAAACGTTGAAAAACATCCTAACCGCAATAGTTAAGCAATGGAAAATTGCAAATTTTCAAAAGAAAAGTTAGTTAAAGAAAATATTCGAGAGCATGAATTCAACCAAAACTCTGAAGCGAAATGGGCTGAAGTTTTCAATGAGCCTAGAATCGGCACTAGAGAATCAATATCGAACGAGTTAATTAGTAATATAGAAATATTTTAGATTGAACATAAAAATATCTAGACTTTAGAATGCACATTGGTAAGAAAGACTTCTGCTCAAAATATACCAAAGTTTCATTATAGCAATTCTGAAACAATTTGGAACAGGTCGGAAATTAGTCAATTTTCCAAAACGTCCCATAGATCGAAAATTTATACTGCATATAAATCGATTTTTTTCAGTGCGATTATTTGGTACGGCGAAAATAATTTCACGCGCTACCTTAGGGCGACTTGTCCTAGACGTTAAGATTTGTAATCTTCCGTACTGCTATGGTTTAGTTTTTTTTTGTGTTAAGGTAGTCAAAGTAGAAAGTCAATTTTTCAGAAGTGGTTTGAAGTTTTTGAAAAAAATTCAAACTGACTTTGGCGTCTTGAAAACATTTTACAATAAATAATTGGAGCATAATAAACCTAATCAGCTATCTTAGAAGTTTTTAAATGAGGTCTAAGTATTTATCTTGCAATTTAACGTTTTTTGCGTTTTTTTCATTGAAGAATGAAGTAATAAAAATTGTGTTTTACAAAAAGTATTTAGCATCATTTATTCTAGCTTATCTGGAAATTTAACAAAAATAAGTTTGAGAGAAACAACTTGAGTATTAAGGGAGTTATTTAGGCTTCAAGTTTGATGCTTAACTATGGGGAGACTGTATATAAGTCTAAGATTTTTAAAGTCGTAAAATCCAGTCGCGTGTTAAATTTCTTTGACATTAATGGAAGATGATAATAATGAATCGAATCAAGACGTAACATCGAATCTATATGAAACATTACGACCAACTAGTTTGAAGAGTTACATAGGTCAAGAACATTTACTCAATCATGAAAATGGACTAATTTATAATTTTTTAAACCTAGGTTATTTTCCATCGATGATTTTATATGGACCCCCTGGAGTTGGTAAAACTACATTAGCCTCAATATTAGCAAAAGAATATAGTTCAATAGGATCTTATTTTGAATCGTCAGCAACTACATTAACTACCTCATTTTTAAAACCAATTTTATTACAATCAGAACCCGAACCTTGCGTTTTGTTCATTGATGAAATTCATAGATTGACTAAAACTCAACAAGATTGGTTATTAGCTTATATTGAATCTGGATCAGTGAAATTAATTGGAACTACTACGGTGCATCCAAGAAAACGACTCTTGAATGCAATTTTATCAAGATGTCAAATTTTTGAATTGCAAAAATTAAATTTAAATGAAATGAAGAAAATAATTGATCGAGCAATAAAATTAGAGAATGAGAAAAGAAATAAAGTATTGAATTTACCTCCTGTTGTTTATGATGATGAATGTATTGAATTTATTGTGAATTTGAGTAATGGAGATTCGAGAAAAGTATTAAATATGATTGAATTGATCAATTTAAATTATAAAAATGATGAAGTAATAAATAAGAAAGTCTTAATTTCGCAAAATTTACTACCCAAATTTGAAAATGAGTATTCTCAACAACTACTTCAATTATTAGTAGAGAGTCTTAAGCATGGATCGAATAGAAGTGATAAGTTTTATCCAAATCCTTTGGAATTCATGTATGAAGACTTGAAAATGAGGAAAACGGATGATGAATATATTGAAAGATTGCAAGTTTCTGATGATAGTGATATTGAAGAGGTATATAGTTCTGAAGAGGAAGAATTGCCAAATAGCATCTCAAATTTAGAGTCTAATTTATTGAAACCTTTATCATACATCTTATTATTAAAAGACTTTGGCTATTCTATAGAGGAAACCTTCAAACACTTGATGATTTTTATTTTTGAATATATTGATTATAATTCTTTTGCAATAAATAAGCTTTTATCATTTTATGAGTGCACTAAAATACTGGACAATGTCAATTTAGTACTTTCAAATTGTGTTGAGTGGTTAATGTATCAAAAACCTAGTGAAGGCTTCACTTTGCAAACCAAATTTGATCATATAAAGAAGTTTATAAATGATGAAAATTCTTACAATTTAAAGGATAGCTCAATTGAAAATATTGTAATATCATTTGATGTAGAAGAGATCAAACTCGCTGAAGAGATACCAAAATTTGATAATAATGAAGATGATGATTTGAATTTTGAAATTTCGTATGATAATGTTTAAGTTTATATAATTATATAATTATATAAATATATATATATATATATATTGATTACATAATCAAAATTTTTATTTTTATTAAATATTTTGTTGCAAAAATTATCAAATTTACAACCATTTATATATTTTAATCAATGGCGTTTTCACCAATTCCAATCATACATGGCTCAATGGGCTTTATTAGAACTTCACAAGCTGTCGCTTTTGATTTGTGGATTAATGCAATCTTGTACATTTTAGTCTTACTCGTTATTTTTGGATTTCAAGTTAAAGATTTAACTTTACAATTGATCCATTATACAAAGATTATAATCCTTATCTTAGTTGAAATATTTTTATTAATTCCATTTACAATCATTAGAATTATTTATTATATATATAATACAATTAATGGATTAAGAACTGACGATACGAGATATAATATTAATGGAATTATTAGAACTGCAACTATTCATCAATTATTTTGGCAACAAGAAGAAGAACATAATTATTTAGTAATGACTTCTTTATTCCAAAGGGGTCCAAATATATTTTTAGAAGTTCAAGAGAATATTCCATTATTAAACAATATTGTTGAAAATAGCTTGATTGAAGATTTCAATCAACCACCACCTGTTTCAAATGATGATACATCAGTAGTTACTTTTGAATCAACTCATTCCAACTTTTTTAAAAATATAGCTTTTAAAAAACATAATCCAAGTAAATCATCAATAGATAATGGAAATAATGCTTCAATTTTAAAATCAAAAAATAAATCAAAACCAACAAGTGCAACAATTGTAAATTAGTCGTATTGAATTACTTATATTTAAATAAATTACGTATAATATATATAAGAATTTTTTTGTATGCAAAGCTGTAAAAAAGAATATGAACAATATTATCTATTCATTATCTTCATTGTCATTATTATCATCATCATCTGCATCACCCAATGCTGCAAATCTATTTATTTGTGTTGATTCAGATCTTTTTGATGATTCTCTTTGTAAATCTTGATTTGTTGATGATGAAGATTGTGGAATTTGATTTCCTCCACTTGACATAGATCTTTGATTACCCATTGGTTTTTTAGCAAATGCAGAATTTAAATTAACATTTGAATTATTCCATGATGAACCAGCTCTTGAAGAATTTGATCTACTATCAGGTTGTTGATGTTGTCTTCTTTTCTTATCATTTTTAGCTTTTTCTTCCTCTATTTTCTTTATTTCAGCATCTCTATGAATTTCTTCAATTGTTTTTGGACCTGATTCAGTTTTTGCATTAGCCCAATTTGATTTTTTCAAATCTTTCAAATCCATCAACATAAATGTAATTCTAGATGATAATTTAACATCACTAATAATTTTATCAATATTTCCAAAAACAATTGTCAAAATAGTTTTAGTTCTATCATTTGCATCTAATTTAGGACCAACAGTTTTAACCAATTGTGCTAAATTTTCTAAACTATCTTCTGATGGATCTATTGTATTTTTACATTGATCTTTTAAGCATACAAATATAACTTGATCATTCAACATATTCAAATTATATAAATGACCAATAAATTTAACTAAACCTAAACCTCTTCTTTTAGCAGCTGCCATTGCATAATATTCATCAGACATCATTTCTGGTTCCAATGGTGAACCATCGGGATTTGTAGGTAATTTATCAGACCAACCTTTTTCATATTCTTCTTGACAAGTAGTTAGTAATACTCTTCTTGCTAATTCACCACCTGCAGGATGATTTCCATTTTTCAAAGTACTTGTTTCATCAGAAATTTCTGGATCTATATCAGTACACATTTTAGCACAAAATTTAGCATACATTTCCGACCAATATGGTTCATCACAAGCTTTGGCAAACGTCAAAGATATTATTTGTTTAATTGTTTGAGCATCTTTTTCCCATTTTGATTGTTTTGAAATTGTTAACATTTCATCAGTTATAGCTGTGAACATTTCCAATGTTAATTTATTTAATAATGATTTAATTTTTCTTTCAACATCTTCTCTTTCTAATATTATACTACCATCTTCAGCATATCTAACTTCTGTTTTAGCTTGTCTTGATTTAGGAACCCATCTATTTGCTGATTTTTCCAATGGTTTAACTTCTTCAACTGATTTTGATTCTTTAGCTAATTCTTCTTCTGTTTTTTCTCTCATTTCAGGACCACCTCTACCACCTCTCTTTGATTGATTACCTTTTCTTGTTGATTTATCTCTTGAAGATGCACCTCTTCTTTTACTACCACTTCTTGAGTTTTGTCTATTAGCATCAAAACCTCCCATATTATTTGACATTCCAGGACCCTTATTTGGACCATTAAATCTTGAAGGTAATCCACTATTTGTTCTGCTTGGACTACCACGAGTAGACAGTTCTCTAATTGAACTTGAACGTTTAAATGCCATTGAATGAATATCTTTAGATTCTAAGAAATTTTTAAAATTTGGATCAACGGTATATTGAATAACATCACGAAATTGAATTAAAAACTGTGGATCATATCTATAATTTTTACCTGAAATTTGTTTACTTCCATCAACACTTTTAATGTTTTCAGGATAATTTTGAGTAAAAATATTTTCAATTGCTTGAGATTCTTTAACTTTTTCTAAAAATTGGGAGATACTCATTGAAGTTTCTTCTGGTTTTTTAGTTTCTTCTGGTATTACTTTAGATTGTTCTTGTGTATTATCATCCTCTTTTTGTGTTATACTTTCAGTTGTTGGTTCAACAAGTTTATTTGATTCACCTTCACTTTCTTCCTCAGGTTTTTCTTCTTTAGTTTCTGCTTCAGGTTTTTCTTCTTTAGTTTCTTCTTCAGGTATTTCATTCTTCAACACTTCAGTTTCTGCTGGTACACTAGTTTCAACTGGTTTACTAGTTTCTTCATTCTCTACAATTTTTTCAGTTGCTTGATTTGGAATATTTTGATCTTCAACTTTTATATCTTCGACTTTTGGTTCGGTTGATTCTTTGATTTCTGGTATGCCGGTAGTATCTTTATTATCAACTTCTTCCGTTTTTGGTTGTTCTACAACTGATTCATTTTCTTTTTCTTTTTCATCCTGTTTATCTTCCTTAATTTTTTTAATTTCTTCAATTTCCTTCACTTCTTCATCTTTAACTGGTTTGGTTTCTACCTCTGCTTCTTTAGTATCTTTACCTCCTTCATCTTTAACTGATTTGGTTTCTACTTCTGCTTCTTTAGTATCTTTAGCTTCTTTAGTATCTTTAGCTTCTTTAGTATCTTTAGCTTCTTTAGTATCTTTAGCTTCTTTAGTATCTTTAGCTTCTTTAGTATCTTTAGCTTCTTTAGATTGTTTAGCAGCAGCAGCTTTTTCTAAAATTTTTCTTTTAAATTCTTCAGCAGCAGAAAGACCAGATGCAGATTTTGTTTCAATTGCTGGTGCTGAAGGTTTTGAAGAATCATCACTAGTTGTATTTGATGATTTTTCAGTAGTTGTTGAAGCATTAGGTGGATGAGGTGAAGCAATAGGAGTTGAAGAAGCAGTTTTTCTCTTTTTCTCTTCTAAATCAACTGGTTTACCATCTTTTGTAGTTAATTTAATTCTTGGAGTAGGTGGAGTTGAAATTTGAGAATGTTGTTGTTGAGGAGTATTACTACCAGAATTAGTTGTTGTTGAAGCATATTGTTGATTAGTAGGAGTAGTTGGCATTCCAGCATAAGGAACAGGAACACCAGGTACATACAATGGATAACCACCCATCTGATTAACAAAATAAGGATACATTTGAGGAGCATTGTACGGGAAATTTACATACTGTTGTTGAGATTGTTGCTGACCTTGTTGTTGTTTTTGGCCTTGTTGTCCCTGTCCCTGTCCCTGCTGATGTTGATTATGATGATTATTCTGATGATGATGATTCATTTTAGAATTATTATATTGTTTTCTATTTGAAGATTGAGATGAAGGAGCAGAATTAGCCAGTAATGATGCGTTATTATTGTTATTATTTGAAGCATTATATCTTTGATTATTCTGATTATTATAACCTTGTCTACCATTATTATTATTATTATTATTATTATTATTATTATTATTATATGATTTATTTTGACCATGATAATTTTTAGTATAATAATTATTTGAATTTGAATTTGAATTTAAATTTGAATTTGAATTTGAATTTGAATTGCTATTATTATAGTTATTATAATTGTTATAATTTTGATAAGAATAATGAGGAATATGAGATTGATATTGTTGTTGTTGTTGCTGTTGATAATGTTGTTGATTTTGATGTTGCTGATAACTATTAGGATGAACTTGGTGATGATTATTTGAAGAAGAATGATCATTTTTTAAATTATCAGATGAATTTGAACCAGAACCAGAACCAGAACCAGAAGAAGTTGGAGCAGCATTATTACCAATATTATTATTTAAATTTGGATCTGATATATTTGAAGATGAAGTAATATTTTTTGAATCAATTGATTTTTTTGATTCTTGCAAATTACCTTTAGCATTTGATGTAGTTGCAGTTGCAGTTAATTGTTTTAATTTCTCATTGTTGGTATTGTTAATATTATTATCGGACATTATTTATAAGTTAATATAATATAATGAACACCAATAAATATGAAAAGGTTTATCTGTTAGTTAATCAATATGAAAACCTATTAAACCCTATTAATTGATTGATTGACTGATTAATTGTCTCTCTTTCAATTTTTTAATATTTAAAAAAAAAATTCTCTTCTTTTTTTTTTTTTTTTTTTTTTGGTTTCAATTTTTCAATTTTTTCATTTGGTTTATATGCACTACTCGTTTCTTTTATTATTAGTAAGTATATTGTATATTGTATATTGTATATTGATCAATTGAATGCCAGAAGTATAAGAGATTTTTTATACTAGATATTTGATTTTTATAAGTTATAAAGTATATATTCTAAATGTGTATTGTTTATTGTATATGTCTATCCATTATTAATCCTTATAACAACTAAGTTAATCTCAATTTCAATCTATTACGTAATTTTACAATTATTTTATCACTCGATTTAGTGCGCTACTTAAGAATCGAACCATCGTAATTCACAGTACAACTTATACTTATACTTTAAATTTTAAACAAACTCTTTTCAATGTTCTATGTATATGTGTATGATTTATATAAAATAAAAAGCATTAATAAACCAATTATTATTAAAAATGAATAAATTATAAAAGAATCTTTAATTGATTCAATTTGAAAACAACTAATTATAATATCTTGTTTATTATCATCTTTATCATCATCATCTGAACCATTATTATTATTATTGTCGTTATTATCACTATTATCATTTTGACCTTTTAATTTGTTATTATTATCATTATTACTTGATATATTACATAATTTTGGATCTTGTTTTAAACAATACTCTTTTGTACATAATTTACATTGATCAATTGAATTTATAATAGCTTTTAAATTACACTCACATTTACAATATAATTGAAATGTTAAAATTAATTGCACATTTAAAAATAAATAAAATAATAATGTAAATTTCATAGTATATAACTTATATATCCATTATATATATTATACTATTATTAAATCAATGAAAGACTATTAATGTTACTAGTTAGTTAGTTTGTTACTAGTTTGTCAGTTTGTTAGCTTGTTAGTTTGTTAGTGTTCCAATGTCAAAATTTGTCAATGTATACAAATTTGATCGAATGGCAAAATATAAGAAATTGGATTAATCACACGACTTATTTTTATTTTTATTTTTATTTTTTTTGCCAATTTAAACTATTGGTATTACTATTGGTATTAGTGTTAGTATTGGTATTGGTATTTGGTATTATTATTAGTATTGGTATATTATATTACTATTGGTATTACTATTGTTATATTATATTACGCTTGATTGTTTGTTTATCATGATTTCAATTGAAAAACCTTATATTTATGATAGTGGTATAAAACCTTATTTTGAACAACAAATTCAAGACACTGAAATTAAAATACAACAAACTACTCAAAATTTAAGACGGTTAGAAGCTCAACGTAATAAATTAAATAATAAAGTTCGTCAATTAAAAGATGAATTAAGATTACTACAAGAACCTGGTTCTTATGTTGGTGAAGTTGTTAAAGTAATGGGATTAAAAAAAGTTTTAGTTAAAATTCATCCTGAAGGTAAATATATTGTTAATGTAACAAAAGATATTGATGTTAAAAAATTAACTCCTTCAATTAGAGTTTGTTTAAAAGCTGATTCTCATGATTTATATAAAATTTTACCAAATAAAATAGATCCTTTAGTTTCTTTAATGATGGTTGAAAAAGTTCCTGATTCTACTTATGATATGGTTGGTGGTTTAGATAAACAAATTAAAGAAATTAAAGAAGTTATTGAATTACCCGTTAAACATCCCGAATTATTTGAAAGTTTAGGTATAGCTCAACCAAAAGGTGTTATATTATATGGTCCTCCTGGTACTGGTAAAACTTTATTAGCAAGAGCTGTTGCTCATCATACTGAATGTAAATTTATTAGAGTTTCTGGTTCTGAATTAGTTCAAAAATATATTGGTGAAGGTTCAAGAATGGTTAGAGAATTATTTGTAATGGCAAGAGAACACGCTCCTTCGATTATTTTCATGGATGAAATTGATTCAATTGGTTCTTCAAGAGTTGAAGGTTCTTCTGGTGGTGATTCTGAAGTTCAAAGAACAATGTTGGAATTATTAAATCAATTAGATGGATTTGAAAGTTCAAAAGATATTAAAATTATTATGGCAACTAATAGATTAGATATTTTAGATCCTGCTTTATTAAGACCTGGTAGAATCGATAGAAAAATTGAATTTCCCGCTCCAACTGTAACTGCAAGAACTGATATTTTAAAAATTCATTCAAGATCAATGAATTTAACAAGAGGTATAAATTTAAGAAAAATTGCTGAAAAAATGAATGGATGTTCTGGTGCTGATGTTAAAGGTGTTTGTACAGAAGCTGGTATGTATGCATTAAGAGAAAGAAGAATTCATGTTACTCAAGAAGATTTCGAATTGGCTGTTGCAAAAGTTATGTCAAAAAATGATGAAGGTGCTGTTTCATTACAAAAATTGTTTAAATAGTTTAGTAAGGATGATGCCATTAATAAATATATATATATACAATGCAACGATGCAAAAAACACCACACCAGTCTATTCTACTTTTACTCTACTATTATTATATTATACACCTATAATAATTTTCAATTTTCAATTTTCAATTTTCGCATCCAAATTTCTTAACAATCTGTCATTTTAGAGATCAAAAAGTTGATACTATGAAATTATATATAAATTTATATGCTTATCTTATATTATTAACAATTGTCTCATGTTCATTATCATCAGATTTAAAAATTAAAGTTGCTAATTTAAATCAGTTATTTTTAGATCAAGGTCCAACTTCAAATGTATTACTTGAATTTGATAAAATTATAAATGAATTTGATTCAATAACTAATGAAAATTCTTTACTTTCACAATTATATTTTAAAAAATCATTAATAGAAATTAATATAAATAAAGAAAATGATGCTATAAATGATTTAAAAATCGTGATAAAATTAGATCCTAATAATAAACCAGCTATTAAAAAATTACAAGAGATATTACTTACAAAAGGTGATATTAAAGAATTAGAATCATATATTTATAATGATAAAGATTTGAAAAATAAAATAGAAGCATATAAACAAGGCTGGAAACAAGCTGAATTATCTTTTCAATCTAAAAATTTCATCAATTGTACAAATTATTTAAATCAAATGTTATCTATAGCTCCAAGAGATTACGACTTAATCAAACTTTATCATGACTCAGCTATGGAAATTTACAAATCAGATCCAAATATAGAATTATACTATGGTGATGAAAAATCATCAATCAATAAAATCATAATTTCAACATTACAAAAATTAATAAGTATACAACCTTTAAAAGATTTACAATTATATGACATACTATCGCAATTCTTATTATATACTGAAAATCAATTTAGTTTATCAAATAAAATAGTGAAGAATTGTTTGCGTATTAATAATGAATTTAAACAATGCGGTCAATTATCTAAATTTTATTCAAAGTTTCAAGATTTTTTACAAATTCTTGAAGAATACTCAATTATTTTAGGTTATTATTATACCAATACTGAATCAAATGTAAAATTAGATGATGCTTTTATTAATCCAAATTTTGATTTTAACTTTATTAAACAATTTTTATTTGAAGATGATTTAAAAGTATCTAAAATTGAAAAGAATAAATTGAATAATAATATTAAAAATAATTTTCAATATTTAATATATCAAGCAAGTCAATTTATTAAGAATATAATTGATAATGATGATTTAAAATTTTTAGATCAATTACAATTTATTCAAGATTTGGAGAAATTAGCTTGTGAAACATTTGTTCAAACTCAAGATAATAAACGTTTTAAAATGTATTGTGGAAAGAATATTGATTCATCTTTTTTACCTAAACTGATACCTGAAATTGATAAATTATTGAAAAAGAAGAATTATGAAAAAGCAGAACAATTATTAAATCAATTTAATAATAATGTTAAACAAACTAAATTATTTAAAGATAGATTTACCATAATTGAAGAATATCATAGAATGCAAAATCAACAAAGACAACAACAATTTTTCCAAAAACAGCAGCAACAACACCAACAACACCAACAACAACAACAACAACATCGTCAACAATTTAGATCACCACCACAACAACAACGTAAAAAACCAGCAAATGATTATTATAAAATTCTTGATATTCCAAGAGATGCGGATGAAAAAACGATTAAAAAGGGTTATAGAACTCAAACTTTAAAATATCATCCTGATAAATATAAAGGTTCAGATTTAACTCCTCAACAAATTGAAAATAAAATGCAAGAGATAAATCAAGCTTATGAAGTTTTATCAACACCTGAATTAAAAGAAAGATTTGACAGAGGTGATGATCCAAATGATCCAATGGGTCAAAGTCATCCACAATCTAGACAACATGGTGGATTTGGTGATTTTGCAGGATTTAATGGCTTTGGTGGTAATGGTGGTGGTGGACAACAATTTTCATTTAATTTTGGAGGTGGATCAAATGGTGGATTTGATTTTGGTCAATTTTTTAATCAACATCAAAAAGTTAAAATAAAAAAGAATACAAAAAGGAAGAGATATTGAATAGATAGGAAATAGATTAATTTGATTGAATATTTTGTGTTAACAATTAATTTGACAATTAAAATATGCTACTTTATCTTATTTTGTATCTTTAGCTTGCGATACAATAGATATCGTTCAGAAGTTATTAATTGAAACAATTTCTAATTTCAGAGTCTTGTAAAATACTGAACTTGATTGGTCTTAAGTGAATCATTCTATGTATTAGAATCTTGTTCATAATAGAGAAATAAAGTTCAATCAAAACTACGATGTTTAAACCTTCATCACCCATTAATATACATTATAATTTTCATTACCATAAAATTTATCCACTCACAGTTTCTTTTCACTGGTTTTTCAATCTCAACTCCAACAATATTTCCAATGCTTCTTTTCAGCCGTGAGCCTTAAAGATTGATCCATTACAGCAGTTAATTCTTCCTCTAATTCCTTTAATTCACATAATTGTTCATCATTAAAATAATAATCAAAAACGTCCACGTTCGGTATAATCAGTAATATTACCAGTGTACCAATCTTGAATACATTTCTTAATTAAAGCTTAATATTCTGCATTTGTAACTGGATTTTGAAAATATCTACTAAACAGCTTATCTTCTTCTGACATATTTTTGACAAAGTTGAAAACGTTTTCACATTATGGTTCTTTAATTGGATTATTATTTTCATTATCTTGTTCTGCAATTTCATTATTATTATTTGAAGAAACTTCAATATCCAATAAACCACGTACGTGACCATCATTAGCATCTTTAATAATATTCCATTTACTGCACAGTTCTAAAATATCATCATCATTGACTAATCCGTCAACGGCTTCTTTTCTAATCACCGATTCACCCATTTCATTAACTATGATATTACAATTGTTTCAAAGAATAAATCCAGTTTTCAATGTATCAAAATCACTTAACTTACCTTCAATTGAATTATACTTTTCTCTGATCATTGATTGACCTTTCCCTGGAATTAGAAACCAAATTTTTAAATTCTGATACACCAACCATAATCGCGTAAATATGAAATAACCCTTTGTTCTTCAAAACACCACTCATTTTCACCATCAATACAATCCGATCCAGTTAAGCAGCAAATTCATATAATGTTGGAATGTGAATGTTATTTCTACTTCGGCTCATGACTTAAATTGATTAATCAAATATAGGTGTGACTAATTAATTAATAAATTAAATTAATCTAATTTCACGCGATCTATTTTACACGATAAATCAAAAAAGGTAGCGCCGCTTATCACGTGCTAAAATTGATAAATTTGTTATGAGCGCTTTTTCCTGACATTTCTTATATGCAGTAAAATAACCGATTATCAACATAATTCGGATAGTATTACCAGCCATAGTTTTTTAGTCTCGTGCAATTAAACGGCTTCTTTTTTATTAGATTTTGAAGAATTTAAACCCTCTTTTTTGGTTTTCAACAAAATTATTACTGTTCAATAATGAAGTTATTTACTATTACAGCTTCACTTGTTTTAATATCATCAATTAATGCAATTCCAACTTTTAATTTTTTAAATAAATTATTACCATATAATAATGATGATGATGTAACAATTTTAAATTTCGATAAAGAAATCGAAATTGTTAATGAAAATGATTTAAATATTTTACCACCTAAAGATCTATTTAAAAATATAATTGATGAAACAGAATATAAAAAATTACCTGAAATTGAAACTGAAAAATTACAAGAATTGGTCAATGAAAAAGGTTTACGTTCAAGAGCAGAAGATTTATTTCAAATAGCTCAAAGATCAATTAAAGAATATGATCATCCAACTAGAGTTATTGGATCTCCAGGTCATTGGGGCACAATTGATTATATTTTATCTGAATTAAGAAAATTAGGTGGTTATTACAATATTCAAACTCAAAGTTTTGATGCAATTGATGGTAAGGTTAAATCATTTAGTTTATTAATTGATGGAGTACAACCAAAATCATTAAAACCTTTAGCTTTAACTCCACCTACTTCGAATAATAGTTTAGTTCATGGAAATTTAGTTTTGGTTGATAATTTTGGATGTAAATCATCAGATTTTCCGGAATTTGCAAAAAATAATATAGTTTTAATTAAACGTGGTGAATGTGCATTTGGTGATAAATCAAGAAATGCAGGTATAGCTGGTGCCTTGGGAGCTGTAGTTTATGATAGAGAAGAAATTCAAGCAACATTAGGAGAACCAAAAGGTAAAGAAGTTGCTACTGTTTCAGTTGCCGAAAAAGATGTTAAAGAATATATTGAAAAACTTACAAAAGATCCAAAAACTCAAATTGAAACAACTTTATATGTTGATGCATATATTAAAAGAATCAAAACATTGAATGTTGTAGCTGATACAGTTTACGGTGATCATGATAATGTCATTGCTTTAGGTGCTCATTCAGATTCAGTTAATGCTGGTCCAGGTATCAATGATGATGGTTCAGGTACAATTTCATTACTTGAAGTTGCAAAATATTTGACTAAATTCAAAATCAATAATGCCGTTAGATTTGCATGGTGGGCAGCTGAAGAAGAAGGTTTATTGGGTTCCACATATTATGCAAATAATTTATCACAATCAGAAAATAGTAAAATTAGATTATTTATGGATTATGATATGATGGCTTCACCCAATTATGAATATGAAATCTATAACGCTAATAATGTTGATCATCCAAATGGTTCAGGTACTTTGAAAGATTTATATGTTGACTGGTATGAATCACATGGTTTAAATTATACTTTTGTCCCATTTGATGGTAGATCTGATTATGTTGGATTCATTGATAATCAAATTCCTGCTGGAGGAATTGCAACAGGTGCTGAAGGTATAAAAAATGAAACTTCAAAGGAAAAATTTGGTGGTAAAGTTGGTACTTGGTTTGATCCATGTTATCATCAATTATGTGATAATTTAGATAATCCAAGTTATGAAGCATGGGTTATAAATACAAAATTAATTGCTCATTCTGTAGCAGTTTATGCTAAATCATTAGAAACATTTCCAAAAAGAGAATTGAATCAAATTAAAGCCGAATCATACGATAATAAATTTATTTATCGTGGTTCAAATTTAATAATTTAGACTAAAATAGATATACACCTAGAAAATTAATCATCTATATCTACAACAACTATTTATTTTGAAATTTCATCAACTTTATGATCATGAGTAGCGGCATATCTTCCGGATGGATCAGCATGACAACCCCATTCGGCTTTTGGAACCCATCTCATAACAGTGGAAGCAGCAGCTTTTGATTTGTTGAACATTTTATCAAATTTACATCTATACCAATAAGCTTCTTTAGTAGTTGGAACATCATCACCCCATTCTGGTTTTGGATTTGCCAATTCTTCATCAGTAACCATTTTTTCAGCAGTATCTTTTAAACCATCAATCCATGAATAACCAACCCCATCAGAAAATTGTTCCTTTTGTCTCCATAAAATTTCTTCTGGTAAATATGGTTTTGCATCTGGTTCATCTGAAGTATCAAAAGCTTTTCTTAAAATATATTTTTCTATTCTACCATCTTTTATTAATTTATCTTCGGGATTAATATTCATACAAGTTTCTAAAAATTGTTTATCTAAAAATGGTACTCTTGCCTCTAAACCCCAAGCCATAGTTGATTTATTTGCTCTTAAACAATCAGCATAATGTAAGTTTTTAACTCTTTTAACACATTCTTCATGAAATTCTTTGGCAGTTGGAGCATTTGCAAAATATAAATAACCACCAAATACTTCATCTGAACCTTCACCTGATAAAACCATTTTAACACCTTGAGCTTTGATTTTTCTTGATAATAAATACATTGGAGTTGAAGCTCTAATTGTTGTAACATCATAAGTTTCTAAATGATAAATAACGTCATCTAAAGCATCTAAACCTTCTTCCAAAGTAAAAGTATGAGAATGATGTATGGTACCAATAAAATGGGCAACTTTTTCTGCAGCCAATAAATCTGGAGCATTTGGTAAACCAATAGCAAATGAATGTAATTGTTGACTGAAACCAGCAGTGGCATGTAATGAACCTTTTTCATCAATACCAGATAATTCTTTATTAGCATCTAAAACATGGTTGTAAGCAGCTTCATTTGCTTTTCTAGTTTCTCTTGCAGCAATTGAAGCAATTAAAGATGAATCTAAACCACCAGACAACAAAACACCATAAGGAACTTCTGCCATCAATCTCTTTCTAACTGCTAATTCAAGACTTTCTCTAACTTTTTTATAATCAACATGTTTTTCAGGAACTCTTGATGCATCCCACCAACTTGGCTCAAAATATCTAGTAATTTGATCTGTTTTAGAATCATAAACATGACCTGGAGGAAATGCTTCAATTTGATCACATTCGTCAATTAAACATTTTAATTCTGATGAAAAATATCTAGTTTCTGGACTTTTTGAAGATTTACCTAAATATAAAGTTGTAATACCTATTGGATCTCTTGCAGCTACTATTCTATCATTTTTTTTATCGTATAAAACCCAAGCAAACATACCATCTAAATATTTTGGAGCATCTATGTCATATTTTTCAAATAATGGTATAATTGGTTCACAATCACTTAAACTTTTATATTTATAATTTGAAAATTGTTCTCTTAATTGAATATGATTATAAATTTCACCATTTACTGCCAATGTAAAATTTCCATCTGGTGAAGTAATTGGTTGAGCACCTGAGTCTAAACCAACAATAGCTAATCTTTCATGACATAATATTGTTGAGTTTTGTATAACATTACCTGACCAATCTGGCCCTCTGTGTCTAATTAATTTTGAATATTGTAAAGCTTTTGACTTAAATTCGTCTATTTTTGGCTGTCTAAAAGCAGCATATATCCCACACATTCTAACTTATTATATTATAATAACTCTAAACTTAATAATTTCTTGAATAAAGAAAAAATTGGTAATCTTCAATCTTTTTATATGAAAAATTAAATGAGTCAAATACTTAAATTTTTCACTGAAAAAAAAAAAAAAAAAAAAAAAAAATAAAAAAACGACGAAAAGTTAACCGACGATTAAACAAGTTATTAGATATGGATGAAAATATTCTATTTGATGATGCCAATTCATTAAAAACCAAAATGTAGTTTAGGAAGTACTCTTTGCTCAAGTTAAGCGCTAGTTTTGCACAAAAATTTGATCAGTAGTTGGTAATCTCGTGTTGGTGTTACATTTTTGTTCATCTCATCTCGATCAATAGTCGGGCTATTCTTTTTTGCAACTTGATTTCAACATGTTATTGTTGTTATTTGATTACTCTTCTTATCTATTGAATATGTTTTGATGTACAATGTTTAATCTTAATACGTGGAGATGATTCAAATGTCAAATGTTCGAGGCTTAATATATTAAAGTCTATACAAATAGTTTTAAAGTTTACTTTGTAATTTCAATTGTTCATCATCCCTATCAAAGTTCTTATCAACGATATCAATAATGTAGTTGATTTTCACTTCATCAGTTATTAAATCTTTTGATTTAGTACGTTTCAATAATTGATTCAAAAAGTCGTTCAACACACTTAAATCCTTTAAATTTAAAATTTGAACAAATGCTTTTGTTTTAGCTTTATTTTTAAATATTTTAACCAATTTCAAGTTATTTAAATAATATAAATCACTTACTAAATATTGCTTATTAATCGATTCCAATGATTTAAATTGTGCTTTTTTCTTTGATTGATCAATTATGTATTTTAATAACCCTTTTGTAGTTGGATATCTCAAATCATCATCATCTAAAATTATCTTATCATGATCCCTTTGTCCTTTGTTTCTAGCATAATTATTTTGTAAATTTGTGGTCATTTCTAAAATATTTGAAATCAAAACAATATAAGATTCTAAAAATGGTTGAGCTAAATTTGCAAATAATTTAACATAATCATAATCAATAATTTTATAGGTATCACAACCAATATCTGAATTTTTATCATTCTTTATTATAATACCTAATGCTTCTAAATCGTTTAATATAAAAGTTAATTCATTTCTTGGATTTTCATCGTAATCAAATAAAAACTCATTTTTAAGGAAACCAGTTAAAATGTAAAATAATTTTCCAATAATTCTATGATTGCAGCTTGTTGAAGTTTCAAGTAATAATAAAATATACATAACTAAACATCTTTTAATTATTAAATGAATTGTTAAATTTTTGTAATATAATAATTCAATTGATGATTCAATTTTAATTAAATTCTTTTTATCATTAACTTTGATATATCTGAAAAATTCAATGATTTGAGTTTTTATTAATTGAGTCAATTCGTAATCTGAACAATTCAATAAATCTAACAAAATTTTTTTATTGGTGATTGATGATTCATTTTCTCTCAACAAAACTTGTACAACTAATTTAAACACTGGTAATAAGTCTTGTACTGAAAATATATTTTGATTATTAAAATACAAATATGCTTGCAATGAGGTACCAACAATTGAAACTTCAGGTATATAACTATTTTTATTTACTTCATGTAAAATCTTGAAACCTAATTTTTTCAAATTGACTTGAGTTTCAGATGCTATTGGTTCACTTAATTGAGATTCTTCATTTTTAATAAATTCAGATACTGTAAAATTTTTACCTAATTTAACAAAAATTTTACCAGTTAATTTACGATCTAAATTATCGTTATAACCATTTTTATCAAATTTAACTTGATTCTTTTTATTATCAACTGAAGAAAAAGCACTAGCAGCTACCGATAAAGTACCCAACAAACTTTCTTGAGATTTATCATCACCTTTCAACTCTTTCAAAAAGGCATCATTCTCATATACCCTCTCGTAAGTTACTGCAATTGGTTGGAACAATAAATCAAATTTTTTGTTCTCTTCTTCAAGTCTTTGTTTCAAATAAATTGAAATCATTGATTTTAATATACCATATTTTGGTAATAATAATTTACCATCTCTTGATCTTGTACCTTCAATGAAAACCTCAAATGGAATTTTATGGACTAATAAAAACTCTATAACGTTATTTAAATTTCTTTCAGTATATAATTCATTATTAAAAGTTCTTGGTATGAAAATTGCACCCAAATTTTTCAATAAACCACCTATAACTGTAACATTTAAGTTTTCACCAGCAATGACGGAAGGAGTAGCTAATTGAAATCTAACACAAATTAAATGAACAATTATATAATCTAAATGAGATTGATGAGAAGGTAAATAAACAATTGACATTGGGTTTTTTAAATATTGTTTATATAAATCACTGATATCTTGATTTGATACCCAGATACCTTTTGGAAACAATTTTATCATTATACTCATAACAGTAACATATGCTGATCTAACGAAATTATGAGAAGGGAAAGTAGGTAAATTTTTCTCATTATTCTTTTTGTAATAAGAAACCATATACTTTTTAACTTCAATAAATCTTTTTTTGAAATCGGAAGCTTTAATTAATTTCAAATTTAACTCTTGATTAATCAAATCGTAGATTAATTCATCCAACTTTTTATCGTCTTTTTCTAATTGAGAATTCATATAATCTTTAAATTTTTTCCTAAATTCATCAGAATGCTTATTGATAGAATATTTATACTCATTATTAACATAAATTTTATCATAGTAAGAACCACCAGTAAATAATCTAAAAGCAGAATTTAAAATATTAAAAGATTGAGACAACGTTTTATAATTCCCCGGTACATCAACATATGACTCCTCATCTATCGGTAAGGGGAATTTTAGATCAATATTTGGTTCAATTAAGGGATCGTGAAGAATATTGATATCAAAATCCGAGTTGGAAATGTCTTGAGCTACCATAATGAACTAAATTTAAAAAATTTTAGATTTAATAGATTTGCTAGATTTGATAGATTTGATAGATTTGATAGATTTGACAGATTTGAAAATTTTGAAAAATAAATTGATTGCACGTTGAAAAAGTTTTTTGACTATAAAATACAAAAATCAAATAAAAGCCTAATGAATAGTTAGTAATATCAACTTTTGTTGATAAAATTTGAAGAAATTAAATGGTAAAATCTAATCAACGAAATCAAGTTGAATTTTATATCTCTATAGATTTAAATTAATAAAAAAAAAAAAAAAAAAATAAAAATAAAAAAAAATAAAAAAAAATAAAAAAATAAAAAAAAAAAAAAAAATAATTGTTGGGTTTCAAATTTTAATTTTCAAATTCAAATCATTGACTTTGATAGTTAAATTTTTAAAGTTATTTGATGTATCAATTAGAATATTCATGTTCATGTTCATGTTCATGTTCACGTGGTCTTCAAAGTTATTCAATCTATTTGAAACGCTACTTACTCTAAAGGTATTTAATCCTGAATTATTCTATTAATTTTTCAGCGTCTATGAATTATTCATACTAAAATATTTATTCCTAATTAGGCAACTTTTAAAATCTTCAATGGTTAGGAAGCACATTGTCTTAATCTATCAACATTAATTTGTTTGTTACTCATTATCAAATGAAAAAACTTAGTTACAATTCAATTGATTTTTGAATTTTGATCAGTTGATTTGATTTATACTTTTGTTTTTGTTACCGATTTGGAAACTTATTTTGTTTCATCTTCATTTAATGAAGCCCATGGGGCGGATTCCCTTAATTTATGGCGCAGAACAATAATTAATTGTTAATTGGTTGATTTACCCCACATATATAATAATACCAATTAAATTAATGATTTTTCAAGCAAACGCTTATTAACTGTTTGAATAATTAAACATCAAGTTTTTGATTCATCTTGATTTTAATTATAAGCTTATAAAATTAATATGATTTTAATTTTGCCCAACCGAAAAAAATTAATTATGTTTCTATTATAATTGTTTTAAACTTAGACAGCTTTCATTTTATGATCAACTTCTTATCGATTTATTGTCAAGCCAATAATGTGTATTGATATTTTTCCAATAACGTGTATTGATATTTTTCCACAGTTTCTCAAATTCATATAATGAGTAGAGAAATATAATCCTCGGACAAATACGTTATGATGTTTTCGTGCTTGATTTGTATATGTTTTTTTTTTTTTTCTTTTTTACCTTCGATTCGAATCAAACAAACACATGCAAAGAATTTTATTCTACTGAATTTTACTTTACAGAATTTTATTCTACAGTAAAGTAAAATTTGAAACGTACATAAAGGATTAAAAGCTCCAGGTTAAGTTAAGTTAAGTTAAGTTTTACTTTAATTGGTTAAGACTGGATGAAGAATAAATTGTTCTATTTCTTGAGTATTGTTATTATTATCGAATTTGGCTGCAAAAAAACTCAACATAAAGTAAACAAATATTGCATATGATTTATATTAGCTGCAATTTTTACTTTTTTTTTTTTTTTTTATTTTTTTTTAATACTTGGGTGAATTGCTGCAAAATTATGTTGATTTCTTATTAAAGTATTCTTTAAATTAAGAAAATAGTCAAGTACTTTGTTTTTTGTTTTGCAATAATAAGTTCAACTGGTCTCCAGCCAGAATGTTATTTTTTTGGACTATGCTTATAGACACATGTACAATTGACATTGTGGGCGTCAAATACGATCCTTTGAAAATTCCATTAATGGACATCAGCATAATTTTCTGACATTAGCATCTCACAAACAATACACTTTGGCTAGTTGAATTTTTGACATACGTTTTATTACGATTGATAATAATAGTACATCAAGGATTTATTAATAATGTGTATTGCTAATATTTGAGTAAGTCTAGATACTAATGTGACAATGATGACAATAATGACAATGATAACAATGATAAAATTTAGCCTTAGATGGTCTAGATGGTCTAGATGGTCTAGATAGTCTAGATGGTCTAGATGGTCTAGATAGTCTAGATGGTCTAGAGGTCCATGTTTCAGTTCATTTAAGGCTTGTTAAACTATGAAATGTGTTGATAAAATTGATTAGATTTAACCAATTTTCGTTTAAAGTATCTTTAAAATAACCTCTGAGACCTATGATTCACTCTAAGTAAAATATTGCTTCAAAAAAGTTGGGCTGATGATTCTTGTAATCAGATACTCATATTTCAAATAGAATTTTATACTATTGATTGTTTTGAAATTTGAAAATATACATATATCTCAAATAGTAGCTCAACTGGACCTGAGATTTCAAAATCTGTAAATCTGGCATATCAATAATCGTATCCAAATTAGGAAAGTATCCCGTTCTGAGACCAATATAGTAAATATAACTTCAAAAACTTGGACTTGCCAAAATGTAATGAATGTTAATCTTGTAAGAGCAAGTATACTAATACATTTGAAGGTTTTCAAATGATTAAACAGACAAATACTTGGACTCAAGGCGTTTTAGTTAATTTAATTACAAAAAGATGTAGCAAGTTTAGCACATAGCCAGTATAATAGTTAGTTTGCAAAAAAACCTTCATTAATATGAAATATGAATTCCGTTAGAGCAGTTAGCTAAAAAACATTTGGTTGCCATTTTTGCAAGTTTTTATAAATTTTAACCGACTTTCTTAAAAAATTCTGTCGTGATGACGACCAATATTTTATGACATACTTTTCTGTATTATGCAAAACATTTAATCAAGGTTTCAAGATGAAATAAAACCGGAGCTGCCATCTGACAACTTTAAACTTCGATTGATTGATGTTGCAACGGTAGCGCATAGAAGCGCGATTTATTTATGGAGATATTCGCGACAGTTATTCCTCAGCCTTCCGAATTAGTCGCGGTTCAGAGGCCGAAAAAGGTAATTTAAAATGACGTGCTCACATGTGTAACAAAATAATATTTACATTAAAATTTTTGATAAGATGAAAATGGATTGTGAAATTTTCAAACTTCATAAAAAATTGTTCTGTTATTCAATAGACAAATAGTAATGGCTCCACATGCTTTAGTTGAAGATGTTAAATCATCGAGCTTTGAAACTAGTTCGGCAACATTCAATCCATTTGGTATAATTACTGATCCCCACGATATTAAAGGTTCAACTTATACCTCAGCATTATGTATAATAAACCAAGCAATCTATAGTATTGCTTCGAAAATTTTCAGCTATGAAACTACTGGTGCTGATAATTTAATAGACTCAAACATTCAATTATGGTTATATCATCAACGTTTAAATGCTTTCGGAATTTTGCCATTTTATAACAAATTTGAAGTTAGATTTGGTGCTTCAAATGCAATATTAGGTTACTTCAAGAAGAATGGTACTAATGGACAACCATTAGCAACAATTTTAGGTACAAAAGGGTTAAATTATATGAGAAATTCATTAAATGGACAAAATACACCTTTGAGCTTAAATGTCTCAGCAGTTGATTTCATTAATAATTCATTAGTATCAAATTATGGAGAAGCTTTGAATATTGCAAGAAGTTTAAATTTCCCAGTTTTCACTCCAGTTGACACAGGTGTCGAATTACAACATTTGACTATTTTAAATCATTTTTACGCTTTTTTAACAGGCAAACCTTCTATTTTTTTATTTGATGGTGTTGACTTTAATAAAACTTTTACCAAATTCCATAACTTATTATCCGAGAAGGAAATTGGACAATTGTATCAAGATTTATTAGAGAAGAGTGGTGATGTTACATCAATCGATGCAGCTTTTGAATTATTAAACAATTTAACAGGTAAAAACTACTCACAATTTGAGTATGTTGGTGCTACTAATCCAAAAACTGTTTTTGTCATTTATGGTTTTGAACAAACCAAACAAATAAATAATTTATTAAATGACGAACTTGGATTAATAAAAATCCGTGTTCCAGTACCATTTAATCAAGAGAAATTCATAAAGTCTATTCCAGATTCAACTCAAAAATTGGTCATTTTGTCATCAAACGATAATTTAAAAGCTGACATTACTGCAGCATTGTTCATTGGTGGTAAATATCATTCATTATCAATTGAGGAATTCAATTATCCACTAGAGTTCATATGGAGTAAACATACCACAGCTAAGTTGTTATTAGAATTTTCGGAGTCTAGTGTCGATAAATTAATTGCAGTTGAACCTGAAGATAATGATGAAATTATTACCGCAAATACATCTCCAGAAGGTAAATTTTTATTATGGGGTAAAGACAATGGTGTTATCTCGAAAATTGCAAATAAAATTGCTTTATCGTTATCATTAGATAATCTGAAAAATGTTTTGATTAGAAATAAATTTGATAATTCTCAAATTGGTGGTATTTTCCAGTCTCAAATTAGTTCTTCAACCTCAAAACCAGATTATATCGATTCAGCTGATGTTGTAATAATTGAAGATTTATCTTTATTAAATTCCTTCGATATATTAGCTACTGCTAAACCAGGTGCAAAAATTTTGTATATTAGTCAAAAATCAATTGATATCGAAAAAATACCAGCTAATTTTAAGAGAGATTTAGCCAAAAATTATAATAAATTAATTGCAATTGATTTCTCAATTTTAGATTCATTAACTGATAAAGAATTTGCAGATCAATTTTTAGCTCAATTAGCATTTTGGAGAGCTACATTACCTGAACTAGGTGATTTTATTGTCAATAAATTATTGCAAGCCAATGGAAATGATTTTGAGTTATTAGGTACAGTTTTAGATAATTTTATTAAAACAGTTGATGATAGAAATGGAATTAAAGAAATTGAAGTTAATCCAGAATGGATTAATTTAGTTGATGAAAAAAATCAAGAAGAGACAAAAGAAGAAGAAAAAGGAAATATTAAAGAAGCTGAAAAAATTGCAGAAGAAATCATAGAAGAAGAAGCTTTACCATTTTTCCCAACAGAAACCTCATTTTTTCCGAATCCAAGAACATCACTCGAATCAATTGAAGAAATAAACAATACTAAATTTAAAAGTCTTGCACAAAAAGTTGCATTTCCTGAAGCCTTTAACGTTTCTCGTAATTTAAGACCAGATTTACCAGTTAAAAATTTTATTGTCAAAGTTCAAGAAAATAGACGTTTAACTCCTGCTGAATATTCAAGAAATATTTTTCATATCGAATTTGATATCACTGGAACTGGTTTAACTTATGATATCGGTGAAGCTTTAGGAATTCATGGTGTTAATAATAGTCAAGCTGTTGAGGAATTTTTAGACTTTTATAATATTAACGGAGATTCATTACTTGAGATTACAAATAAAGATCAACCTGATGTATTGGAAATTAGATCTGCAAGACAAGCATTAAGAGAAACGTTAGACTTTTTGGGTAAACCACCCAAAAGATTTTATGAATCTTTAGCAGAGTATGCAACTGATGAAAAAGAAAAGACGATTTTAACGAGATTGGCAAGTGCTGAAGGTGCTGAAGAATTGAAGAAAAGACAAGATGTTGATTTTGATTCATATTTTGATATTTTGAAAGAATTCAAATCAGCAAGACCTTCGTTTGAAGAGCTTGTTAAAATTATTGCACCTTTGAAAAGAAGAGAGTATTCTATTGCCTCGTCTCAAAAAATTCACGAAAACTCAGTTCATTTATTAATTGTAGTTGTTGATTGGATTGATGCAAAAGGTAGATTAAGATATGGTCATTGTTCGAAATATCTATCCGATTTGGAGATTGGTGATGAATTAGTTGTTAGTGTGAAACCTTCAGTCATGAAATTACCTCCACTATCAACCCAACCTATTGTTATGTCTGGTTTAGGAACTGGTTTAGCTCCATTTAAAGCTTTTATTGAGGAAAAAATTTGGCAAAAAGAGCAAGGTTTCGAAATTGGTGAGATTTATTTATACTTGGGTTCAAGACATAAAAATGAAGAATATCTTTATGGTGAATTATGGGAAGCTTATAAAGATGCAGGAATCTTGACTCATATTGGTGCTGCATTTTCAAGAGATCAACCTGAAAAGATTTATATTCAAGATAAAATTAGAGAGTCAATTGAAGATTTAACGGAAGCAATAGTTAATAAAAATGGATCATTTTATTTATGTGGTCCAACATGGCCTGTTCCTGACATCACTGCTTGTTTAGAAGATATTGTCAAGAAGGGAGCAAAATTAAATGGCCACGAAATTAAAGATGTTGCAAAAGTTGTCGAAGACATGAAAGAAGACGGCAGATATATTTTAGAAGTTTATTAGATTATTTATATATTATTACAGTTTAATTCTGCATCGTCTGTTGATAAACTATTTCTGCGATTATGAGCTTTAAACCCTTTTAATGTTAGCATAGGCTTATAACAAGCATTTCTATTTTATTATTATTTGATTGAATACTTTTACTATTCAAAAATTCGAAAATTTGAAGCATTTCTGTAAGATTGATTGAATTTAATGGATATAAAAATTTGACTAAAGCTGATGATTATTAGTATAATTCATCGACAAAGGTGATTCTTACCATAATTATTTAGTAATTATAGTGAATTTAAATAGTGAATTTAAATCTCAAAAAGTTTTCCACTTGGTATACATAACATTCAAACTGCTGTACTTGTAGTTCAATACTTTTTTGACATCAAGACCTTGATCTCAATGAGTTATTCACTTTCAACTGAAATACTTTAAAAAGAAATAAAAAATGCATTAAGAATTAACGATCCTGGATTGTTATTTGTACTGACTCGATTCAACTTGATACATTAATTAGCAACATTACTGATCAGATATTTCAAAAATTTGAAATTCCAATCAATTACTGGTTGATGTCACTATTGCGTTAGAATTACAATTGGCGTGATAACGAAGACATAAAGTTGTTATTCACTTAGTTAACAATTTTTTTCATAAAGTTTAATCTCATTTTGAAAAAGATGATGGAAAGTAGAATTTCTCTTGTAACTTTTATTCACTTTGTTTATCCTACTACTTATAAACATCACTTGCCGCTAAGGATTTATAAAACTGAGTTGAGTCATTCTGCAATACCTCGTATAAATTATTTTATAGCATGTGTCGACTTCTTTGTTGATTTGGTAGGGAAAGTCTTTATAAACAAAACTGATTAAGTAACCCACTTAACGAATCAAATTGAAAGAAATGAATCTACCTATTGAAAGAAACCATGTTAAGGTAACTTAAAAATGATACACTGAAAGTACTTGAAAATTTTTTAAATTTGTTTCGTATGGATTTTGAGTTCTACTAGAATAGTATCAATAAGATATTAATCGCATTCTAGGTATATCAGTGATATTGGGCTATGGTTTAAATATTTAGCCTAATCACAATTTTGATAAAGTATCATAATTCATGCCTTCTTTGATTCATAAATACAGTGCGCACATTTTGCAGCTAAAAATGATTATGAGCGTATTTGTCTACTAAATAATGGGTTATTAAATGTGGAATTAAAATTGACAAAATAATTAGAAAGTTAAAATTAATGTCAATGGGATTTGCATTTTCATTACTTTAAACGGAAAATTCAAATAAACGAAATTTTAAATTTTGCTTTAAAAATCAAATGCAAAGAAAATTTAAATTTGACTTCGGTTTAAAAAGTAGTTAATCTAGTTTCGTTTTAATCTAAAAACTGAGTAACGAAACTAATTTGAGGCAAATTGTTGCGCTAGAAGTATTGGAAAACATATGATGACACAAATTTAAAATTCTGATTTTTCCAAACTTTCTTAAGGAATGGGCTTTTTTCAACAAACGTTTGTATTCATGTACATTATTCGAATACAACATTAAGTAGCCGAAATTACGAAAAAGCGAAAGCGTGGGTTATCGAATATTGTTTAAGAATGTACAATGCAGAAATTATACTAAACCCTTAAAAAGACATAAAAATCTGCGCAACCTTGTAGAACTCAAAAACAATTGTCTTTAAACCTAGATTTGACATTTCTATCTCGTTAATTTTTAGTTTAGTTTGTTGTCCCTATTAATTCTTTTATTTGCGTGAATATTTGGATTGTTTACGGTCAGAAGGGTATGCAATCAAACAAAGATTTATTACGTTGCATATGAATCTAATGCACAAAACTAGCATTCGATCCAGCATAGCTACAAATAATCTGTATCAAATAAGCTAAAGCATTTCAGTAGAAATAACTTAAATGTCTCGATGTCACCCATTAATAACTTCGACAATGCTAAACACAAAGGGAAGAAATGGGACAGCAGAAGCAGTGTTGCTGATTGAATTGACAATTTTGACCATGAACTGCATTTAGCTTATTTAATTTTGCCAAGTCCTAACACCGGACGCTTTATCTCAAAACATTTTAAGAGAGTTTCGTTTACGCGTTGCAAATGTTGAGAAAGAGCTTAAAATTTGAAATGATAATAAATAAAAATTGCTCATTTTACAATAGCCTATTTTTAAAATTTGGAACCCAACGAGAGCTGAATTTGGAAATGTGCAAAAAGTAGTTGGTGCATTTGAAACTAATTTTAGAAGCTTACGCTTTTAATAGTTTAAGCGTCGAATATGATCAGCGGCGTTTAGATTTGTATATGTTTTGGAAGTAGTTTCAAAATGAAGATCGAATTCAAGGAAATATAATTTATCACACAACTAATGAACTCAATTGTATTTGTAAGAAAGGAATTTTAAACCGGTTGTAAACAGATCACCTCATATTTAATAGATAGTCTTAAACACAAGAGCGAAGTTATTTAATGTTGGATTAATTATACAAATATTAAGGATATGTAGAAACTGCTAAATCATTCCGTATTATTTATCGTTAAATAAAAAAGAGTAAATCCATCCAAAACTCTGATTTCGTATCGAGAAGAGATTTTGAAGGTATTTCCTGATAAAATTGCAAATCTATATCTCGAATGTATTTGTAGCAGAGACTACTGAGGTAAAGGATTGAAGGGATTGATTAGTGATTAAATCTTTTGCCATGAATTTTTTTTGAGTGGTACAAAAAAGAAAAAAAATTCAATAATTAATTATCTTATTTTGAAATACAGCGTAACAAGTATAAAATATCCGAAGAGTCATATTTCAGATCTAAAAAGGTTTCTATTACGTTCGAATTTATGAAAATGTAAATGCAGGTTATGACGGCAATTAATTTAGTAAGGTGATGGTCAATCTTTTCACTTACAGGTCAACTCTTTACTTACAAGTCTCACGTTTATCTTTATATTGTAAATAAATGTAACTATAAAACTTTTTCTTAAATAAAGTTATGCTTGCTTGCGTTATTAGATCGATCTATTGATTTTCTTGTTTCATGATTTGCTGAATAAGTTTAATCTGTAAAATTTGATATTATAATTTGAAAATAACTAAGAAAGTTTAAACTAAGTTGTTTATTATGTATAATATTACGAAGCTCTATTCGCAGGCATGAATACTGTTACAGTTCTCCATTTGTTTCAGTAACGATACACTAATTACAATGAGCAGAAACACCACAAGACTTGAAATTTCCAAGATTGAATAATCTGTTATGAACCCTCGATTCAATCTTGAAAAAACCCTGTAAAGTTTAAATTTACAGATTTAAAATTAAGTTAACTAAAATTTCACAAACATACCCATTAACGTAATTCATGAAACGTTTGGTGAAAATTTCATAGCATTGTATGTAAATCCTCGTTTGGTGAATATAGTTGAAATGATCACCCTAAATTAGAGCGTATTTACGAATTGTTTCCGTTGGCGTGTATATTTTTATCTATTGGCGTAAATAATGCTTAGCAAAAAAAAAAAACAATAGAAATATATTTTTTGGCGTTGTCATTGTTGCATTTTAAAATTACAATAAGATTATTCTATGGTGGTAGAATGCAAGTTGGTTGGATTCATTATTTGACTTTCAAAGCTCTACACTTAATTTGATTATAACTTGATAATAAAAAATCGGAACTTCCAAACAATTGGTAGCTAAATAGTGCCCTTTGAATTTTAAACGTTACAGAAAATTCAAGTTTGTGTATCATCACAAACTGAAATTTAACAAATATACAAAAATAGAAGGTAAAAAGAAATGAACATACTTACACTCGAAATGAAATAAGCCCGTCGGTTACCATGGTTTCCAATCGCCTTTCTTCTACATGAATAAAATTCTTACTGAAATTCTCATCCTATCTCATGCTATAAGGTGATCAATTTACTAATAAGTTTTATAGGAGATATATTTAATGTTGCATTTCCAATTACTAGAGTGTATAGACGGTTTGTGTAATGAATCTAAAAAAGTTAACTCAAAAAAACATAAAAAAAAGAATCAATAACTAAAATAGGAATGAGATTTCTTCGAAAAAAAAAAGGGTTTCACTATAGTTTCTAAAATCTGTATTGTATTTTTAGTAGTAATTTTTAGATTTAAGTCCTAAACTAAAAATAACCTCGAATCGGTTTTTCTCTTGTTTATTGAACTATCTAAATTTATAGTACTCAAACTAATGAGTCTTATTATATATTTACACGTAAATTTTTCTTAAATGGTGATATCTTAGTTGTGGAGAAATGGTTAGTGGAATCAAAAGAATTAAAGGCCAACGAATTTACAAAACTCATAATCCAATATGAAACTAGTAAATGAAATTCAGAATATTTTATTTAATTTAACGATTATTGTTCATCAGACCATTTATAAGAAAATTCACATTTACTGAAATATTATTTGAGGATTTATCATTTTCAACTATATTGGAAACAAAATATAAAAAGAAACTTACATGAAATTCTGAGCCCTTTTTATAATTTACCCTTGTAAACTTTAATTTATTTTTTTTTTTTTTTTTTTTTTTTTTTTTTTTTATTTTCAAAATTTTGTAAAGTTTGAAAACAGTTCAGAAGAAATATCCTTATACGAAGCTATACCTTTTGTACCGTAAATTTTGATATTCTATGCAATAGAATATCCAATTCTGAATTAGAACTCATTTGTTTTGATTCTGGTGCATTTAACGGATTTTTGTGAATTGATTTCAAATGACAAAAAGATATAATATCGTTTGTTTATATTCGTCGCTATAATACAATGAAATTACCTGACATATGCTGTATTTGGCAATTAAGGAAAATTCTTTAACTATGGTATGTATATACTACAATTTCTACTGACTATAAAATTTTAATTTATTTTTAAAAAAATTTTGTCCATGGCGCTTAAATTTTCACACAATTACATGGGGCCATCTTTTCTTAAATCTTTGTCTTGTAGATTACAATAGTTTTCAAGATTATTTATTTATTTCTAATTACGATGTACTTAAAATCTATTGTTGGTCACTTAACAAAATATCTATTGGCTAAATTTAGAGCTAACTTTATAGCAAATATATAGCTTAAATTTTCATTTTCTTGATGCTCCATGTATTATTATTATTAAATATTTTAGAATTCATGCATTATGTTATTTTGCAGCTTTTTTTTATTTAGTTATATAGAATAGTAAAATTATTAAAAATAAAAATAAAAATTCTAGCTAGATATGAAGTTTATACAGATATTTTGAAATCTCCCTAAGGCAAATTGATATGATTTTTAAAAATCAGTTTCATCTTTATATCTCTTTATATATTTATAAGTTTCCACTATAAATTTAATTCTTTTTGAATTTTTTCATACTTGTTAAGTCAAACATATATCTTTATAGCTAACGTGTTACTGAAATGTTATTCTTCAGAAAATTATCTTATACGTTTTGGCTATTTATTTTAGCTGTTAATGCTATAACAATTACCGAAAATACGGTAACGAGAGGTACAATTGATTTAAGTATTGGTGATGTTCAAATTAACTCAGGAGCTTATTGGTCTATAATCAATAATGCACTTTCAGCTTTTGTTGGTAATTTAAATGTTCAAAGTAATGCAGGATTATACATCTCGAGTACTTCACCAATTATTTCATTAACTGTTCAATTATTAGGTATTTTAAACTCAATTACAAATGATGGTATTATTTCATTCAATTCCGAGGCTTCTTTAACTTCATCAACTTATAATTTGATTGGTTTATCTTTTACAAATAATGAAGAAATGTATCTTGCTGCTTCAGGTATTGTACCAAGTATTATGTCAATTACCTCAGCAACTTGGGATAATAATGGTTTATTGGTATTTTCTCAAAATCAAAGAAATGAAGGTTTTGTTAATTTAGGTGCACCATTAGGTAACATTAACAATAATGGTCAAATTTGTTTCATGAATGAAGTATATCAACAAACTACAAGAATTTCAGGTACTGGTTGTATTACCGCCGATCAAGATTCATCTATATACATTACTAATGCTGCTTTATCAGTATCAACTGGTCAAACATTTTATTTAGCTGATTCTGATTCTTCAATTATTGTTCAAGCTCTTTCAACTCCTCAAACATTTAATGTTCGTGGTTTTGGTAATGGTAATAAAATAGGTTTGACAATTCCTTTAGTTGCAATTCCAATTGTTGGTAGTCAATGGCAATATAACGCTGAAACTGGTATTTTAACATTATATGGTGCTGGTCTTTTACAACAAAGATTTAACATTGGTACAGGTTATACTTCTTCATTATTTTCAATTGTTACCGACTCAGGTGCTGGTTTACCTTCAACATTATTAGGCTCAATTACTTATTCAGTATGTTGGATTAAAATATTACAAATTTGGATGCAGAAGAAAAAAGTTTACGAATATTATATTTGAGATCGAGATCTCAATTTTTTGTCGTATATTTTTTTAAATGTCGCATTAAAGGATTTACTAACATTTGTTCTAGGGTCCTGTGCCAAACCCAGGTTTACCATCTGAATGTCAAGCTTGTAAACAACCACCATCAATTCCAGGCTCTGAACCAACTGAGTATACTACCACTTTTACTTCTACGAAAACAGATGGTTCTGTTGAAACTGGTACAGGAGTTGTTGATATTCTGACAGATTCCCAAGGTTCATGGTTTACCACCACCTCAGTTTTTCCAACAAGTGTTGTAACAACTGAATTTACAACCACATGGACCACCACAAACTCCGATGGGTCAGTAGAAACTGACAGTGGTATTGTTTCTCAATCTGGAACATCTTTTACAACAATTACTACCTTCCCTCAACCATCAAGTTCAGATGCTTTAACAACAGAATTTACAACCACATGGACCACCACAAACTCCGATGGGTCAGTAGAAACTGACAGTGGTATTGTTTCTCAATCCGGAACATCTTTCACAACAATTACTACTTTCCCTCAACCATCAAGTTCAGATGCTTTAACAACAGAATTTACAACCACATGGACCACCACAAACTCCGATGGGTCAGTAGAAACTGACAGTGGTATTGTTTCTCAATCCGGAACATCTTTCACAACAATTACTACTTTCCCTCAACCATCAAGTTCAGATGCTTTAACAACAGAATTTACAACCACATGGACCACCACAAACTCCGATGGGTCAGTAGAAACTGACAGTGGTATTGTTTCTCAATCTGGAACATCTTTTACAACAATTACTACCTTCCCTCAACCATCAAGTTCAGATGCTTTAACAACAGAATTTACAACCACATGGACCACCACAAACTCCGATGGGTCAGTAGAAACTGACAGTGGTATTGTTTCTCAATCTGGAACATCTTTTACAACAATTACTACCTTCCCTCAACCATCAAGTTCAGATGCTTTAACAACAGAATTTACAACCACATGGACCACCACAAACTCCGATGGGTCAGTAGAAACTGACAGTGGTATTGTTTCTCAATCTGGAACATCTTTTACAACAATTACTACCTTCCCTCAACCATCAAGTTCAGATGCTTTAACAACAGAATTTACAACCACATGGACCACCACAAACTCCGATGGGTCAGTAGAAACTGACAGTGGTATTGTTTCTCAATCTGGAACATCTTTTACAACAATTACTACCTTCCCTCAACCATCAAGTTCAGATGCTTTAACAACAGAATTTACAACCACATGGACCACCACAAACTCCGATGGGTCAGTAGAAACTGACAGTGGTATTGTTTCTCAATCTGGAACATCTTTTACAACAATTACTACCTTCCCTCAACCATCAAGTTCAGATGCTTTAACAACAGAATTTACAACCACATGGACCACCACAAACTCCGATGGGTCAGTAGAAACTGACAGTGGTATTGTTTCTCAATCTGGAACATCTTTTACAACAATTACTACCTTCCCTCAACCATCAAGTTCAGATGCTTTAACAACAGAATTTACAACCACATGGACCACCACAAACTCCGATGGGTCAGTAGAAACTGACAGTGGTATTGTTTCTCAATCTGGAACATCTTTTACAACAATTACTACCTTCCCTCAACCATCAAGTTCAGATGCTTTAACAACAGAATTTACAACCACATGGACCACCACAAACTCCGATGGGTCAGTAGAAACTGACAGTGGTATTGTTTCTCAATCTGGAACATCTTTTACAACAATTACTACCTTCCCTCAACCATCAAGTTCAGATGCTTTAACAACAGAATTTACAACCACATGGACCACCACAAACTCCGATGGGTCAGTAGAAACTGACAGTGGTATTGTTTCTCAATCTGGAACATCTTTTACAACAATTACTACCTTCCCTCAACCATCAAGTTCAGATGCTTTAACAACAGAATTTACAACCACATGGACCACCACAAACTCCGATGGGTCAGTAGAAACTGACAGTGGTATTGTTTCTCAATCTGGAACATCTTTTACAACAATTACTACCTTCCCTCATACAATTGATGATATAACTACAGAATTTACCTCAACTTGGACCACCACAAATTCCGATGGATCAGTAGAAACTGATAGTGGTGTTGTTTCTCAATCCGGCTCATCTTTCACAACATTAACGACTTTCCCTCAACCATCAAGTTCTGATGTTTTAACTACACAATTTACCTCAACTTGGACTACAACCAATTCAGATGGTTCAGTAGCGACTGAAAGTGGTATTGTTTCTCAATCTGGTTCATCTTTTACAACATTAACGACTTTCCCTCATACAATTGATGATATAACTACAGAATTTACCTCAACTTGGACCACCACAAATTCCGATGGATCAGTAGAAACTGATAGTGGTGTTGTTTCTCAATCCGGCTCATCTTTCACAACATTAACGACTTTCCCTCAACCATCAAGTTCTGATGTTTTAACTACACAATTTACCTCAACTTGGACTACAACCAATTCAGACGGTTCAGTAGCAACTGAAAGTGGTATTGTGTCTCAATCCGGCTCATCTTTTACAACATTAACTACCTTCCCTCCAACTACAACCGGACCTATTGTTTGTAAAAGAGATGATCCAAATTGTATCTCAAGTACTGCTTCTGCTACAGAATTTACTTCGACATGGACCACAACCAATTCAGATGGTGCGATTGAAACAAACTCAGGTATTATAAGTCAATCAGGCACATCATTTACGACTTTGACTACATTTTCTCGTTCAATTGGTGGTAATGGGGAATATACAACAAGCTGGACAACTACACGCTCAGATGGTTCTGTAGAAACTGATAGTGGTATTGTTAGTCAATCTGGTACGTTCATTACAACTATTTCAACCTTCCCTCATTCATCAGGAGATTTGACAACGGAATTTACTTCCACTTGGACTCATACAAAATCAGATGGTTCAGTAGAAACTCATAGTGGTGTTGTTTCTCAATCCGGCTCATATTTTACCACTTTAACCACCTTTCCTCATTCATTAACTAAATCGTCAGAGGGTTGGTCAAATGGAACAATTCTGTCTACAATATCTGAAGATCAAACTACAATTATTACAATTACATCATGTGAAAACAATAAATGTCATGAAACTACAGTTCCAGGTACATTAAGTCATGTTACTACTACTATTAATTCAATTGAAACTGTTTATACTACTTATTGTCCAATATCAACTGAAGGATCAGAATCAATAATTGGTTCTACTGCTTCAAAATCAGCAGGTCAATCTCATGAAACAATTACAAATGATGTTGTGGCTACTTCAACTTTAGGAGAACCTATAGTTTCAGTCTCAGCTGGTGGTAATGGTCCATCAACCGTTAAAGCTAATCCAACCAGCTCTTTAACAGTTGCTGCTGGTAACCCATCAGGTCCTAATCCATCAGCTAATCCATCAGGTGCTAATCCACCAGCTAATCCATCAGGTGCTAATCCATCAGGTGTTAATCCACCAGCTAATCCATCAAGTCCTAATCCATCAGCTAATCCATCAGGTGCTAATCCACCAGCTAATCCATCAGGTGCTAATCCATCAGGTGTTAATCCACCAGCTAATCCATCAGGTGCTAATCCATCAGGTGTTAATCCACCAGCTAATCCATCAGGTGCTAATCCATCAGGTGATAATCCAATAACAAATACTAGATCACCTGGCTCAAATTCTGCATTGAGTTCTGCTCCAACTGGAAGTAACAATAATTTAGGTACAACTCAAGTACCAGAAATCTCACAAGCTACAACCTTAACTTCTTCAAGTGTTTCAGCTGGTCAAACTCTTGCTGGTGTTTCAACTTACGAAGGTTCAGGTTTTAAATTAGGCTTAGGCTCATCATCAAGAATATTAACTGGATTCTTTATTCTAATCTCATCATTATTTGTTTAAAATGATGAATTTTTGATACCAATTTATTTTTCATTAGACTTTAATACAATTTTTCGGTTTTGCTTTCAATTTTGAAAGTTTTTTTGTTTTTTCAAAGACGATTTCAAGTTACAAATTAATAATTCAGGAAATTTCTTAGAATTGTATATTATTTTCGTGTATATTTTTTTGTAAAATTTTTTAACAAATATAAGTTTTTAAGATTATTAACCTATTTAGTGTCGCTTTCTGTCCTCAAGTTCTCTAGATAATTCTCATTTTCTGATGTCTGATAATTTGAAGTCAATTGCAATTTCAATCTCTATTTTTCAAAATATGTTTTTAGCGGGTGTGGCTAAAAATAGTCAAGATCTCAGAATCAAAATTTGATCTCCACATTTTAGAATTTTCAAAATTTTCAAAATATATATTTACCAGCATATCATTTTGGGATTGGCAATTAGATATGACAATATCTAAATCTATGAAAGCAGTTGTCTTTCATGATAAGTATGATATAAGAACTGAAATTAAGGACGTTCCCAAAATTCAAAATGAAAATGATGCTATTTTAAAAGTTTCATATTCAGGTGTTTGTGGTACCGATTTACATTCATATCGTGGTCATATTAAAGGTCCAACTGGCACAATTATAGGACATGAATTTCTTGGAGAAATTGTTGAAATTGGTTCAAATGTTACAAAATTTAAAGTTGGAGATTCTGTATTAAGTAATTTCACAATTCAATGTGGTGAATGTTGGTACTGTAAACATGGATATAGTGGACAATGTGTAATTACTAATACATTTGGGAAAATTGGTTTAGATGGTGGTCAAGCTGAATATGTAAGAGTTCCATATGCTGAAAATACATTAATTAAAAAACCAGAAAATAAAGGTTCAGAAAGTGAAGTTGATGATTCAATATATCTTTTAATGGCAGATATTTTTGTTACTGGTTATTATGGCGTTAAGAAAATTATTGATTTTTTGTCTATTAATCCAACAGCTACAATAAAAGCACAAGATTTTTCGAAATCCACTATTTTACAAATCGGTGCTGGTCCTGTTGGTCTTTGTGCAACCAGGGTTTTAAAACATTTTGGTTTTAAAAATATCGTAGTTGTTGACAGTGTTCCACTGAGATTAAATGAAGCTATTAAATTTGGAGCTACTAAAGTAATAAATTTTGAAACTGAATCAAATGAATTGTCAAGATATATTGAACAAGAAACGAATGGAATTGGGTTTGATGCAGTTTTAGAAGCTGTTGGTGCTTCATCTGCTCAAAGAACAGCCTTCGATTCAGTTAGAAGAAATGGTTTAATTAGTAGTTTAGGTATGGGACATACAGATTTACCATTTACAAGTTTAGATTGTTATCTTAAAAATGTCAATATTTCATTTGGTAGATGTCATGCTGCTTCTTTATTTCATGAATCTTTAGAAATTTTTGAACACGTTAAAAATGATTTTAAAGACTTTATCGATTATAAAACTTCAATAGATAATTCAAAAGAGGCATTTGATTTATTTGACAAGCATAAAGTAAATAAAGTAATATTTGATTTGACAAAATAGATGATAACTTCGAAGTTCTTAAATACAAGTTTGAATCTTCATTAAATCGGTGTTTAAAATTAATTAGAATTATTAGTTATTATTATATTATAGTATATTTGTAGCAATTTATAAATTGAACCTGAGATTAATTCTATCTGATAAAACATTCATCAATTTTTTGCAATTTGCAATATTCTTTGGTACAAAGTTATTTCTTGATTCAAATTTGGTTTTATATAAATCTAAAGTTTTTACATTGTTCGGAAAATTAACTAAATCAAGAAACACTAATCGATTTGATCCCTCAATTGTAATCAGTAATAAATTATCAAAAAAGTAAACATTATTATATTTATACTCAATTCTTGGTTAATCTTCAATTTAAAGCTGAATTTTTGCCAGTTGGAAAAGTTGTAACTATCAAATAAATAATGAATTAGTTAAATTTAAATTGGTTAATGAGTCACAGAATTGTAATGATGGATATTGAGCATATATTTCGTTCCAAGTGAATACTTTTCAAGGTTGATGGTAATTACAAAAACTTCGGTTCTTCTTGTTCATCTGGATGATTTGGATATTCGCAACAATAAATGAGCAGTAAATATTTTATACTTGATGACACTTGAAGAAGTTCACTAATAATATGGACGTAGCTTCTACCACGTTCTAACCCCCCTAAAATATTTTGGCTGACAGATGAGGAGTATTCATAAAAATCAACACCAAGGTTGCAAAATTCAAATATCTAACAGGATTTGCTATATTTTTATATTCTAGTAAATCAAAGTTGTGAAAAATAATATGTTCAATCTTTGAGATGTTGAAGCATTCCAAATAATCGGTCCAATCATTAATCTCATTTTCCCATCTCAAATCTACATATAGTTTAGTATGTTGATTGATGAATTCACAGGAATATTCTATGATTTCATAGCCTAGATCGGACCAATAACAATAAGGACTGGGGTAATTATATGGTTTATAAGTATTATATTATCACTTTTATTAAAGTCTTCTACATCACAGCCAATATTGTAATAAACATTAGTTTAGGGATAATTTGAAATTTCTTTGGTAATTTATAAACAACTTCGAAATCTCTAAATTTTAGGGAAATAGTAAAATCAATCTTTTTACCTGTTGGTAATTTTATTTGTCCAAAATTTTTAGGCTTCTGATACCTTCACGATATTTTAAAATCATGACCTTTGAAAATAAAAATGAAATAGCATATGGTTTTAAAGTTGAATCATATAAAAAAGTGGTTATTCTTGATATATCGAAATATCATCTCAATTAATTCAAATGATAATTCTCTTAATAATTTCAATAATTTTAATGTATCTCCAGTCATATCAATTGTTTGATATCGATTAATTTGTTGTTGACGAATTTATCTTTTAAATAATTAAATTTTATTCTGAAACAAATTAATATTTTGATTATGTAATCCACTAATAGTAAACATATACACTCAAATCTCAATCGTTAAACGAATACAATGTAATATTATTCGTAAATGTAGCTAGAGTTCTCTTAAATTATAAAGATTAAAAGCTAAAGCTTCAAAATTAAACTGAAATTATTATTTACAATAATAGTTTATATTAAAAATCAGCATTAATATAAACTTAAATAAACAACAAAACAACATGAGTAACATGAGTAACATAAAAACATAAAAACATAAAAACATAAAACATAAAACCATAAGTAACAATTAATAAAAATGGAAATTGATTAAAAGTTAGTATATAACTTTTACATTACAGGAGTTGATTTATATTCAACGTCAACCATAGCAGAATCATTTGTACAACTAACATCCAATTCTAAATGCCAATGACGATTATATAAATCTTCTTCTTCTTTTGAAAAACCATGATCAGTATAATCTTTAAATTTCCAAGTTAATTTATTTGGAGTTTCAATAATTTCACCTTTATCAAAATTCAATTCATAACCACAACATTTTTCTAAATCTTTAATTAAATGTTTTTTAATATGATGTTGTAAATCTCTTCTAAATTTTTTGGAATTTTTATTCATTGTATCTTTAATTTTTTCAGTATTTGATTGACAAGATTTTAAAACAAATGGAGGATAATAATGTAATTTACCGTGACAATAATCAAAATCATTATCCCAAGTTTCATCTCTAATAAATGCTTCAAATTGTTCTAAATCATCAAATTCTTTAATTGGTGGAGGTTGCAAAACTTGTGATAATTCACCATCAGAAGATTCAATTGATGTAATTGATGAAGATCTTGATTTAGGAATTGCTTGTAAATGATCCATTGGTTTAATATTATCTAAATCTAAAGGTAATGAATCAGATTTAGATTTTTTATTTTTACCTGCCATCTTTTCTAAATTAAATTTGTATTTAAATTATATAATAGGTAGATTATAATAATATATAAAAGAAATTGTGGAAATTGATTAAAAATGAAACTTATTAAATTGAATGAAAATCAAAATAAAAGTGATATAAAACAAATTCGATATACGGGAAATTTGTTGGTCTATTTATAGTAAAGAAAAAGTTATGGGGGGAGGAAATTAATTACAAATAACTTTGCAGCCAATTATTACATAACAAATTACATAACAAATTATATAATCCAATTTTGCTTTCTAGTAAGGGGTTGTTATTAGCGGTCGTGTGATTCCTTAAAATGGAATCACCTTATTAACTGTTTGATTTTGTTTAGTACACGACTAAGATTATTTACAAATTCGAATAATCTCTCCACATTTCACACTGTCAATACAAAATATTACTTTCAAGTCTATTTCTTTCTTTAGCTTTCTTTAATATATAACAAATACTAAGTAAAGATTGAGAGCAGTCTATAAGCAGTTGATTACATTGATTAATATAATCCAAAAATTTTGATAACTTAATGTGTCAATTTATGTTTTATCTTTTAAGGAATATATAAAAAATATGTAGTATTTTATGCATAAAGAATAAAATTAAAGAAAAATAAACAACAAAGAAAATTATAATAAATCCAATAATAGTCATTCAATATTTACATGGATACAACATTAATGGTACTAGAATTTAGCTCATTACTTGATCAATTACAAAACAATCAAATATGAAACATCAAAATATCAATATATTTAAGATTCAGATTGACCAGTATATTATGATTGAAAATGGTTAAACGTTTGTTTCATATACTTTATTCTTACTTTAAAATATTATACCTGATAAAATAAAAACACTCCTCAAACTCCACTTTATCTAAGAAAAAAAGATTATATATTTACTTGTTAGATTTTCATTGGCCGACAGAAGTAGGAAAGATTTTAGAACTTCAATCAACTACAGAGAGTTAAATGTGTACAAAATTCAACATTAGTTTTTGTGTCGTTATTTACCAATTTACGAGTCATATCGCGCTAAATGGCGCTTGATTTTTATATGTCTAAGATGATGTATATTACTTCTACAAATGTTGACAAAAAATAGGGTTGGCAAAAGACAAAACAAAGCCAGAGACATGGTAATCACAAATATAAACCAGTTATAGAGCCAATTTGAATTTTGATATTTATTAGTTGAACGGGATTATTCACTTATGTGTAAATGATAAATCATACATAACATTTCAGTGATGAAATACGGTTTATAACAAGAGCTAATACGTATAAGCTTCTAATCAAAAGCCTTGGAAATGTCGAGTGTGCTTGGATCGAAAGTTAGACAAGTGTATGTTAAAAGATGCGTGGTCTAAAGCTTTACTTTTGCTTTTGCTTTTCTCCTCTCGTATATTTGAAGTAAATGAAAAGAATAAGTAAATTATGCGCTCAATTTGTAAACCTTAGCTTGATGACCTAAATAATTGCAATATCCAGTTTTTTAGAACGAGTACTTGTTGGCAATATAAAAGAAATATTTAATCACCAAACGAATCCAATCTGTAGTCGAATTCAAATTCTCTGTATTAGCCGGTCATCAAAAACCAAGTAGTAAAAAAGTCATCACGTGTTTTTCAACAGCAACTGAGTTACATGATAACAAGCTTGAAATCGATTAGAGTAATAATGCATAAGTTTAAAGAATCTTAAACTTTTTTGAAAATAAATTAAGTCAAGATTTCTTTAATTGTGAATGATCTTGATTTTACAAAGTTTATGCTATAAAATTATGAAATATATTAATCTATTTGTATATTTACATGAGGTATAAGTTTTATTCATTTTTATAAATCGTAGTCATTCTCTGGAGGTGGTGCTGCATCACTATTTAAATACATATCAATAGCCAAACTGAAAGCTGCAAAACCAGCACAGCCAATTATAGAAGCTTGAGGACCAGCTTTATAAGCTAAACCAGCACCAGTTATACATCCAGCACTCACACCATTATATATATCATGTTTAGCTCTAAGACTTTCTATAGTACATTCAACTCCTGAATAAACCATACCTATATAACCAAAATTCTTTGCTGAACTATATGATCTTTTTCCCATATCTGCAAATTGTAATTTCATTTGTTGTTTGAAAGGTAATTGCGAGATATGTTGGACTGGTGATGATCCAATTGGTGTGTCATATGCCATAGATGCCATAAATAATCCAAAGAACCCACCAAGGGCAAAACCTGAAACACCTGCCATTATAGTTTTACCAATACATGATTGCATAAAATTTACAAATTGTTTTGCTCCTTCTTCCGCTTGTTCTTGTTGAGTCATTTCTTGAAGCAGTTTCTTTGGGGGCTGAGGCCCTTGATAAACTCCCCATAAACTCATAGTATATTATTTAATTAAAAATGTAAGATTTAGATAAATGTTTGATGATAATGAAATTTTTTTTTCCTGCATAAATTCTGAAACAGTTTGATATTAGAGAATAGATAGAGGAACAATGAAAATTTAAAATTTACACAAGTAATTGTGAAATTGGCTAATGAATACATTGATACACAAAAGTATACAACTAATAATACAGTGATTGTCTTTTTTTAACTTGTAAATGAATAAATCGATAAAAATAATAATAATACAATAATTGTCTTTCTTCTATAATTCAACAAAAATAATAACAATATTGATACTTGAACTCTGCCATATAAAGCGAGCTCATTGTGTAAAATAATACAATAAGTAATGGTATCCAAACTAATCTATAGTCGAAATTTCTCTTACTTTTATTTAATTCTTTCTCCAATAATTTTAATCTTTGTAGTTTGAATTTTGCCTTGCCCAATTCAGATTCAAGTTCTTCTTTTTGAGCATGTTGATTGTTCTCTTGCTCTTGTTCGATTTCTGATTCCAATTGATTAATCTCATTTTCATTTTCATTTTCATTTTCATTATTGAAAAGTTGAACCAACTCATCTAATTTTGAATCTATAATATTCAACATCTCTACATCTTTATATATATCAATTTCGTTTATCTCCTTATTTAAATGAAGTAATTTAGTCCTTATTCGTTCTTGTATATTATTTTTACTGATCGGTGGATTGAGGTTAAATAATGGTTTCCTTAGCAGAATTGGCTTTAGTATATTTCGTCGATTCATTTGATTGTTGTCTATATTGTTATTTGATTTTATTGGTTGTGATTCTTTAATTGTTGATATTTTGGGTAGGGCTATTGATGAAGCGATATTATTTCTCGATTGTGTGGTTGTTGGTACTTTATAAGTCAATGGTAATGGATCACCCAAATTTATATAATTATGTGACTGTGATGATGATGTTATTTCAGGATTTCTATTCTTTCTATTCATTATATTATCATGTTGATATTTGATTGTTTTGATTAAACTTAATTCAAGATTTAAATTTCAACAAAAAAAATAAAAAAAAAAAATAAAAAAATAAAAGTCAATTTTTTACACGCGTAATCAATAAAGCTGAAACATTCATGATTCAATAAGATTACAATATATATTGATGGTTGTAAATGCTTTGAGCTGATAAATTCTCTATTGTTAGAAACAGCACGCTCAAACTACTTAAAAATAATTTTGTAGATGTTGGCAATCACACATTCTACAGCTTTCGGAAATTTTTATTACTTTTAAATACCAAAATATAAAACTAATCAATCAATAGTTGTGAAAGTTCCGAGCACTTCTTGTATTGGACACTTTCTTATGAAAATTGCAAGTTATGTAGAGTCTTGACTACGTTGAGAATAAAATGCACCATTTGAACTACTTTTGCCCAACCGTCGAAAATTTCAGATATCTCTGAACACTATCGTACAATTCTAATCAACCAATCAATAGAAGCGATGATACTGAGTACTTTTTATATTCGACATCTTTACGGAAATGGAAATTGGAGAACTATGGATAATTTTGTATTTTTTCAAGGTCGGTACATTCAAGTAGTATTAATATTGAATCTCACGCAGGAATAACCGTGAAGGACAATACAATTTTAAAGTATGAATTTTTTTTTCTCTTCGTTACTATTACTAAATGAGACTTCAATATTGATAAGATTCTTTCCTAATTCGGTGGAATTGTACATTAATATGCACAGGATCTAGAAGTTTCTTGTATTAAATCTGTATTCCACTGAGAATAGTTCAAATTTCAAGCTACGGATTCAGACAGAGTCTAAGTTTGCAATAGTACAATGAATTTTGTTTTCTTAAGTTTAATTTTTTGGAAACTTTAATCGATGAACTCAAGACAAAATCGATGAATTGAAGGTAGTGAGGAAGTTCTTACTTTTTACTAGAAATTACAAGTATTATAATCCGAAAGTTTGGAGTTAGAACAAAATGAAATACAGATTTATTCGATTAAGAGGGTTTTTAATTTACGAGATCTTAATATGCATAAATGCTTAAACAAAAGTGGGACATAAAACAAGATTGAGTTAACTTGAATCTAAAATATGAATGTCCTTTAGCAATTATTTAGCTCAGATGTCGTGTTTTTAGTCTAACCCAACCTTTATTTCTCATTATGATGATAATTATCTTCCAATGCTGACAAGATTAACTCCACAAAATAAAAAATAAAATTATTATATAACATTCTATAAAATTTTCAAAACACAAATATAAACTTCAACATTCATTCAGTTTTTCTTTTTCACATTAACAATCATCAAGATGACTACGTTTAAGAGATCACGATCAAATACTTCATTTTACAGAGACATTGAAAAACAGCTTCAAGAAGACGAAAATAAGCAAGAAAATATAGTACTTTCAATCATATTTGGCTTAACTTTAGCATTATTTATAATATTAACCATAAGTAACCTTTCATCATTTCATTTACAACAAGACAAACTGATTTTATTATCCTCTACAACTTATTCAAATTTATTTGATGATGAGGTGTCAATCATGTCTCAAGTACAATTTATAAATACTCCGGAAGAACAACGAAATGATAATGATATGAATTCGGTTTCTTCTGACTTGAAAGAGATATTTTCTTTATCACCTATCATAATACTTTTATTTATCGAGGAACAAGGGAATTTGGAAAATATGTTAACAAATTTGAAGATAATCCCCGAGCCAAAAATAATAAATTTAAGGAAACATCCCAATTGTGATAATATAATGCAATTTTTAAAAGTAGAGGATAATATTGAGTCACTGAGGTTATTTTTAAATGGTTTGCCAATTGATCATGATGATTTACGAGCAATGAGTAGAGATGAGGTAATCCAGTTTTTGAAATATAAAGGACAAGGGTTAATAACAATTGGATAGTTGAACTAATTTATATTTTATAGGCTTTTATTATGATCGTGCCACTTTTGACATTCTTTAGAAATGAACTGCAAAATTATGGATATCTATGCAGCCAAGCAACTTTTAGAAAAATTAAACGAAAAGATACCTAAAAGTGGTTACACAGAAAGAATAATTGGAGAGACAAGCAACTCTGGTATGTTTGAAGTTTCGAGTTAATTGGACCAATACCCTCAAAATGAGTAAAAGGTCAAGTCGCAAGTTTTCGAATTATCATTCAGTATATCATTCATTATATGATTCTGCAAATACACTATAAAATCAATTTATACTTCAATTAAAGCTTCTTTTTCTTCTTTAGTACCCTCCTCATTTTTTTCGACTTCTTTGGCTTTTTCTTCTGCTATTTTAGCTTTTCTATATTGGTAAAGAATTGAAAATATAATAATAACATGAAAATTAATCCAAAATTTACATTCTGATAAAATTGAGTCAGTATCATGGAAAACAGGATATAAAGGAACACCTAAATGAAGACTAACAAATAATATACCAATAGGAACCCAATATCCATTATTCCATTTTCTCTCGTTGATCACTTTATAAATAATAAAAATCACAGGATATATTAACATGTTACACATCATAATTACAGCAAAGACAGCAAACGCAACAACTGCTGGCCACAATTTACCATGACCTTGTATTCCAATTAAATTAGCAACTTTTAAAACTGTATACAATGATCCAAAAACTAACGCTGTGAATGCTAATTTCCATCTACATTTTCCATTTGGAGCAGGATTTGTAGTTTTATCTGTTGTAGTTTTCTGATTTTCATTCATCTTTGAATATGTTATAGGGGGTTTTTGTTGATAAAAAAAAGTGATGAAAACTTAGGATTTCAATTATCAGTGTGCTGGCAAATACACACTACGAATTTACTTAAGCTACAAACTAAACTTAATTGAGACTTAAATGGTTGCATTTGAAATTACGAGATAATAGAAGAGTCAATTGAGGAATATTAAGGGTCATGAGTAACTACTGAAAATCGTAGGGCATAAAGTTTTTTGACATTCAAAATGAAATTGGTTTCAACATTTATATTCATCACATTAAAAACCACTTAACGAATAAATAGATATCAGCTAACATAATTAATATATAAGTCAATTTGAAACCCAGATTAAAGAAAAGCATACTTAATATGGTAAAATTATGGAGTTGTAATAACCAGCAAAGATTAGGTGATTGGTGGGATGAGAAACATTTGATTCATTGATGAATTTATAAATTAAAAAGCCAATTGTATAGTAAACTTTTCCAAACAGCCATAGTAGTCCTTTAACTTGTTGGGCTGAGTGTTTTCACCTATTTTGTTTGTCATTTCCTAGATCTACAGATCTTGAATTATGAATTTTCGTATCTTGATTTCTCGAATCTCGGCACAAAAATATTTTTAGATCCGTTATAAGCAGAGATTTAAATTCGATTACAACTTGTTAGCATACGTTGTAGAGAGTAAAGCAAGCAACGAGATGGTGAAATTCAACCTAGAATGGAAGTATGCTCAATTTTAGCTAGTTTTGACACCCCCCTGTAGATAGTATTAATGTCAAATTTGACGTATTTTTACTAAAGCCAAGAATTTATACCTCAGATTCTGACAGTTGAAAATTACAGTACAGTTAAAATTACTCCACTACCTTTGAAGCTGATCCTTCAGTTTCAACTCGCTAGGGACAGATAATAGAAATGCTGTAATTATTTGATAAGGAATTTTCCAGCTTTATAAATTTCTTCCAACTCGAAGAATAGCAATAAGAAACCAATGTTAAGCTAAGCTAAAATAGAAGTATACATTTTATCGAACTCAAAATCGAAATCATTTATACTTGTTGGATTAGCTTCTGAATAATTAAAAATCACATATGGGAAAATATCAAGTGAGCAAAATATTAAAATGGCAGTTGCAAATCGTTCTTCATTCTAGACAGATTTATGTGGTAAAGTAGAAAAATTCTCGCCCAAATTCAGTGCTAACGAAACATTTTTGTCGCGTTGAGAATGGGGCGATTCGAACTAAATATATTGGCTTAGATGTTAGCACAATACATTTTGTCGAATCTTCTAATTATTTTATTTCTCGCGAAATATTTAGGCCACCTCGTGCTACCTCAAAATTTAAACGAGTTATGGTACTAAACATCGCCCCAAGAGAAAAATTTTATGGCCGATTTCGTCCTAATTCCGTCGAATGCACGTCCAAAACAATAAGTTTTTAATTATCGATTTTGTCTTATATGCAGTCCCTTAGTAGTTAATCTCAAAACTTAAAGGTGTAAATAACTCCCTCGATATTCAAGCTATGGTTGTCAAACTTTTTTCCTCGAAATTTCCGTAAGACTGAAGATGCGTATTCTTATTATCATTTGATAAAACATATTTTTGAACAGCTCATTAAAAGGTTAATTTTCGTCAAAGGAAAGTGAATGTGATTACAGTGCTATTCATAAATATTCGAAAATACTACAGAGAGTCCATTCAATCGAACTATATTTTTTATATATTTTCAATTCATTTTCTAAATCAATCGTAACATAAACATAAACAAAAACAACTAATCAATAATCTAAAGTTCTAAATTAGTTAAATTTTGACCACCACCATTATAAATTAAATTATTTGGTGATTCTTTATCTAAACCTGTTATAATTCCTTTTGTACCATATTTAATGACTTTATTTTGAATAATTGATGGATCAGTATAGAACTCTGAATTATGACCAGGTAATAAACTTAAATAATAAGCTAATAATCCAGCAACATGAGGAGATGCCATTGAAGTACCTGACATAACAGTAGTATCTGACCAAATAAAAGTACTTTCAATATTTTCACCAGGCGCAAATACATCAACACATTTACCAAAATTTGAAAAATCAGCTTTAGCATCATTTATAGTAGTAGCACCAACTGTAATAGGACCTGAAGCTCTTGCTGGAGAATAATTACAAGCATCTTGATTATCATTCCCAGCAGCTACAGCAATATTTAAACCAGATTTAGTAGCTGCATTAACTGCAAGATCTAAAGCTTCTGAAATACCACCACCAATTGACATATTAACAACTGAACCTTTGAAAAATTTGGATTTTGATTTAATATTTTGTTGATGATCTTGTACACAAAATTCTAAACCTTTGATAATATCACTTGTTGATCCGGTACCTAAAATACTCATAACTCCGACAGCAACAAGGTTAACATTTTTAGCAATTCCATAAGTTTTTGAACCAATTGTACCAGCAACATGAGTACCATGACCATGACCATCAACTTTTAATTTTGGAAATGCAAATGAATCTCCCCAAACAGCTCTACCTTCAAATTCATCATGTTCGACTTTAATACCAGTATCTACAACATATGCAGTAACACCTTTTCCAGCATCTGAATCGTATAAATATTGATCATTATTTAAATTTTCACGATGAGAAACTCTTGAAATACCCCAAGTTGCATCTTTTTGAATATCAAACTCATTAACTGACATAACTGAATCTTGTTCAATAAATTTAACATGAGGATGCTTTGATAAATTTTCAATAAAATCTTTTGTAAAATAACCAGTATAACCAGTTAAAAAATTGTCAATCTTAAAAAATGATAAAGGATTATAATTAACATCTTCGTGTCTTTTAGTTAACATAGACATCATTTCTTCATATTTAGTTTCTAAAGTAACTTGATGATTTAATAATTCTGTATTTGATAAATTATCATTCAATACAATTATATAATGATCAGGAATAACTTTCTTTGATGGATGATCAAAATCTAATAATTTTGAAGCATATGATTTAACTTCATTAATTAATGGAATTTGTTTTTCAATTTGATGATTAAATAAGTCATTAAAATTAAATAATGATGCAATATCTGGAATAATTAAAGATTGAACTGTTGTTACAATTAATGCAGCAGTTGATAAACTATAAAGATGAACCATAGTTAACTTAAAATGAATATGGTTTATCTATTGGTGTTAATTTTTTGCCATTCTCGGACGAATTTTATATTTAGTTGGCGTGTGACTGATACCAATTTCTTATCAATTACTAATATATTATGTAACAATTTCTTATCAATTACTAATAAATTATGTAATAATTTCTTAACATCAACAATATACAAGTTTGGTTGCAAATTCAAATCATAATTGAATATAAATGTTCATCAATTTTAATAAAGCTATAAAAGAGTTATGTATCAATTCTATTTGAATCATTGAAGTCTCCAAATACGATTGTATTCAACTATGTGATACTAAGTATATCACTTAGCAATTATGACGTAATCCAAATTGCAATGAAGAGACTAATAATAGATAGAAACTTCTTATTTACTTCTCGGACTAATTGTTAAATCTTCTATAGATTCGACTAGTAGAATATCTTTTCAATCTCTTTTGTCTGTCGAATCAACAAAATAATTATGCAAATTACGTCCTTACACTTCATTGTATTTAATGAAGTAACTGAATTTTTCACTATTATAATCGTTTATCGGTCATAATCTTTTAAGTATACCCAAATCAACAACTATAATTTGTATAAGGTTTTTAAATTGTGTCAAACTTTTTATATTTGGTTGCTTTTTCATTAATTATTTTGCATCATATTTTTCGGACCAAATCCCAATTAGGAAAGGGGCTTCCTAAAATTAATTTACTATAAATACTTCATGCATTTTCCAATTTAATTATATTATTCTTTTTCTATAATTATTTTTATTATTATAAGAGTTTTTATATCAATCATGTCTAATATTACATCATCTATTCAAATTACAAAACAATCAAGTTATAAATTAAACAATGGTCAACAAATACCAGTTGCTGGTTTTGGAACATATGAAATTCCTGTTGAAAAGACAGCAACTTTAGTTTATGATGCATTAAAATTTGGTCACAGACATATTGATACTGCAATTGCTTATCATAATGAAAAAGAATGTGCTCAAGGTATTGCTAAATTTTTAAAAGAAAATGAAGGTAAAATTTCAAGAGAAGATATTTGGTTTACAACTAAAATAAATGAAGCTTCTCAAGGTTATGAAAACACTAAAAAAGCAATTGAAAAAATTAGTAATGAAGTTAAACCATATATTGATTATGTTGATTTAATTTTAATTCATTCTCCAAAAACTTCGAAAACTAAAAGAATTGAAACTTATAAAGCATTACAAGAATTTGTTTTAGATCCAAATAATTCGTTACTTAATATTAAATCAATTGGAGTTTCAAATTATGGTATTGATCATTTAGAAGAATTATTTAATTGGGATGGACTTTTAGTCAATCCAGTTGTAAATCAAGTTGAAACTCATCCATGGTTACCAAGAATTAAACTTAGAGAATATTGTGTTAAACATGATATTTTAATAGAAGCTTATTCTCCAATTACTAGGGGTATAAAATTTGATGATCCAGAGTTGAAAGAATTATCAAAGAAATATAATATAAGTCCACCTGAAATATTATTAAAATGGTCATATTTACAAGGTTATATTGTATTAGTTAAGTCAGAAAACCCTGATAGAATTAAAGCTAATTTAAATATTTTACCAGATGGTAAGAAAAATGATGATGAATTGGAAGAGAATATCTTATTAGGTAAAATTGATTTAGATTCAGAGATTTTGGAGAGATTAAATAAACCTGATTCACATGAAGTTTTAACTTGGGGAGGTAATGATCCTTGTTTATACAAGGATTAATAATGTTTTAAAAATACTATATTAAAAGACATTTGTACTATAGTGAAATAACTAAATTAATAGACGATTCCGAGTTAATAATCATATTTCACTCAGTCTTTTCACTATAATCTCTGTAATTATCCATTAATTACACCCAATTCATTTCATGGTAAATTGTTAATCATAATAATCAATATAATTATTCAAAACACCAATCCTGCATATAATATATATACATATTTATTTTTTCTGTTGATAATAAAAAATAACCAAACCAAACAAAAGCCTAATCTTTTGCCCAAGGTATAACTTACTATAAATTTTATAATCATATTACATATCTAATATCATGTCATCTAGAAAGAAAACTTTATTAAAAGTTATTATATTAGGAGATTCAGGAGTTGGAAAAACATCTTTAATGCAACAATTTGTAAATAATAAATTTAGTCATCAATATAAAGCAACAATTGGTGCTGATTTTTTAACAAAAGAAATTACAATTGATAATAATAAACAAGTTACTTTACAAATTTGGGATACTGCTGGTCAAGAAAGATTTCAAAGTTTAGGTGTCGCTTTTTATAGAGGTGCTGATTGTTGTGTATTATGTTTTGATGTAACAAACGAAAAATCATTAAATAATCTTACTTCTTGGAAAGATGAGTTTTTGGTACAATCAAATGTATCAAATCCACAAGATTTTCCATTTATTGTAATAGGTAATAAAATTGATGTTGATGATTCCAAAAAAATTCCAAGTTTACAAAAGAAATTAAATAATATTACAAATAATCAATTGGGTGGATTAAATTATCCTGTATTTGAAACAAGCGCTAAAGATTCAATAAATGTAGAAAGTGCTTTTGAAGTAATTGCGAAAATGGCTTTACAACAAGAAGAATTAAATGCTGCGAATTCAAATGATGTAAATGATGATTATAATGATGCTATTAATATTCATTTAGATTCAGAGTCTGGAGGTTGTGGTTGTTAATACATTGATATCTATTTCAATTGTAATTTAATACACATTTTTTATAAAGAAATCTAATTAATTTTATTCTGACGATTAATACAAAAGCAAATAGCTTTAATTGCCAAATCAATAAATTGATTACCGGTCTTAATATTCTGTCCTTGATTGTTGTTGTGTTGTTGTTGTTGTTGTTGTTGATAGTGCTGTTGATTTTGATAATGTGCCTGTTGTTGTTGGTATTGAGGTTGATTAGATCCGTGATACGCTTGATGTGGTTGATTAATATTATCCCAATGTGATGGTATTTGATTTGAGTTTGTATTTTGTAAATCAATAACTAATACACCAGAATTTTTTGGATCTATATAATGTTTTAAACCACTTTCATCGCATAATTGATCAACTGCGGGTTTTATTTTTGCAATACCATTTTGAGAGTGTAAACCTTTACCAACGATAACTTTAAGATGATTTTGGTTTGTTTTAATAGCTTGACTTATTCTATTCTGTAAAACATATTCAGCTTCTTTAACGTATAATCCATGTAAATCAATTTCATCATAAGCCGAATCAGTATTATTTTCTCTAAAAACATATTCAGCAGCTTTTCTATTAGCTTGCTCAGCTTGGGCCAATACACTTTTCAGTTCTTCACTTAATTCATGAGCTTTTTGACCATCTCCTTGTTTATAAGCTTGTTGAGATTGTTGACTTAATTGATTTCTGTGTTTATATAATTTATCAGCTTCAGCTCTTAATCTTTTATATTCGGAGTCAGTTGCATGATTATAATCGTATTCTGGAGAATCGTCAAATAATTTAGCACCTCTGCTAAGAATATCACTCATCAAGGGAACTTGAAAATTGGTTGTGAAAGATGAAATTTGGTTGATAATAAAAAATTAATATACAGGATTACTTGTTACAGCCATTTCAAATCAAACATATGAGATTTTAATTAATATAATGTATTACTTGATATAGCTGATGATACATTTTTGTTCAATATATGATATTTTTCAACTAATGAATGAAGTTACATGGTTTCAACAAGGTGATAAGTATTGTATAATGAGTAGTACTTTAAAAGCGTCAAATATCATTCTATCGGAGACCATACTCATTTAAGATTAAGCAACATATTTCAACTAATCTCTTAATCCCTTTTAATATAGTAATAGTTATAAGCAGCTAACAGTTAATACCTAACAGTTAACAGCTAACAGCTAACAGCTAACAGCTCAAGTAATCTATTGATTAATTCGTTAATAGTTATTTGAAACAAATAAAGAAAAAAAAAAGATCTTTCGTGTTTCAGAATTTTATATTTTAAAACAAACAAAAAAAAAAATTAATGCCCTATAAAATTTTATGTGTGGGATTTTATTAAACATTACAAAAAATTATTTAAATATTCCGTCATGTATACCTTTGAATTATGATTCAAATGATAAATTTCAATCATGGGAAACTCAAGACTCAAAAGTTATTCTGAATTTTTTAAAATCTGGCTCAAAATTAAATCCATTAACTGATCAACAATTAAAGAAATTAAATAATTTAGATAAATTACGAGATTTAAATTTACAACTCACAAAAATCAAAAATAATGTTAAAATTTCAAAAGAATTAAAAGAAGAAAAAATAAATGAAATTCAAAGTCAAATTGATGAGTTTACAAAAGAAGATGACGCAAATAATCAAAATAATAATGAAACGTTTAATGATTTAATTTATAAAATAGCAAATCGAGGACCAAATTATCTAAATTTTACTCGATTTAATCATGATAGTGTTAATTTTCAATTATTTACTTCGATTTTATCTTTAAGAAAACCATTTACTTCACAACCAATATTTAAAGATGACTTTATATTTCAATTTAATGGAGAATTATATAATCAAGAGTGTTTAGATTGCAATGATACACAATTCATAATTAACAAATTGCATGAAAATTTATTAGATGATAGAAATGGCTCTATTATAAAGACTTTAAAATCGTTAGAAGGAGAATTTGCAATTATATTGATTGATTTAAGTGATAATAAAATATATTTTGGAAGAGATTCAATAGGTAAACGTTCATTAACTTACTCATTAAATTCTCAAGAATTAATCATATCATCAGTCTCACTACCTAATTTTATTGATTGTAAAAATGAAATATATGAGTATAATTTATTAACAAATGATTTAATAACACATAAACTACATTATTTACCAAAACCTACATTTGAAACTAGTAAAACAGAAAATGAATTAGTGCTGGAGTTGTATACCAGATTATTAAATTCAACTAAAATACGACTAGACTCGATTTTTCCACTCACAACAACTGAAAATGAAAGTAAATTGGCTATTCTATTTAGTGGTGGCTTAGATTGTACTATAATTGCAAATCTAATATGTAGATTAATATCAAATCAAAGTATTGATTTATTAACTGTTGGGTTTGAAAATCCAAGAACTAAATTATCAAGTTTTGAAAGTCCTGATAGAAAATTAGCATTAAAATCATGGTTTCATTTATCTAAATTATTTCCAAAGCTTAAAATTCAATTAGTTGAAATCAATGTTGATTATAAAACATGGCTATTACATAAATCAAGAGTTTCGAAATTAATGTATCCTTGTAATACAGAAATGGATTTATCAATAGCTATAGCATTTTATTTTGCAAGTTCAAACATACCAGAAATTACCACAATGAGTCAATTAAATGATTATACTGTGGATTGGCAAGAATTTGAAACTACTCCTGATAATTTTATTACTAGGTTAGATCACTATGACTCAACAAGTAAAGTTTTATTTAGTGGATTAGGCGCAGATGAATTATTTGGTGGTTATTCGAGACATGAAGGTATTTTTAATGAAATTAATGAAGAAAATAATTATAAAGAACTAGCAAATTCTTTAAATTATGATATTTCAATTATTCATCAACGTAATTTAAGTAGAGATGATAAAGTTATAAGTTGTTGGGGTAAAGAATTAAGATATCCTTATCTTGATGAGTTTTTTGTTAATTGGGTTATTGAATCAATTCCACCACAATTAAAATTTAAATATGAAATTAAACAAAATAAAAAAGGTAAAGATCAATTATATCCTACTAGAAAGTATTTATTACGTGAATTAGCAAAATATTTACAAATGAATTGGGTCTCTTTGGAATTAAAAAGAGCTATACAATTTGGTGCAAAAAGTGCCAAAATGGAAATTGGTCAAAATAAAACTAAAGGTACTGATGAATTATTATAAATTGGTATTAGACTTAGAAAAATTACTACTAATGGTTAATAATAAATTTTTCTTCCCCAATGTTTCTCGTTAATCCTGTGATTGATGAAACAAATATTATATATATAGAGTTTAGATAGACTTATAGAAAATATATACAATTAATAATTACATTTAATAATGAGTCAAAGAATTGGTGGTTCATCTTTTGTTTTAAATGATTATCTTGCTGCATTAATCTTAGTCTTTGTTGGTTTAATAGTGGTTGTTAAAAAATTAGATACAATAATTGTGGAATTAAACAATTTAAATACAAATTTACAAGTATTACGTTAAAATATATACATATATATATGTATATATATATTAATCTTTTACTTATGTATCAAATTCTCAACCCATTTTGGCTCAATAACTAATATCTCACAACTTGTTAAAAGTTCTTTATTTAAATTTAATATTTCTCCTTTAACCCAACATTTTCTACCTTGTTTCTTAATTATTTGACATTTTATAATTATAAATTGATTTGCAAACGTTGGCTTTTTATAATTTATATTTAGATTTGCTGTTACTCCTTTTCCATTTTTAAAATTTATAAATGCTAATCTACATGTTAATTCATCTAATAATGTAGCTAATAATCCTCCATGAATTATACCTTTATGCCCAGTTAATAATTGACCTAAATGGAAAAATGTAATTGAATAATTTTCATCATCATAAACTTCTTCTATTATGTCTTCATATTCAAAATATTTATCATTTACAAAATATAGAGTTTTTGATCTAAGATTAATTTTATCTTCTCCTACTAATGTATTCCCAGTTAAACTTGGATATAATTGTTCTTGTATTAATGATGTTTGTTTATTTGTATCAGTAAATTGTTCATATTCTTTTATATACTCTTGATAAGCTGGTAATTTTATCAATTCATCTTCAATTGACATTTGGTGGTAGCTCTTATCAAATTATACTTTTTCAATCTAATACCGAGGAATGTAAAATTTATTTATATTGTGTAAATTCAAACTATTATATTATATTATATATATACATATATAAACTCAATACTAATAAAGCCAACTTTCATTGATTATTCTTGACCAAATCCAACCGTTTCTTCCACAGCTAAAGTTAATTTTTGTTTTAAACTATCATAATCTGTATATGGTGGTAAATCAACTCTATTAAAACATGTATGTGATTTTGGTAATTGATTTGATTCTCCAGCTTTTTCAATTGTAAATCTTCTTGGTCCATCACTACCTTGTAGATCTTTAAACCCATTAACAGGTATTCTTGATGTACCAGTTGTAAATTGTAATAATCTTGCCTTTTGTTCTGAGTCCCATTCATTAACACATTTCCAAAACCATTGAATAACTTGATCATTTTCTTGATAACCTCTATAATCTGTATGTTTTTTCCAATCACTAGTATCAATTTCTGCTAAACCACCGATTAATAATTCCAATTCTCTTTCATCAAATACATTCACCAATTCTTGTGGTATTAATTCATTAAAACCATCTATAAATGCTTTAAATTGTTCTTCAACTCTTTTACTAATTCTCCATTCTGTTATTAATTCAACATATTCATGTTTATTTTCTTCTGTAACTTCAATATCTTTACCACCTGGTTTTAAATCAATTTCAACAATTTCACCAAAACTTTCTTCTTCTGCACTAAAAGTTAAATCTAAAATTCCTGTTATATCATTATCTAAAATCCATTTCAAAGATCTATAAAATTCAGCATCGACACCTTCCATATCTTGTAATACAACTTTCTTATGTAACATCATTTTATATAAAGCTCCAACAAAAAAAGCATCAAGGAACCTACGATGGAATACACCTAAGCCAACAACTCTACCAATAAATTTAAAATAATTCAAATGTTCTGGATTTATACCTGAATTTGGATTGATTTGTAATGTATAATTATCATGAGATGAATATTCAAATAAACAATAGAATGGATTGAACATATCATGAGATAATAAAAAGAAAAATTCTCTTGAAACACCACCATAATCTAAACCTTCCTCACCATCAAATTTAATCATTAATCTCTTTTTCAAATCTTCTGGTGTTTGTCTCATAATTTCTTGATATGAATCTTCAAATATATGATCTCTTCTAACTTTAATATGACATTGACCTGGTAAAATTCTTAATGCTGGTTGTGATCTAAAATATATAACTTTTCTTCTAAAATCACGTTTATATTGAGGAACATTTTGATCTAAAGATGATGGTAATCTTGGATCATCCCACGTAGTTGTTTTTGTATTATGATCAACAAAATAAACTCTAGCAGTATTTGTTAATCTCATTTCCCAACCTGAAGGTAATGGACCTAATTGACTTACTGGTTGTTGTTGAATAGTAGTATTTTGTCCATATGTACGAATATATTGCTGTCTTCTTGGATCAACCCATGTTGTTGTTCTAGTATTATGATCAACAAAATACGGTCTACCTTCATTAGTAAATCTTTGTTCCCAACCAGATGGTAATTCTCCTAATCCTGAAGTTGTTGCACCTGAAGCAGCCATTGAAACTGCAGCCCCTGGACTTACTGGTGAATTTCCTCCTGTTGCATTAACCGTAACGTTTCCACTTGTTATTGAATTTTGTTGTTGTGGTGATGGTGAGGTAGGACCTTCACCCGGTAGTGTTCTACCACGATGTTGTCTTCTTTCAGCTTCAGTAGTATCTTGTCTTTGTTGACCCCTTTCTGTCTCCGACTGATCCAATGTTGGTCTTTGCCATGTTGTTGTTCTTGAATTATGGTCAACATAATACGTACGACCAAAATTATCAGTTCTTCTCTCCCAACCTGGTGGTAATCTTCCAAATTGATCTTCAAATGAGGAATATTGTCTATGCGAAGCAGCAGCAGCAGCAGTAGTAGCAGTAGTAGCAGCAGCACTTGAATTATTTGCTACTGATGGCACGGCATTGGATGCAGTTGATGCAGAACCTGATCCATTCGAATGATTGTTGGTAGTTGATGAAGATGGTAGTCTTGATGAGGTTGAAGTTGTACCATTTGATACATTATTTGAAGTTCCACTTTTATTATGAGATATTACAACTATAATTTTTCCTGTAACCGCTAAATTTTCATTTGATTTTTTCAAATCTCTAGTTATTGTTTCTTCACTATTATTTAAGCTTAAATCTATTACATCTCCAATTCTAACATTAACAACTCCTAAAAAGCCTTGATCCTTCTTTTTAAATTTCTTTTGATCAAATACTTGTATAACAAGTATAGAATCTTCTAATGCTTGGAAACTAAAACTTTCATTCCAATACGGATTTAAAGTTTTCTTTGCTGTCTTTGTTGTTTTAGTTTGTGATCCATCAACAGTAATAACAGCAAATGGATCAGGTTGACGAAATACATCTCTTTTATATAATGACTCAGCTGCAACAACTTTCACACTTATTGTCGAATTTCTAGATGCCATGGTCGGGTTGTATATATAATTGCTTCAATTTTGGAAATCAATGTAAAATCAAATTTCTGCACCAAATAATTATTAAGTGATAGTATTGATTTTTTCCTTCTTAATTTGTTTATTTTATGAATTATGGATTATAACAATTCAATGATGATTCTTTAAAAGTCCGGTTGTTGATATAATTGTTGTTTGATTATTAAAAGAGAGTTGGATAATTTTTTCCCTTTCTATTTTCAAAAATAAAATGGAAAAAAAAAAAAAAAAAATATAAATATAAATTATGTAACGTATTACGTAATCAATATAAGTAATAATTTATTAATTTTGAATCTTTCTTAATTAAAGTAATTTCTCAACTAAAGTATTCATCTATTAGTAATTTACTATTGGATGTTTATAATTAATAACTAAAGCTAAACAAGTTTTTAAGTAGTTGAAATATCATTTTTTATAGTGCGTAATCATAGCTACCAGTTAAATATTCGATTATGAGCTTTTATTCAACCGTATTGACGCCTTATTTAACCTGATAGAAAGAGAAACATCAGTATCATTCATTGATAATCTCTCGTACATTAAGTTAGATTATGTAATTCATTCAATATCATTTCCAGTAGTTGTTAATAAATATTACTATCATCTAATGAATCAAATATATGATTAAATATAAATTCATTTGATTCATTTCTTTTATGGTTTTTCTTTTCTTCATTCTGCTTTTGTTTTGATTCATCATCCATTATTATTAAATCTTTATCAGTTGCAATGGTCGATATTGAATCAAACGATTCATTCATTGTAGATGTGTTTGGTGAGTTCTCACATGATGATATATATAACTGATTTGTAGATATAAATTCAAACTCATTATTGCTATGACTTGATGACAAACTTTCATTTCGTTTGATTTCAATCATTTCATGTTCTAGTTCATTGGAATTTTCTGTAATTTGTTCTTCTTTAGCAAGATCTAAGTCTTCTCCCACTAAAGTATCATTAGAAACGTTATTAATATTATTATTATTATTATTATATATGATTGTTGGTTTTCTTGTTATATCTAATGGTTGAATTATACTATCTTGAGAATTACTATCAAGTAAAGTAGCATTTGAAATTGATTTTGAACTTGTCGAATTTAATAACAATTGTAAATCTTCCTCTGTATAATATAACTTTGAAGTATTCAAACTTATATTTATATCTTCTTGTATTTTTGAATGAACACCCAAAAATGATGAACCATCAATTGAAATAACTTTAATATCATCATCTATTGAATTTTCAACCGAACACATCGATATAATATTAGTGTTAGAAGCTGGTAATATTGTTCCACATTGTCTTTGATCATATTTGCTTTTACTTAAACTATCTAGACCTTGAGTTAAGCCACAGTTTATTGTTTGATTAATATTATCTATGTTTAAACCGTCTGATGATAAATCCCAATGAATTATATTACCATCAGATCCACCACTTATAATATCATTATTATTAATCCATTCCAAACTAGTAACTTGGGTATTTCTCAAATGACCAGATAAATTTAATATAGAATCTTGTTTTCTTAAATCCCATAATCTCACAACACCATCTTCATTACCAACAGCCAATAAATTTTCATTATTAAAATTCCATTTGATAATATTGGCTGTGCAGCTTGTAGGTTCTTGATTTGGGACATTAAATTTACACTCTCTTAAATCAAATAATGAAACACCAAATTTACCACAAATTGATAAATAATTAGGATTATTTAAATTGACATCAAAATTCTTTATATTTGGTATGGTCGAAATAGTTAATGGAGATGGTTTTAATTGAGTATTTGAATTTTTTATATCCCAATTAAATAAATGTGAATCATTGTAAATCGTTATTAAATTTTGATAGTTGTTTGTTAATTTTAATTTCTTAATAGGTTGTGAAATTGTATTGGTTTTCTTTTTCAAATATTTTCTATGATTGAACCTTTTAAATATTTCTGCTGATGGCTCGTCATCCAAATCTATTGAATCATCATCTTCTATAGGAATTGAAATTAGATGAGCATAACCTTTATTATTCCCAGTGATTAAATACTTTGAGTTTAACCATTCCATATTATATATACTTGATAACGAAATCGTACTATGATGTATCAAATGATTATTATTCAAATTTAACTCGTATATGAATAAATTATTTTCTGTATAACCTGATGATATTGCAATTTTGGGTATATTTGAATCATTATTTTGTGTAATTGCCAAACTTGTTAAATTTAATTGTGAATCTGGTATTTTCCAATAATTTGATTTAACATTAGTTTTATTCAATGAACATGATTTATACAAAACTTTAGTATCATTTGGATTATTTGAATTTAATAACCATGAGGATGAACTGGAGTTGTTATTATGTAAATATGAAAAATTTTTAGTCTCTTGATTCAAGGATAATGAGTCACAACTTGATATTGGTGACAATGATGGATTAAACTTTTTAATTGCATTTGCTCTAAACAACAAAGTTGGTTCATAAAATTCAGTCATAATTAATACGTTGATTTGAAAGGATAACAAGAATTGTTTTCACAATTTGTAAAACCTAACCATATTTATATATAAAATCTTGTTTATAATAGATAAGGCTTGCTTGTTGACATCATCTATACTTAAACAATTATGCTGGTTGGCAAAACTATTTTAAGAAAATTTGATGCATTTATTCTGGCTAAAACTGCTACCATGTGTCAAGAGATTATTCTATGTAAAGAAAATTCCATGCTGGCAATAAATATGGGCTCATAATTTCAACTATGAATTTTGTTATTATACAAATTAGGATAACCAAGCTTGAGAGGCATGAGTATCAAATCTCAGTGCCGACCTCTCGGGCGTGGGATCTGAGATCTGAGATCTGAAATCTGAAATCTAAAGCCGGTTATATGCAGTATTGCAGCTGCAAATTATTCGCGCTACCAATTGGGTGCTGGTTGATTTTACCATTTGCATTAAATTTATACCAAAACTGGAACTCAGAATTCACGTGATTAATTATTTGTTTACTTACTACTAGTAATTTATTAGATTTGTTTGTTTATTCAATTATCTTCTTTTATATATACAAGGCTTCAAAAGCCAAGAGCCTTCTGCTTTCTTTTCTCTCTTATGTTCCAATTTTTCTTTTTCAGTTTCATCTTCAATGAATTTTCTTTTCCTATTTTGTTTTTCTTCTCTATCTTTTAATATATCCAATGGTGGTTTGAAAAATTCAAATCTTGTGAACATTTTATTTGAATTGTCTGTCAGTTTATGAAAGAATCCACATAATTTTAAAGTTTCGACAAATTCTTTACCTACTGATTCTTCACTATCTTGTTGGTTTTTTTCAGTTTCTGAAAATCTTGATTTAATTTCGGCAATCCATAATTCACCTCTTGGTATTAATAATCTGTAAGCTTCTTTTATAAAATCCAAAAAGTTTGTACCCATTAAAGCTAAACAAAAAATAACTACTGAACATGACTCATCAGACAATGGTACATTTTTAATGTCTGCAACCGTTATCCTATCATTATACTTTTTCAAATCAAATGAATGAACTTCAATGTTTAATTTTCTACCTTTAATTTTCTTGGATTGTTTAGAAACAAAACTATTCACGTCTAATGCCAATTGTGCTTCACCACATCCCATATCAGCAATAACAACTTTTTTATCTTTTAAACCAGGTAAACCTCCAGGTGCATTTACATTTTTCTTTATACCTCTGGTTTTGATTTGATCAACGAATACATTTACTGGATTTTCTGGCCATGATTGAACTTGTGATTTGAATCCTTGATGATACTCATCAAATAAAACTGGCTGTTCTTGAATTAATTTCAATGCATCTTCTGACTTAATGGTGTATAGCTTTTCATTAATCCACCTGAACCTAGATCCTGATAATTTATTCATCATTTTCTGCTGCAATGGAGTCAATTTGGATGTTACAGGTATTGGAGCTGACTCTAATTTTTCCGTCTTTTCATCTTTTGATTCTTTGTTGTTATTTTTAGACCTTTCAGTTTTGGAACTGTCATCACTCTTTTGTTTTATTTTCTTATTTTTATCTTTTTTCTCTATCTTTTCTTGTTTACTCGATTTATCTTCTATTTTATCTGAATTTGATTGTAGATTTGAACTAGCAAGTTCTTCATTCTCCCTATTTTCTTTCCTTTTTGCTAGTCTTCCTTTCTTCTTTTGATTCTTACTTTTCTTTTCGAGTACACCACCTAATTTAATACTCTTTGTGTCCAATTTCCAACCTGTTGGTTCAAATAACATATTGATATATTTATAGTGATGAGATCAAATTATCTTTTTTTTTTTTTTTTTTTTTTTATTTAATTCGTAAACGAGACGTAAACATATAACGAATTCATTAATTGATAACAATGATATGACTACAGAAGCAATACCAACAGCAGTTACTGCTGTACCAGATTGGGCTCCAGGAGAAAATCATGTTGTTTTGAGAGAACAAGAATTAAATTTTTATGCTCCAGAAGTTTTTCATAATTGTCAAATTATCGATAATTATATCCCTTTATTAATTCATGATATTAATACTTCACAAGACATCTATCAAATTTACGTGAATCATGTTGGATGTCTTGATTATTTAATAATGGTAAACAATTGGCCAATTAAGAAGGTACAGGTATTTGGTAGAATAATTGAAGAAACGATAATGTCTGAGAAAAGTTTAGTTTTGATAAAAATTGATGATTCATCTGATGATAATTCGTGTATTACATTGAGACTAAAGATTGATTTGTTTCTTCTGATTGGCCTAAACATGTACGATAATTATGGTAAAATAATATCGGTAGAAGGTAAAATTTCAAGAATTAAATCTAATGTACAAATATTGGTTGACGAAATAAAGATACTTAGACATAGAGATACATTATCAATTGAAATAGATTGCTGGAGAGAAAGATTAGATTACCGAAATGAGATTTTACTGAAACCGTGGGTTTTTTCACCTCAACTGAAAGAAGTTCAGGTTGTTTATACTCCAAAATTTTCTCCTCGTGAAATAAAGAGACAAGAAGAAAAGAATAAGTTGAAAGTTGTTAATCCTATTGCATTTGAAAGTCAATTGATAGAGGATAGTTTAAATATTTACAGAGATGTGAATGGTCCTAAATATAAAAACGAATCACCAACAAAAATAACCAACGAAGTTTTAATAGAGATTCAGATTTGCAAATACATCATACAGAATAATTATCCGAAGATTAAGTTTACTCAATTGTTGAACAATATAAAAGTATCAGAGTTGTTGAATAATTTAACCAGCTACAAGTATCAGACTTCTCCTATAAATTTACAACAGAATGTACAAGCTTATAAATCAATTATTTTCAGGAAAATACAATACGATTTACAAGAAAATTACAAACTTATATCTGTTTCTGATGATATGATCAAATCAAGCAATTTAAAAGAATTAGTAAAAAGATTAAAGAAAATTTTAAAACGATTACCTACAGGTTCTAAGCTATTAGTTGAGAAATTAACTGATTTATTCATTAATAAAGGATTAGTAGGTAATGTTAATGTTGATTTAATAAACGGTTTGATTGATTATGTTAAAGATGAGGAAAGAAATTGGGTTTATGATAAAACTGCAGAGGCATGGTCATATACTGGTAGTAAACGAAGATTCATGACTTGATATACTAACAGAAAATTGCTGGTTATTTGACTCCTACTCACATAAAGAATAAAAAGTTTAGTCATGGTGATCTTATGAATCATTTACCTTACTATACAAAAGATAATGAAGATTTGTAATAAGGTTGCTCGTAAGCTTTTTAAAAGTATGTATTTTTTTCCAGGCAAAAATTTGTCGCGCCATAAATAATTTGTCGCCTTAATCCTAAGGCGACTCGTGCGAAATATATTAGTTTACATGTCATGAACAACATAGTCTCTCAAATTAAGACACAAATTTATAAAATCAGGAGGAGCCTTAGAATATATATTCTATGTATGTCAATACTTAAGATTCAACTTTTTTTTTTTGCAGTTGTCATTTTGGCCCTTTTTCACCATACAAAAAATTTGCAGAAATTGAAATTGCTTGTATGTTTTAATTTGACTCCACAACATTCAAGTAAAGGGCTGTTTATACACATTAGACCTCGAATGAAGGGGCTGGAACTGTTTCTGTATAATTTAAGTCAAAATTGAAAAATTTCGACATTTTCTCTTAAGTATGGAGAAAAATGAATAAATTGACCTTTCGAAAAATCTAGTTCCACTTTTGAAATCTGAATTTAAACATAATAGAATTATCTAGATTTTTAGATCCTGTACGCTAATGAAATTTGAAGTTTTCAGAGGGACGGTGATCAAAATCGGGATATTAATTTTTCAGAAGTGGTTCGAAATTTTCGAAAAAATTTCAAAACTATAATGGCTTCTGGAAAACACAATATATAGCCTTTTTGGGACTAAGTTTACCAATTCAGCTATACTAGAGATTGTTAAATAAAGTCTAAAGATTATTTATCTAGCAAAATAGCGTTTTTTAGATTTTTTGAATGTGGAACAACATCATCATAATTATATCTATTCAGCTTATTTAAACAACAATTTACTTTAAATAACTGAACAATTATATTGAAGTTAGTTTGAGAGAGAAAGCTCAAATATTGAATGAGTTATTCACAATTCAAATTTCAAGATCAACTATTATAGTACTGCATATAAGTCGATCTGTTCCATTTGGTAGCTCAATTTTCGGATATAGGCGATATTTAAAAATCTTGATCTCTCATTAATCTAAATTGTTTAATCTTGTAGCTTTTCAATCAAAAAACATACTATGGTTGACCCAATAACTTGCCATATCCTAGATACAACCTTAGGTAAACCAGCATCAAATGTAATTGTTCAATTATATCATGTTTCAGATACTTCAGAAACTGCCAAAATACAACAATTTGCAATCAGTAGAACTGATAATGATGGACGAATTAAAAATTGGACATTTGATCAAAATAATGCCGATAATGAAAAATATGGGATACAGGGCAATCAATGGGTCAAACTAGTTCCTGGAGTATATAAGATTAAATTTTTAACCGGTAAATATTTCATAAATCAAAATAATAATAGAACTTTCTTTCCATATGTTGAAATTATATTTCAGGTTGATGATCCTGACGAACATTATCATATACCTTTGTTATTGAGTAATCATAGTTATACTACTTATAGAGGTAGTTAATATAGACTAAAAGTTTAAAATGTATACTAAAAATATCGATGGAAAAATCTTGCAGTAGATAGTTAATTGTATATTTAAAATCTATATGTATTCCTAATAATAAAAATGGGTGTTATTCTGAGAACTTTCATGAACTAGCATCTCATTACATTTATATAAATTAACTTCATTCTTTATCTTATTTATCTCTTTTGGATCATTTAATGAATATTGAGTAACGGCTTTATTATAACGTTTATACAAATCTGAACTAAACGTTTCATTAATACTAATCTTATTAGCAAAAAACACCCTCTTACGTTCCTGCTTCAAATCATTACCTTTTTTAAGAATTGGTCCCAACTTTATCTCGTTCACATTCAATTCCACATTAGACAAATCTTCAAATTTTTTTAACCTCACGTTAATTGATTTATAATCTTTAAATTGTTTAACATATTTTAAATGAGGTGGTAAATCTTTTAATTCTTCAGCTGATAAATTAACCAATTCTTCCAATTGTGCATTATCTATTCTAATGTTCCCTTCTTGATTTCTCTCCTCTTCATTTTTAAAGGTTTCGCTTATTGGAGAAACACCCACATTATCAATATTATTCACAATTTGATAATAATTTTGTAAAACATCATTATTCTCATTATTTATTTCTTCATTACTTGAATTTTTTGAATCTCGTAATTGTTGATCTTTGATTTGATCTTTTGTCAATTCATCATCTTTCAAAAATGGCTGAAAACGAATATCAGTTGAAATTTCTATAGTTGGTGGTGGTTTTTTAGTTGGAGTTAAATTATTTTCAAACTTTTCAATTCCATCAAATGAGATCATTAACTCATCAAGAAATCCAGTTTTTTCAGGCTCAAATTCTGGTAATCTCCCTACTTCACTTATTATAGATGATCTTTTGTCCTCGATTATCACTGGAGTTTGAATTGGAATTTCTTTCTGTTTTTTATGTTTTTTGAAAAATGATTTAATTGATGAAAAGTTTATTGATGTAGATTTTGGTAATGATAATTTTCTAGGCTGTTGATGATTTGTTACAGCTGGAGATGATTTTTGAGAAGATTGTGAGTTAGGTTGTGATTTAACAGGTGATTGAGGTTTTGGAGAAGATATTTTTTTTTCAAAAGATCTAGTGACTGATTTAATAGGAGACTGAGGTTTCGGTGACAGACTAATGAGTGGTGGTGGTTGTTTTAGTATTTCCTTATTCTTCTCTTCGTCATTCTTAGTATCTGATTCATCTAACAATAAGGATTTTACTTGTTTTGACGATTTTTTCTTCCTACTTCTACCTTTAACTTTCATATTTGGAGATTTTGGTGGTAATACAGGTGGAGTATCAGGTGGAGTATCAGTGAACTTTGTAGTATTCGGAATTGAATTTGATGATAACTGGAAGGGTGTTGAGTCCTTTGTATCAATTTCTAATTTCGGAGTGTTTGGAGCTGATGCAGAAGTTGGTTGTTGTAATTTTGGCTGTTCCATAATAAACGTAGCTGAAGAGGTTGATGATGCATTTCTGTAATGTTTTCTAATTTTATTACCATTGTCAATTACCACCACATCACCTCTTGGAGGTACATTTTTCTGATCATCATTTATAAATTTATTAAATTTTGATGAAATATTATAATCATAAAAATAATTTGAATTACGATCTTTAGGGGTTGTTGGATTTGAATATGTTATAAATAAATGTCTAAAATTAGTAGATTTAATTTTTGGAGTACTTGAAGCTGAGTTTTTTATAACTTGCAGTTCAGGAGAATCTTGCAAATATGATTCAACTAATGAAATTGTTGGGTCAGGTAATGAATTATTTGGTTCTTCATAAACAAATGAGCCGCCATTTATGTTTACATTTTCAGTAGATGATGATTTAATTTGATGAATTGGAGTTACATTCTCTTTAGATAATTTGATTTGCTGAACTGGAGTTATAATTTCATGTGATTTTGATTTAATTTGTTGTATTGGTGTTATATCTTCTTGGGACGTTGATTTGATTTGTTGAATAGGTGTTATATCTTCTTCTTTAAATGATTGTTGATCAACTGGTGTTTTTATTGGTGTTTTGTAATCATCAGTTGAAGAAGATGATAAGATTTGCTTCAAAATTGGTTTCGTTGGAGGTTGTTCATAATCAGAAGAATTTGAAGTGTCTGAATATTCTTTTGATAAATCCTCATTTAAACCTGAATGTGATTCTACTAACTCATTACTTTGTTCAACATCTTCCTTTGTCTCTACTATAGGTTCAACGTTTTCATTTGAAATTTCTACTTGTTCATGTATTACTGGTGATTTGAAACTATTTCTTGATTCATTTGCATTTACATCTTCAGTATTTTGTATAGGCAAAATTGAATCCAATTTATTATTAGTCAATTTAAAAGTTTCTTCTGTTGCTTCGTTCAATGTACTCAAACCAGTATCATCAGTAGTATCTTCCAATGACAAATTCGACTCTCTACTATTTCTATCATTAATCAAAATATGGTGTGACTCGTGTGTCTTATTAACGGTATGGGGAAAATTATTGTTATGTTCATCACCAATAGAAGTTGAAGGGGTATTGCTGGTTGTTACTTCTAAATTATTATGATTATTAGATGACTTAGATGATAATGATGAAGAATTTGAGGATGAAGTTGAAGTTGAATTTGAAAGATGTTCACTATTTGTAGTATTTTGTGATTTGAAAACAAAAGAAGTTGAATTATTTGGGTGTTGATGATCATTATTTGTAGTATTTTGTGATTTGAAAACAAATGAAGTAGAGTTATTTGGGTGTTGACGATCTTGTTCTTGTTCTTGTATTGTTATATTAGTAGGTGTATCATTGAAACTACTTCTTATGCTTTTGGTCAAACTTTGTTTTCTACTATAACTGTTTGATCTTAGCTGAGTTAATGAGCTAGCTGAACCTGATGTATGTAGTTCCTGTTGATAGATTGGTGATGCTGAATTTGAATTGTCATTTTTAAGATCAGTTGAAATCTTATTTGGTCTATTCTTTCTCTTTGATGTTGGAGTTGTTCTTGGTCTAAACACTTCACCATTCGGAAAATAATAAATACCACCTTTTGAATAAAAACTAGAATTATTACTTGATATACTGTGATTACTGATAGATTCGGTTGAATGATTTCGATTATAACCAATTGGTAGTATATTGCTATTGCCATTGCTATTACTATTAATATTACTGTGCATATTCAATGGTTGTTTTGCCTTAGTTGGCTTCTTCAAAAATTTATTATCCACATTTAGTAGATTATCAGTGGACAAATCTCTTGTTATTGAGCTCATTGAATTTATTGAATTTATTGAATGTATTGAATTTGTTCCCATGCTTTTTTTACAATTTTTATAATTCTTGGTTTATATATGAATAATTATGTAGTGAAAAATAAATATGCGACAACCTAAATTAAGTTGAAAAATACTGTCAGTTATAAATTTAAAACGAATGAAAATTGATTAAGCATATAAGTAAATTTGATATTATGAGTGATAATCTGATTTAGTATTATTGAATATTAATATCAATAATTTGTAAACTATCTAAACTATATGAGATCTTAGATCTGCCCTTCCCTCAACTGAAAACAAATAAAAATAAAATAAATGGATAAACGCTTATTTTGTCTTTTGATTTGACTTTCTTCAACTGTTAAACTGATAAAAGCAAATTAATAATCGTCAATTTCAATGAAATACTCCTGGTTTATAATAAAATAAAATTTTTGATTAGCAATTTTTTATTTATTGTTGTGATTTTTTAGTTTTAATTTTTTTTTTTTTCCCTTTTTTTAGTTCGAGATTTGATAGCCTTATATATTTTATACGATACGAGTAAATTATATGAATTGTCAATTATAACCAATTATAACCAATAAATACCAAATTACGGTAAAATAGTACGATCAAGTTTACATTAAATGTTGTAGAATTAATACTAGTACCTTGAATCTGCTAATGAAAAGTAGGAACCAAAATTTTTAATTTAAAATAATAAAATAATACGCAAATCACCAGAATATGATAATTATTAAAATTTTGTCTATCAAGATGATGATATAAACAAATTTTACAATATTACTTAACCAATAAATAAGACGATTAACCTATTAAAAAATAGCGAATGGCAAGTAAAAAATACACAAAAATGTTAGTATTCAACTTAAACTTTTGGGCTACAAATCAATTCTGAAAACTAAAATATTAGATATAATATTAGATATCCGACTTCTTTCTATTGTTCAAGTATAGTTGAATTTGTTATATTGTATTAGTAACATATATATATTTATATATATATATTATTTCTACTTCTATCATATATCAATCTCTAACCCTGTCCTTAGAATTAATTTTTCTTAGCCTTTTGCAACCATCGCGAATTAAAAAATTATAACCAAATCAGCTGGTGTTGCATTTCCAAATTCGGTTGTGAAAATTTTCTAAAAATAGGAAATTGGTAGCGTATATGCAGGATTTAATTGGTAGTGTATATTACGACAAAATGTTAATTTTGTGTATTACTTTTTCAGGTTCAATTTGACACAAAAAGGGTAATGAATAAATAAAACTAAAAGTTATAGCCGATTCGATTACTAGTATAGATCTAAATCCTCTATTAATTCATATAACTGTTGATTAGATCGATAAGCCTTTAAATAGCTTGCTTGTCCCACCTTGATCTTGTGTTTTAGATCTGCTTTGAGAATTAAATCGCCAAAGCACATAAAGTTGTTTAAATAAAACCAAACATTACAACCTAAACCCGTGATAAAGTCGATTTTTTGATGCGCTACCACTTGTTACAGAAGTTTTGTTGCAGTATTTCATGTTTTTCAAAGTCTCAACAGTTTTTGTATACAATTTTGTAAAACAATTTGACCCCACCACTAAAATTTTAATGTCAACATATCTCAATTAACCTCTACCCAATTGAGTATGAACAATATATACCACAAACTACTTTTTAATAATCGTTTTTTTTTTTTTTTTTTCTTGAGAATTGACGTATGCTTTTAATTTGGCTGCGAAAAATATCAAAATAGTATCAAAATAGTATCAAAATAGTATCAAAAATACCAATAAATATTAAAGCAACATACCTTACTTTTTTTTTTTTTTACTAATGATTAGCTATGAAGCTAGAATCAATTCTATTCCTAATTTATCTAATTTTGTCGGTTTCATGTTTTGAATTAACTGTAAATGATGAAGATATTGAAGATCCGGTTCATGTACTAAAATCAAAATTTAAACCATATTTACCAGAATTAAAAGATCACATTGAAATACCAATTAAAGACACTCAAAATACAATTCGAGAATCATATATTCCAAATAAGATCAAAATGAAAAGTCTTCGATCAAAGTTCAAACAAGAATTACCAACATCAGTAACCAAATTTAGAAATAAAATTAATCTTGAAACGGTGAAAAAAGAAAGTAATGATAAGTCATCGCAAGATAGTCCAGTTAACTCTAAAATTGATTCAAAAATGATGAAAACTAAACGATCTTGGATAAAAGATTTTTTAAAATTCAAAGATAATAAGAAGGATAACAAGGAGTTACACTCTTCTATTAAAAATTACGATGATACGTTAAACAACCCTGATGATTTGAAAAAATGGACTAAATTGATTGTTGATGAAGATATTAAGGAAAATAATAATATTATTCGGTCTAAATCATTTATTAATCAAAATGAAATTGAAATTGATATTGAAGAATTTATAAATTATTTAGTTAATGAACAAGGTTTTAATCCTCAAGATTTAGAATTTTTAAAAATCAAAGATTTAGATTATGGATTAAATGAAATTGAAAATGAATTGAATAAATTAGGTGACCCTCATTTAATTGATATCGGAGGTGAAGATTTAAAAAATCATGCAAGTAATTTAAATTTAAACTGCTCTTATTTTGGTTTGATTATCTTCTTATTATTTTTGAATTGAATACTTTTCAATTTAGGTCATAGGTTCTTGAATATATCTAATAATTCAACGTTATCATATTCTGGTTTGTAGTGTAAAGTAAGTGTAATTGGTAGCGTTTGAGAATTGCTGCAATTTATATGCTGCAAAATTTGTTTAGTTTCGATTTCAGTTACGGTTATTAAAAATGGTTTGCAATTGTTTGTACATTTTACTTATGGTTGATATTAGTGTTTATGAGATGAGATAAGATAAGATGAGATGACGGCAATTCTGGAGTATTCTACCTTAGTTAAAAATTACAAATGGAGCTTAATTAGTTGAATGAACTTCAGCTTAAAAGACTCTCGTGTGCTATAGTTGATGATTTAATCGTATATATTTATTCATCTAACTTACTCAAAACATCTATATTTGTGGATGATAATCTCCATAAGATCATCATAAATACAGTTTTATAAGGACTAAATTTTTCAGCTATATATTTCACATAAGCATCATGAATAGGTATCCAATTTCGTTTACTATTTTCCTTACTTGCAAATTTAGTCTTTCTTTTCAATAATAATTGAGTTGGTTCATGATTTGCACTCTCATTTTTTATCAACTTAAAATATTCTGGTCTTATTTTAAGATATCTAGCCATACCTCTAGCAATACCCAAATCATCCTCAGCAAATACATTCATCTTTTCCAATGTAAAAATTGCAAACATTTTAGCAGACCATGGACCAATTCCTTTCAATTTACATAATTCTAAAATGATATCTTCAATTCTAGAATCTTGATAAAAATTTATATTTGTTAATTTATGTGATGGATCATTAAATGCTTCACTTATATCCATAACATATTTAACTTTTGAATTTGAAAAACCAACTGATCTTAATTCTTCATGAGTGAAAGATAAAGTTTTTGCAGGGGTGGGTATCTCATCTTGAAATAATTGTTTAAATTTAGATTCAATTGATTTTGCTGCTGATCCAGAAATTTGTTGTGCTATTACTGAAGATACTAAATTATACCAATAATCATGTATTAATGCGTTGTTCTTTGCCACTTTATTGATATTGAATCTTTCGAAATTGGAATGTACAATTACGGGATATAAGCTAGGATCAACTTTTAAAATATGTCGAATGCCTTCAATGAAATCAGATGTATGATAATTTATATATTCTTGTGGTAATGCTAAATCTTTAGGTATGGCAATATGAGTTAATAAATCTTCTAAATCAGAATGTGATTTGATTAATTTTGGTTTAACTTTTGCTACTAATTTTGGCTTCTTAATTTTTGAGTTTGTAATTATTGGTTTAACATCCATAATTTCATCTTCTATTGGTGTTATTGATTTTGATGATCTTGTCTTTGCCACCATTTTAATTAAAGTATGTGAAAGCAAACTACCGAACTTTTGCGTGTTAAAAGGTTTTTGCTATCAACCTAAATATTTTCGTTTGAAACGAAGCTTTCAGTCGATGTCAAACGAAACCACAGACAAATACTTTTTAGCTTAAGGCGAGATCAGAAGCCATGTTCCCGTTCTACAAATGCCTATGCCCGTATTTTAGAGCGCGAGAGAAAATAAGCGCTAGCACCAGCTTTGAGACGACCAGGTACCACATATATTAATTTATAAGTCATGAATAACGCATTTTCTCAAGTTAAATGCTGGTCAAATGAATCAGAGTCTTTTAGCTTTACACTCTATGTATTATGTTATCTCTTAATTGAATTTTGGACTTTTCTTTATTATACATAATTTGGACAAGTACAATCCCTCATCAATAACTAACAATTATAGTCAAATATACACTCTATAATAAACTACTTAATGTTCTATACTTCTTTTCTTATGCTAAATTTACAGTGTATTAATTTTGTTGTATGTGAATCTTCAATATATTAATTTTTTTGCAACCAATTTTTGAGATTTTTACAACCAATTTCAAAAAAATGTCAATTTATTCCGAACTTTCAGATCCATTTACAATTATTGCTCCATTAAGTTCAAGAGAAGCATTAGTTGGTTCATTAAATTCATTCAGTTCTGGTATTAGTTGTTTATCAGATATACATGTAAAACAACTATCAAAATATCAAAATATTATGCAAACAATTAAAACAAAATTATCAAAATTTATCAGATACAAACCGAAGTTTTCAAAGAAAAAGAAGAATACTTATGCGGATGCTCATTTATTGATGATGTTTTAATCCCATCAAATCATGTTACAAGACCAATTTCTTTTCCACAATTTGGAGATTGGCAAAATAAATCAATTCATTCTACATCTCCTCATGAATCCATAATTTTTTAAAAGATATATATTGCTTCGGACTAGTACTAAGTATATTTGCAATCTTACAATTTGGTTGGAATTTTATCATTATTTAAAAATTCACTTAGTTTCTTCTTCATCAATATTTGTTTATAGTCCTTACCATATTTTTCATAATACTCTTTATCATTTTCCCTTTGGTAGCTGTTAAAAGTTTCCACTACAAATTTATTAATTGAACTAATTATTAAATCTGGTGATTGGGCATGCATATTATGATATTGATTTTTTAAAATTGTCAATGTCTTAGCAAATGCTAATTGTTTCTTAATTTCAGGAACTATCATATTTGAATTTAAATCTTTATCACCACAGATTATTTTAGTTGGAACTTTTATTTTATCATAATCAAATGATGGGTTATTAATTGAATAACTATAATTTACAAAATCATACAATCCATTATGTTTTAAATCAACTTCATTATAATAATGTGATCTTTGGTAATTGTTTGGTATTTCATCTTCAATCATATTTCTTAAAATTATGGGCTCAAAATATTTATAAAATGATTTATTGGTATAATGTTGATAAATTAATTCATACCAATTCTGGTTTGGTGGTATATTATCAAAATTATATTTTATATAACCTTGATTATACCAATCTTGTAGATAATTAGTTAAACTTTTATCAACTGTTGAGTTTGAAATAACTATTGGATTAATCAAAATTGATGATTGAAATAAATTTGGTTCAAAATTGGTTATATTTAATGCTATATAACCACTCATTGAGTGTGAAACAATAACATTGAACGAATTTGGATGAAGAAAAGTTTCCCTTTCATGAATTTTACAAATCATTATATAATCCTTTGCTAAATCTTCCCAATCACAAATATGTCCTAATTTATCTTTATTAATAAAACATGAATCTCCCATATTAACATGATCTGGTGCTATAATTGTATCGATATATAAATCTGGAAAATTTAATTCATATTGTGTAAATAATTTATCAATATGATAATGCCAAATTGATTTATTCATACCATTACCATGTAAAAAAATAAAATTAATACGTTTAGCTTCAGTTGGAATACTTTTTGTTGTTTTATATTTTCTATAAGCTATTTTTAATTGATAATCTTCAAATAAATGACTTGGTGTTGACAATACAACTGAACCCGGTTTTCTTGGATTAGAAGCATCCTTAATTTTTAAAGTATATTCATAATAAGGTGAATAATTTGGATATAATTGCATTGTAAATAGTTAGTTTATTCTTGGATAAAAAAATTAAGTTGGGATCTGGATTAAATTTATATATAAATTTGAAATCATTTGTCAGGAGATTAAAAATGAAATTCTCGGATAAATTATTATTTACGAAGTATGGGGCATGAATAAAAAAGACGAATAGAACATCAACTTATACACAATATGAAATTGTACATTAACTATAAATATGAAATACATGATTGATATAATTGAAACAATAGGTTAATTAAACTTCTTGGCTATAAATAAGATGATTTTATATCCTTTTATTATGACGGCGATGCAATAATACCCAGACTTTCATGAATAATGATTGAATATGAGAATACATTTAAAATTCTCTCAGTTTATATCAATGTAAAAATTATCCATATTTCAATAATGTCAAAAGTGTATTGTTATTATTGATGTTTATGTCATAAATTTGTTTCAGACATGAAACGCGTAAATCAAATCATTAATTTTTTTTTGAAGAAACTTTAGCCATACGACTTTACAATTGATATTAATGATATTGATATAACAACAATGACTTCAAAATATAAACCGTTAAAAGGTTTAGTGTTTTGTTGTACTGGTTTTGATAATTCGACTCGTTTAGATTTACTGACAAAAATTGAATCATTAGGTGGTTTTACTTATTTAGATTTAATGACTGATGTTAATTATTTAATTGTTGGTAAAAGACAATCACAAAAATATCAGTTTTGTATTAAAAATAGATTTGATATTAAATTTATTTCTAAACATTCAATTTATAATATTTATAATAAATGGTTAAATGGTGATGATAATTTAATCATTGATGATTTTTTACTACCAGTTTTTGAAAATATTGATGCATGTATTTCAAGAAGTCCAATTACTCAATCTCAATTAAAGATTTTAAATTCTGTTAGTTATAGAAAGGGTAAAAAATTAAGTGTTGATTATTTTGATGTTAAAAATTTGATCAATTTATTTATTGAAAATGGTGGTATTGCAAAAGAATCATTAGGTAATAAATCACATTGTATTATTTGTTCTTCACCAAATGGTAATAGATATAATAAAGCTGTTGAATGGGGAATACCTGCTATTCATCCAATTTGGGTTGTTGATTCCTTGATTAGAGGTGCGGCCTTAAATTGGGATGATTATATATTAAATGAAAATTCAAATGAAAAATACACTCAAGGGTGTCTCGTATGGGACGAAGTTGTTGAAAACAATAATCAGGTACTAAAACCAAAAGTTAAACAAGAAGAAGTTGAAACAGCTAAAAAAATCAATATAAATAATAGTGAAATTTGGAGTTCAATTATGGATAAAACCAAAAAAAAGATCAAGAATGTAACAACAAACGAGTGGAAATCTGATGACGAACAAGAAGAGGAGGAAGAGGAAGAGGAAGAGGAAACAACAGAATTTAAAAAAACAGAACTCAAAACAGATTTCAAACTACTAATTGGGTTTAACTTTTTACTTATTGGTTTTAATACAAAAGAATCTGATTTATTATCTAAAGCAATTATGAATGCACTGGGTGAAGTTTCAAATGATGCATTAGATGATTCAATTACACATATTATTGTACCTGCTAAGAAAGGCTCAACATTCAGTCAATCATTAAAATCATTACCACAAGAATTAAAAGCAAAAATAACAAATGGTTTAGTTAAAATTGTAACTGAATTTTTCATTGAAAGATGTTTATTTTATAAAAAGAACATATATGATAAATGGGGTCAGCCTATACAAGGATTGATAGAATCCACTACTTGCTTCAAAGTAACAAGTAGTGGATTTACTGGAATTGAATTACTCCATATTCAAAAATTAATTAAATTTTTGAATTTTGAATACTGTGAAAAATTAACAAATGAAATAGACTTGATTATATTGAATATCAATTTATTTAAAGCTAGTTTTATTAAAAATTCACCGAAACTATTCCAATATAAAAAGACCAAAGATATAATTAATTGTCCAACATACCAATCACATAACAATTCATCCGTCTCAATAATATCTGCAAAGAATAAAATAGATGCAGCTAAAAAATGGAATATACCTGTAGTTTCATTATCATATTTATTTGAAATTTTTGAATTATCAACAAATAAACATCATACAGTATTACCTGATATTTGTGATTTACATTGGTGTATATTTGCACCCAAAACTTATAATAAACCAAAATCATTAATTGAATATATCAATAATTTAAATGAACGAAGTAAGAGAAGTATTAGTGAAGTGACTTATTATAGTAATAGCAGTTTTACTGATGAAAATGGAAGTATTAAGTTACCATCACCAAGGAAAATACAATCAAAACAAAAATATGGTAGAATAGCAGGAAGATCACCACAATCCATAAAGAATAAATTGATTCAAGCAGCAGAGGAAGAAGAGTCACAAAAGCAACTACCCGAAATGGCTTATGAAGAAGAGTTATCACAAGTTTCATATCAAGATCATGAATCAATGATTAATAAAGAAAATTTACTTAGGAAATTAGACGATAATTCAAATATTCATGGTAGAACTGCAACTACAATAGTAAATAGTACTGAAACTAATAAAAGACGAAAAATGTAAAATGTTATAGCCCTGTATCACGTGGCACACGGCTGAAACTCTAAATCGTAAAATGGAAATGAACTGTAGTTACTGATTGAAAGACAATAAACAAATAATGATTTACAATGTAGTTGTCTACCATTAATATTATCAAATTTACTCAAACATTGATATTATCCTGTATTTGATTACTCTTGTTGGGGTTTGTTGTTTACTTTGCTTAATTGGTAGTTCTTAACTATGAGTGAGTAATATTTATATTTTTTTTTTTTTTTTTTTTTAGCTAAAACATATTAAAATTTTTTCGCAATTTTTTTTTCCTTTTCTTTCTTTCTTTCTTTCAACAGTATTATTAATAATTAATCATGGGTAAAGAAAAAACTCACGTTAACGTTGTTGTTATTGGTCACGTCGATTCAGGTAAATCAACCACCACCGGTCATTTAATCTATAAATGTGGTGGTATCGATAAAAGAACCATCGAAAAATTCGAAAAAGAAGCTGCTGAATTAGGTAAAGGTTCATTCAAATATGCTTGGGTTTTAGATAAATTAAAGGCTGAAAGAGAAAGAGGTATTACCATTGATATTGCTTTATGGAAATTCGAAACTCCAAAATACCATGTTACTGTCATTGATGCTCCAGGTCACAGAGATTTCATCAAAAATATGATTACTGGTACTTCACAAGCTGATTGTGCTATTTTAATTATTGCTGGTGGTACTGGTGAATTCGAAGCTGGTATTTCAAAAGATGGTCAAACCAGAGAACATGCTTTATTAGCTTATACCTTAGGTGTCAAACAATTAATTGTTGCTGTTAACAAAATGGACTCAGTTAAATGGGATAAAAACAGATTTGAAGAAATTATCAAAGAAACCTCAAACTTCGTTAAAAAAGTTGGTTACAATCCAAAATCTGTTCCATTCGTTCCAATTTCAGGTTGGAATGGTGATAACATGATTGAACCTTCAACCAACTGTCCATGGTACAAAGGTTGGGAAAAAGAAACCAAAGCTGGTAAATCAACTGGTAAAACTTTATTAGAAGCTATTGATGCTATTGAACCACCAAGCAGACCAACTGATAAACCATTAAGATTACCATTACAAGATGTTTATAAAATTGGTGGTATTGGTACTGTTCCAGTCGGTAGAGTTGAAACCGGTATCATTAAAGCTGGTATGGTTGTTACTTTTGCTCCAGCTGGTGTTACTACTGAAGTTAAATCAGTTGAAATGCATCACGAACAATTAGCTGAAGGTGTCCCAGGTGACAATGTTGGTTTCAATGTTAAAAACGTTTCAGTTAAAGAAATTAGAAGAGGTAACGTTTGTGGTGACTCTAAAAACGATCCACCAAAAGGTGCTGAATCATTTAATGCTCAAGTTATTGTCTTGAACCATCCAGGTCAAATTTCAGCTGGTTACTCTCCAGTCTTAGATTGTCATACTGCTCATATTGCTTGTAAATTTGACACTTTAATTGAAAAAATTGATAGAAGAACTGGTAAAAAATTAGAAGAAAATCCAAAATTCATTAAATCAGGTGATGCTGCTATTGTTAAAATGGTTCCAACTAAACCAATGTGTGTTGAAGCCTTCACTGATTACCCACCATTAGGTAGATTTGCTGTTAGAGATATGAGACAAACCGTTGCTGTTGGTGTCATTAAATCAGTTGAAAAATCTGATAAAGCTGGTAAAGTTACTAAAGCTGCTCAAAAAGCTGCTAAAAAATAAGCTTGATTGTTTATGATTAGTTGTTTAGTTTTGAGAACTTTAATAAAATTGTATAATTTTATATTTAAAATATAAAAATTACTATAAATTAATATCTCTATATTATTGAATAACAACTCCATAGTGATTGTGAAATAACAGATTTAGGGGGTGGGAATCCGATTGAATACGTTTTCTCTCTACCCCTTAAAACAAAAAAATATAAACAAATTATAATCAGCCTTTTTTGTGTATTCATCACCCCTTACGCCTAATCGAAGTAGTGAGGGTAAGACTTAAACTATGTATGAACAATCTACTAGGTGTTACTTTGTACTGTATGAATTTAAACCAGATCTTTTGAATATAATTATTGAGCTACCAATTTACTTGAACAATTCAATCTAAAAAACACAGGTTTTTATAAGCAATTCATTGACTAACGAAGTAAACTTCACAATTCAACAAAAGCTCAATTTAATTGAACACTTTGAGTTACCAGTTTTTATTCTTTTTTAGTATAATTTCTCAAAACTTTGCAAATTTAGCAATATTATCACCAAAATTGAAATATAGAGTACTGTTATACAAAATGATTCAACAGTAAAATTAAATTGACAATACAAAACATCTAATACCAACATCTTGGTATAAAGTTGCATAATTAACTGTTTGTTGATATTTGAAAATGGCTGCAAAAAATTAAAATATCGCAGGGCGTGCAATTTTGAACAACTTTTATTTTAAAACCTGATTTATTATTAAATAGATAAATATCATCACATACACATTATCAATTATTATACAATTATACAATCATCATGTCTTATAGTAGAAAGAAGTTATTATTGATGGGTAGATCAGGATCTGGTAAATCATCAATGAGATCAATTATTTTCAGTAATTATTCTGCATTTGATACAAGAAGATTAGGTGCTACTATAGATGTTGAATTATCTCATTTAAGATTTCTTGGTAATATGACATTAAATCTTTGGGATTGTGGTGGTCAAGATGTATTTATGGAAAATTATTTTACTAATCAAAAAGATCATATTTTTAAAATGGTTCAAGTTTTAATTCATGTATTTGATGTTGAAAGTAAATCTATAAATAAAGATATTGAAATTTTCGTTAAAAGTTTAACAAATTTACAAAAATATAGTCCTGGTGCTAAAATATTTGTATTATTACATAAAATGGATTTAGTTCAACTTGATAAACGACTAGAATTATTTACTATAATGATGGATAAATTACAAAAAATAAGTAATCCTTATAATTTTAATCTTGTAGGATTTCCAACAAGTATATGGGATGAATCATTATATAAAGCATGGTCACAAATTGTTTGTTCTTTAATACCAAATATTGATGTATTTAATAAAAATTTACTCAAATTTAATGAAATTTTAGATGCTGAAGAAATTATATTATTTGAAAAAACTACTTTTTTAGTAATATCATCAACTGCATCAATTAAACAACAACATGTACAATCACAAGAAGAATTGGATCCAAAAAGATTTGAAAAAATATCAAATATAATTAAAACTTACAAACAATCAGTATCAAAATTAAGAGCAAATTTTTATAATTTAATTATAAAAGGTAGTAATAAGAATTTTTACCTCGATGTATTAACTGAAAATATGTTTATAATGGTAGTATTAAAATCACAACAACAACAAAATGAAGAATTACTAATACTTGATAATATCAAAAATGCAAGAAAATGGTTTGAAAAAATTGAAAATGAAAATTAAATGTATACACTTGGTAGCATTATTTCTCTCGTAAATTATTAAACGATTCACGGCTAAAAAAATTTCTTTCTCAACAAAGGAGAGGGTATGGGTAAATTACTACAATTATTATTACATCCAACAGAATTAAAAGCTGTAATCCAATTATTAGCATTTAGACAATCATTACATCCAAAGAATTCAATTTCAACTAATCATCCAGAAATATTAATTAGATGTTATGAATTGCTTAATAAAACTTCAAGATCATTTGCTGCAGTTATACAAGAATTGCATTTGGAATTGAGAGATGCTATAATGATATTTTATTTGGTACTTAGAGCATTGGATACAATTGAAGATGATATGACATTAGATCCAGAATTAAAAGTATCTTTATTAAGAACATTTGATGAAAAATTAAATACTAAAGATTGGACTTTTTCAGGTTCAGGTCCAAATGAAAAAGATAGAATTGTTTTAATTGAATTTGATAAAATTTTAGCTATATATCATGAATTAAAACCTGAATATCAAGATATAATTAAAGATATTACTAAAAAAATGGGTAATGGTATGGCTGAGTATATTTTAGATGAAAATTTTAATCTTAATGGAGTTGAAACAATTAAAGATTATGATTTATATTGTCATTATGTTGCAGGATTAGTTGGTGAAGGATTAACTAAATTAATGGTTTTAGCTAAATTTTCCGATGATTCTTTACTACAAGATGATTTTGAAAAATCAAATTCAATGGGATTATTTTTACAAAAGACAAATATAATTAGAGATTATCATGAAGATTTAGAAGATGGTAGAAGTTTTTGGCCAAAAGAAGTTTGGTCAAAATATACTAATGAATTACCAACTTTTCATAAAGATCCAACTGCTGAATTTCAAGGTTTAAGTTGTATAAATGAATTAGTATTAAATGCTTTAGGTCATGTTAGACATGTATTGGAATATTTATCATTAGTGAAAGATCCTTCAACATTTTCATTCTGTGCAATTCCTCAAGTTATGGCAATTGCAACATTAGCAGAAGTTTATAATAATCCAAAAGTATTACATCAAGTTGTTAAAATTAGAAAAGGTACTACATGTAAATTAATTTTAAACTCAAGAACATTCCCTGGAGTTGTTGAAATTTTTAGACATTATATACAAATTATAAATCATAAATCAAATGTTAAAGATCCAAATTATCTTAAAATTGGTATAAAATGTGGAGAAATTGAACAATTTTGTGAGGTTATGTATCCAAGTAAAGATGCAATACCAGAAGGTGCCAATAAATTAATTCAACCAATAAATCAAATAATTGAAGATAGAAAATCAATTGATGATAAAATGGATGTGAGAATATTTTTTGAAGAATTTAATACAAATGCGGTATTAGTGTTTGCAACTATATTAATAATAGGATTAGTGTATTATTTAAGTAAGATGTTATATGACTAAGAGAATATTGTAGTATAATATATACTTCTGGTGATTTTTATGTATTTATTCAATTTCCGCGCCAGGACCAAATGAAAAAAATAAAAATAAAATATATAAATCTAAAACATGACGACTCCTGATTTGGTTAAATTCCCCATAAAATTGGTTGATTGGACATTAGAATATTTAAGTAACCTTGGTGAAGATTTTCAATTAAAAACTCCAATACTATTACAAGAAAAGAATGGTCCATGTCCTTTAATTTCACTTATGAATACTTTAATTTTTAAAAATGAATCAATAATACATGAACACTTTATAAATGATTATGTAAAAGATGGTTTACTAGATAGAAAAATTAAAGGCATTTCAAAATTAAAAGACTTGTTAATTGTTAAATATCATTCAATTGGTCATATTGAATTGAATGAAGTTTTATCAAATTTAGGAGAATTATTATTAGTTTTCACTGAAAATACCAATTATCAATTTGAAGTAGATCAATTATTAGAACAATTACCTAAATTACATACGGGATTAGATGTTAATCCAAATTTAATTAATGGGGAATTTGAACCAGATTTAGGAACTACTTTATTTTCTATATTTGATTTACAATTTAGACATGGCTGGGTAATTAATCAAATCGATGATGTTGATAATTTTAATGATATAGATCGTGGTAATATGAGTATTCAAACATTGGAAGTTGTTGACAATTATGGACAATTAGTTGAAATTTTTAATGATTTGAAAACATTTGATAAAATCCAAGATTATTTATTAGATCAAGACGAATCTACTTCATTTAATCAAAGATTAATTAGTAAGTGGTTAGATTTGAACAAAACTCAACTTACTACAAATGGTTTACAAAAATTAAATTATTTAGATAAAGGTGAATTTATTATATTTTTTAGAAATAATCATTTTAATACATTATTTAAAAAGAATAACAATGAATTTTATTTGATAGTTACTGATTCATCATTTATAAACAAAAGTTCAAAGATTATATGGCAATCATTAAATAGTGTTAATGGAAAAGATGATTTGTTTTTCACTGGTGATTTTTATCCAGTATTAGATATTGATGACGTTACGACAACAGAGAATCAAAGTGATTATTTATTATCAAAACAGTTGCAAGAAGAAGAAGATCGAAAATTGGCTGAAAAATTAGAGAATCGTAATAAAAAGAAATCTCAACCACAATCAAAACAACAACAACTAAAGAAACCAACTTCCAAACCTTCTAAAGAGACAATTGACAAAGATAATAAAAAGAAAAAATTAAACTGTTGTATAGTATAAACTATATAGATACTTGTCTTTCTTCAATATTTCGTTCATATACATCTTCATCAATATTCTTTTCTTCATTTACATCACCATCTATTTCATCTATATTATTTTCAACATTTTCATCTTCTTCAGCTTGTTCCTCATGTAATTCCAAATCCTGTAAATCCTCTTGTCTATGTTGTTCTTCAACTTGTGCATCATGTTGTTGATCTATGTCTTCTTCTTCACCTTCGTATTCCATAGGATCATAAGCAGATCTAATTTTATCTAATTTCTTTAATTCATTTGTAGTTGGTTCTCTAATTTTTAAATTTATACCGTCAAATGTTCGTTCTTTAATAAATTTATTAATTTCTGAATTTTTAGAAGCACGATGTCTTTTCAATTCAACTCTACCTGCAATTGGATAATAATATGCAATTTTTCTCTTCTTGGGATTTGTTTCATCAGGTACAAATTTTATAGCCAATTCATCATATAGATCTTGATTTTCAAAATATTGCATGTCATAATTTTTTTGATATTCAAATTGATAATTATTCAAATTTTCTTCTTCTTCTTCATCTAATAAATTTATTGGTTTTTCACGTTCTGTTGAATTTAACTTTTGAAGTAATTGATTTGATCGTGACTCGTTATTTAATTGAAACATTGATACCCACTCTCCATCTTCAGATTTTATAGGTCTAAAAATTGACGAATCTATTGTTTTTTTATTTTGATTTTGTAATGAAGCTGAGCCCATAAATTTTAATGTCATAAATGAACTATCCAACATTGAAGTATCAGGTAATAATGGCCATGCGTTAACTGCCTTTAAATGTTTTCTCTTGGGGTGTTTAACTTTTGATAAATCTTTATAAATATCTTCAGCTATGGTAAATGTATTTTCAACTGCTTCTAATTGTGAATCTGGATCTAATTTATTTTCATTTGATTTTGATAATTTTTCATTAACTTTCAATTCTTCATCATGTAATGATTGTGAAGAAGTTGTTGGTTTTTCAGAAATATATTCGGTTCTTCTAAGGAATGCAACTCCAGGTTCTGCTTTATTTATTTTACCCACCCCTGCGTCTCTAAGTAATGCTTTATCTTTTTCATGTAATTCAACAATATCATTTGGATTATCATATTTATGTAATTGACCAATTGCTTGAGAATTTGGTTCATAAAAAAATTGATAATTATTTAATAAATTTAATTCTAAACCTGATGATTCATCTATCTTTTCCATTAAATGACGAAAATTTTCTTTTCTAAATAATGAACTAATTAAATCACCTTCTTGTTTTTTAGATTTAGGATTTGTAGTATTATACTCGATGAATTTAGGATTTAATGGTGGCGGAGGTAAATTATTTGTATATCTAACTTTAGTTATGTAATCCTGTTTCACAGGTTTAGATGAAGATGACATTTCGTCGTGGTGGTTTTTACTACCTTAAAATTATTTTTCAGTTGTTGATAATGAGGCAGACTGCTACCAATTGAGCTTAAATATTGATTGGTCAAAAAAACAATCTCACCACATCGCGCTATTATAGATCCATTTTGCGCTTTGTTTCATAATGGAATAATTCAAACTATTAGATATAAATAATATTCATAGTCTATATACCTTTGTTACTTCTATAACAGCTTTAAAATATTAAATACAATGTACATATAATACTTGGTCCACTTATAAAACCAACCCAACAAATTATATTACCCAATATCTTTTTATCTCTCATGAATTTAGTTTTTGCCATCATTATTAACGGAATTTGTGACATTTGAAATAATAATAAATAACCTCTTAAATTATTGAAAATGACATACATTACCAATTCATGAACAATACTAGATAAAACAAAAGTTATTAAAGCAGCATGAATTTTATTAACTTTTAAAGCACTAATTGATGAATGATAAACATGTCTTAATAAAAAATTATGAACAGGAATATTCCATAATCTTGCAAAATCGGAAAAATCAGTACATGACCACCATGGACCATAAAAATTTCGATCAGCAAAATATGTCAATTCAGCTAAATCATTTAAAATAGCATCCCAAATTAAAAAAAACGTAAATAAATATTCCATAAGAAAACTTGGAATCATATCTAATAATATAAAAAAATATTGTGGTATTCTCTCATTAATTGGTGATTTATGTACAATTTCACATCTTGCAATTAATGGATAAAAATTATTTTCAGCAATTAACATCATTAAAAATATAATTCCAAATATACCCAAAGTTTTAGTAAATACAAATGACCATCTTATTTTATTAGTTCTTGGGAAATTTAAAGTATAAACTAAAGTAGGAAACATTGAATATTGAAAAAAATTAAATAAAGTAATATTTTGTGGGAATTTAATTAAACCTTGTTGTTGTAAATCATCAAAACTTGTAAGATATCTTTTTTCATCAAATGCATGTAAATTTTTAATTAAATTTGAATCATCAGTAGTTGCATTTGTTTGATATTCTAATTCATATTTTGTAAAAGCTAGACTTTCCATTAATGCACGTTCAGTATCTTTTAAATCAAATTTTTTTGGTAATTCAACTTGTTTATTGATTAATTTTTCTAAATAATCTTCAGAAAATAAACCTTCATAATAAATTTGCCATAAATATCCATTATAAAAACCATATGAATGCATTTTCATTATAAATACTAAACTGTGTAATAATAAAAAAACTTTTGCTAACCATGGGAAATTCATATAATATTCAGATGCAAAAATTAACCAAAAGGCACCAAATATAAAATTATATACACTTTGTATAATCCAACCCAATGTTGTCCATGTAATATAATTTTTTTTACAAGCAAATTGAATTAAAAAAGCAAAATACGTAGATAAATACATGAACAAATCAGTAAGTCCTACTTTAATTAAATCTTTTTTAAATAATTTCATAACTTTCCAATCTAATATAGATATACTACCTTCAAATTGAATATGAATTAAATTATTAAACATCATAAATGCAGTAGCTAACCAAAATAAAACATAAATACCATAAAATTGAGATTTCATAAATTCATCAGAATCGAAAATCGTCGAACTAAAAGATTGGAAAGAAATATCATTAAATCTGGAAATATATTTTGAATTTGGGAATTTTCGATCTTTTCTTTTTTTATTATTTAATCGACCATTTTCATTATTTGAAACATGCTCAACAAGCGAATCCAAAGTTAATGAGGATAATGATTTTTTATATTTTAATTTGTGCAGTATTTTCTTTTGATCATTTACAAATGTTCTCTGTCTAATTTCTTGATTAGGGGTAGTTGGTTCACAAATTTGACAATTAATACCATTATTATTATTATTATTATTATTATTATTATTATTATTATTATTATTATTAGTAGTAGTAGTAGTAGTATCAGATAATGAAGTAGTAGTCGATTCTTGTTCAAGTTGTTGAGATTTCAAAGGTTTTGAATCCGATAATTCTATATTATTACTTGAAACTCGACTTAAACTTCCATTATCTTCTTCACTTGAAGAATTATAATAGTCATTATTAAAGTTTAAAAGTTTTCTATGATTTTTTTTATCATTTATAATATCTAATTTATCTTGAGTACATCTTTTCTTTACTGATAGTTCTGCGTTCATAATGAAAAATTTTAGTTGATGAAGATGATGGTATAAATGAAAAATTTGCAATTTTATTCAACCCGACCGAGGTAATTTATCTGAAACTTTGATCAATTATAATTTTATGGTAAATTCGGAGTTTTATAATAAAAAGATTATTAATGTAACTCGTTCTATTTTTCATCTGTCTATGTTATATTATTTTATATTATTATTTTTTGTTGTGTAGCAATTAACAACCATAATTTATTGATTTGTAAGATCTTATTAATCAATTTTTGTTTATTTTGCATATGTCAAATTTAAGATGAAATGTCGTATAGATTTCGTATATTTCTATTACTGCTGTAGTATTGGTCCATTTGTTGAGTTTGTTGATTATTTGCTTATGACGTAAGATGTTTTACACATGGTAGCTCTTGGAAAAATATATTTTTATTTACTTTCTATCTATAAACTCTTTCAAATGGTCTTGTATCATTAAAACATGAATTCCACACTAAATTAACTATTTTTTCAGCTTGTTCATGATTTTCACATTTTGGATTTTGTTCAACACTTAATATTGCTTTTCTTTTAATACATTGTTGAAATTTTTTACCAAAATTACCTAATCCACTTTTAAATATTTCATTCCATATCCTACATTCTCCTGATAACATTGACGCTCTAATTTCAGTGCATGCATGATGTCTCAAATTATCATAACTCATATTAAATTTTAAATAATCATAAACATGAATTAATTCGTGTGTTAATATGTCTTCCAATTCATATTTATTCCTTATCCAATTTGAACATAATAATATACCAAATTGAGGATTAAAACCTCCAGTTTTTGTAAAATCACATGGTCCACAAACTATATTCTCTTTATTTATAATATCTTTTTGTTGTTTATTTAATTTCTTAATATGATCCATCATGAAATTAACACTTGGTGAATATTTTAAAATCCAATCACGATATTGATAACAGTTTGAACATTTTGCAGGTAAATTTCGATATACATAATCATATTCAAATTGATTTTTTAATTTTTGATTATGAAAAGTCGGTCCTAAACCAGTATGATATTCGAGTGTTCTTCTCCACCATTCAAACCCATGTATTTGTGATGAGGGAGATAGTTCTAAATCTCCATATTTTTCCTCTAGAGTTTTGGTTGAAGATATAGTCATGCAGTATATAGTATATAATTTAAAATTTCGAGTGGTAAATATCAAAATGATCTGAAAATTTTCAGATATGGTTATGTGCAGGTATATACATAAAATTATACATAAAATTAGATATACAAATGAGCTTTTGGCAATAAAAAAAAGACACTAAGTCTCCATTGATTTATGTTTAGCGTCAATTCCTTGTTTATTCATGGTGTGTTGATAATTGGGATGTTTGACCCCCCATGTTAAATATGAGCTTGAGTATTTCATTGAATAAAAAGTAAATATTGCATTGTGCTCTATAAACGTAAATCAAAAACTGAGAAACTGGTCTTGCTAGAATGACATTGGCTTCAAGTAACCGAGCTTGAGTCTTTCCCGACTTAAATTAAATTTATTTTGATTAGTAAAATTTTGAAACACGTATATATTCGACAAAATTTACTATTCTTGAACCGTATGAAATTTCACTCTGACTGCTTTTTTAGTTAGATTTTATGTAATTCAGATCTAAGGTTGGAGTTCGACATTGTGTTTATTTTGCTCTTTCCTAGCATGTAGTTTTCAATGATCTTTTAAAGAATATGTTTAGATAATAACTACAAATCAAACTCGTTGAGACCAGATTTTTCTGTTGTAGTACAATTAAGTAAAGTACATTTGTCCTAAAAGTAAAGCAACGTATTGAATATTAATTTAATGTCTTCAGTAGCTTAACAAATAAGGATGGTTGCAAACTCATCAAATAAGAATGGTTGCAAAATTTTGAATACGCGCAATAAAATGCGTTATTTTTTTATTCCATCTCTTTTTTCTGACTTCGTTTTGAAATTTTTCAATTTGCTTTGAGAAATCGAAATATCCAAGGAATTTATCAATTTTATTATTTCAATTGAAAAATTTTTTATCTGTTGCATAAAAGTTAAAATTTCTATTGTTTTTTTTTCCAATTGACTTAATATGTCTTCTGAATTATCACATCCATCAATTAAAGATGGTTGGTTTGCTGAAATTTCAAATACCATGTGGCCAGGTCAAGCTATGTCATTAAAAGTCGATAAAATTTTACATGTTGAAAAATCAAAATATCAAGATGTTTTAGTTTTTAAATCTGAAACTTATGGTAATGTATTAGTTTTAGATAATTGTATTCAAGTTACTGAACGTGATGAATTTTCATATCAAGAAATGATCGCTCATTTAGCATTAAATTCCCATCCAAATCCAAAAAAAGCTTTAGTTATTGGTGGTGGTGATGGTGGTGTTTTAAGAGAAATTTTAAAACATCAATCAATTGAAGAAGCTTGGTTATGTGATATTGATGAAACTGTTATTAAAGTTTCAAAACAATATTTACCAGAAATGTCTAAATCTTATCAAGATCCAAGAACAAAAGTTCATATTGGTGATGGTTTTAAATTCTTAGATGATTATAAAAATCAATTTGATGTCATTATTACTGATTCTTCTGACCCTGAAGGTCCAGCTGAATCTTTATTTCAAAAACCATATTTTGAATTATTAAAAAATGCTTTAACTGAAAAGGGTGTAATTACAACTCAAGCTGAAAATATCTGGTTACATATGCCAATCATTAAACAATTGAAAAAAGATTGTCTTGATATTTTCCCAGTTGCTGAATATGCTTATACTATGATTCCAACTTATCCATCTGGTTCAATTGGATTTATGGTTTGCAGTAAAGATTCAAATGCTGATGTTAAAAAACCAATTAGATTTGATTGGGACGATGAATTTGTTAAAAAGAATTTGAAATATTATAATAAACAAATTCATGAAGCTTCATTTATATTACCAAATTGGGCTGATCAAGAATTAAATAGTAATTGACAAGATCATCATCAGTAAGAAAACTAATTATAATGATGACTAACGATCTTTTAATTCAAATTATATATAAGTACGTGTTTTAATAAATATCGACTTTTTATGTTACACAAAATCGAGATCGAGATTGCAGTTATAGATATAAACTTATAGAATCAAAATATCACTTGAAACCTTTATTCAAATACGAGGCAAATTTCAACTTAAACAACGTGAATTTTATGGCTGCAAAATAAAATGAAACGATTTGTAAAAATTTAGCAACCGTACAACTGGTAGCATTTTATAATACAACAAGGAGCTAGCAAAAATTAATAATAGTTTAGTAAATAACCAGTTTAAGTGTGCATATGAATTTTAGTAATTTACATTCAATTGCTTAATATAATTAACCAATAGAGATTTATTGACTAATTTCAATTGTTTAGGTGCACGCCACAGGAACTGTCGAGGTTCAAATACTTTTGATCTTTCCCAGGTATTTTTAATATTTCAACAACAACAACCTAATCAAAATGGCTCCAAAGAAAGAAGTTGCAATTATTTTTTATTCATTATATCATCATATTTATCAATTAGCATTAGCTGAAAAAGCAGGTGTTGAAGCAGCTGGTGGTATTGCTAAACTTTTCCAAGTTCCAGAAACTCTAAATTCAAATATTTTAAAGGCTGTTAAAGCACCACCAAAACCTGATGTTGAAATTGTTACTAATGATACATTATTGAATTATAACGCATTCGTATGTATTCAAGAAACTTTGTACAAAATTTCAAAACGTTTCATTATAGATTTTGTTTATCCAATTGACATTTAATGATCACATGTTAACAAATTAAGCTTTTTGGTATTCCTACAAGGTACGGGACATTTCCAGCACAATGGAAATCTTTTATTGACGGTACTGGTGGATTATGGGCTCAAGGTAAATTAAGAAATAAATATGCTGGTATGTGCCAAAATTTTTAACAATCATTCATTCGTCAATTACTAACTATTGATAGGTTTGTTTGTCAGCACGGGGACACCTGGAGGAGGACAAGAAGGTTTGTTGATCAATTGACGTTGATAAGACGTTGAATTTAAGCAATTTGAATTCCGAAATTCGAATTTTTTTAATAAACTGAACTTAAATACTAACTTGGAATTTTAGTTACTGCTCTTAATGCAATCCTGACACTTGCACATCACGGAATTACTTATGTTCCATTGGGTTATGCTTCAGAAAAGCAAGCAACTTTTGATGAAGGTATGTGATTTTTGATTAATAAATTACTATTAGAATTTTCAAATTAACACTTTTTAGTACATGGAGGATCACCATGGGGAGCAGGAACATTCGCAGCTGCTGATGGATCAAGACAAGTCTCTGATCTTGAAAAAGAAATTGCAAAACTTCAAGGTTTCAATTTTTACAAAACTGTATTTGACAATGAATTGACAAAATAATTTTGAATTATATATTTAGTTTTACTATTTGAATATAAGTCTAATTATGAAATAATAAGCTCTGTCAATCTTTGTACATACCTCTTTGTCTTTGTTTTTTAGACTATGGGCTTTATATGCCTTAAAGTCAGCAGAGGTAATACGAGGTGAATTCAAAGTTATTGCGATATTGTCTTTTTTTGTCGCTCTAAATCATTGCCTAAAGAAATTCATATTTTCCAACTCACTTCTGAAACAAATTTGTCTTATGCACTATCAACATAGCAAATCTCAAAAAAAAAATTGCGAATAACTCATTCAATAGTAACTTTAAAATGAGTTTAGTGTATGAAGTCTCACGAAGTCTCACTCAAGTATGTCTAACTCTACTGGTTTTACTAGATTTGCATTTAAAATTCAAAATTTGCAAGGTAGAAATTGTGAATGGTAGCCGTTAGGGAGTTAGCAAACAAAGTACTACTTCATTCAAGTACAAACTCAATCGGAAATATACAGCGAGATTAAATAACTAATTGTTTGTATTTTTCTTTGCATATACTGGTTTAAGGCTACTTAAACCATGAAAATAAGCCTTAAACCATGAAAATAACTATTGGCAATTCTTAACATTTTGCCTCCGATTCTTTCAATTTAAAACACTTGTAGTTCTACCAGAGTAAAATTTTGATTTATTCAGCTTGCAGACCCTAACCAAAACATTCTTAAACAAACTACAAGTGCCCGATATAAAGACATCAAATGATATATCAAATGATATATCAAATGATGTTATTTGTCTATTGAATAAACTACACGACTTCAACACTTTATGAAACGTTTAGTCTTGTGGCTAAGTAGCAATTTGGTAGCACTTTGAAATTTCTCAATTGTTAGTATAATTTCCTAAATTGGAAATGTTGCTAAATAATTTCAAATTGATCTTACATGAAACATAAATAGGTAAAAAATAAAAATGAAATGAAAATCAATGACGAGAGAGGGTTAGGAATCCATATAATTACAATTACAATAGTCTAAATTTGATAATTATTAGATTATGACCAACATATACGCCCATAGAAAGATCTACTGAATCATCATTGAAATATTTGATATCTCTATGACTCGTTGATTGAAATTCCCTTACAGTTCAATTTAGATCACTATGCATTGAAAGTAGTTAGTTGTAAGTTGTAAGTTGCAACCACTATCAATGCTCTCATCAAAGTAAATTGTGTTTTTTGCATAAAATGAACATTTCTACAATTGGTGGGGACATTTATATTATACATATTTTTTGGTTTTATTTTTTTTCTTTTTGCAGCTAAAATTTTATATTGATCTCCTCATATAAAAATATACGAACTGAAGATATCGATGAATTTCTGGATATAGTAAACGAAATATAAGATTATAAAACAGATTTTATATCAAACGTATTTCTCTACTTTCAAACTAATATTGTTTGAATCAAGTAAACTCTAAAACATAAAAACTAAGATTAGTTTTAATTTGGTGGTTTTACTTTATTCCAGTTTTGTGTAATTAAAAAATTAAAAAATAAATAAAGTAATCAAAATTAAATTTATCGAAATTTTTATCAACAACTTTTCATTTCATAATTTATCGTCACTTCTTTTTTTTGACATTTATTTAAGGGTGTTCTTCCAGACGGTTCATTCACATTATTTAGTTTTGGTACATTTTATTATCATATCAAAGGTTAATTCATATTTATATTTATATTTATACTGTGGGTATTTTGTTTGTTTAAATTTATTTGTTATGTCACAAGCTAATGATGCATATACAGCAAGTACTGGGTTATTGAATCTAATTACTACAAGTCTCTTTAATGGTGCAGCAGAAGGTACTGGAGCTGTTAAATTGGTTTCTTTGGCAAGAAATTTATTTGGTCAAAATATACCACCCGCAGTTGTTGCTTATGTGGTTTCTATTCAAAATAATTTATTTGGTAGCTATCCCAATAGTGATGATTTAGCTCCATCAATTGCATTTGCTGCTATATTTGGAATTTTAATGATTATACATGTTATAATATTTGCAATAAATACAAGTAGAGGACATTATTTTTATATTTCATTAGTTTGGATTGTTTATTGTATTATGAAAGTTATTGGATTTGCTTTAAGAGCGGATTGGGCAAAAGATATAACTCAAATTAATAAAGGTTTAGCTGGTGAAGTTTTTTTAATTGTACCTGTTATAATTATTGTTTCAGCAAATTTAATTCTTGCCCAAAGATTATTCACCTGGAGACATCCAGTTGGTGGTTCACGTAAATTATTCTGGGCATTTATGATTATTTTATATGCATTTGTTGTGATTTTAATTGCAGTTACTATATTAGCTTCATTTGTTCCTTATTTAAATTATTTAAGTTGGCAATCATATAGAAATTGGATTAAAACTGTTCAATTTACTGCAATTATGGTTATCGTTTATAGTTTAACTAGTGTTGCTTTAATTGGTTTATCATTTTGGTTACCAACTTCCAAGGATGAAAAATTGTATACTTATCAACCATGGTGGATTGAATCATTTGCCCCATTTTATTTTGTTAAAAAAAATGCCGCTCAAGAGGCTGAACAAACATTTATGAAGAGAAATTCAAATCATAGACATGCTACAAGAGTTATTGCTGCTACTCATCATCATTATCATTCAGTTAAAGGTTTAAATAATAAAAGAGGTGATTTGACACATTCAGTTTCAATGGGTTTGTTAATTATTACAACTTTATTAATTTTAATTGCTGCTATTGGTAGATGTATTGTTGTATTTCAAGCAAGACAAGATAGATATAGAGGTGGAGCTGCAAATAAATATTTTATGTATGTTGTTTGGGGAGTTTTTGAAGCTATTATAAATATTTTATATATTGTTGGTAGAGTTGATTTAAGATTTTATAGACCAGATGTATTACCAGAAGCTGTTAGAGCAATTATTACTGCTGAACAAACATATTATCCAAGTTCAGATGAAGAAGAAGATGGTTTCCATAGAGATCGTCCAGAAACTTATGCAAAATTACAAGAAAGATTAGCAATGGAACAAAAATATAATCAACAACATCATGATGAAGAAAGTGCTTTTGATGATGATCATACTGATGATTATGATGATATTAATTCTGAAGAATGGGATTTTGGTGCTCCAAAGGAAAAGATTTCAACATCATCAGATGAGCAAATACCTTTTAATAATAATGAAAAGAAAGATCAAAAGACTAAATTACCTTATCCAACTTCACATGATAAAGATTTACATTTTAATGACGCAGAATCAGAATTTAATTTTTAATGGAACTTCAATTTAAAAAGGTTACAATATTTTCAATTCTACATGTACAATTTTAATAAAAACTTTTACCATTTTGACTTTGAAATCACTCAAATTGTAGTCAATTAGTGTTTTATTTTCGTTTGCATCCTTACTTTCGCCTTTGTTTAATTTGCATCTATACTGTTTTAATTTCGCGCACAAAATTAATCTCATCGTTCTACACTTTGGCCATGGTTTCAAATATATGGATAGCAGCAGCAGATAATAATCGATCTCTAGTAGAAGAGTATATAAATTCAGGTAATTTCACACCTAATTCAAAAGATCCAAATGGGTACACACCAATGCATGCAGCTTCATCGTATGGTCATATTGAACTATTAAAATACTTGATTTTAAAAGGTGGAAATATAAATATACAAGATAATGAAGGAGATTCACCATTACATTACGTAGAAGATTTAAAAGTTGCCAAATATTTAGTCAATGATTTAAATGCAGATTATAGAATTAAAAATAATGATGGGTTAAATGCACAACAATATATAGAAGAAAATGATGAATTTTTGGATATTAGTTATTATTTAAAAACATTAAGTCATGAGAATATAGATGTAAAAGAAGGGCAGAATAATGATTTATTGTCTAGTTTGCCTAGACCTGGGAAGTTGGACGGTCATGAAATTAAATATAGTTTAGAGAATGAGAATGATTTACAAGGGGATGAACAATTGACAAAGGAAGAATTAGAAGAGAGAAGAAAGAAAATTGAATCTATTTTGAGTAGTGATGATCCTGAACAAGGTCTTAGGGAATTGGTCCAAAATGCTGTTCATGAAGGGATTACTAAATATAAAGAAGATCAAGTAGATACCGATCAAAAATCATCAAAAAGAAGGAAAGAATAGAAATTCCATTCTTTAACACTTCTATGGGCTCAGTTTCTCAGTCTAGAAATAACATGCTAATTTATTACGGCTTTCGACGTTTAAAATTATGTAAAATCAGATATATACTACCAAATATCCAATAAAGGCTAGCACTACTAACAGGGCTCTTTGATACACTATCTCTGCTGTTTCCGTTAAATTTGATTTAAAGAATCTCTCATGGAGCTTCCTTTGCATAATTGTCGTATTTTGTTGCAAAATATTTTTTGGTAGCCACTTTTTAGTTCAACGAAAAAAAAATTAATTTTTCACCACTCCAATCAACGATTCATAAATTACAATGATTTTTGAAGCTTTGACTAAATTATTCCCAATTGCAGTTCCTGAGACGTATGTAATTAATATAACAACCTGACAGGACTTATACTAACTTTGTTTTAGGGGCTCACTCACATTAGAAGAAGTTAATAATATGACAATTCTTCAAAGATTAAAATTAAGAGATTGGAGATTAGAAATCTTTACATTAGGATTCATCATCTTATTCTCATTATTTTTCAAAATTGGCGATATTTATAACCAATCAAAAGTTACATCATTTCTTAATGGTATCAAACCAAGTTTATCAAGACAATTTTTTCAATATGGAGTTTCAAAAGATAAATTATACATTAAAGATTCTTCAGAAAATTATTCATCTTATGCGACAGGTAGATTAAACATATTCAATGTGAATATTAAATTTCAATTAGCTCCAAGACAAAACGTATTTGTATGGATTTTAGAAACAATTTTTTCATTTTTTACAACTTCAGTATTACCACCTTCAGATAAAGTTGAAATTATAATTCATCCAAGTGGAAAATATGATAATTTCATCAGTGCAATTGTATCCAAGATTGGTATGAATGATGCTAGAAAATTCAACTATTTTTTATCACTTTGTAAAACTTCAGATTCGAAAAATTTACCAAATTCATTTGTTTACATGAGTGAATCAAATGAAATACAAGAAAAATTAACAACTGAAGAGTTGAAAAGAAATTTAAGTGTTGAAAGTGCTAATTTTATAAAATATATTGCTTTTACTGATCAACCTATTGATCATCCAGAATCAATAAGAGAAATGAAACCAATTAGAAAAGTTATAATTCAATTAGAATTAACAACTAAGAAAAAAGATCTTGAAACTTTGAATAATGTTTTAGATACTATTTTTTCAATCATTGATAAATTATCAGATGGTGTGATTAATTTTAAACCTGAAACATTGAAGAAAATAGTCAAGACTAGAGATTTAGAAGTTGAAAAATTACAAAAAATTGAACAAGATTTAAAAAATGAAAGATTGGCTGAAGAACAAGCAAAATTGAAAAGACAAGAACGTGAACAATTGAGAAATATGTCTAGCGAAGAGCAATTGAAAGCTGAAAAGAAAGCTGCTGAAAGAAGACAAAAAAAGATGCAAAAAAAGCAGAGAATTAAAATGTAGAAATAAGACAATGTAATATATATTTATCGTCCTTTAACTTTTTTTATCTTACAGTAACTCTTGATCTTACTTCTAATTAGTCATTCTATAGTGCTTCCTTACATTGCATGCTTACTCATCCTTACTATATCTTCCCCGTCAATTTCCAACCTCTACCTACTGGTGTATTAAAACCTTCAACTATACCACTTCCTAAACAATCAGAAAGTATCCAATTTAAATCATATCCATAAAATGGCTTACGAAAGTTATTCAATTTTGAATCACCAGTCAAAGTATTATATCCTTGCCATTTATTCCAAATATCAGTTTCTAATAATTGTTTATCCTTTTGTTTTGTTAATGTCTTAGTTATCCATGCTCTTCCTTCATTAATTAATTTCAAAAATACACCACAACCAGGATACGAAACTCTATATAGAGTCTCAATTTCACTTAGGTGGTTTGAAGTTAGGGTGACTAAACCTTTGTTAATGAGTACTTTTATTTCTTCATCGTTGAACTCCTCCATTCTTAAATACATATCTGTATAATGTCTAGTCATATAAACCATATATTTATCGATTATATCTTTCACATCTTTATCATTCGAAATGACTATCATTTCACTCAATAGTTCATAATATTCATCTGATTTTACTAGTACTTCCATATTTTCATAACCATACGATATTTTACCACTTTGATATTGATTCAAACTTCGATTTATAATTGGTGAAGCATTTGAGATTATCAATTTTTTAACTTTACCTTGTCTAATATTTAATTCAATTAATTTATCAACAAAAGTATTTCCCAACCCATTAAAAATTGAATATAAAGTAGTTATGACAACTAAGCTTGGGAATTTTTTCCTAAATGTTAATAATTCAATCTTCGCGGTATTTGACACATTCTTCATCAGTAGTATTTGACCTTCAAGGTCCGAATATGGATGGGTAATATATTCTTGAAATTTATTATGTAGTTTAGTGGATTCTGACCATCTATTATCTAATATTGTATCTATTGCAGTAATTAAATCTTGGTTGTTATCTAGTTGATAATCTAAATGTACGTTATAATCTGATATCCTTATCTCATGATTTGATGGTGAAGGTGATGATGATGATTTTTTCTTTTTTAATTGATCTTGATAAGCATTCTGAGTAGGTAGAATCTTTTTAACATCTTTCTGGAACTTCTTTATTGGTGATTTACTATGTAGTTTCGATTTTGAAGTTATTGATGATGTTCTAGCAGCACTTGATTGTAATGGCATAAAGATAAGATTAAGTGGTTTTTTTTTTTTTTTTTTGGTGGTGTTTCAGAATTTCAGATCTTTTTTTATATGCAGTATTTTTTATTTAATTTTATTTATTTTTATTTAATTTTCATCGTCTATTTACAATATATACAAATTGGCTTATTCAATTTCAATTGTAGTAGTTCTTTCTTCATTTTCATGTTGAAATTTAATTTGATATCTACCTTTATCTTCTATAATTTCCAAATGCTCATTTGGCGTATCAATATAACTAATTTTGAAACTTTCGAGTGATTCAACTAAATTATCTTGATGTTTATTTATTGATTCAAATAATGTTGTTTTGTTTATTGGTAATGTATCAGTTGTAATTGTTATAATTTTAGGTATTTTAATTTCTTTATTTGATTGTAAATTTTGTTTTAAAATTTCTGCTTCTTCATAATCACCACTAAGTTGCAATTCTTCTTCATTTTCTTTAATTAAATTTTGTTTAATTTCAAATGTTTTTTCCATATTTATCTTATTCTTTTTATTTTTACTCATATTAGAGAATAAATCACTCAATTCTCCCAAAGTTAAAGTATCTTTATTTTCTTTAATTTTTTCAATATCTTCGTCAATTATTTCTTCTTGTTGTTCTTGTTTTAATAGTTCTGCTTCTTTTCTTTTCTTTTCTCTTATTTCATCTCTATCTACAACTGGTATTCTTGGTCCATTTTTTTCATTTATATAACATGCTTTATTATCAATATGTAAATAATTTCTCATAAATCCAGGTTTAACTTTTATTATTTCTCCCTTATAACCAACACCATCGACATCCTGTAATAATTGTACCCTAGTTAATGCATTAATTGATTTTCGTTTATGGGTTCTAATACTCATTAAAACACCATTATTTATCCTCTGTTTAATCAGTATTCCAAACATGTCAAGTTGAAAAATTTGAAATTTTTTTTTTGGTTAATATTTTTTACACTACCAAATTTGATTTCGTATATTTATTATTAGTACTTGAGATGGATGATGAAATATCATCAAATTGTTTAATATGTAAGGTTAATCAGTTTAAATATACTTGTCCTGGTTGTGATTTGAAAACTTGTTCTTTGAAATGTTATAATTTACATAAAGTGGAATTTTCATGCCTGGGGAAAATTAATTCAAATAAATATATTAAAAGAAGTGATTTAAATCAGATACATTTAAATAGAGATTACAACTTTTTATTGAATGTAGATAGGAAGATTCAAATAAGTAAAGAAGATTTAGATAAACAACATAGTAGAAACATTTTGAAACGAACAAGAAATGAAAATGGTCAAAACAAAAGATTTAAATATAATATAGATGATAAACGAGTCAAACTAGTACTCAAAAGGTTTCGTGCTTCTTTTCAAATCAAAAGAGAGAATACATTGATTATAAATCTACCTCAAGGTATGCAAAGATCTATTTCAAATAAAACAGGTTATGATAAAAAATTAAATTCTTTTGTATGGACTGTTGAATGGATTATATTGAATGATAAAGGAGACGAAAGTTATAAATTTATAAGTTACAAGATTAAAGAAGGAAATATACTAAAAGATGCAATACCGTTGAATATTTTAGCTAAGCATGCTCTTCATTTAAATAAAGATGAATTACAATTGTATTTAAAAAATGTATTTGATAAAGATGAAATGATATTGATTAATAGAAATGAGACGGTGTCGAAGATACTTAAAGATAAAATAGTGCTTGAGTATCCTACTATTTATGTAACTGCATCAAATGAATCACTTAAAAATAGAATAATAAATGAAGAAGATGCTTATAATATAGATAATTCAGGTGAGTCAAGTTCTGATGAAACAAGTAGTGATAGTGATTCTGATTCCAATTCTGATAGTTCAGAGAGTTCAGATTCAAGTTCAAATTCAAGTTCAGATGATGAAGACGATGACGATGATGATAGTGGACCAGAAGAATCGTCACTGAAACCAATTATACCACAAAATACAAATATAGAAACTAATATTAATGATCCCAATGAAATAAACCTTGATGATATAGATTAATTAATACGTTTTTAAATAGACAACACTATATGGTCATAATCAATCTCTTATGTTTAAAACTACTCTTTTGCTTCAAATTCAAAAAGTATTGTTATTCTGTTACAGGAATTCAGGTCAATAAATGGTTTATGTTTGAATCAGTCTGCATAATTGGAATCTTAACTCATTAATAGTTTAAATTCTTCCTCTCAAACGACAGAATTGAATTATGTATTGTCAAAGAATATGGTGCCAAAGTTGGCCAGCCAAAATTAAAAAAATTGAATTACAATAACATCTACAAATCTGACTTATACCAATGAATTCAAACTCAAAATGTGAGTAACATTAATTAGAACAGTAATCTCGTAACTCTCTTCATTCAAAAGTTATTAGTATTTTCATTTCAATGTCATATTTCATGTCACATCTCGTAAATTTTTTATTTTTTTATTTTTTTTTTTTTTTTTTTTTTTTTTCTTTTTTTCTGTAACATTCATTATCACCAAATGTCAACCATATTCAAAAAACTATCAGATTCAGATAGGAACATCAACGCCTCATTATATTTCGGCAATATAGATCCCGAAATAGATGAACTTTTAATGTATGAATTATTCATTCAATTTGGATTAGTTAAATCTTTAAACATGCCCAAGGATAAAATATTGAAAACTCATCAAGGTTATGGATTTGTTGAATTTCATAATATGAAAGATGCAATATATACAATGGACATACTTAAGGGAGTGCGATTATATAACAAGCCACTAAAATTGAAAAAGATAGACAATAAATCCACACTACAATCAGTTCAACAAGCACAAGCTATGCCATTTTCAAATGAATCAAAGGGTGAACTATTAAGCTCCAAATACATAGACGTTGGTGCAAGAGTTTTTGTGAACAATTTAAATCCTTTGATTGATTCAAAGTTTCTACTTGATACATTTAATAAATTTGGTAAAGTTATTCGAATGCCCCAGATCAAATACGACAAGGAAGGAAAATCTCAAGGTTTTGGATTTGTTGATTTTCAAGATTTTGAAATGAGTGATAAAGCAATTGAAAAGTTAAATAATCTGATATTAATGAATAAGAAAGTTCAAGTAAGTTATGCTTTTAAATCTAATGGGAAAAGACATGGTGATGCGATTGAAAGAAAACTAGCATCAAAGAAAAGAAAATTGTAATGTGTGTATAGAGTAATGAATTAATGATTGTATTATTACATTGTAGTTGTAGATTATATCTTTGCATCCTTACCACTTTCGGAATCGGCTAAGACATTTTTCAACCACGGTCCGACATTTTACTATTATTAATATTAATAATTTATAAAAACTATATAAACCACAGTAATTCCAAAGTTTCTAAATTAATAATGACACTTCCAGAAACTCAATCAGTTGTATTACATAAAGAACATGGAGATTATAACGTAATTTCATATGTTGAAGATTATCCCACTCCTAAAATTGAATCGCCAAATGATATAATTATTAAAAATTTCTATAGTGGTGTTAATTTCATTGAAGCTTATTTTAGAAAAGGTATTTATAAAGCTCCACTTCCTTACATTTTTGGTAGAGAAGCAAGTGGTGAAATAGTTGCAATTGGATCAAATGTTAAAAATTTGAGAGTTGGTGATAAGGTTGCTTATTTATCAAGTTCTACATTTGCACAATTTACAAAAGTAAACGTTGAGTCATTCTATCAATATATTAAATTAGATTCAAGTATCACTGATGAAGAATTGAAAATTCAAGGTTCTATTTATTTACAAGGTCTTACTGCTCTCACGTTCATTAATGAAGCTTACAAAGTTCAAAAAGGTGATTATAATTTAGTTTGGGCTGCTGCTGGTGGTGTTGGAAAGACATTAGTTCAATTAATTTCTCAAATTGGTGCTCATGTAATTGCAATAGCTTCAACTGATGAAAAATTACAACAAGTGAAAGAATTGGGTGCTGAATATTTGATTAATTCAACAAATGAAGATGTTTTACAAAGGGTTTTGGATATTACAAATGGTAAGGGAGTTGAAGCTGTTTTTGATTCAGTTGGAAAAGACACATTTAAAACTTCCTTCGATAGTTTGGCTAGAAAAGGGACATTTATATCTTATGGTAATTCTCTGGGTCAAGTACCACCACTCACTATTAATATCTTAAGTGCTAAGAATATTAGATTGTTGAGACCTCAATTAAATGCATATATTGCAACAAAAGAAGAATGGAAACATTATTCAGAAGAGTTATTAGATTTAATTAATCAAGGTAATTTGAAATTTGAAATCTCAAAAACTTATGATTTGAAAGATTATGCTCAAGCTGCAAAAGATTTAGAAAGTAGAAAAACAACAGGTAAATTAACCTTGAAAATTCCTCAATAGTTAAGGATGCCATGGTAAAGATGCACACAAAGAAACAACAATAAAATTAACCTTGAAACTTCTCAATAGTTTAAATATATATATTATAATTTAAATGGTCTTGATTTCTCATATTTTATCAAATCTTCAGGTGTAACTACACCATATACAAAATTCCCATCATCACCAGTAATAACAGCAAAATATTCACCAGAATTAAAAAAATTAGCGAGAGTTTCCAATGGAGTATATGGAGTTAATAATTGATATCGTTTACCATTTGTAGGTTTTACAATCTTTGTATTTGGCAAAGTTTTTTGAATCTGTTTATTAAAATTTTTTTCATAATTGATTTTTGATTTTTGATTAAACCATATCATATAATCTTTAACCAATACATTTTCATGTTTCGCATGCTCTATTTTTGAATGTTTTAATGAGTCTATATTAATTACTCCTAATAATTTCTTATTTATTTCATTTATAACAGGTAAATAACTAAATTCATATTCGAAACCAATTTTAAAAGCTTCATATATTGATGATGATGGATTTATTGAGATTGCGGGTGGTAAATTTAAATCTTCAATCGTTGCACCTCTATAATCTTTACGGTGAAATAAAATTGGATTATCAGTCATAGTTAGCTTTGTTTAATTTTTCAATTTGTTATCACCAAATACACGAACTGCTACCAATTAACCAATATTAAGCTAAGATACACAGTCAGTCATTGTCTGAATATAACGGAACTAAGCTCAACGGTGTAGATTGATAATCGTGAACTTCATTGTTTTATCTGGTCAATTGGTTTTGCTTTTGCTAGAATTAATATATTAACCTTACAAGATTGTCTTAATTCAGCATTAAATGTTGATGATACAACAATATCAGGTACTTTTGAATATAAAATTTTATCATATAGTAGTCGAGGTTCACCGATACTAGCTTATGACATTAATTTTGGAGAAACAGTTCAAAATGTATCAAAAAATGCAGCAGAATTGGTAAGAGATTGCATTGATAGATATGTTCATAATATCTCTTTGGCTTATTCTACATATATAACCGAAGAAAATTGGAAAAACTTGGATAGAGCAATATTTAAGAATTTAAATGAAGCTGTTGAGTCAAATGCTGACAATATAAGTGAAGCTGCTACAAAGAATATTTTTACTGAAGATGAGCCTACTAAACCAAATATTAAGGATGTAGATGTTACCTTGACACAAGGAATGAATAAACTAATCTCCAATGTCCCTTTTCATTTATCTATGATTTCTTTATAGAAGTATATATACTTTAGTATAGTTTCTAAAAAATAATATAATTAAGCGGCTGGATTCACTTTTGTACCCCTTAAAAATCGCGCGAGGTAAATTAAAGATGAAGTATTATTAAAATAAATATATTAAGATTATGCTGCTTCAGCAGTACTATATTGTTGACCTTGATTATTTCTTGAATTATTTGTATCATCCAATTCACCTTCTTCTTTAAATACTCGTTTCCAAACTTCTTCTTCATTACCATTATCTAATATACCAATTCTCATAGTAGCTAATAAATTAATAGCAGCAGTAGAATGACCATAAACCCCACCATAAAATGCCTTTGTTGCATCTTTACCATGGGAAGCTTTTAATAATTGTATACCACCAGGATGTTGATCCATAAATGGAGTTATATCATGAATAATATTTTGAATTACAATATATAATCTATCTTTATTTTTTGAATTTGATATAATTCTTTTAAAATCAGAAGGTTTTATTTTGGGTAATTTTGAAATTGGAGTACCCCAATTTAATTGAGATTTAATTCTATTTATGGTATGTTGTTGTTGTTGTAATTTTAATTGCACTACCAAATTATTTGGAGTTCTACAAACTTCATCAATTAAACCAAATTGTTCTAAAGTATATAAAAACCATTTAGTTGGATCATAAGTTAAATAACTATCATCACATCTATAATCATGAGGAAATTCATGATGATAATTTTGATGTGATTGACCATATGTTAAAAATGAAATAAGGGGGTTATTACAATTTTGTGATGAATTTTTATCATTAAATGGTTGAGTGGGGATTAGCACTTGAATTTTTTTAAGATGACATAATGATTCTGTTGATAATAAACTTTGTTGACATAAAAACATTCGCAAAATACCAGGGTAAATAATACCATGAATAAAGGTGTCATAACAGATATATTTTGTAATTAAAGCAGGTAGTATAATTGAAGTGATAAAAAACCAAATTAAATAAGTCTTCTGTTGCCATAGTAAGAAATGATTTAGGTTCTGTTCATCATCTGATAAATCTAAACTATTTAATGGAAATTCAGATTCAATAAAATCTTTATAAAATTTATCAATTTTTGGTTTTTTTAACAACCAACCATAATGTGAAAAAATTAAGCCTCTTTTAATTGAATATGGATCTTTTTCAGTATCATCAGTGAAATGATGATGAGCACGATGTAATGAAGCCCACCATCTAATTGAACCTAAACCACAAGAAGAACCAAAAATAGCAAAATAATATTTTAATAATGACCAACTAGTCTTGAATGAATTATGAGAGAAATATTTATGATAACCGGCTGTAAAAGATAGTAATGTGAAATTGTAATAAACGCATAAAAAGTATAAAGTTGATTGATTTTCTGGTACAATACTTTCTTTCTTATAGAATATATAAACCAATGTTATTAGTGGTAGCATAACAGTAGTTAATAAATGATTATAATTGATCCTTGTAATAAAATCTTGTTTTTGTTTCTTTATTTCATTTATTCTTGTATTTTTCAATTTTGAAGCTTGATTTATAAAATTTGAAGTTGAATTTGAAATAGAAGTTGATTGTGTATTATTCGACACCACTTTTCTCTTTTGTATTCTAGCTTTAAGTTGGCCATTATTGTTAATAACTGTATTATCCATAAAACTGTTTGGTAAGTATTCAATAGTCGTGCGTTGATAGTTTCAAATAAATTTTGATGTTTCACATTTGACACTGAAAAAAATATATAAACATTTAACCAACCAACTTAACAAACAAACAAACAATACATTAGATAAAGAATATATTGATAAGAATGCAACTGTTATCTCAACAATTACCTCCTAATCACCAGCATCAACAGCATCAACATCAACATCAACATCAACATCAACATCAACATCAACAACATTCTATCAATAAACCTAGACTGAATGCCAATGCTATTCCTTCAATTTCGTATTCACCAACAGATATCACAATTCCACCTTCTTTATATGATCAAGTTCCAAATTTAGCTGAATATAAAAAATTAATTGCTGCTGAAAATAAATTAGATTTATTAATATCAAGAAAAGCTTTAGATTTTCAAGCTATTCAACAAAAAACTATTCATCCATTTGAATATAAACCTTATACTGGTTTATTAAGGATTTTTATTTATAATACTTGTGAAAATCAACCATGGCAAAAGCAAATGAAAGAGCCCCAAAATGATGAAGAACCGTCGTGGACTTTAAGAGTTGAAGGGAAATTTATCACTGATAATCAAGCCGAAAAAGATACTGATAATCATTCTGAAAATTTAAAATTTAGTTCATTTTTATCTGCTATATCTGTTGATTTAATCGCAAATGATGATTATCCAAATTTAAAAGATTCTCAATCTCATATTATAGAATGGAGAGATGATGGTTCAAATTCAAATCGAAATTTATCTCATTCATTTGATGGTTTAGATATCAAAAGACCTGGAATATATAATTTAAAAGCTAAAATTGCATTATTAATAAAACTGTATAGTTCAAAATTAAGATTATCTGATGATATGGCTAGATTTATGGGAAAACAAGAATGTAATCAACAAGAATTAATGTATATAATATGGCAATATGTATTATATAAAAAATTATTTAAAAGAACTTCAGTTTATATGAATGTTCAAGCTATTGAAACTGGTTTACCACCAACAACAGATGGTATAATAGATGATGATTTATCATTAGTTGAATGTGATGAGATTTTATATGATTTATTAAAAGTTAAATATTTTAAATTTTCAGAATTATATAAATTAGTTCAACCACATTTTAAACCAAGAGAACCAATAATTTTAACTTATGAAATAGATACTAAAAAATCAACAACTTTAGGAAATTTGATTCTTGATGTTCCTGTTGAATTACCTATAAATTTATCAAGAGCTCAAAAGGAATTATTAGATATTAATAAATCAAGTTTTGAAAGTTTAGCAAAATCAGATCAAATAATACAACTGTTGAATCAAAAAATATCTTTGGGAATAATTGCTTTACAAAATGCAAATTTAAGACAAAAATTTTATAAAGAATTGAGTGAAAGTCCTTCTGAATTTATTGAACAATGGTTAGAAACACAATCTGAAACTTTAAAAGCTTTGAAAAGTGATGAAGGTTATAATGAAGAAGATGTTAGAAGATCTGAATTCTTTAAAGAAAATGAAGGGTTGATTAAAGAAAAAATTGATTTATTATTTGGTGCAAATAAATTCTAGTAAGGATGCCACTAAGTAAAGTATAAAGTGATGCCATTAAATAAAGAATACGGTAAAGATGCGTATGAGCACAAACAAGTAATATATATGTATTATAAATTTTCTTCATCATAAATTTCTTCTTCATCAGCATATTCATCATCTTCTACATCATCAACATCAACCAATTCGGGATCAACATAATTTTCATCATCTTCTTCTATATTTTCTATTATTTCATCAGGTTCCATACCTAATCGTTCAACAGCTCTTCTATCACTATAATCAATAGGTTTCCTCCTTGTTGATTTTTTATTCTCTAATAATTCTTCTTGTTTTTGAATCAATGGTAGTATTTTTTCGAGATATTCATATAATTGAAAAGTAGATTTATATAATAATGAAGCCATGGGAATCAGTTTCAAACCTGTTGTATTTTCAATTATACTTAATCTTTTAGATAGGAAAATTATAAAAGCATGTAACTCTTTTGAATTAGATGCAATTTCAAACCAATGATTTGATTCATTTGTATTTTTATAACTAGGTTTAATTTCTTTTCCATTTGAATTAAATTCAACACCGTCACTACTAAGTGCCTCAAGTAACATTTGATGGGTATCTTGGACATATAATTTAAAATTAGAAGGTAGTGGTCCATTCAACCCAGCATTACCAGACCAAACATTATTCATTTTTTTAACTGATGATAACCCACCATTGTATTCATCTGACATTCTAACAAGATAAAATCTACCAATATGAAATCCCAAATCACCTGCGATTAATTCATTTAATCTTAAGTTTAATGGATGTGATTTTGGATTTGAAGTTGGATCAATATATTTCACATCATCTTCTGATTTAGATTTACGTTTTGATAATTTCTTTTCAACTTCATATTTTGTATCATTTGCATTTTTAAAACCATAAATAATTGCCCTAGAAGCATAAAAAGTGTCTCTCTCACCTGGTAAATCTATATTTTGATTCAATGTGGTGATGTAATTTTTAATTGATTCAGATTGGATAAAACACCATTGAACTAACGTTCTTAACATTATTAATCTATTAACTGGACTTAATCCTTTTAATCCATTCATTTCAAAATTAGAATCATAAAATGGATTGAATTTAGTAATGTAATGATTGTTTCTTTTGATTACTTCATCCATTAATATCTCAGGATTCTGGGGGTCAACAGGTTCTATATTTGGATATTTCAAGTCTTTTACAATTTGATATGATTTCCATTCTTTCGGTAATCCCAATATTTCAGTTTGTGATTTTAATTCTGAAATGGCTTTTGAATGTGAAGTTACTTCTTTCTTTCGATTCAAAACTAGTGATAATAACTTCTTGAATAAATCTTCCATTTGGATTGAAATATAATTTGGATCATAATCTGGTCCATTAACTAATTTCTCTTTCCTTTTGTTATATTTCAATTCATTGTGATTCTCATCTTCATAAATTGGTAAACTTAATCCAATTTCAAAACTATGTGGTCCAACACAGTTCTCTAATGGTATAATCTCTTTAAATTTTAATAAAAATGAAATGATGTAAATTATATCACTTGCGTATGGATTTTTAATTATTGGATAATTAAGGGCTAATTTTTCATTTTTTGAATCAAAATAAGCATCAATTAAATTATCATCGTATAAATCATAAGTTAATCCAACTAATGAACTAGGTAATTGACGAGATTGTTTTGGTCTAGTATAGATGACTGTGGTCTTACTTATTTTTTTAACATTTGATTTTGTTTTCTTTACTGATCGTCTTGGTTTTTGAGTACTTGATTGTAATTGTTTCTGTGGTGGTAATTTAAGTATCAATTTCTGTCTAGGGACTGGTTGTTCGGGTTCAAAGTTTAAAGTTGATTGTTTTTGACGTTTAACAGATTCATTTGTAATTCTACCTCTTGGCGGTTTTCTATTTCCTTTACCACCTCTTGAACCCGATCCTTCTATTGGTTTCGAATCAAGTCTAAATTTTGAAATTTTTGATGAGTTATGATTTTGAGATGATGATGTTTCAGGTGGTGATAAACTATGATTTATATTTCGACGTGGTCGACCTAATCTTGGTGGTTTTTCATTTGGATTATATGCATATAATTTAGGTGTTGAATTTGAATTACTGTCATCATCATCATCAACTTCCATTATTTCACTTTGATTAAATTCATTAATTAGGTTTAATGCATCTTCTGTTATTGAATCTTTTGTAAATTCATTTAATTTTGAATTGGATGATATCTGATTTATACCACTTACTTCTGGATCTATATTCGAATCCATCGTAGTTTAGTTTGTTTTTCAAAATTTTGAATTGAAATATTTTGCTGATTTTAAAATAACTAAGCAAAAAAATAAACTACAAGAAAAAGAGTAAGCAATTGAACCACTGCTATCTAGTCCGAACGGTATCGGACAGTATTTAAAAGTCTACTGATACTTGGAGATTTCCTAACCACGTTGATTAATCTGGGATGGGTGCAAAAACATCAAAATTTGAAAAATCGTCAAAAGAGAGGCTATAACTGTTTGACCAATATACTAGGCTATCAGTATACATTAATAACTCTATCAAATCAGTAACTCCAAAGTATCTGTTTATACTACTTCTATATAGAATATCCACTGTGTCAATTATCAACAGCTACCAAAATAATTTTCATTTTTTTTTAACAACGCGTCTTATCCCATATTTTATATTTGTTTACTTAACATGTCAGATTTTAATAATTATGGTAATTATGGTGATGGTGATGGTGGTTTCGATGTAAGTCAAAATACTGGTGGTGGTTTCAACAATGATCATAGTACCGGTGGTAATGGATCTCAAAGAAATCAATTAAGACAACTGTTAACACCGGTTACAATTAAACAAATTAATGATTCAACTCAGTTAAATCCAGATGGTGAGTTTAAAATTCATAATGTTGAATTAAATATGATTTCATTCATTGGTATAATTAGAAAAGTCACAACTCATCAATCAGCAATAATAATGACAATTGAAGATGGAACGGGATCTATTGAAGTTCGTAAATGGATAGCAGGTATGTAAGGAAGCAAGTATAGTAAAGGATGTAGTACTAACATTTATTTCAGAAAACGATAGCTCAATTTCATTAACTGAAGAAGAAGAAAAATTTTCATCATTTGTAAATGAAAAATATATATTTGTTGGTGGTTCATTAAGACAATTTAATAATAAAAAAACTATACAAAATGCAATTTTTTATCCAATTGAAGATTCGAATCAAATAATTTATCATCACTTAAGTGCTATTGAAAATCATTTAAGATGTCAAGGAATACCAAAGAATACTACTACAAAAACTGAAAATAAGTTATTTGTTGATAATGTTAATCCAAATAAATCTTCTGGTTCTACTATTGATAAAGTTTTACAAGTTTTAAAAGATAATAGTTCTACGATGAGTGAAGGTGTTCAATTAGAATATGTTGTTCAAAAATTGAATATATCAAGAGAAGATGCAAAAAATTATTGTGATGAATTAATTGAAAGTGGTAAAATTTATACTGGTTTTGATGATAATACTTATATAGCAATTTGATATAATATATATCTCAAGTGTTTATTACATCCTTTCAGCTATTTTATATATATGTATATATATATATATATATATTCATTAATTCGTATAATATGGTTGATAATCATTTATATATATATTCTTTCATAAATTCGTATAATATGGTTGATAATTTTTTAATTTTGAACTGAAAAATGCTGACCATAAATCATTTTTAGTTACTAATTCTCCTTGATTTAAATTATGTTTATTAATTAAATTTTCTTCACCACCACTAGTCATAATGGTTAAACTTTCAGCTTGTTGTAAATTAATATCATTAGGTGTAGGTGTAGAATCATGATTATTTAAATACTGTAATCTTTTATTAGTAGAAGTTATAATTATAGATTCTTCAATTGTATTTTCAATTGAAAACATCCAAACTGTTGTAGGTTTAGTTTGACCAATTCTATGAATTCTTGAAATTGCTTGTAATTCTAATGCAGTATTAACTAATGGTTCACAAAGAAAAATATGCTGAGCATTAATTAAAGTTAATCCACTTGCTTCTGCTTTTGCATTTAATAAAAAACAAGTAATTTTATTAATTGGATTCTTGAAAGTTTCAACAGAATCATATTTTGAATATTTTCTTGATTCTTTTGAATTTTTTGACTTTTTTATTCCAATATCACTTGGTGTCATTGTACCATGAGATGAAATATATGTAATTCCATGAGATTTAAAAGCTGCAGCTATTAAATATAATAATTCTTGCCATTGACTAAAGACAACAATTTGAACTTTTGGATCTTTTGACTTTAAATATAAAACTTGTTTAACTATGGTATTAATTTTTGTACAATAATTTGCATCACATTTTGTTTGTTTAATTTCATTTACAATTTCAATGGGTAATGATTTATAAATTGAATGTAAATGAGAATTTACAATTGTTGATGATGATGATCTTGTTTCTTGATTTATTTTTAATTCTGGTTCGTATCTTGTAAATTTATGAAATGTATTAATTCTAATTTGATTTTTACATACTGGACAATTATCTGATTTTTTCAACCATTCTAATAAACAATCAACACAATATTTATGACCACATTGAGTTAAAGCACCAGTTGAAATTGAAGAACGACAAATTATACATATCAATTCATCATTATCGTTATCTGTTTCATTTGATAATACTTTTAAGTATCTAAATCTTGCAATTGATGAATCTAATTGATCATCAATTGTTTTTAAATCAATTCGATTAAATTGTGATTCTATAGATGATAAATGTAAATTATTTCTATCGAGTAATTCAAAATTTGGTGGTTTAACAGTATCTGAAATTTGTTGTAATTGTTTATAATAATCTATCCTAGCATTAAATACAGAATTTAAATTTGTATTCAATTCCTTAAATAATAAAACATTTGAAATTTTTTGATTTTCATATATTGTTTGTAAAATTGATTGTAAATCATCTAATAATTTAGATTGAATTGAATTTGAATCTAATTGAGAATTCATAATAGTTAAAGAACTAACTAATTCAACTAATTCAAAATTTGATTTAGGTGTAGTTTCTTCTAACTTTTTTTTCAAAAATTGATATTGTGAAGATGATATTTCAAAATTATTATTTAATGATGAATTCGCTGATTTTTCACCAATTATAAACATTGATCGTTTATCTAATGCTTCTAATATAATTTGTAAATATGATGATATTTTTTCTTGATCATTTAATGTTTGATCATATTCATTCCCATTTGGATCTGAATCGGATGATAATACAGGACGACATAAAATTATAGTCAAATCATTAATCCATTCATTTATATGAATAGCTTGTAAATTTAATTGTTCAATTAATGAAGTTAAATTTTGAATAAACATGGAAACTTTTGGTGTAGTTGCAAAATTTGATAAATTTACTTTTATAATAGGTAATGAATTGAAGAAAGTTTTAGTATTTTTGGGAATTAATTTTGTACCATCATCTATGAAACTACCATAATCTCCAATTACTTCATTTCTGTTTAAATAACCACGAGATATAATTTTTGATTTAATTAATTGATTTACATTTTCAATTGATGGTTCAAGAATTTTACTTCTAACTTCTTCAGCCATTGAATAATAAGTACTTTCAAGAACATTAAAAGGTCCAGTTATACTTTCTTCTTCAAAATTAAATTCATTCAATGGTATACCACTCATAATTGATGCTAATTCGTTTGAACGTTCAGATCCTTGAAAATTGAGTAAATTTTGATATTGAAAATTTATTGGTAATTTTCTTTTACTTATTATTTTTCTAAATTCTAAATCATAATGTTGAAAATTTGATGAAGCAATAAGGAAATAAAATTTATGTAATAAAATTAACCAACTTCTAATTTTTAATTTTGATTGATTAATTTTTTCACTTAATTTTTCTTCGTCTTTTAATTTATCTTGTTTTTCAATATCATATTGTAAAATCTTTTCCAATCTTTTAATAATTTTTTTAGTTTCATCAACTCCAATTTTTAAAAATTGAATTGCAATTTCAGGATAATATATAAATTCAAAAAATTCACTTAATCTAATATATTTTTCAATTTTTTTCTTTTCAAATTCACTTATATTATTAAATGCTTTTATAATCATATTTTCTAATATTTGATCTAATGTTTGAATAGCTTGATCTGATTCATAAGCATCATAATATCTTGAATATCTAGATGCTTGATTTTTTAATAATCTATTACTACTTAAATGTAATTTACCAATCAGTGGAGAACAACATGATTGTCTTAATCTATTTAACCAAGATCTCATTAAAATCATAATATTCCCATTTAATTCCCAATCATTTGTAGTTGGTTCACCATTAACATTCATTCCAATTTCTTGTAAACATTCTTCAAATAATTTATTATATTGATCTTGTTCAATTGCATTAAATGGAATTGATAATAATACTCTATTTTGCGGTGGTAATTTAATATCATCATGAACCATTGATTTAGTATGTCGAATTGAAATTTTAGTCCACAATTTTTTAAATTCAATTGGATTATTAATTAAATATTCCCAACTTAAATCACCAAATACTCCATTAAATGGGAAAAATTTTAAAAATTTTAATGTTGAAAATAAATCATTCAATGTTTTTTTGATTGGAGTTCCTGATACTCCCCATTTATGAAATCCAGAAATTAAAGAAGCACTTTGAAAAGCTCTTGAAATTTGAGAACTAACCATTTGAACTTCATCTAAAACAACTCGCCAAAAGTGAATCAACATTAATGGACATTCATAATCATTTGATCTATAACTATCTGGTATTTGATTATGTTTTAATGCAAATGAAATTTCATCATGTAAAGCTTTTTCATAATCAGTACCTTTTTGATCATCAATTGATTTTGCATTTGCAATATGAGGATTTTGAAAACTTAATTGAAATAAATCTTTAAAATCATAAGTTGGATTTGGCTTTTCAGCTTCTTCTTCATCATCAATATCATCATCATCTTCTTCTTCTAATTTTTCTTCATAATAACTATGTCTTTTTGCATTTCTTGTTCTTTTTGCCTTTGCTGAATATTTTGCATAATCTAATTCTTTTGCAATTGTTGAATATGTAGTAAATACAACATCAAATTTTCTTAAATAAGCAGCAATTATTGCTGGTTTATTTTCAAATGCTTTATAATTTCCAAGTCCTTTATATACTGTAACTGCTAAACTTGGAGCTAATGTAATAATTTCCTTTTGCCATTGTTTTAAAATTGCATCGGGGGTAATAATTAAAGTAGTTCTACCTTTTATAATATTTTTTGCATCACCATATTGATTTAATCTTAAACTTAATCTTTGATCAATTTCATTTATAGGACGTTGATTTAATAACATTAATGAAACAATTTCAACAGTTTTACCTAGACCCATTTCTTCACATAATAAACCTTGAGCTGGTAAAGCAATTGGAAAATTATCTTTATCAGGATTTTCTTTATATTCTTCAAGATATGCTTTTAATTGATCATAAGTTGCAATATTACAAGAAAGGAAATTAAAATAATAATTTTTTCCATTTTTATTAATCATTTTCCATCCATACCATAGTCTATTAGTTAATTCAATAATATTTTCAGGTGTAATATCAATTAAGAATGGTATTGATTCACATGTATTCAGTAATGAATCATATTTAACATTTTCTTTTTCTAATAACCAATTAACTGTTTTTTTTTGAAAATTTAATAAATTAGTTTCTAATTCAGGAATATCAAATTCTTGAATAGCTGAAATTTGTTCAGTATTTTCAACAATTGATTTATAAAAAAATTCAGGTGAAACTTTTGAATTTGAATTTGAATTTGAATTTGAATTTGAATTTTCAATTGGGATAAAAAATGGCATTAATCTTTTAATAACTTCTCTTCTATAATTAATATTAATATCAACTTTTAAATCAACTTTAATATCAATAGTTACTGAAATTGTATTTTGATTTATATCTATATCAACAGATTTATATGCAATTAATTGATTTTTATATGGAGAAGTTAATAAATAAATTTCATTTGATATATCTATATCTTCATCATGTCGTATTCTAAATAATATAACACGTTTACTTTTATTATTTAATGCTTTAACAACAATATGACCTTGTTTATATTCAATAATTAATGATTTTGAATTAATATGTGAAGTTATATTTGATTCAAATCGGCCATTTGAAGTTATAGTTCTTGAAAAAATATTAACTAATTCATGATTTATAGGTTGTGGTTTCTGTTTCTTATTACCATTATTAATAACTTGTATAATTTCCTTTTCATTGATATCAATCATAACAACGTTTAAGTTAAAAGTGGCAATTTGTTGCCACAAAGTTAGATATTTATTGTTAGATATAAAAAAATTAATTTTGTATTGGGTAGCGCATATAAATAGGTATATATTGATAATAGATAACAGTGTATATATTGAATTCTAACTAGTTTGAATTGGTATCTTATTCTTCCTTCTTTCTATTATTGATGCACCTCCTAAATTCAAATCAAATGCTTTTGATGCTTGTGCTTTTATATGTCTACTATGTTGATTTATATTTGATCTTTGGGCTGATCTTGGTATATGAGATTGTAATACATGACCTTGTGAATCTTCTTCTTCTTCTTCTTCTTCTTCTTCTTCTTCTTCTTCTTCTTCTTCTTCTACCAAGTCTTCTATTGTTGGTGGTATTTTATTATAAGCTAATGCTGCTTCTTCTCCCATTCTATGTACTGCTGTTGATACATCAAATGCATCTCTTAATGCTACAGCTGCAGGTGAATATAAATCTTGATTTGTTGTATTATTATTATTTTTATACTTCTTTGAATATCTATTACTTGATGAAATATTATGTGATTGTATTGGATGTGATAATTGAGATGTTGCAGTTTTCTTAATTGGTTGTTGTGGTATTTTATATAAGCTTTCTTGTTTAATCCATGGGTCTTGTAAAAATTCATCAATTGTATATCTTTTTCTTGGATCTACTGTTAATAATTTTGAAACACAATGTTTTGCTGCATCACTAATCTCATCCCACCATGGTTGTAAGAATGTAAATTGACCCTTTGCAACTTTTTCAGTTAATGTTTCAATTCTTTCATCATAAAATGGGGGGAAACCACATAATAAAGTATATAAAACACAACCAATTGCCCACATATCAACTTCTTTTGAATATCTTTCATCTCTAACTATTTCTGGTGCTGTATAACCAACAGTACCACATGGAGTTTTTGTATTATGTTCCCAAATTTGTTTTGATAAACCAAAATCAGCCAATTTAACAATTCCAATTCCACCACCACCATATCCAGGAATAAAATCGCCTTCATCTTTTTTCTGATTTGGATCATCACTTTTTCTTAATTTACTAATTGGATTTGAACTTGGTTTAAATTCAATTGGTTCAAATAATAAATTTTCTGGTTTAATATCTCTATGAACAATTCCAACTTCTTCATGTAAATATCTAATTGCTTGAGCTACTTGAACTATAATCCATCTTGACAAATCTTCTGATAAATAAGTATATTTAACAATCATTGTAAAAATTTCTCCACCAGAAACTAATTCTTGAACAATATAATAATAACTTGCAGAATCAATAAATTCAATAAATTTAACAGTATTTTTATGATTCAATTGTCTCATTATAGTAACTTCTTTTAAAATAGCTTGTTTTTGAGAGTTATCCATTTGAAATTTTCTTAAAATTTTAATGGCAACTTCTTTACCAGTTGGTAAATATTTTGCTTTATAAACTACTGAAAACGCACCTTCACCCATTTGATCCAAGATTTGATAATTATGTAAACCAGGATATTTTTTTGCTGTTTGTTTTTGCAAATTTTCTTCTTCAACTATTTTTGAAGCAATTTGATGATTATAATCTTGATTACTAGTAGTATTTGTAAAATTATCATTTAAAGTAGTATCCGATGTAGAATAATCAAAATTTTGATACATATTATTCTGATGGTAATTAATATTATTGTCGTAACCAGGTATGAAATCTTGTTGTTGTTGTTGTTGTTGTTGCTGTTGTTGCTGTTGCTGTTGTTGCTGTTGTTGCGGTTGCTGTTGGTGTTTATATTGATTACCGTCATTCACAGATGGTGAAAAAGTAGTATAATTTTGATCCTTTTTACTATTATGTTTTAAATCATTTGCTTGTTTACCATGTCTAATAAAAGCTTTTAAATTTTCAAACATTGTAATAATTATCTATGCCTTTCGCTTTTTTTTATAATATTTTTGATCCTGCGTAATAAAATAAATAAGTTGTAATTTTAATTAATTTTAATTGGGTAGAGATTGATTAATGAATACTAGTTGACATAAATCTCCAGAAAGAATAACCAATGAATAAATTGTTGTAAAAAATGGAAAAGAAGAATTGATAAATATAAATTCTTTTATTGAAGAATAATTATAAAAATATATAATTAAAGAAATTATTTTATTTTTTATTTTTATTTTTTTTTTTTTTTTTTTTTTTTTATTCTATTTTATATTTTTCACACGGTTATTATTTTTATTATAGTACTTGAACAGTTAAGAACACCCACATACAATATATATATATATATATATACGTTGACGATTAGTTCACATATAAAGAGCAAGCAATATTTGAACCTTTGATGATGTATAAAGTATTAAGTATAGTTTTCTCTAATCAAAATATATAGCATAAACATCTTATTAATTATCTCGGATTTGACAATTATTATTAATTATTTGATCTAAAATAATCTGACATCTGAATTCCTTTAACAGTTTGGTCGTATCTTTTAATCCTCTAATCTATTAATTCTTGGATTGGTAAATCTTTTAAATTCCATTCAATAGTTTAAAAAATCTAATTAATTTCTTTCTCTATTCTACGACGGTTTAATTTTCATTAATTTCCGTAATTTCCATAATTTATCTAGTGTATTATTTATTGGGCTCGATAAATGTCTAGATCTAACATATCTAGGTGTTGTAAAGGTATGTAAAGGTATGTAAAGGTATGTAAAGATATAGGGATTTCATAGTTAATCATAATTTCTCTTACGTCAGAGTTTAAAAATAGAAAGAAAAACGAGAAGATTACGAGATATGCGAATTTTTTTTTTTTTTTTTTTTCCGTCGTGTAATTTCTTTTTTTTTTACTAGGCCAATTTTCATTTGCAATCTTATTATTTTGCAGCCTAAAATCCTGGGCTGATAATTAATTGATATGATGACTTGTAATTCCATCATAATGATGACAAATTGAAACAAAAGTTACTGCCACCACGTCTCATATGTGAATCATTTTGAACTATAATGATTATTTAATTTTTTTTTAGTTTTGATTTAAATATTATAATTGCTACTTTACTCATCGATATTTTATTTCCATGTACCATTGATTAGGTTAAAGATTCAATTTTTCTTTTAGTTAATTATTATTATGAAGCAGCAAAAGACAACATTTCGGTCGTAAAATCATACATACATGGTATAAACAAATGATGAGTTCCATTGGAGTTCAGTTAGTTAAGTTAGTTAGTTTGATCACAATGTTTAATCTCGGTGGTGTTTTCTTCATTTTTGTAACTAATTTGTATTGTAAAATCATAAAATCCACAAATATATTAGCGTCTATTGGTAGTGCCCAATTTTTTTTGATTCTGGACTTCCATTGCCATTCCATTCGTTCCGAAACCACAGTGAATTCCGGTTTAAACTTTTCTTTTTTTTTTTTTTTTTCTTGTAGATAATTAGATTACACGACCATGCGAGTTTGATTCGGCTAAAATTGTTCGTTCAATGAAATAAACTTGATTTAGCAATTTTAAACGGAATTACAAGTGAGAATCATTTCCTGGGTGTAGTTAACCTTTGGATTGAGATTATACTTGATCGAATTTGGTTTAACCCCCCTCCCCCCCTCCCTGTCCATGTGGTAAATTTTCTACACGGCTATTCTCTTACCAGTTCAGTAACACACTTTTCCATTACTAAGCCGTTTTGATTTGTTCTTTAATTAGCCATGATTTTAGTGAACTTCTCAGATATTGCATACTGTTGCATTTTTCCATAGATTTTGTAAATCTATTAAAAAAGTTAAACTTAACAAGCGAACGATGAATTTTTGGGACATACAATACAAATATAAGTAATTCAAACCGGTGGTTATGTCTTATCTCTTGAGCTCCTCAGTTTTCTTGATTGATTTTGTTAATTTTATTAACTTAGAATCTTGTTTATTATTATTATTATTATTTTTTTTTTTTGCTGCAAAAAATTCACTTGGTAGTGTTGCATGAAACGTGTATTTACCATGATGTCACAAAATTCAACCATTCAACAAAACTGCAACAGCCGATTTTAAATTTCAAAATCAAATCAACATTTTATCATGGCTCCACCAGCAATTGTATTCACCGATTGGGACGGTACCGTTACTTTACAAGATTCAAATGATTATCTCACAGATAACCTTGGGATGGGATATCCAAAACGTAAAATTTTAAATGATGATATCTTAGATGGTAAAATTAATTTTAGAGACGCTTTTAAAGATATGTTAGATTCAGTTCCAAATTCATTTCCAGAATGTGTTGAAATTTTATTAAAGAATATTAAATTAGACCCTGGATTTAAAAAATTTTATCAATATTGTAAATCTAAAGATATTCCAATTATTGTAGTTTCAAGTGGTATGAAACCAATTATTTATACATTATTAGAAAGTTTAGTTGGTTCTGAATCATTACCCGACATTGAAATCATGAGTAATGACGTTAGAATAGATGGTGATAATTGGGAAATTTTCTTCAAAGATCCTGATTCTCCATTTGGTCATGATAAAGCAAAATCTATAAAAGAATATTTGAAAGCTCATGGTTATGATGATAATGATGATAGTGAAAATAACACTCCTAAATTGTTCTATTGCGGTGATGGTGTTTCTGATTTATCTGCTGCAAAGGAAACAAATTTATTATTTGCCAAACATGGTAAAGATTTAATTAAATATTGTATTAGAGAAAATATTCCATATACTGAATTTAATGATTTTGAAGATATTTTAAATAAAATGACTGCAATTATCGATGGTTCAAGTACAATTGAAAAATTTACTGAAAATCCAACTTTTGAAGCAACTACAAAATAAGGAAAAATACACTTTGATAAATTTATAGATTTATAAAGATAGAATTTTGATTTATACAATATAAAAGCTTTGAATATTTATGGAAGATACTTGATTGAATTGACTCTAATTGATCCTTGTGAACATATGCCCCTCTAAATTTCGGTTATGTTTCCATTTTGAAAATTGTGGTTAGTGTATTTTCAAATTGAACAGTTCCAAAATCAATGTAAGATAAGATGCAAAACCAATTGTCAAGAAGCCCCTAAAATTCAACTGCATTTTTCCAAAGATGACTAGAAACCCTAGACTAACTTTCAAAAGACATTAGGATTTATTCTGGTTAATAGATTACACATTTGTTTCAGATTGCGTTTTTTTAAACTTCATGGCTTATAATGAATGTTAAATCTTTTTTAAACCCCTTAACTCTAAAGTCCGGATCTAAATTATCTCTCTCCTATTTATTCCGATCACAAAAAAAAAAAAAAAAAAAACTTTTACTTCGTAACTAAATATTGTATATGAAAAAAGCATAGTATTAGTTAATTAATCAACTTTTATATATATTCATTAATTATAATCAAGTATTCACTCTTTAAAGACACTTTGACAAGTTCTTTATTATAATTATTAGATACCAAGAAATTTAATCGACATAATCAAGAAAAAGTTTATCAAGTTACATAGTATGGCTGGTACTATTAAAGATGAAACTAATACAGTAACTACACCTACTAAACCAGAAACAGAACCAAAAGAATATAATTCAAAATTTAAACAATATATCACCACTTCAAAGAAAATTATTACTAAATATGGTACTTTTATTGGTCCTGGTATCATGATTTCAGTTTCATATATTGATCCTGGTAATTATTCCGCTGGTTGTTCTGCAGGTTCACTGAATCAATATTCATTATTATTTGTTGTTTTATTAGCTAATTTATTTGCAATTTTTTTACAAAGTCTATGTATAAAATTAGGAACAGTTACTGGATATGATTTAGCTAGAAGTTGTAGAGAATATCTTCCTAAAAAATTAAATTGGATACTTTGGATTCTTGCTGAATGTGCAATTATAGCTACTGATCTTGCTGAAGTGATAGGTACTGCAATTGCTTTAAATATTTTATTAAGAATTCCATTACCTGCTGGTGTTGTTATAACTATAGTTGATGTATTACTTATTTTAATTGCATATAGAGCAGATACTGCAAGTATAAAATTTGTTAAAATTTTTGAATATGTTGTTGGAATTTTAGTTTTAGTTGTTGTTATATGTTTTGCAATTATGTTATCAAGAATTGATGGTGATGCTCGAACAATTTTACGTGGTTATGCACCTAGTTCACAAATGTTTGATGGAAATGGAATGTCATTAGCTGCTGGATTATTAGGTGCTACAGTCATGATTCATTCAATTTATTTAGCTACAAATATTACAATTCCAAGATTAAGAGAATTTGATGTTAAAAATGGTTTAATTAGTTTAGATAAAATTCATTCAATTGATTCAAAAAGAGATAATTATGAATTGGAAGCTGATTTTTTTTATAAAAATTATAAACCTTCATCAAAAGCAATTCATTATTCATTTAAATATTCAATTATTGAAATGGTGATTACTTTATTTACAGTTGCATTATTTGTCAATTCGGCAATTTTAATAGTTGCTGGTTCAACATTATATAATACACCAGAAGCTCAAGATGCAGATTTATATACTCTTCATGATTTATTATCAAAAACAATTGCACCTGCAATGGGAACAGTTTTTATGGTTGCATTATTATTTTCTGGTCAAAGTGCTGGAATTGTATGTACTATTGCTGGTCAAGTTGTAAGTGAAGGTCATATAAATTGGACGGTTAAACCATGGTTAAGAAGATTAATAACTAGATCAATTTCAATTATTCCTTGTTTAATAATTGCTTCCTGTTTAGGTCGTGAAGGTCTAAGTATTGCTTTAAATATTTCACAAGTTATAATATCAATTTTATTACCTCCTTTAACCGCTCCATTAATTTATTTTACATGTTGTAATAAATATATGACAATTGAAATTATTGATAAAAATAATGAAAAATTTGATTATGAAGATGAAAAAACTGGGAAAAGGTATAAAAGAATGGCTAATAATTGGTTAACTTCGATTGCTGCTATTATAATCTGGGTATTTATTTCAATTTTAAATGTTTATGCAATTTATGATATGGCTAAAAATGGTGTATAGGGATTAAAATTTAGAAATTAATATTAAATGGGTTGCATAAAAAGTACACTTATATAGATTAAAGTGAATTCAACGTTTAATCTTTAAATGGTTAATTATCATACACGTCTCTATCTTCTGTTTCATATCATATAGATGTATATGTATATTAGCACGATTTTTACTGATTAACAAAACGACCGAGATCAACATATAAATAGTCCACAAAAATTAAGATATCTAAAAATATTAACATATTTGTTTCTTTTTGATAGCAATGTGACTTTCCTTGACAGCGTTTACGAGAGTGTGATTTGTTTTTCGCATTATATAAATTTACTTCAAATTGTTTTAATGGATCTTTATTTTAAATAAAGCAAACCGACTACTAATTTGTATGACGTATCAATAAGAATACCTAAATCTAAGAATGATACAGCACGTAAATTATTAATTATTGAAGTATTGATCAAATCATTCCCAGAGTGGTGTTTCTATTGATTCCAATTCATTTGTTAAATCAAAGAAAAACCGGAATCATCTACAAGAAACTGATAATTCATTACGTTTATAAACGTCATTTCATTGTAATGATATGAGTAATGTGGTGGTTGATAACTTTATTTGAATGAATACGTCAAATGAATCAATCTATTGCTAATGTTATTAATTAATTATTAACCTTTATTCAAATAAAAAACAGATAATATATTTTTTGCCGCTATGGTAAACTCAATCATCATTGATCGTAAGTCGTAGATAAAAACTCATAAATTCAATTCCAAAACTGAAATCTATATGTCAATGCACATCAAATAAGAACAATTGTGAACCATGAAACCAGTTCTAAAAAAGACTCTTTCTTTCTTTGTCAACATCAATTAACCTTCTTTGATTTACGCGACATAATAATTTTTCGCCCAAAAGTTAAGACGACTCGTACTAAATATATTAGCTTATATGTCACGAAGTTTGCAATTTCTCATGATGGAAACAAGTTTTACCAAATTCAGAGCCTTGAGTTATATATATCCTATACTTGAAACTTACGTTTTCAAACAATTTTTTTGGGGGGGGTTGTTATTTTGGAATTTTTCACCATACAAAATCTTGAGCAAGAATAAGAGGCAGGATATGGTCTATTTAGGGCCAAAACTTCAAAACAAACAACGGATTAAATATATAAATGATGGTCGCTAACTTACTTCTAGATGTATTTTAAAATTTTCTCTCAAGTACGGGGAAATTTGAATAAATTGACCTTACGAAATATTCAATTCCACTGTTGATTTTCAAGTTAAAATGTGACAAAAGTATCAGAGTTTGTAGTTCTGGATCCTAATAACTTTCCCGATTTCCTGTGGGAGGATATTCGAAATTGGAAGAGTAATTTTTCGAAAGTGAAGCGAAATTTTTGAAATTTCTGCAATTTAGTATAAGGCAGACCAAATTAAGCTCAGTGCATTTGGTTAAGATCCAATAAATAAAATTCGCTCTTTTAATCGTAGGGTTTGGTCCCAGATGGATAGATGATGCATTGAATAACATTTTTAAGAAATTTTCATTTGTCATGTTTTACATTAAAAATTTTTGCTCAGCAATTAGGCATTTGCCGCATTGGTTCTATGGATTAGTTGGTTTATATCGAATGCTTAACACGCATTAGGTCCCCAGTTCGAGCCTGGGTAGAATCAAGTTTTTTTTACACTTATCACTCTTTATTTTTATCATTTGATGAAGTTGTCATAGATATTCTCTTACTTTTTACTTTATGTCAATCTCATAGTGAAAAGAATTGAGTTAGTTTTTATAGAGTATTTTAAATTAGAAGAGTTATGTAAACTTAAGGTAGTTTTGTAGAAATTTGTGAAAAATATCAGAACTTACATCTTTCCAAATTTACCAAGAAGCAAATCTAAATACCATTCAAAGAACAAGCTTGTGGTAGTACATAATGGATTATTATTGAGCTGCTATGTCATAATTGACTAAGACATCGAGCTATCAAGAGTCTAAATTTCGATTAATTAACTAACTAAGAAGCGGAAAATCTATTTGATCGAACTATACCTTCCTTGCCAGAATTACTTAAAGAAACAATTTTGAAAACCTCTATATATTAAACTATAATCATTAGATTATTCAGTCAAATTCGAGTATTATTTATGTTGATCATTTTGTCTCAAATTGGACACTTGCCTGAATAACCTGGATTTTATACAATTAATCATTCGAGCTACCATATACTTTCAACTTCAATTAAACAATTACCAAGATTGTCTTAATGTCTAACATTGTCGATTGCTTACTTTGCTCACCAAGGTAACCTCCTGACCGATTAGATAACGCAAAATTTACTATCTTTACAATTTTTTTTTCTTCACCCTATCTAAATTTTAAATCCCATCCACTGAACTCCTTAATTTCAACACCCATTGGAAATCCGTTCGACAACGGACAAACCAATTTAAAAAAACAATGAAAATTATAGTTTAGAATTTAGATCGATCTATCGTTTATGCAAGGTTTTAAAAGGTTAATTATAAATTTATAATAATATAGATCAAAATTAAGGGGTAATTTTGGTAGAAAAATTTCTATAAATTTCTAAGTATTTCTTATCTCCAAGAACTAACTTAAATATATATATGTAAATAAGAATTAAGTTAATTACCAACCAGTATAATCTTTATCATTTTGTAAATCATTCCCATTTGTATAATAATTTGGTTGTTGACTTAATAAAAAATTTGTATTCATTAAATTATTATTATTATTATTTGTTGATATTGATTTTGATAATGAATTATTCGATGGTGATGATTTTAATAAATGAGACGGATTTAATGTTGATGCAGCATTATTTAAAGGTGGTGGAATCATTGTTGAATTTAATGGTGGTGATATATTATTAAAATTTTGTTGTTGGTTTTGTTGTTGTTGTTGTTGTTGGGGTAGTTGTGGTTGTGACGGTTGAGGTTGTGGTTGTTGGGGTAGTTGTTGTGATGGTTGTAGTTGTGGTTGTGGTTGTGGTTGTTGATTTTGCGTTGTTGTTTGTTGTTGGTTGGCAATTGGTAATATATTTTGAATTGAATTAAATGATGGTAATTGTTGATTTTGATTTTGTATTGGATTTGATTGGAAAAAATTAATTAAACCTGTATTTGACATATTTATACCTGGTAATTGATTAAGATTATCTAAATTTGGATTGTAATTTGCAGCAGCAGCAGCAGCTTGTGCATTACTTGGATTTAACCAATTTTGATATTTACTAGGTAGTTTAGGTTGTGATTGAATATGAGGTTGTTGTAAATTATTTTGTTGAGGTAATTCTTGTTGAAATTGTTGTAGTGGTTGTTTTTGATAAAATTTATGATTATTATTCTTATTATTATTAGTATTATTTGGTTCATCTTTTTTAGTTTGTTCATAAAGGTTTTGTTTTAATGAATTTAAAAATTGTAAACTTAAATAACTTCTATAATCTAAAATTAACTGAGACATAAGGGAATCAAACATTTGAGTCTTTTGATGGTCGTGAAGGAATTTGTTCTCGATAATATTTTGATTTATTTGACTTCGTACATTATTTTCTAATGTTCGAAGAAGACTAATTTCTTGACCATTTGTTCCTCCACTTCCACCATTAGCATTTGCTCTATAATATATTGCATCATCTTTGATTGGAGCCGGTAGATCTAAATTATTATTATTATTAGTATTAATATTATTATTATTATTATTATTATTATTATTATTATTATCATTAGAATTACTAGTAGTAGTAGTAGTAGTAGCAGCACTAGGAGGAGTATTTTTGATACCATTGGATGTTGAATTTTTATTATTTTGTTTCCTCTTTTTATATTTCCTATGTCCATTAGAAGAAGATGACGAAGAATCATCTATATACATCGGACTAATAGAAGTCGGTGGACTATCCTTGGATATTTCTTCGTCGGTACTAGTTGGTTTTGTCGATGATGATAAAAGTGACAGTTCGTCACTCGAAGTGCTTTTGTTATTGATATTGATATTGTTATTGTTATTGTTATTGTTTGATTTTAAATCATGTTGTTCTAAATTTGTTGATGTTGTAGGTATTATTGGAGCTTTATCTTGTTGATTATACATTAATAAATTTGAAGGAGAATCAACTATATGATCATGATTATCACAAATTATTGATAAAGTCCAAATTTTATTTCTTACCGAATAATTTGCTCTAATTTTAAAAGGACATGTTGTATGTCTTCTAATTGGAATTTTTGTATTTTTATTTTTTGATTCTATAATTTTAGTCTTTTTCTCTTTATTTTTACACTTAAATATAACTTTTGAATTATCTGATCTTTCTATAACAACATGAATTCCCTTATTTTGTAATAATAAATCTTGTAACCATGGTTTTATATCCTGTTTTGAAGTAAAAGACTTAGATTCGAGGTCTAAATCATCAAGAGGTATACTTATAGATGGTTCATTCATTTTCAAAATTATTGAATAAAAATCATTAAATAAAACCCTTACTACAAATTAAATTGATGACGGATAATAGTATAATAACAAGTAATAAATGGATAATATGAATAATTAATGAAAAATTTTTGTGAAAATAATTGCGTGGATTGTTAATATATAAATAACTAATTAACTAATAATATAAATTTGCTAAAAAGGTTGAATAGCGAATGATTGATAGATGGATTTCGATTGTTTAATATAACAATTTATTAGTAGAAAAAAGACACACAAAAAAAAAAAAAAAAAAAAAAAAATAAAAAGCAAACCAAAAATTAAAAAATAAAAAGCAAACCAAAAATTAAAAAAAAAAAATAAAAAAAAAAATAAAAATAAAAAAAAAATATAAAATATAAAATAAAAAATAAAAAATAAAAAATAAAATATAAAATATAAAGATTATAAAAAAAGGTAAACGCTGTGAATCTCTAATTTATAATTTATAGTTCAGTTTAAATAGCTTTTTAATTGTATTGTAGAAGAATTGACTTTTTATTGAATTAACTACATTCCTTAATATGAGTTATTGCTTCGATATATTTTATTAAATTTTACTAAATTATACATACATACCTTTAATAGATTAGAATTTATTCTATTAACTTTTTTAAATTCTAATTAAAGTCTGATTTTAGTCTCTATATTGGTTTGGTTTCAATATCTTTTCATCTATAATCGAATGTTTCAATTTTTTTGTCTCTAATATCGTTAAATATTTTTAGTTGCAAAAAATAAATCAACAATAAAAAAAAAATTTAAAATATGTACAATAATTATTTCATGTAGATTATTTCAGTTCATTATGCATCAAAAATGAATTTTACACATATATATAAAAGACAAATCGGCTTCATTCTATTATATCAATATTTATTTGTTTTATGATCAATTCAAAGTAATCCAGAATCGATAAAAGATTAAGGACCATTTGAAATACTTTTTTTTTTATTTTAAATGCGTCTACTAGCCACAACTTTTAAGAAAATTAGTTACTACACCAGAAAATCGTCAAAATTTTAAAGAATTCTATTTGAACTCGAGTTTTAGACTATTTTCGTCATCAACATTATCATTATCATTATCATTATCATCATCATTATCATTATCATTATCATCATCATTATCATTATCATTATCATCATCTTCTTCTTCAAAGCTCAATACTGCTTTGAAAAGAAATTTTAGATCGAACAAAATGCTGATTCTAAAAAAATTTTTTCTACTATCTAATTCTTCGTACATTTACAACAAAAAATTAAAGTATTGACCAAGTTGATCGAGGAATATACATATCTATTACAATCACGAGAAAAAATAACTTATTGAGCGTCTTTTCTATAATATTGTGTGCATACTCTACTTCTTCAATTTTCTATTATGCTTGCGGTTTTATTTAATTAATGTAAGATTAAATAATTGAAGTGGCAATCTATCAAAAATTTACTCCTAAACTTAACGCGTTTATGACTTGTTGGTCTATTTTTCTAAAGTCAGACGCTAAACGCAAGTTTAGATAACAATAGATGGTACAAATTAACATTCGAATAGTGCGTTTTTATTGTTGTAAATTCTTTGTTGTTCATATTAAATAATTTTTGTATTTTCATGCTTGGGCAATAAGATAAACCTACCTTATTTTTTGGTTATAATGTGATGTTAAGTTTATATCCACTTAGTTAATATCTAGCAATATTAAGAGTTGTTTTATTGGTTTGAACTTGAACTTCAACTTGAACTTGAACTTGAAATCACTCAGATTCGTTTATGTGATAATCAAAACTTTGAATATGTCTAAAAATAAAATATAATAAAAGTAACAGTAATCTAATTGCAGATCTTCTTGGAAGATTAGATAGCTATCTACCTTTTTAAGCTCGGCTAGCATTCTATGTGAGTAAGATAGACAAAATTTACACCCCATTTAAAAATCTACAATCATGTACTCTCGCTTTTTTGTTAAATTTCGCGATTTAGCAAATTCAAACTAAAGAAGCAAAAGCTATTCGGCTTGTCCGATCAATTTTGAAAGCTGCGTTATAGTTGTGATTTGAATCAATAAAAGCATTGGAGCAACTGACAGCTTTTGATTTATTATTCAGACTATACGTTTTAGAATTTACAGTTATCTAGCTTTATTAAGGTATGAAGCAAAACATTTTTTCGTAAATTTTCTCTTAAGGGGTATTAGTGGGGGTAATTAAATTTGACCAATCAGAGCGTTTTTCGCACTATTAGTTTTTTTTGCAGCCAAAATAAGTCACGTGACAATTATTTAAATTTTTATCTTAAAATTGATCTATTAACAATATAAATTAAATCAATTGATTAACAAAACTAATTCTTTAACTCTTATTAACATACAACAGAAGAATGAATTGATAACGTTGTTTTAAATTACAATAGATCTATCAAATAATGGCACGCCCATCTCCTATGATTTAATTACATAGTTATGAATAATTAGTCCAATTTCTTCAGGATCACAGTCGACAATAACAAGAAACAATTAGTTATAGACGAAGTGTTGGTATATTTCAAGATCGATTATCTAATTTATCACCATCAATTTCGACTAATTCAATTTGTGATATAAACTCATCGCGGCACTCTACAATCAGTGCCAATAGTTATAGTCAAACTCAAAAAGAAGAAGAAGAGGAAGTAGATAAAACAGATTCAGAATTCAAAGAAGAAGAACAAGAGCGAAAATTACCCACATCAACTTCTAAATTAAATCTATCAAATGATTTACAAAAACCCGTCAATTTAAATTCAAATTGATTTACTGCAACCTCAATCTAAATTTAAACTACCTATACCGAGTCATTGACATCTATTTACAAAATCCATGTCAAAATTAAATAATATTCCCATCTCTCATTTTTTCAATTCATCCCATTTTTTCAATTCACTCAGATTCGATATTAAATCGAAAAAAGAATAATAATAATAATAATAATCATAATTTATTTGCAAACACCTACAAAGAATCAAAATTAAATAAATTTATATTCATTATATTTACAAGTTGTTTTAGTATTCTCTCTATTCTAATGAAACTTTTGCACCTAAACCTTCCAATGTAGCTTTAATTTTTTCAGCATCTTCTTTTGCAACATTTTCTTTTAATATTTTTGGAGCACTTTCAACAAATTTCTTTGATTCAACTAATGATAAACCTAATAATCCTTTAACTTCTTTAATAATTTTTGGTTTTGATTTTGCATCGAATGATTCTAATTTAATGGAAAATATAGTTTTTTCTTCAATTGGTTCTTGAACTTCTTCTTCTACTGGAGCTTGTTGCTGTGAAGGAGCACCATTGCTAGATGCAGCAGGCAAAGCAATATCTGAAATATTTAATCTTTCTTTTAATTCTGAAATTAATTGTGAAGTTTCTAATAAAGTTAATTTTTCAATTTGATCAACTATTGTGGTGATTTTTGCATCAATTTGAGTGGTAGTTGATGTTGTGGAATTATAACGTATAGTACCTAAAGATATCAAATTTTTACATCTAGATCTCTTAATTGTTGGTTTTATAACTTGACGAATTGACATTTGTGAATATTGTGTTCTTCTATATTAAAAAAATTTTCAATATTTTTCAGTTTCAGAAACAAAAAAAAAAAAAAAAAAAAAACTATATACACGACTTGAAATATTTTGAAACAAACAAACCAGTTTGATTGATTGATTAACTACTGATAATGGCTTCATTTAGATTTTGTGAAGAATGTAATAATATGTTATATCCTAAAGAAGATAAAACCGGTGCTGAACCAAGATTATTATATGCTTGTAGAAATTGTGGTTATACTGAATTAGCTTCTGATCCAAAAGTTTATCGTCATGAATTAATGACAACAATTGGTGAAACTGCTGGTGCTGTTAAAGATATTGGTCAAGATCCAACTTTACCAAGAAGTAATAAACAATGTATTTATTGTGGTTATGATGAATGTGTCTTTTTCCAATCTCAACAAAGAAGAAAAGATACAAGTATGACTTTATTTTATGTCTGTTTAAATGATGATTGTAAAAGGATATTTCAAAGTTAAAAAAGTTAAAACAACTTATAATTTAAGAAATAACGCACGAAGCGATATAAAAGGTTACAGTATAGATTTTTCAAGGTTAATTTTTTCAAAAAAGTTTGGTTTTTGGTTGATGTATTATAGTTCATGATTTAAAGAAAGTAATTCTGTTAGAGACGAGACGAGACGAGTCAAATTACACATTAAACATTATATTTCATTTTTTTGTTTTGTATCTTTAATCTAATTCTAAAAAATTGTCTTAATTATGTTCTTTCTTTCTCTAAAAATCTGTAAAATATTGTCCATATGGATCATCACTTTGAATTCCATAATCCAATTGTTCTTCTGGATAATGATCAAATAATGATGAATCTCCAACACCAGCAGTTATAGGAGGTTCATAAGGTGTTTCAATATCTTTCAGTAATAATTTCTCCCATATAACTTCTTGAAACCATTGATGATTTCTTATATCAGCAGGTCCATTACTTAAATTACCTAATCTTCTTGTTAAATCACTAGTAATTAATCTTTGTAATAAATCAATTACATCAGGTTGAAAAAAACTTGGATAATGAATTTTACCATTTAAAATTTTTTCATAAGTTTTCATTGGTGTTGTATCATAAAATGGAGTATAACCAGCCAACATTTCAAATATTAAAACACCTAAAGACCACCAATCAACCGATTTATTATAAGGTTTTGTAGTTATAACTTCTGGTGCTATATAATCAGGTGTACCACATAAAGTCCAAGTTACAGTTGAAACTTCTTTTGCAAAACCAAAATCAGTAATTTTTATATGACCATTTTTATCTAATAAAATATTTTCAGGTTTTAAATCACGATATATAATATCATGACTATGTAAATATTCTAAAGCTAATGTAGCTTCAGCAGCATAAAATTTAGCAACTGGATTTGGAAATCTTTGAGATTTTCTTAATAAACTAAATAATTCACCACCTTCAATATAATCCATAACCATAAATAAATTTCTTGAATCTTGAAAAGTACCCCACATTCTTATTAAAAATGGATGTTCAATTAATTTTAACATTTTACGTTCATCATTTGTATGTTCAACTTGTTTCATTTTAACAACTTGATGTTTTTTTAAAACTTTTATTGCATAATATCTACCATTATGAACACTTCTAACTAAATGAACTCTACCAAAAGATCCAGTACCTAAAGTTCTCATTATTGAAAAATCTTGTAATGAATATTTACCTTTAGAAGTTGTAGATCTTTGAGGTAATAATGATTTTTTAATAGCATCATCATTTGCTTGTTTTTGCAGTTTTGTTTGATTATACTGATGCAAATGTTCTTGTGAATGTTGCAGTTGTTGTTGTTGTAACTGTTCCGAGTTGGCATTACTTACAGCGTTGATGTTGACATTTGACGCTTCTACATGTGCAGGAACTGTATGAGCTATTTGCTCACCATAGTGAGACATATTCGCTACTGGTTGTTGTTGTTGTTGTTGTCGTTGTTGTGGTTGTTGTTCTTGTTGTTGTAGTTGTGGTTGTTGTTGCAGTTGTTGTTTACTTAAATGTAATTTTCTTAAAAGATTGGCCATGAAATGTTATAACAAAATTGACCAATTTAAAAAAGATACAACTCTTGATATTAACTGTTTTGTATCTATCAATATTATAATTACTCCAATTTAGCTTGAAAACCTTTTAATTTTAATCAATTGTCGAATGTATAATCAAATTTAGGGGTGGGAAATAAAATATTAAAGCAAGCAAAAAAAAAAAATATCAATGGGATTCTAATAATAATAATCGAAGTATTGATGTTGTATTGAGAAAGTATGAGATATCAATTGAGTTATAAATTTACTTATACCAATATATCAGCCAATTAATTGTATAATTTTAATAGTTTGTTGACAAATTTGACTTGATTTATGAATAAATGAATAAATAAATTTTTGCAAATTGAACAAAATGAAATTTCATATTTTCATTTTTATAAAAATGACACTACACTTAATTAAAATATAATATTATTTTAACTGTCAATTTAATTTACGACACTCGATTAAATTGATTACATTGCTTGAATGATTGATTGATTGATTGATCGATTGATTGATTGATTGGTTGATTAATTAATATTATTAATATTAATTCGTATAATATTAATTTAAATACTTATTATACAAATTAATAATATGTCAAAAATGTTTAATCTCTTATAATTACTTGTATCAACTCCCTCTAAAGCTTTTTATAAATTTGATTACCTTTATAAAAATATTAAACTAAGCAAAGTAATAAGTTAAACACTTATTAATTAATGAACTATAACAGATCACTTCGAATCTTTAAATCAAAAGTGTATTTTGACCTTCTCATAAATCAAGAGATCTCTGGTTTTTTTTTTTTTGCAGCCATTAAAATACTATGTAATACAAAATCAAAAGTTGAAATCTTATTGATAGCTTTTGTTTCTCGAATATTGTGAGATTTTCCAAATAAAGAAAAGCGGCTTTTTAATTTACGAAATTGTGCATCTATCAACGGATTTAATTATAAAAATAAAATAAATAAAAAAAAAAAAAAAAAAAAAAAAAAATTAAAAATTTTAGGAGATCGAAATTTTTTTAATTCGCCGTCCGTCATATAATAGAACTAAAAACGTTCAATTGAATACCAATATATTATTAGTGATTATATATATATATATTTACTTCAAGTATGTCTTCACCTCCTTTTAATATATTTACTTCTATTAATAATTCAACATTAATAATTCCATCAATTTCCATTGGTAATATACCTCAATTAGCTATTGATTTATTAATTCATACTTATTCATTTAGTAAAATTGGTAAAATTAATGATTTTTATTTATATCCATTTGCTTCAGCTATTGATCATGATCCAAGTATAATTGAAAATAATTTTGGTATTACTTCCAGTTGTGAAATTTATTTTAATAAAGATTTACAACTTACTTTAATTCAACAAAGATCACCTATAATATCTTCATATACTATTCCATATATAAATGAAGTTTTATTACCATTTATTTTGGAAAATAAATTTAAACATGTTATATTATTAGATAGTTTTGATGCTGGATTAGTTGAAAATATAAAACAAGGAGATATTAAAATATTTAACCAAGATGATTTATTAAATAAATCTTTAAAAGAATTAGAATTAAATAATAACAAATTAATAGATGAAAATGACAATAATAAAGATAAAGATAAAAATGAAAATGTTGATTTTGTTGAATTATTAATTAAAGAATTAATTAAACCAAGAAAAAATCCTTTTGATGTTTCTGTATTTATAAGTTATGTTTATGAAGGTGATAATTTTCAAGATGGTGAAAAATTGGCAAATAAATTGATTGAAGAATTAAATATTAAAAATGTAAAACAATGGATAAGACCAATTAGTTGGTTGGGAGCATACGGTGATAAACCAGTACCAAATTCAATGGAACAAGGTTTATATGGTTAAGTATGAATAATATACAATTACGAATGTGATGTTGAAAATCTTAATCTATGGTGAATATTTAAAATGATGTTTAAATCTGAGTAAACGGTTATAAGCCTTATTAGGAATTATAGCAGATCTTGACAAAAGTGCTTTACTTCTTGAGCTTTTGGGAGTAGTAGTTATTCAATCGATCCTTCAGCCCAAAGGTTTAATTGATTAGCTTTTGAATATTGATTATCCTATTTCCTTAAGCTCCTCTACGCTTTACACATTTTAAGCTTGGTTAAAGATCATTTTATGCTACTCTGACTCTTTGACAATGCTTACCCACTTGTGAGAGTTACAACTCCGAGATGTAATTTGCCTACAATTTGTTTTTTTTGCAACTTTATAACTGAATAAAACAAGATTTTTTACTTGGTGCGATAGAAAAAATTTCTCGCCCTAGCACCAGGGCGATTCGTGCTAGATGCATATATACAAAGAAAAACCATTTTAAGAGCTAAAAGCTGTTTATATCAAATTAAAATCCTTGAACTTTATACTGCACATATTTGAAATTTGAGATTTGAAACATTTTTTTTTCAAGTTGAAGTTTTGGCCATTTTTCATTATACAAAATTTTTCTGAAAAATGTGATCTAATTTAATGTTTGATTCAGGGCCATAAGTTTCCATTAAACTAAAAATTATACATATTATACCTCAAATAAAGGTATTCCACTTAATTTAGTTGTTTTTGAGGTAAAATTGAAAAATTCAAATTTTTCTCTTATGTATGGAAATGACAATAAGTTTTGAGATCAGCTACTAAAAGACTGCGAAAGTCGAATTGTTTCAGAATTTTGACAGTTGCTTATCTCCGTGACTATTTTTTTAGCGCGCACAATTCGCGCTTAAAGCATAGTTTGGCACTAAAGCTCAGCCCAATTTGGAGCGAAAAGGCTTTAAGTTTGTTTTCAAATAACTCAGTAATTGATCAAGGTGTCAGTCAAAGTCCTAATCATATGGATATTCTCTGTTATGTATAGTAAATTAATTGACTTTATTCCGAAGCTGCTTGCATCATCTTTTGAGAAATTCGAATTTTGATCGTCACAAAAAAGCGAACTTCAGATCGATTTTGATAGTAAAAATTTTGAATATCCCAAGTTTTAGAGGAAAATTCTTGATAGATTCGAACCTGAGCTTTCTATTAATGAAACCAACTGACAAATTTTTTGGTTTTGAAAATGACGGTTTTGATGTAGTTTTCATATAGGAATTTAAAACTATCACGTAATATATGGCCACGTAACCTGTCGTGGACGTAAGCAGAACGTGCGAACCAAACGAACAACTATTTTTTGGTGCAACATTTAAGGCGAGTCGTTGTGTAAAATGGCTCAAGTAAAGAGAAGATATATTCAAACTAAACAGAAGCGATCAGAGCACTCAAAAAAAGATATTTAATATTTAATATTTACCCCTTAATGACTTATGCTTTTAGGAATAAATATTTACATCGTGTATTTCGTTAAATTATAGAATAATGCATATTTCTTTTTATTTTTAATTCTAATGCCCATTTCTAGGTAATTGAGAAGGTACTTGTGAATGATTTATAAATGGCTGTTGAGGTGATGAATGTTGTTGATAATGATTTAAATGTGGTTGTGGTTGTGGTCGGTGTTGGTGTTGTTGTTGAGGAACATAATGTGGCATAGACGGTGATTGTAAATGAATTGGAGGTGGAATAGGTGGTTGAAGTTGAGTATTATTTGCTTCTGCAGGTTGCTGTTGCTGTTGATGTTGTTGTTGTTCTTCTTCTTCATGATTTTTTTCTTTTATAGTTGGACTATTTAATAAATTTGCAATTGTGGGGCTTTCTTGAGCTTTTGTTTCATTATTTTCATTTAAATTCATAATTTCAAATAATTCATAACTAATTCTACATGGTATTGATTTTAATTTTGCTTGTTGAAAAATTTGTTTCATTTCTTTACAATATTTCATTTTTTCAAATTCAGAATCAAAATCCAACATTTCTGGGAAAGTTAAACTTATAGTTATCACATAATCAATAAATGGATAATTAACAAAATATACCATATTATCTAAATTAAATAATTGTTTAATTTTTAATACAGATTTTGTATATTGTTGATTTCTTGATTTCATTACTTTTGCATCATTAGAAATTGAACTTAATCGAATGGCTAATATACACCATATTAATTCTCTAATACAATGTAAACATAATATCGCGGGAGGTACTAAATCCATTGAATAATTTTCTAATTTACAATGATTTGGTAAATTCATGATCCAATCTTTTAATTTCTTTTTAAAAGTTGCCATGGTTAATTTATTTGAATTCTTTCTGATATCATTCAAATCACTATCTGAGCTTGAACTATCATCATTTGTCATTCCTTCTGAAGGATCTAATGTTGATGTAATTGCTAAATTTAACAAATGTACTCCTTTTAAGGATTCATTAAAAGTTGATAAAAATCTACCATTTTCAACTTGAATTTTAGGATTATGAAAACATTGCCAAGATTCCCATTCTTCCCAACCTTCAATATTAATTTTGGGAATTGGCCAATCTGAAGCTCGAACAACTGGTGTTCTACCCATTCTTGCAGATAATGCGGTATTTACAAAATAAACAGTTGCCCAAGTTCTTTCTCGACTTATATTATTTAAAGTTGAACATGAATTTAAATCATTTGATGTTGTTTCATTTTTAGCAGATCTCATTAATCTAACATCAATTGCCATACGGGAACCAGAACTAATTAAAATCCATGAAAAATCCCATTGACCTAATTGATAATAAAAAAAGCCTAATAAAATCATAGCTTGTATAGTTTCAATAGTTGATGTCAATGAATTTTCTAATGCTAATATAGAATTTTCAGCATATGTTGTAACTAAATTTACATTAAAATTTCCATTTGATGCTGCCAGTTCACCTAATGCTAAAATTGCCCACACTAATGCAATTAAATTACAATCTATTTTTTGATGATGATTATTTAAACTTCGTAAATTATGTAATTGTCTAATTATTGATATCCTATCTAACATAGGTAACCAACAATGATAAATTTGAAAATAATTATCAACCAATTTTCTTGTATTTGAAGGAAATTGAAAAATTTCAGTAGGTAATTGAATTTTATCGGTTAGACGTGCTTTTACAGCAAATGAACTAATATTGAATATTGAACCAACACGAAACGGATTTTTATATTTATTGACTAATTTGTTGTTGTATTGTTGGACTGCTTTATTTGTAAAACATGAAATAATAGATGATAAGCCATGGTATTGTAATGCAACAGGTTCCCATGTAGTATCATTACGTAGATTAATTTCAATATCATCTGAAACAAATTGGAAAATATCATAATTGAGGAAAAATGATGGATCATTAGTGAAATTACCCACATTATCAAGCATTGAATCTATACTCATTGGTTGTGGTATTTCTTCTTTGACCGTATTTTCAGTTTTAGCATCTTTTTGATTGTTTAAACTTGATTTTAAATTTTGCAAATTTGATTTTCCACTTACTAATTTAGCAACCTGGTTTGAAACTGAACTATTCTTCCAAATTTGTTGAGACTCTTGTATGTTTTGTAAAAAACTCGAATCATTTAATAAAGCTAGTATAGTTTTTTCAACTTGCTTATCTAGTACTATATTACCTAATATGCTTTGAAATAATAAAACCTTTCGTTCCAAATCATGTGTATAACCGGTTGGCAAACCTCTTCTTTTTATAGGTTGAGTGTAAATACATTTTTCATTATTATTTAAACAATTTGAACAAGTTGGTGAAATACCATCACATTTTGCTTTTTTAGATCGACAAAAATCGCAAGCTTGTCTAACTCTTTTTCGTTTCAAGGCAGGATTAGTAGTAGTAGCATTATTCGGTGGAGGAGATGTTGTGACTGGAGGAATAGCAATAGGTTGAGATGATTGATTGGGGAGTGGTTGTTGTGACGAATTTGGTGAAGATAATGTTGAATCCAGCATTAAACAGTATTAAATTGTAATTATTATTATAGATCCTTCTTAAAAATCATATAAATAAGGCAGCACTGGATATATCTATGAAATTATACTCAATTATTCTTCGTTAGGTGATATTTTTCAAATTCTTCAATTTTGTGATCGAAAAAAGAAAAGAAAAAAAAAAAAAATTAAAATTATTACCAACTGCAGAATAGTGATTAAACACTCACTAATTGTTAACGTCTTAGTTTCTATGATAAACTAGATCATACATGAAGTATCAACTATCATGTTTCGGATATGGATACCCCAGTATAATTATAATTTAAACTTTTATGTTACATACAGCAAGTATATATGTCTAAGAATCATTTGTGATTCTTAAAATGAACAAAATCAGCTCTTTAAGGTAGTTATATCGTTATAGTTGGTAGTTATATCATTCTTTTGATTAATAAGCTGTTGAAAAACCTTTCAAAAAAGAGGGCTTTGTTTGGTTTGTGTAAAAGTATGGATGTTAACTTGATATTGAAGAATTTTCAATAACAAAGAAAATAGGAAAGTTTTTTGATTCAATTGATAGACAATAACGTAAAACAGTCATATTGTTAAAATATGAACGAAAATAATATAACTGATTAAATAGATAGTTGAAAGCTTCCGAGATTATACCGAATTTTGCCTAAAATTAGAATAAAAAGACGTTGACAAGATTTTTTTAAATCGATCTACCTACTATAAATTTGAAAAGAACATACCCGATGACTTGACATTTCCGTATTGATCTATATTTCTGTTAGCCTCCTTCTTCGGTCATTAAGCAAACTCTTAGCCAGAAATCTTTCTAAAACATCCTAAAGTTGCCTTCGGATATCTTCCTGATATGTGGATTGATTAACGACTTTGTGTATAGAATCTAATACAAGCATGTTGTGCAGAGACGTTCTAAAAAACTCAAATCAAAACAAAACATTTATGCAAAATATAAAAAATTTGTTGTGTAAAAATTTCAAAGCCCGTGGGTAATATAGTTAAGCAGTACATTATTAATGTGGAGATTCTGGTTTAAATGTAGGTAAATATAGAGAGTCACAATTAAACTTTTTTAGTCAATGTTTATAGCTACAAATTCAAATATTATACCGGCTGAAATAACCCTATTCAGTCAATACTTTCAACAATGATATAATTCTGCATTAAATTAGTTTTGCTAAATTTGAATTATTATATTTACCCAGCATGTGTGTTGGTGTAGTTATGATATAATTTGAAAACACAATTGTCACAAGTGAAGACTAAATTATGAAAATGTTTGAAATAACAATGGTATTGTCAAGTTGATCTATTCTGCATTATAATGGTTGTGAACCACATGGAATATGACATAAGATGAAGGGGACCTTGATTTTAAGACTGCAAATCCGTATTATATTTATTCAAGGATAGCATATACTTTCAGGAAAATGGTTGATAAGTATACAGTCATCTGAGTAGTAAGATATGTATAAACCCTTAAATAAATATTATATAAATGCGCGGATGCACGGCGCTAGTTGGATCTTAGATTTTGTCTAAAAAAGTTAAAAATAAGATTTGGAAATCGCGCAAAACCAAATCTCGGGACATGGCTCAAATTTATCAGATCTCAATGAAAAACAAAAAAAAAATTTCCAATTCACGTATAAACAGTAATCCCACAGAAATAAGTTATAATATATCCGTATGAGAGCCTCCAAAAAACATTACCGGTCGGTGTTAAGAAATTGATTACAAATTATTATCTTACCACTTTTGTATAGAAATGTAACTTAGACAAAGGGTCTTTCGCAAAGTTCTAAAAAATTGTCATCTATTAATTTTTAATTATTGACACACATGCAAAGTTAGTTGCAAATGGATCATCTTTTAACAATTCATCATCTAAATCTTCAACTGGCAAATCTTTAAATTCTTGATTTTTAGCTTTTAAAACAGGTATAATAGGTGGTTTTGTATTTTTTAATAAAGCCCAACTACAAGTTTTAAACCAAGAATGTGATTTAATTTCAGATGCTCCTGTATTACTTCCCAATCTTTTCTCTTCATCTTTGATTAATAATTTTTTAATTATATTTTTACCATTTGAACTCACTTTATTTGTATCTGGAAATTTAACACTTTCTTTTAATATTTTTGCAAATGTATCTTTTCTATTTGAACCTTTAAAAGGAGTTGTACCGTATAACATTTCATAAATGAAAATACCCAATGTCCACCAATCAACAGCAGATGTATGACCTTTACCTCTTATAACTTCTGGAGCTATATATTCTTCAGTACCAACAAATGAATTTGTTCTAAAACCATCTATACATATTTTTGTATCTATTGTAGGTTTATTATTATTAATTATATGTAATCCACTTCTAGATTTAAACGAAATTTCAGGATTTTTCATAATTTCACTTTGTTTACTTAAATCAAAATCACTCAACATTATATGACCAGAAGAATGTAATAATATATTTTCAGGTTTTAAATCTCGATATATGAAACCCATTAAATGTAAATATTCTAATGCAGCAACAACTTCAGCTGCATAAAATCTTGCATCTGATTCACTTATAGTTTTAGTCTCTTTTGATTGTAAAGCTCTAAAAAATTCTCCACCTGAACAATATTCCATACATAAATATAAATTTTCTTTTGATTGAAATGAATGATATAAAGTTACGATAAATGGGTGATTTGAAGTTGCTAAAATTTCTTGTTCAACAACAACTCGATTAATTTTTTGCCTTTTAATCATCTCCTTTTTATTAAGGATCTTGAGAGCAAAAAGTTCTTGAGTTGATTTTTCTTTAACAAGATAAACTTTACCAACATCACCTTTACCTAATAATCTAATTTTTTCAAAATTTTCAGGTCCAACTTGAACATCAACTACTTTATTTCGAGAAGTATGATGAATAATAGGACTTGATTCAGACCTTTTCCGCAAGCTTGGTTTTCTAGTTAAATCTGTGACACTTTTAGCCATTGGTTTTGAATCAGCATGTGGGGGGACTACTAATGTAGGTGCTGGAGTTGAAGCTTTGTAAGTGACAGAATTTGTAGATGATGATTGTTGTGGTGATTTCTTGAGACTAAATGTTGACATTATACTAGATAGTGAAATTGATCTTAATCTTGAAGTGGGTTGGGGAGTGGTGAAATTATTATTTTGTTGAGGAGTTTGTTGCTGCTGTGGCAGTTGTTGAATTTGTGGTATAGGAGGTGGTTGTAGGAAATTGAAATCTTGACTATTATCACTTCCTTGACTTTGACTTGATTGACTTTGGCTTGATTGACTAGTTCCATAATTCGTGTTATGATGATTAAAATTTGATTTTTCAGTTAAATGATAGGGAGGTTTTAAATATATTTGAGATAGATCTATATTAGTATCTGTATCCATAACTAACATATGTAAAAATATAGTTGGTTGTTGGAATAAATAAGCAACAGATGTTGTTCTCTAATTAAACTTTGGAAAGTTGAAAAAATTAATATTTACCTTTTTCAGTTGTTTCTAAAAAAAAAAAAAAAAAAATATTATTATACAACACAACAAAACATAATGATGAATACAAACAAGGTGAGAAAAATTACAAGAGATTAAACGTTACAATTGATCATAGATGTCAACGATTTCTTCTGTGGTCTATTTCAATATTGTTGTGTTGAATTTTACACTTTTGTTATCTTTGAAAAATGCTACCAAGTGCGCCGAAAATTTGGAAAAAGGGGTACTAAATTGCGCCTAAATTGATACACGAATAGATGTGACTCTTAACCGTTATACCATTCATTTTATCAGTGCCGCTTAAAGTTATACGCTTGAGTAATAATGAGTATCTAGTGTTGTTAGTGCTGAAACAAAAACGGAAGTGCACCGATAAAAAATTTTGAATAGTCGGCATTTGATTCACGTAAAACAAATAGTAAGTAATGTACCAAACTCTTGATAATTTCTGGTGATAATTTACAATTTCGATCATTAGTAAAGTCGTTCACTAGCTCAACATCTAATTTAAACTAGGCTTGAAAGAATTTGATATCATAGCTAGTATTCATTAGCTTTTTAAATTCAAAAGCTTATTTGACCCTAAGAAAACTCTAAAAACTAATATGTGATATTTAGAGAGCTACTAAACTATAATGAATTAGCAAATGTCAAAGTACCAGCATGTAAAGCTTCTTCTCGACTGAACTTTTAGTGCAATTTTAAACAATAGTATTCTTGATCGGATCTTAAATTCCATGAGATCTCGCAATTGTATTGTCCACGCGTAATTCTCCATAGTAAATTATTAAGACGTCGAGATTTTGAATGTTAAGATTCAACTACAATATGGAATATTATATTTACCCTTTTAGGAATAATTTAGCGGCAATCGCCTATTTTATTTTTCAATCTGACTAATTAGTAATTACTTGGTTAGATAAAATAATATAAACCAAGTAATAAATTGGTAAATTTCACTTATATATATGTATAATCTCAGACTAATAACTAGGAAATCATTTTTAATTGCTGCTGTATCCAAGATGACATTATCAACTAGTTCCAAACCAAATGTTTTATTACTTGGCCCGGTCGAATATGCAACTACTAAATTAGACCAACTTAAACAAATATCAAATGTCATCCAATGTGAATCTAAAAACAGAGATGAATTTATATCAGATTTAAGAGGCAAATATTCAAATATTACAAACATTTACCGTACATTTGATTCAATTAACTTCACCGGACTAATTGATTCAGACTTAATTCAACATTTTCCGAAGAGTTTAAAGACTATTTCTCATGGTGGTGCAGGATATGATGCAATTGATGCATTACCATTAAGTAAACGTGGTATTTTATTATCTAATGTGACTGTCCCCGTTGAATCACCAACTGCCGATACTGCAATTTATTTAATTTTAGGAACGATGAGACAATTTCAAATTGGTCAAAAATTAATTTTAAATGGTGAATGGAAAGATTATCAACTGTTACCTATTGGAAATTCACCCCAGGGTCATGTTGTCGGGATTTTAGGAATGGGTGGAATTGGAAGAGGAATAAGAGATAGATTAGCTCCATTTGGATTTAAAAAGATATTATATTATAATAGAAGTAGACTTTCTCCAGAATTAGAAAAAGATAGTGAATATGTAACAATGGATGAATTGTTCCAAAAATCTGATGTTTTGGTATTAGCTTTACCATTAAATAAAAACACTAGACATATTATAAATGAAGATTCAATTTCTAAAATGAAAGATGGTGTTATATTAGTCAATATAGCTAGAGGTGCAATTATTGATGAAGTTATATTACCTAAACATTTAAAATCCGGAAAAATAAAAGCATTTGGGGCTGATGTTTTTGAAAATGAGCCTAAAATATCTCCAGAATTATATAATTTAACAAATGTAATTTGTTTACCTCATTTAGGTACTAATACATTTGAAGCAATGGAAAATATGGAAAGTTGGACAATTGAAAATATTATATCACATATTGAAACTGGGAAATTGAAATCTATAGTACCAGAACAAAAGCATTTAATTAGCTAGATGTGGTGGTAATAAAAAGTTAGGTATTGAATTTTTAATATAATATATATGACCACAATTTGAACAAATCATTTTACCTTCTATAATTTGGGTCTCTACTAATAATTGATGTAAATCTTTTAATATAATTTGCGAATCTTCCATTATTGGATCTAAATCTTCTGGTTTGGTAGGTGGTAAATTATCATTGCCTAAATCTTTAGCTACTTGAATTAAAGCTTTCCAATCTAATCTTTCTAAAATATGAGTTATAAATTCTGGATTAAAATCTTGTTCTTGATTAATTAATTCACAATCTTGATATTTCAAAGGAAATGATTCTTGTGAAGTTTGACAATTTTTAACAGCACATTGCACGAAATTAGTGGTAAGAAACTTCATAATGACTATTTGGTAACTTGATGAGATAATAAAATTAAAATTGTTTCAGAATTTTTTTTAGATCTTTTTTTTTTATTTTTTTTCTGTTGATCAAAATCACACGACCTTGATGATATAAAGAAAGTTACCAGGTAAAATTATTCATTTTAACAACCAGTGGCAACAATTATTAAATATGTCATTACAGAAATTAACAGCAGAATTATATAATTTATTTCAATCTGGTGATTATTTACAATGTCAACAGATATTAGCACCTATTAAAATTGAATTAATTGCACATGATTTATTAGTACCTACTTTGCAAAATACAACCACTACAGATTCAATCAATGATTTAAAAATAAGCCAAAGAATATTAGAAATTGGAGTTTTATCATCATTATTAAACAATGATTATCAATCATTTGAAAATTATTTCGGTCAATTAAGACCATTCTTAACAAATTCCAAAATCAATCCATCCAAAAATTTAAATACCGAAATTACTAAAATCATATCATTATATTTAATTTACTTACTTTCCAAGGGATCAATATCAAAATTTCACATAGAATTAGAATACATCTACAATAGTTCAAACTTTGACGTCTCCAATGACAAGTATTTGAAATTTCCAATAATGTTAGAATCTAATTTAATGGAAGGTAACTATATCAAGATCTGGAATTTATTGAAAAATGATGCAAATTTACCTTGTCCAGAGTTTAAACATTTCATAACTACTTTGACTAATGCTTTGCGTTTCGAAATTGCTAAATCTATAGAGAAGACATATACTAAAATTCCAATTTCAAATTGTAAAAATTTATTATATTTAGAGCAAGAAATTTCAGATAGACAATTTAAAGAAATTTTGAATGAAAATTTACAAACTGATAATTGGATAATTAATGATGGGTTTATCTATTTTAATAAGTTTGAAAATAATTATGGGAATTTGAATGTTGCTAATGGTGATATTATTGAAAATGTTTTAGGTTATGCTGAACAAATTGAATCGATTATCTAGTAAGGATGTTTCAAACAGAAGAATGCCTTTAATGTAAAAGTTTAAGTAAGGTTACCTTTGATATAGAGCAAATGTAAGGAGGCCTTGAATATGCTTCCAGCTTTCCTCTTGCTTGTTCTTTTGACTCATATCTCTCATGATACCGATGGATAGATTGCAAGGGTGCTTTTTTAATGTCTAGCTTTGCTCTAACTACATGCTTAGTATTTAATTCGTATATTTATTATACCACAACTCTTACTATAACTCTGTAAAAATGCCTGTACTTATCTAACCATATGCATGATTTTCTCATACTCTTGTGATATCACTTGTCTAAATTTCACTGTAACTCAAGCAAACTGACTCAAGCATTTTCATTACAGCATCCTGACTTTGTAGCACCCAGACAGTCTTACGCATCCAAGCTTGAATAAAACCCTTTATAAGCAACATCCAAATCTTTCAAAAATAAATCCAAATCATCATTTGAAAACTGTTTTTCTAAATTATTTATTCTTATTAACCAATTAATTAATTTAGATTTCCCATTAAATTCCAACGACTCATTAAATTCATTTAGATTAATAACCAATTCACTTAATAAAGGATGTAATTGATTTTTAGTATTGTAGTTTAATTTAATTGCGTCCATGCAAGTAATAAAATTTCCCGTAATTTCAGCAATTAATCTTGTCTTACCATTACCATTACCACCACTTACACTTATATTTTCAATGGTTGAAGGCAAACCATGTTCTATTCTTCTCAAAGCTAATGGGTAATTTAAATTATATTTTGAGGTGAGTAGTGATAGGAAATTTGAATTATCGGGTTTGAGTCCAGGAAAAATTTGATTGAGTTCTGGTTTATTCTCTAGAGTTTTTAGGATTATTTGATACTGATTTATTAATCTATATGCTGTATTAGTGTATGTTTCTTTATTAGTTATATAATCTTTCATATATGAAGATTCAACCATTTCGAGCGTAGGTAAAATTGAATAAATTTCAGTCAAAGAATTATAAATTGACTCCAATTCTGGTGATTTAATTATGTCATGTTTAGTTATCTCTTTATTATATTTCTCAGATGATGATACAGTAAAACTTGACGTTGAAATTGGTGCATATTCGGGTGGTGAATTAGAATTCATTGATGAAATTTAAAAAATACGAGATGGTAGCGGTGTTTATTCAATCTATATAACTAACTATATTTTTAAATTTACCGAATGCATCACCATTATATCCCAATTCAATCCATTCATTTCTAATGAATTTGTATACATATGGTGATTTTTTATATCTGTTTAGTAATTGGATTTGATTTGTATATGTTGATGAATAATAATTCTCAATGAAGTACTTACCAAATTTGTCTTTTGAAATGTTACATTGTTCAAGTATCCAAGATAATAAATATTCTGAACTGGTTCTATTATAAGGACATACTATGATTGGTAAATGAATATCTAAATCTTTTACTTTTGAAAATTTAAATTTGAGTACTATTTCAAATTTAATTGAATATAATTTACCTTGTGATGTGAATGATGAATGGTTGTGAGTTATACCTAGACCTTGAGGCATTTTTGAGAAGCTTTTCACATTTGATATATTTATTGATTCAATCACTGTAGTTTCATAATCTGGAAGATTCTCACTGGGTAGATTCATTGGTAATTTATCATGATTGAAAAACGATAGCAAATTTGTTTCATTAGGATAGGTATAGTTAAATGATTCAACTATTCCTTCGGTATTCAATTCTTTATTTAGTGTTTTTGTAGTTGAATATATTTTCTCTTCTTTTCTTGGAGTTAATCCACCATCAAAACATTCTAAAATTTCTTTAACTTGAAAAGTTACAGTTTTGACATTTAGATGTTTCTTTAATTTGTTATTTCCTGAATTTGTCATTATTCGTAGTTGAATAGGTAGCGAATCCCCAGGACCAATTGAACCAACAGACATGTTAATATGAATCAATACTTGTTTATCTATCGTTTCTCTAGCTTCACTCACCACCTCACTGAATTGTCGATATAATGGCAACGCATCATATAGTTTAATAACAACTGGAAACTTTTCCATGAATGATATTTCACTACTTGCTGAATCTCCAATAAATACACGAATAAATAAATGGTGTAAGGTAGTACAATTAAAATTTGGAGAATGACCTGATGAGATAATATCCTTAGGTATTGGAATTAGAACTGGAATATCAACTCCCAAAACATCTTCCACAAATTCTAAACTTCTAAATATTAATGGATCTTCGAATATTTTAAAATCTTTATATGTTTCACTCGAGGTTCCTAATTTTTTATTTAGATTGACATATTGACTTGTTATTAGTTGAGCTGATACTGATCTTAGTTTGAAAGGTAGTCCCGTTTTAGATCGTATTTGAATTATAGTGTCTATTCGTGGTATACTTCTAGGTATACCTGGACAACCTTTTATAATAGAATCACTAGTTGGTTGTAAATTAATAATTATTGGACATTCCTTTTGAACTGATAAATTATTAGACGAGGGAAATAGCATTGTAAGGATGCAAAAACACAGGGTAAGGATGTGATAAACTTGGACCTAATAATCGATTATATTGTAAATTGGAATGGTATTTGATATATAATTAAAAATAGAAAAACGCGGTACAATATCGAGAAATACAAGGTAAAAATTTTTTGCTTCTTGGACCGAATATGGATGCAACAAACGTTATATTCGCTCTAGAATTGGCGCAAGAAATTAATCTGTCGTACGAAATTATCGCATTGAAAATTACATACTTTCAACAATACTTCAGAATCAAACTGTCTTATATTAAGTAGCAAAGAATGACTGCAGCTAGTAATATAAAATGACTAGCATCCTTACTTTGCAACTAGTAATTAGCATCCTTACCTGAATCAATAAACGAATGGAATTAAGCAATATTCTAATTTAAACTCTTCTTTATACTTAACCTTATAGTATTCATGAGTTTCCAAAGCTGTTATACTTAAATTACTAACAACAAATATCCAACAAGTCAAAAAATTAACCATCGTTAAATTGAACCCATTTTTAATATTAAATATCAATAAAATAGTATATATAATTATTTCAAATGTATAATGTGGTGAGCTAACCATACTAAACTCGGGCAAAGTATATTTAACCAACTTTGCAAAATATTCATGAGTCGAATATTGTAAATAAGAACTAATTAAGAATGACCCAATCAAAATATAATCAAAATATGTTAAATTTGTCGGGTAGGTACAGTATTTAGTTAGACCCAATTGACATGCCAGACTCACTAAAATGTAATGAGCCATTCCAATCAAATAATGAGATAGGTTCATTTTAGAACTTTTTGAAAATTGTGTAATGAGTAAAGATTCATACGTTCTTCTAATTCCTTGAATTAATAACATAATTTGAATTACAAATAAATTCTTATAAATAGTTGGAGATGAGTTGGGATTTGTAGAGCATGACTTATTTGAATATAGATTAAATACTGATAATGCTGTGAGTGTTATATAATAATGGGTAAAGTATGATTTTGGAACTATTAGATTCTTTGATATCCAATCAACCAACCAAATAGGAGATTTCTTCGAATTAGAAACGGTTTTACCATAATTAAGCAATTCATTAAGTTGTGGAATAAATTTAACTAATAATACCCCGAGTGTTATAGCGACATATGTTAGAGATATAGCAATTTGAAAATGTTCAATTGTGAACATAAAGAAGTTTGATAGGGTATTTTTTTTTCGCAGCTAAATTTTGGTGATAGTTAATTTTCATAACAAATATGTAAGAATGCTGAACCATTGCAAGGTTGCCAACAAGCACTTTACAAGTCCTAAAATTCTATTTTGCTTATAATAGTCTATTACTAGCTTACTTAATTACAAAATATTGTGGTTGAATATTGTGGTTGAACGAATGAATGTCTATTAAAAACTCTACTTAATCAACTTTACCTTGCTCTATTTCATCAAATAGCTCTTGATCCTTAGTAAATTCTTCTTCATCTTCTTCTGCAGCTACATCCTCTTCTTCTGTATCATCTTCATCACTTCTTACATCTTCTGCACCAATACCAATTATAACTTTATAAGCAACTTTTAAAATTAAATACATCCAAATACAAGTTATAATTTGTAAACCACCAAGTAATCCCAAAAAGGTATTAATAACAGCAGGCGTCCAACATCTCTTCTGCACAGCTCCCATTATACATTTCCCATCTTTCATTAATTCAGTTGACTTATACCAAGCATGATAAAAAATATAATTATAAACACCATGTCTTAAAACAATCCAACTAATCAAAAAAAATATAAAACAAGTATCACATAGTGTATTAAATTTTGCATATTTTAACATTTTAGCACCAGCAAGGAATATATCTACTGAATCCATAATCATTAGTATCAAATGACCAATTCTGAAATAATAATAATAATAAGATCCAATAATTAACAAACATGTAATTATATGATGTGAAAACATTTGATAGTGATCTTTTCTTGGTTTTTCAACATTTAAAACAAAAATTTGTTGTAACCAAAATGCCATTGATATTAAATAATAATTTTTAAAACTTGAAGTCATGAAATAATTGGGCCAATTTATATAAATTTGATCCAAATTGTTAAAATAAGGGGATTGAATGTATAAAATTACTCCATATATGAAACTAATTGAATAATAAATGAATGACCAACTTTGCTCTGCGAATCTGGTTTTAGCTTTTTTGGAATGAATGTTTATAAATTTATAAGCAAATGGTTCAAATATATATTTCATAAGAAATGATCGTAAAAAAGTTAACGTAATTACCCAATTTATAACATAATAAACATCATCTATGTGAATATCATAAATATCTTTCCCTACTTTATTTTGAAGGAATAGAAATTTGGATGTGAGTGTTTTGGTGGTAGTGTTTTGGTTTGATAAAAAATATGATAAATATAATATTGAGACTAAAGTTCTGCTCAAAGGTATTTGGTTTCTTTCAACTAATGCTAAAAATGATTCATTATATGTTTGATCCTCTATCAGTACAAAATCGTCAATATTTTTGGAATCTATATCATTTTTTGCCTTTATTACAATTTCCTCATTTGTAGTGGTGGTCTTGGTTTTCGTTTTCGTAGCCATTTGGTCTCAAATTTTTTCAATTTGATCTTTTTTTTCTTTTTTAACAAGCGAAGGTGGTGAGTTAAGTGTCAATGATTGTAATTAATCACTTAAGCAACTAATAGCAAATGAATTATATCTGTTGATTATAATAGTATTGAATTAATTAAAACTTAAAAATTTTTCTAAAAAAAAAAAAAAAAAAAAATTAAAAATTCAATTTTGTGTAAAAGTTGACGATGAATCGAATATGCATCAGAATATCAAATTGTTCATGACAGTAACTGGTGATCTTCTATAGCAGAAATAGACGCTGATTATGAGTATTTAATTTCCATCCAGCATAAATTAAGAAAGTTGTATGAATATAATCGTATAAAGTATATTACACTCGTCTTATGATTTTAAACGGTAAATTTGGAATTGTTCTAAAAATTTTGGGCCCAATGGTTCTATTTGGTTCCTAATCATGAGCAAAAAAACACGTAACACGTATATTATAGCGTGGATGTATAACGATGAGCTTATGAGCTCAAAGCTCGATATTGAAATTAATTAAAGCGCTTTCAATGATCGAAATATGCATTATTGAACATCTAGAGTTGAGCATATAATACACGTGTTTTTTTGACGTGTCAGTTGGTTTTCACCAAATTGAGTAATCTACATTCTCATTTACACTTTTTAGATTTAAAAAGCCATTAAAAGTAGCCATTAAAAAATTGTGGAGAATCTATATATGAATCGTATGTGGTATATGCCAGTGCTTGATAGACTCTGTAAACTATTTTTCGTGTAGTTGTCCTAATTCATGAGTTAAAATACCATAATTTGTCTTTGCAGCTTCGTCACTTGAAATAATAAATGGATCTGACTATGCCCGGGGCATAGCTCAAGATGGACCCTGAAAAGCCCAGGGCATAGATCTGGAAATCAATAAAATTAAAACTAGCATCATTTTTGATCAATCACTTACATCATTTTTGATCAATCACTTAGTACTTTCAAAGTTCTATACTCTTGATCTTGCACAATTACTTCCTACTGATAATATTGATTTCTATTAGCATCCTTACCATCAAATTTTATTCAACAACATCGCCTGTAATTGCTTTTTAACAGTTTGTTCATTATATCTATTCCACACAAGATAAACATTCATCATATCTTGAACAGCTTCAACAATTTCATCTAAATTAATATGAGAATGTTCTAAAAAATTCATAAACTTGTTGATTTTAATAGTATCTTCGTCTAAAATATCTAGCTCAAAATCATCATTCCCATTCTCATTATTATTATTCAGTTTCTTCTTATTGTTTTTCTGTATTCCATTTAGACTCATCAAATCATCAATATTCATCTCATCTTTCGTATTATTATTTTGACCATTCTCATTTAGGTTTTTCAATTGTAATAAGTTTTTCTTTAGTACTATAGTTATATATATTGCCAGTACTGCTATTATATGAGGAGGTAATAATAAATGAATATCCGTAATATATGAGTCGTTAATTAGCGACCAAGAATTTTGCATAGTTTCCTGGGTCAATTTAATGCCAAACTTTCCATAATTTAGATCCAAATAATCTCTAATCTGTATTAATGATTTATATGGATGATGTAGTATTAAATATGAATCCATTTCTTCAATTAGGTAAAATTCAAATTCTGCTAATTTAGAAATATCAGATGGGATATATTCAGGCCAAATTGATCTAGCTTCTGATAATATGAGTCTAATATGTTGTGGACATTCTTCTATCTTACAAGCAACATATAAACAAGTAGTAACTAATAAATAAATATTCACCTCCTTAAGTGAAACACGAGTTAAAAATCTTGTGAGATATATTTCACCACTTGCTAATGCTATTTGTCTAATATTTAACCTTCGCCCAACTTTTATAAATAAGTTATGTATGTATATTCTCATATTATAATCGTATTGAATGTTATAATCTTTGATTAGTCCATTTTGAATCATTTTTCGTTCTAGATATATGATCTTCTTTCGAGATTCCATTAGGGAAACTCTTGTTAGTTGCCATTTGTTACGCTGTGATGAATTCCAATAATCAGCAGACATATGAAAAGGTTGTTAATGTGATTTGGTGGATCTATTGATTATTATAGTATGATAAAAATTGATAAACCAATGGAAACGATGTTATATACAGGAACACTAAGAAGAACAAGATATTTAATTATATATATTAAAGTATTAGTAAACATAAAGAAGTGAAATTGGAATAACCAACTATCAAAGTGGTTAAGTTGCACATCTATTGAGCTGCATCCTTATCAGCATCCTTATCAGCATCCTTTCTCCTTACGATAAATTCTTAAGTAAATCATGTACATCATATACGAAAATAGGTTGTCTATTATCATTAATATCATTTATAATCTTCCCATTCGGATATTCATTAATTAATTCACTTATATCTGTATCTTTAGTTATTTTTACAAAGTTATTACTTGTCAAATCGATTACTTTTGTAGTTATGTCATCGTAAGGTATAGTTAATGCATTAATTAACGTTATGAGACTTAGAACCACCAATTCAAATTTCATTTTGATTTATTTGATGCTTTGTAGAAATATCGGGTTAGTTTACTTATTTATAGTTCCTTATTTAATTGTATTCATTTGCAACTACTTTTTTCTTTTTTTTCCTAATTTGGTAATTGTAAAGTTTAACTATTGTGCGCTTGATAAGACCGAGATTAAGATTTACAATATACCAAAGTCAGATGAAAATGATGCTAATATAGTAATTTAAATTGAATCAATAGAGATTAGTCCTTTAGGTTTTGATGAGTGTTGAAAGTTGATTGAATAGTGTGAAAATTATTACGTGCTTAGATTTTTGAAATTCGAATATATTATTTTACATACTATACAAACATTATATACAATACTAATAAGATAACCGGTACGTTAACAACAAAATGTTACGAAATTAAAGAAAATATACCGAAATAAAATACTAGCTAATAAAGCTAATGAAAATTAACAAATAACGAAAATCACCAAGGATGAGAAATCCATTGTTTAAAGTTATCAATTGAAATGACATTAGGAATTGATGTACAAAATCTTCTAATATACCAGATTTTATTAACAATTAACAAAAATTCATTAATAATTCTTAAACGTTGAACTTTTAAAACTTCAGTAGCAAAAATATTATTTGGACGACTTATTTTAAACCAACATTGAAATTTTTGGCAAAGTGGATCCCACAATTGTTTACTAAATTTGACAATGAAAATAAATATGATGATTATACTTATCTAACCATAAAATTTAGTTTCATACTGCAAATATTCTAGCACGAGGTCGCCATAAAGCTGGCGCGAATAATTATTTCTTCAGCGCTAGATGATCGCGTCAAATGATACATATTTTCAAACAACTTTTAAAACAAATTTGACTTATATGCAGTCACATAGAAGGTGAATCCTAAAATTTAAACTGTAAATAAGTTCATCAATATCCAAGCTTTAGCTTTCAATTTTTATTCATCGAGTTGTCAAGTAATTAAGAATGAGCTGGTATTAGTTGTATTAAAAAAAACATAATTTTGATGACTTTATTCTTAATTTGAAAAATTGAAAAAAACTCTATTTGCTAGATAAGTAACACTTAGACTTCGCATAACAACTTCTAAGATATCTGATTTGGTTTATTCGACCTCAAATATACTTTTTACATTTATTGCAAGACCCTTTAATGGGTTTGAATTTTTTTGAAAAATCTCGAAACACTTTTGAAATTTGTCAATTTTGAAGCAGATCAATTGGAACTAAGTGCTTAGCCTTGATTTGAGGTATAATATGCATAAACAATTATTTATCAAAGGTCATGGCCGCAAATAATATATAACAGGCATTTTCAGGTTCAGCAAATTTTTTGTATGATGAAAAAGGGCCAAAATGACAATCAAAAAAAATGTTCTTAATTCAATATTACAGAAATCCAAATATATATCTTATTTTATGAGTCCTGAACTCAAATAAATGGCTGTTAGCTCAGGAAAATGTGTTACTCATGAAATATGAACCAATACGTGTAACACGAGATTGCCCCATAGATTAAGCGAGAGATTGTCTCGTCGCGCCAAATAACCTACGCATCAAATTTAAATTCTAATTAGAGTATAATAAAAACGGATATATAAATCTGCAATGCATGTTTTGTAACCATAGATACGTAAAACTAACATTCATATCTCAGAATGTAACGCCTTTGTAATATTAGTTAAAAATTCAATACTTTTGTAAATTAATATACTCGGAAGCGCAATATGCCATACAACACTAAAGTGCAGTCCAAGTTAATGAAACACTGATTCAAACTCAATAAAACTATTGCAACACTCAGTATATATAATTTTACAGTCTAGTCAAACTATTTAAAAGATATAGAGCTTTAGCTTTATATTACGAGTGAAAATTTGATCTCATACATCTTTTTCATAATGTAAATTATTTCTCAAGAACTGATTTTGAGTCTTCAATTCAGGTATAGTTCTTAACAATCATACTGTCCTCGCCATATAGCTAATAGTATCAAGAAAAGGCTTCTCTTTGAGAAATTATTATTCCGTGGTAATTGACATGCACATAATATGTGATTATTCAATTTTGTGGGGTTCAACCAATTTCGAAATATCAAAACACTACAGTTTGATATAACTTGCTAAGAAGGCATAATCTTACTCTAGCTATTTCTCTTCTATGTTAGCCTTAGACGCTTTAAAGAGCACAACCCCCCTTAGTGACTGGCTGCAAATTATCATGAACTGATTTGTAAATATTATGGTACTGTATATAATTAAAATCGTACTCTTTTTATAGAGGGTGATATTTTTTTCCATCGTTTAAATTTTCAACCCGACCCATTTTCGTATTAAATCAATAGTCATAACAAATTATACCAATTATCCTGCTATTTGTTTCAATTTCACATATAACTAGAAAATCTTCATGACTCCACCACAACATAAAAATTTTCATACTTCAAATCCCGAAACTTCTGCTGCTATTGATCGAAGTCTTCCTGAATTTGCAGCTGCTGAAGTATCGGATGAAGATACATTTTTTAAAAATCATTCTCCTCCAAATTATTTACCAGAAATTGAATCAGAAGTTGAAGAATTTATAAAATTTCATCTTAATAGAGATAAAGAAAATGCAAAAATAGTTTTAGTAACTTCTGGAGGTACTACCGTTCCATTAGAAAACAATACGGTAAGATTTATTGACAATTTTTCAGCAGGTACAAGAGGTGCTACATCAGCAGAATATTTTTTAGAAAGTGGATATTCTGTAATTTTCCTACATCGTGAATTTTCATTATTACCTTATTCAAGACATTTCAGTCATTCTACGAATTGTTTTTTAGATTATATGATTGAAAAAGATAATAAAATTGAAATAAATCCTAAATTTTCAAATGAAATGTTGAAAGTCTATAAGAAATATCATAAGGCTGAATCTGAAAATAATCTTTTATTAATTCCATTCACTACTGTTAATCAATATTTATATACTTTAAAATCAATTTGCGAAAAATTGCAAATATTACAAAAGAATGCATTGTTTTACCTTGCTGCTGCTGTTTCAGATTTTTTCATACCTCAATATAGATTACCACAACATAAAATTCAAAGTTCAAATATAAATCATGATGGCGAATTAGTAATTAGACTAAATCAAGTACCTAAATTTTTATCAAGGTTGGTTGATAATTGGACTAATACCAGAGCTTATATTGTAAGTTTTAAATTGGAAACCGATGAAGGTATATTGATAAAAAAGAGTAAATCTGCCTTGGAAAGGTATCATCATCAACTAGTTATTGGAAATTTATTACAAACTAGAAAAACGGAAGTTGTATTTGTAACTAAAGATAATGAAGATTGGGTAAAATTAAATGATGAGGAAATTGCAAATAATGTAGAAATAGAAAGTTTAATGATTCCACAAGTTATAAAATTACATGATAAATGGATTAAAGATATATAATAGAAATCTATATATAATATTATTTATTCTATTCTATTTACAAAAATGAAACACCTATACCGTATTGAAAACCTTTTCTTACTGAATCCCGTTCATTTACAATTAATGGCAAGACAAAATTCAATTCAAATCTAGCCATTGGATGATTAAATAATATTCCAATACCTGTACTAACACAAAATCCTTTATAATCAGCAAATTTTAATAAATTTGTGCCTATATTTTCATCTTTCTCATAAGTCGTTAGTTTTCCAAAATTGATGAAATTGTGAATTTTGAAACTAGAGTCCTTATATTTTTCAAATGGTAGATTTGTAATTATTGAAAACCCAGAGTTGAAAAATAAATCACCACCAATATAACTATTCATATCTTTTGGACCAATTCCATTTAAACTGAATGCTCTAATATCATTTGGACCACCAATGAAATAACGATCCAAAATGTGTGATTTATCTTTTAAAGGATACAAAAATCCAGCTTTGAAATTATTTAAGAAACTTGAATTAGTGAAGTAAGGTAATTTATAAGCAATGGTTGAAGTTGCACCAGTTTTAATATACGGAAATTTATTGAATTTGGGCAAAAGGCCATTATATTCTATTCCAAGTTGAAATAATTGACCTTTAGTTGGTAAATGGACATTATCTAATGTTGAGTAGTTTATATTGTATCCTATTGATGATTTATAATTTGATCCGCTACATTGTAAAATTTCAAAACATTTAGAATTGGAATTACTTAGTATTTTCCAATAATTTTCCAATGTAAACTCATGAGAAAACTTGGAGTCACTTTCATTATATTGGATTTTATTTACAAAACCTCTAGTAGTTAAAGTAGACTGAAACCAATCTAAATTTCTACTGTTTGTTATGAAAATGTTCTCACTAATTAAGTTGCAGTTATTCATTATTGGTTGATTATAATTTATCAAATACGAAGATTTAGTTTTCGTTCCCGTTACAGCATCAAATATTAAGTTTTCTCCTCCATCAAATAAGTTTCTAATTTGAAATTGAATATAACCATCACCTTCACCATTTCCAATATTTGTACCGGTCTTAGCAAAAAACTTTTTAACAGGAATTGAAATAAATTGAGGTATTAGTTGCATAGTTTTAGCTCTATAAAATGAAGGTTTTATTTCATGAGTGTTGCAACTTATATTCTCTACTATACCAATTTTTAATAAATTTTTATTTATAGTATCAACACTTTTGAGATAATTTTGTAAAGTAATGATATTCCCCGATAGGAGTGGCTTCAATTGTGATTCCAAAAATGAAGTTCTGAAAGCTTGTCCATTTACAAATTGTACATTTCTGATCTTAATTGGTTGTGTTGCATTATCTTGAAATAAATCCGTTAAAAATTGTTGATTAATTTTTGAAAGTTGTTGCTGTTTTTCCAATTGTAATTGTTGTAATTCTTTCTCTTCTTTAGTTAAATTGGTCTGATTTGGATTAGCATATTTTATAGTATCCATAAAATCATCATCAGGTATTGACATTTGATTGAATATTCGTAAATTTGAAAAATTAAAAAAAAAAAAAAAAAAAAAATATTAGTAAGATGCAAGATTATACTCAAATTGAATGTTTATAAAATTGATTATTAAAGATCCAAAAGAGATAAAGACGATTAAACTGAGATTAGAAAATGAAGGATTATTAAATAAGAGATACAAAATAGAAAACAAAAATGGTGTTTTTTCAATTTATACAAAATTAGAAACATTGCCTTGTGCTTATCAATCTTTTAACTACGAAGAATATGAAGAAATAAAGACAACAAAAATCACATTGGAGTCAATTATACGGCTGTATAATATCAAAACTGGCTTATGTCTTGAAATTCCCAAAAGATGGTCTATCTATCCACCTATGATTTTATTTAATGCATTTAAAGAGTTAACATTTCCAAAGGATTTATGTATTGAAATTTTATCACATCAATCAACTATCTTTGGTGTTACTGGGCTTTCTCACATTGCTGTAAATCAACCAATTATAGAATCAGATATATTGAGAAGACCACATAATTTAAAACCAATGTATGGAAATTTTGGCCCTGACTTAGAACTGGACCATATCCCGACTTCGATAGACTTTCAAGAAGCTTTTTGGTGTTACGTCATCCAGAATGGAATTTATCAAACTTGGGCACCAAAATATACCATGTTTTCCCGAGGGAACATCAAAGAGAAATCTCGAATTTTGCAAAGTTTTAAGAATTTGAATAATTCAATCATATTTGACTTATATTGTGGAATTGGATATTTTTCATTAAGCTATTTGAAAAATGGAGGGAAATTGTTATGTTGGGAAATGAATCCTTGGTCAATTGAAGGATTTAGACGAAGTTTAGAGACGGGGAATTATAAATATAGAATATATAGTCCCAATGATGTATTTGAAATTAAAGATTTGAATGATGTTGATGTTTGCATTTTTTATGAGAGTAATGACAATGTACCCATTCGACTTCAGAATGTAAATGATATAAGTTTGAATGTTAGTCATGTTAATTTGGGTTTACTTCCTTCTTCTAAAGCATCATGGAGTTTAACTAAGAATCTAATGAACAAGGCAAAAACATCAAGTACTATTCACATCCATGAGAACTGTCATATAGATGATTTTGATAAGCTAAAACAAGAGATTATAGATTATTTTAAACCAAATTGTGAAATATTACAATTAGAAAAAGTTAAAACATTTGCTCCAGATATATGGCACATAGTTATAGATGTTAAGTTAAATAATGCCTTGAACAAAATATGATTACACAATACACAACAAATTTGATTTACATACAATGATATATACTCATGACTAGCATAGACATTAAGTTTACGACATTAAAAACTTGAGACATAGACAATAACACTAAAACAAATTATTTATATGCAGTCTTGTAGTTGCCAATCTCAAAACCGTAAATAACTCAGTCAATATTGAAGCAGTTACGCTCAAACTTTGTTCAATGAGACTCCAGCAGGTTAGAAACAAATTTTTTTTAGTATTTTTTGAAAATATTCAATTCTGATCACAAAACTCTTCACTAAAAAATTGCAAAAGAACGCTATATTGTGACATAATCATTAATTTGACCTCATCCTGCAACTTCTGGAGCATTTGGTCCGGTTTATTTGAGCCCAAATGCCCTATTTGTAACGGCGTAAAGACGCAGTAATCGTTTTGAATTTTACTCAAAAATTTCAAACCACTTCTGAAAAATTAATCTTCCAATGTAGGTTACCTTGGCACAAAAAAAATTAAGGTATATATTTACAAGAACTATAAATTGGACAGTTTTTCTATAGTTCAATTTGAATGCTGCTTCTGGAGTCAGTTTTTTCGTGAGGTCAATCTATTCGAATTTTCTCATACTAGAGACAAAATTTTGGAAGTTCTCGATTTTGAATTCTATTATCCGAAATTTTATCCAGGGCCTTTCTTTGAGGTGTGTTATGTATAATTTTATTTGAAAGTCATGGCCCTAGATCAGAGTACACAACACACAATCATTTTTAGCAATTTTTTTGTATGGTGAAAAAGCCCAAAATTGCAAGTGAAAAAATAAAGTGTTGAAATCAATATTTAAATGGTTACAATATATAATTCAAGGTTCCTGATTTTATATAAGCTGCATTTATTTCGTGAGATCGTATTGTCCATGATTTATAATGTATTTAGTACGGGGTAATTCGAAGTCGCGCTATAATGTATTTAGTACGAGGTAATACGAAGTCGCCTTGATCTAGCGCGAAGAATTTTTTGTCGCACTGAATTATTATGAATCAAAATTTAATCTATATTATTGTATATATGATATAGATATACGCAAGCTTAGCACAAATTTTGTAACATTAAGTACGTATTACTAAAACATGTATCGCATATTGTAGCTGCTATCTAATTTTGATTAGGAACTTTATGATCTTGCAGACGCATATTCTTCATATCCTTCTTCGCCAATTGTCGTCCTAATCTAATACCAAACAGATATTGAGTTGGCATAAGAAATGCTCTCGCCTTTATTTCGCGGCACATCGTTGAAAAAAATTTCGGATGAATTGTAATTGACGTCAAAATTGATGCTTCGTAATTTTAAACTTTTGAGTTATGGTACACGACTAATTGAATTGAATTTTGATCACGTTTTGAAATTTTAGCCCAAATGAATATGAATTAAATTTTCAGTATACATTTATACTCACCTTCTTTTTTGCAGCCAAATGTTTCTTCGAATAGAACTACTGATAGTGAGAGAAAATAGAATTAAATCTCTTTTTCATATGACTACGTGCTAATTAGATCTTGACCTCTTACTCGAATTTTATTCCTGAATTAGAGATATTTTAAAGGTTGAAATGACTTCTATTACATATAAATACGACAAACAAGGATTTTCGTGAACGTAAAAGCTATGTGGAACTCGTTAACAGTATTTTTTGAAAAACTTCTGCATTCAATGTCATTTATTAATACACTGTTATATAAATAATCGACATTGAACCCTTAGACACATTTCATACTAAATTTTGAAATATTTACAATTTTTTTTTTTTTTTATAATCAAAATAAAAAAATAAAATTAAAATTAATTTATCCTAAGGTCAAAAAACTAATATGAATAATCAAGATCACATTAATCAACAATATCAATCACAACATCAAACACAATCACAAGAGGATGAATTCTTTGATATAATAAATCAAATTAATTATAATAATTTTGTAACAAATAATAATCCGATTACATTAACTGATAATCAAACATTTCAAACACAACAACAACAACCACAACAACCACAACAACCATTGAAACAGTATGACCTCAATCAGAATAGTTTAAATGTACCCGATATTTACAATCAAAATCATTTATCTGTAAATACCAACTCAAATGAATTTTTATCATCAAATTCAAATGACTTTTTATCACCAAGTTCATTTAATGATAATCATTTATATCGTACACCATCCCATCAATCTTTATATTCTGAAAATTCGTTTACTTCACAACCTAATTCTCCGTTTTTAGATCAACCACCAAATCAACCATATTCAAATTTTTCTGATTTTGGCGGGTCTCAAAATAATTCATCTACAAATTTATATCAACAAGGTCAAATTAATCAACAACAACAACATTTTGAAAATTTTAATAATAATTTTAATTATGTTAATCCTAATCCTCATTTTGAATTTGGTATTACAGTAACTCCACCACCAGATAACGAAATAACTTTTCAAGGAAATAAAAATTTGGATCTTGCTTCAACTACAGGTATTAATGCTAGTTCTAGTTCTCATTTATTAACTGAAAATAATTTGCATTTAAACAATATGTCAAATTATAATAATTTTCAAAATAATGTGGAGATTAAAGATGAATCAGGGATATCAATAGCTATAGAAAAAGCAGAGGATGTAATAACACCATCATTATTTTCTCATTCAAGTAAAAATTCCAGTATAAATGATATAAATGAAGCTACTACCACCAATAACAATAATACCAAAAAAGATTATTTATCACCTAAAGCTAAAACCAGAAGAAGTAGACTGAAATCTGTTTCCTCGACCCAATCATCTCGATCACGATCAAGAAGTGGTGAAAGAAGTTCAAATAATACTAATAATTCTGATCTAAGTTCGAGAGAGAAGATGTTAGAATTAGCATCTCCAAATCAATCATCCAAAAGAGTTCAAAAACACCCATCGGTGTATGCTTGTCATTTATGCGATAAACGTTTTACAAGACCATACAATTTAAAATCTCATTTACGTACACATACAGATGAACGTCCATTTATATGCTCAAGTTGTGGTAAAGCATTTGCTAGGCAACATGATAGGAAACGACATGAGGATTTACACTCTGGGGAAAAGAAATTTCAATGTAAAGGGTATCTTAAAGATGGAACAGAATATGGTTGTGGAAGAAAATTTGCAAGGGCTGATGCATTAAGAAGACATTTTCAAACAGAAGCAGGTAAAGAATGTATTAGATTATTAATTGAAGAAGAAGAAGAAGAGAAAAGAAATGCTGGAAATGGAGAAGCTAGGGGCGAGCCGAATTCTGAAAATCATCAATTTTTAAGTCCTACTGATATTCCATCTGTAGCTATATCACCGCCTGAATAATGTTTATGAGTTGAATAAATACCTAAGTAAGTTATAGATTAAGTGTTTTGGATTAAGTGTTGTGGATTTTTATTGTAGAAATTTTTATCAGTAAGCCATTGGTAGCATTTCTCACGCGTCGGTATATTCAATCGCCGCAATCCTCGAAGAATATATCGCTCTCATTCTTATCTTCAGACTCATATTTTGCTCTATTTTTAAATTGTGCTACCAATTTCAATTTTGCAGTCAAATTTATAATTGCTTTTTGTAGTAATCCAGCACAGTTTCAATGATAAATTATTCACTTCCTCTTCATCTTTTTTCAAATTGTCGTTTCTTAAACATAATTAGAAGTCATACAATGAGGCCACTTAAAGAATTCAAAGTTGGTACAACTATCAAAGTTAAAGATAGAATGCAAAAAGATTATTCATATAAACTAAAAAAAGAACAAGGTTCAAAAGCCGATGATTTCAATGATGATAATTTCGAACCACATTTAACACCGGAAGAAATGTTAAAAGAAGGAGTATTTGAAGGTAAATATTTAAATGATTGTGAGGAAGAATTACCTAAAGAATGGTTTGAAAATAGTAAAGATAAACGTGTAAAAATTGGTGATAAACCAAATGTGGCATTAAATAGATTTAAAATTAAAAGTAGACAAAGCTTAGTTATCTGGAGAGAAAATTCTTGGATTATGGGTAATGACCCAAGAGGTTGGTTTCAATGGTATTGTAGATATTGGTTAGGTAGAAGATGTGACGATGATCAATTTCAAAAGAAAAGATGGAGGGCTTTTAAAAGACATCATGGGCAAGTTAAAAAAAATTGTAAAAAAGGTGATTTTAATTGTAGACCTAAACAACGTCAAGCTTTATTACAATGGGCTTATGATCCATTTGTATAAATGGTTGCAAATAATAAAAGTTAGGCTTATGTATTAATAGATGCTAATTATAGATTTTTTATCATACTACTATTTTCGTGAAGTCCTGCATCTTCGTTTTTGGGATTCAATAAGTTTATTTTTACTGTAACAATTCTTTTCGTACGTAAGTATAAATAAGCCGAGACTAAGTTCCAATATAACAGTTATCATATCGGAATTTCGGGCTCCAAATCTCATGGAAACTCCAAATTGAAGAAGTCATAATTTACTATTGAATTATCTAGTCCTTGAATTAGTATAAAAAATATTACTATACAACTGCAGAAGTTTTCACGCATAAGTACAGCATATATTAGAGTTAAACTTTCTATTGAAATCAAAAACGTAAAACATGAAATACTGGGGTAACTTTGAGAAAATTGGCCGTAAACCATGCGCACAGACTCTTCCAGTATTCTAATTATCCCTCTTGTAACCAGTCACCTCTCAGTAACGAAATAGACCTATGTAACTACACAATTAATGACATAATAATAGTAAATGAATGTCAATTGTCGTAAATATCAATTGCTTACATAATACGAAATTAAAATCGTTGAAAAAAAAAAAAAAAAAAATTAAAATTGATTTTTCGAGCCCACCACCAACAATTATTCAACAGTAGTTCAACATTAAAACCAAGAGATTAATAAAGACAGAAACATTTATACCTTTTAACGTTAGCTCAGTTTTTAGACAAATTTAAATTTTATTAGCATATAATTATCTACACACAAATGTCATCAGAAATACCACAACCACAACAACAAATACTCGAAAGTAATATATCTGAAGATAAATCTCAAACTTCAACACCTGCAACACCTGCAACACCTGCTTCAGCAATTGATGGTGGTAGAGAAATTTCAAATAGAATTTTATATGTTGGTAATATTCCCAAATCTGCATCAGAAGAAATGTTGAGAGATTTATTTTCAATATCAAATCCAATTAAAGGTATTAAAATATTAAATGATAAAAATAAATTAGGTTTCAATTATTGTTTTATTGAATATGATTTGCCAAAAGATGCAGAAGTTGGTTTTCAATCATTAAATGGTAAAGTTATAAATGATTCAGAAATTAGAATTAACTGGGCTTATCAATCAGCTACAATAACTACAAATTCAACAAATAAAGAGGAACCAATTTATAATATTTTTGTTGGAGATTTAAGTCCCGAAGTTAATGATGAAGGTTTAAAAAATGCATTTCAAAAATTTGAAAGTTTAAAACAAGCTCATGTAATGTGGGATATGCAAACTTCAAGATCAAGAGGTTATGGATTTGTTACGTTTGATAAATTAGAAGATGCAGAATTAGCTTTACAAACAATGAATGGTGAATGGTTAGGTGGTAGAGCTATAAGATGTAATTGGGCAAGTCATAAACAAATAAATAATGGTAAAACTCCTCGACAACGTCAATTTAAACAACAACAGCAACAACAACAACAACAACAAACAAATGGTAATAATACTACATCACCAATAATAAATGGTAATAGTAATAATAATACAAATGGTAATAATCAATTACCTGTCATGTCTCCACAATCATATGATATAGTATTGAGACAAACTCCATCATGGCAAACTACGGTATATTTAGGAAATATTGCACATTTTACTCAACAACAAGAATTATTACCTTTATTACAAAATTTTGGTTATATAGTTGATTTTAAATTTCATCCTGAACGGGGATGTGCATTTGTTAAATATGATACTCATGAAAGAGCAGCATTGGCAATAATACAATTAGCAGGTTTTAATTTAAATGGTAGACCTTTGAAATGTGGATGGGGCAAAGATAGACCACCCCAATTTCAAAACTTTAGAAATATTCAACAACAACAACAACAGCCAATGTATAAATAATAAAAATTCATCCAATTATTACCTCCCTACCTAACTCTTTCCAGTAAAAAACCAAGCCAAACACCAAGCCAAAAACCAAGCCAAAAAATCCAAAATTGGAAAATCAACTCTTGACTTGTCAAATATGCACAAAGAAAAAAACCGATAAAAAACTAGAAGTATTCGTAGTATGGAGAGCCAAAGCAAGTCCAAGTCCAGGATCCTATCATGACGATAAGTTTTCACTTCTAGATTTATGATTTAGTGACCTCAGAATCGTATTTTAATTATAGTTAACTTTTGTTTCAGAATTTGACACAAAATACAAATAGATACTATTGAAATTCAATAAAGATTAAAGTTCAAGGCACAAATTTAAAAGGAGCTCTCACTTATTAACTACAGAATGATATACACATTACTATACAAATTAATGAAAACTATTAATAAACTTTCCCGAGTGTTTGTAAGTAATAGGTTTAATACATTTGGTAGCTCATTCTCAATTGGTAGCATTCTAGTTTCTTCTTTTTAAGAAATTTTCAATATTTTTTTAAATTTAAACTTTTCATTGCCAGTATTGAATTCATAAACTAGTGGTAAAACAACTTGGTATATTCCATTAGATATCAAGTAATTATTTCATGAATTCTTTTATAAGATACTTTATATTCATTTTAATACTTTTATCTATTTTTATTGAAATTTTCAAATTGTCATTATTTAAATCAAATAAGTTAATTGCTACTTTGTCAACTTCATTATTTATATTATTTTCATTATATTATATATCATCATCATTAATTAGTGAAAAATTTAAAGATTATTATAATATCCCTCAAATTTTTAATAAAATAATGAATTCAAGATTTATAAATAGAAGTGGTATAAATCGATTTAGTAGTAAAAACCAATCAAAAGAAACAAAATTTGCTATAAAAAATGGTGGTGAAATTGGTGGTATAAGTAATGATGGTAATACATGTTTTATGAATTCTGTAATACAATCTTTAGCAAGTTCAAGAGAATTAAATAAATTTATAAATTCTTATCTATATTCAGAAATTGAAATTGATAATGGTGGAGAGATTATAAAAATGAAATCAAATCAACCTAAATCTGAATTAATTTTCACAAATGCTTTGAAAAATTTATTAGATGCCGTTAATGGTAAATATGGTATTAAGGGAAAAGAATTTTCAACAAAACCATTATTAAACAAAATGCCCAATGGTCCAAAACAAAACTTTTTCAGTGGATATAATCAAGAAGATGCACAAGAGTTTTATCAATTAGTAATGAATTTATTAGAAAAAGAATTTAAAACGATGAATTCTTCAAGATTACCAACCCCTGAACCAGAAGAAAAACCAAGGAAATTTGTTGATATTAGAGAGGTTAAAGAAGTTATTAGTGGTTGTAAATCTTTAGGTAAATTGGGTACTGTTTATGTTCCAGCAACTCAAGTTGATTCAAATTTAGAAGATGCAAATAATAAATTAATGCCATTGGAATTAGTTACACCCGTTGACGGTATATCTGCGGAAAGAATTGGTTGTTTAACATGTGGTGAAGTTGGAGGTATTCGATATTCAGTAAGTTCGGGTTTAAGTTTAAATTTGCCACAAAATAATAATAATTATTATTCAAGTTTTAATTTATTACAATTATTAAATGAATATATTAGTCCAGAAAGTATAGAAGACGTAAATTGTAATCGATGTGGTTTAATACAAACTAAAACATTTATAGAAGATACATTACAAGAATTGAAAAGTAAAGATAATAATGAAAAAATCATTGAACAATTTGAAAATAGATTGAGGTTAATCAATGAAGAACTCGTGAAACCACATATAACAGATGAAATATTTGAAAAATTAACAATTAAAAAGCAAATTAAAAAACTGAAGAAATCAAAACAAATATTTATGGATAGACCACCCCCATTATTATGTATACATATAAATCGATCAGTATTTGATCCAAGAACATATATGATTGTTAAAAATCCAAGTAATGTATCATTTCCTGCAAAATTAAATTTATCTCCGTATATAGTTGAACCTAATGATATAAATATGGATGCAAGATTACCATTCAGGAAACAAGATGAAGAAGAGGAAGAAGAAGATGAAGAAAAAGATACTTCAAATGATTTATTTTATAATTTAAAAGCTGTTATATCTCATTATGGTACACATAATTATGGTCATTATATATGTTATAGAAAATTAAGAGGTACATGGTGGAGAATAAGTGATGAATCAGTATACGTAGTCAGAGAAGAAGAAGTTTTAAATGGTCAAGGAACATTTATGTTATTTTATGAATATGATGATGGTTATAAAGAAATATTAATGGATGTAAGTGATGAAGAAGAAGAAGAAGAAAAGGAGAAAGAAGACGAGAAAGAAGAGGATATAAATCAAGTTAATGAAACAACAAAGGAAATAAATCGAGCTGATTCAGAAGAAAGTGAACCACTTCCAGCCACAGAACATCAAGAAAATTTAAGCAATAATGAAGATGATTCAATATCTACTCATTCTATAGATTTTAACATTGCTGAAGCTCAGGTTCATTTATAAAAACATTTTGAATATATAAAAAAAATTTAGACGAGGAAAATTAATCTCAGCGAAGATCTTCACCAAATTTATTTTAATGTCTCGTAAATTAAAAGATAAAAAATTTAAACAAAAAGGGTTGAAAGGATCATTACAACGTCATATAATTCAAGATGAGTATAGTAAACAAGCTGCTAAAAATAAAGAAATTGATAAAGAAAATAAAGCAAATAAATTAAAATCAAGAAAAGCTTCAAAAAAATCAAGACAAAATAATGTACAACAAAAAGTAAAAGGTTTAATGCCTTTTAAACTTGATGATCATCTTTTATTAATTGGAGAAGGAGATTTTTCATTTGCTAAATCACTAATATTTCAAAATTTCATTCTACCGAGTAATTTAATTGCAACCTCATATGATTCAAAAGATGAACTCGATAAATACCCTCAGGCCATTGAGAATATAAAAAAATTGGAAGAGTTAGGTGTGAGAATTATATACAATGTTGATGCTACTAATCTTCCGACTACTTTAGGCTTAATATTAAACTCAAAACAGAAAAAAGCAGGTAAATCAATTTCTCTATTTGATGATAAATCTAAAATTGACTATATAATGTTTAATTTCCCACACTCAGGTAAAGGAATCAAAGATGTTGATAGAAATATAAGAGATCATCAAAAATTAATACTTGAATATTTTCAAAATTGTAAAAAAGTATTTGAATTGATAAATGTAGATACTAGTGGATACAACAATGTTTCAGGTAAAATCATATTAAGTTTATTTGAAGGTGAGCCTTATAATTCTTGGGGAATTAAAATTCTAGGCAAATTTGAAGGTTTTAAAGTTGAAAAATCAGGTAAATTTGAATGGGATATGTTTCCTGAATATCATCATAGAAGAACAAATAGCGTGAAAGATACAACAAAACCAGCAAATGAAAGAGATGCAAGGATGTATATATTTGAAGAATTTATTAAAAAAAAAGATGAAGATTAAGCTGGAAATACCCTTACACAATTATCAATTAGGAAAATTTCTTTAGTTAATGGATCTTTAATCTTTCCCATTCTCATTAATGTATTCTTTTCACTTAGGTATTTCTCAGTTGGATTTAATAATTTATCAAATGGATAAATATTCCCATTAGGTAATTTGAACGGATTATTAAATATACTTGTTATTAATTGTGCATATGGTAAATTTCTACTCAATTTAAATAACTCAGGTGAACAAACAGGACAATTATTAATCTTGTTTAATATTTTATAATATTGATTTGGACCTCGATATTTTAGATCCGAAAGCGTAATTGGACCATTATTATGACCTATAAATTCACTCTTATCTATAAATATCGTATTTTCGGAATTATGATAACATGATTTTGTTTTTAAGCTAGATAATCCAGCTGATAAATATATATAAATTGGATAGTTTTTACTTATTCCATATAATTTTGTAAAATTTTCAATAAAACATTTTGTTAAACTTTCCCAACGTTCATTTGAAAGTAATATTTGATATTCTTTAAATTGGGAAGAATTCTTCATCATTTCATTTGTATATGTACATTGTGAATTTGAATTGAGATTCTCCATTGATCGAAATACTAATAACCCTCCAAGACTTTTTAATCTATCTAAATTAGATAGTTGATTTTTGGAATTATCTTCACCATAATTTTCTTTATTTCCATAACTACTTAAGTAATCTCGAGAAAATTTGATAGCTTCATTAACATCCCCATTTTCTATAAGTGTAAGGAATTTACAATAATTTATTTCAAATTCTAAATTGGTATTCAATTTTTTGAGTAGATTTTTATTCTCATTAAACCAGGAAATAATCATAGTTAAATCATGTTGTTGTATAATTGAAATAAATACCTTGTTGAATTCTTCAAATAAGTCATAATCAATAAGTTTTGAAAATTTGGGGTTGGTGGCGGATAAATTCTTGAGTAACTTTAAACCAATGTTATCTTCTCTTGTGTTTGATTTTATTAGATAATCTATGATTAATAAATTAGTTTGATCTCTATACCAATTCATCAAATTTGGATTATGTAAATCTAATAATTTATCATTATCTTCGGTATCACCGTTCTTTATACAATATTTATCCAACAATTGCAAATTTTCAACTCTGGCTATCAACCTTGATCTATAATCTTCATCTTTCTGGATTAATAGTTTCAATTTCTTTTGAAAGTTTTCAAAACTTTTAATCAATTTTCTTACCATTTCTAATTTCATAGTAGTTGGTATGGCTCTATTCTTATTAATTTTGGCAATATCATCCGTCAATTGTTTCTTCTGTTTTTCAATTAACTTCTGTATATTTTTAAAATTCTTCTTTATCAATTCGATAGGTATTTTAAATTGTGTATTCTGAGATTGTATGTTAAAATTTATAGTTGGTTCAGTCATACTAAGGGTTGGTTGTAAATTTAATTTTGATCCCGCAAAAAAAAAAAACGTAGAAGCGATAAGGAACTGTGCTACCAAGTGTGTTTCCACAGTTTATCGTAAATAAATAAATATATATATTGTCTCTATTTAACTTCTACAAATGGTATTGATGTTTCTTCAATTGTTAATTTCTTATCCTTTATATCATAAAACAACTTGGCTAAATGATCATGACCTGTTTGCAATTCTTCAATATATTTGCCATCTTTTTCCAATGGTTGATATCTACCTTTTGCAAAATAAGGTTTTAAAGAATCAACAAATTCTTGTGCATTATCAGGAGGAACAAAATGAAATAAATTTGAATCACCACTTTTTGCAACTTTTTCAATTTCCCATTGATGCTGTTCTTCTTTTGACGGTAATTCGTTTGATGCACCTTTTGACCAAACACCAGCTAATGCAGCTGCCGAGGCTTCAATGGTATGAAAATTTAAGTGAGATACTGCAATTCCAACAGTCCCTAAAGTTGGATCATTTTGTGAAAAAGTATCTAAATATAATCCTTTAACTCTTGAATTATTACTTGGATCAATAATTGCTAAATTATCATTTAAGAAAGGGAAATGATAATGATAACCAGTTGAAAATATAATCTTATCAAATTTACCAGTTGTACCATCTGAAAAATGAACAACCCCATCAATTGGATCAAATTTTTCAATTGGACCTTTTGAATTAATACCCTTTGAAACTAATGCATCATTAATAAATTCAAATACTAAGTGTTTACCTCTTTTTGAATTTGTTACTGATTTAGCATTAGGTACTAAATATTGTAAAACATTAGCTGTTGAAATTGAACCACCAATTATTAAAACATCTTTATTCTTGAATTCATTTAAATTTCTAAATGACTTAACATGAATAAATTGATTTGGAAATTTTTCATTATATTCAGCTAATCCTGGAATTTTAGGAATATATGGAACTGTATAATGGCCATTAGCAACTACTATAGCGTCAAAAGTTTCTTGATACCATTTATCTTTACCATCTTCAACTTGTCTAGCTGTAATTACCCATTTCCCATCTTTTCTAGAGACATCTTCAACACTAGTATTAAATCTAATCCAATTTTCTAATTTTTCACCTTCAATAAATTGACTAAATCTTTGAGCTAATTCTTGATGATATAAAAATGGATAAATTTTTCTTGATTTATCATGATATTCTTTTTCATCTGGTAAATAACTAAATCTAGTAAATCTTTGTGGAATATTTGTAAATAAAAATGGATAAATACCTGATCTTTTCCATTGTAATTCACTATTCAATTCATTTGTAGATTCAATTATAGGTTTTTCATAAGTTGCAGATTCTACATCTTTTGGGGGTTGAATTTTTGGTCTAACAATATTTGGATCATTATAATTAATATTTAATAATTCCTGTGGCGGAACAGGTAAATCGGCTTTTAAAGTAGCTGGAGCCCAAATACCACCTGCTTTATCCTTTTGTTCAAATACAACTATTTTTGAAAATGCTGGATTTTTTGCAGCTTCATGACCGACTGTTGATTTACCATCTTTATCTGTGTGTAAAAATTCATAAAGTGAAGCTAAACCACCGGGACCACCACCAATAATACCAATTGATTCTATTTTAACCATGATTAATTGTTTAACTTAATCCAAGAATTTCATGCCATTATATAGTCCAATATTTTCTGAGTCGATCTGGGGGATGGTATCATTTTTGTGACTGTGGCACATAATTTTAGACCTATAGTACAATTAATTGTGGCATCAACTTTAGACCATTTATCAAAACAAGATCCAATTAAAACATGAGAATCTGATATTATTCAACTGTGATAATTTTGGCTAATAGATTGAGTAAAATTGTAAATCTTTCTAAACCCATTTGTATATTGTACATTCTATAAATAATCTAAAATAATAATGTGCTTGTTTAACAATTACTTGTTAGGTTGTTTTTTGGAAAGCTATAACCACCATCTTCAAAAGAAGTTAAGTTTGAATTCTCATATAAATTCAAATGTTGTTGTATATAATCATAAGTTGGATAATCATCTGGATCACATCCCAAATTTATTTGATCTTTTGGTTGATATATTCTAACATGATCTATTCTCATTGTAACTGGAAAGAATAATGAGTTCCAGTCAATATAAGCCCAGTTATTTGAAATACCAAGATTTAAAATTAATGACATCGGTTCTTTTGATAATGGTCTCCAACCTATATTACCATCAGGATGTAAAGCATTTGAATAAACAGTTAATGTAGGATCTTGACCTACAAACCATCGTAAATATCCATCATCTCTATCATTTAGATATTCATAACCATAAGTTTGAAAATTATGTTCATTATCCCCCATTTCATACCATGTAACATTTAATGTAGTTGTTGCTGATAAAGCTTGTTGGAATGGACCACCAGCATAAGTATTCATTGTTGTAACTGATGCATTATAAATTTCAACAAAATCATAATCTGGCATGTACCAAATATCCATTGGAGCTAATTGTAAAGATTGTGAAGCAACACCAATATTAGATTTTTTACCAGTACTATCAGTTGAAACTTCACCTTCAATAACATCAATTTCTGGTGCACCTCTACCAGTACCTCTATTTGGATGAGATTCACCAGGACAAGTACAAGCATTTAATCTTTGACCAGGTAAGTATGAAATACCATCTGGTGATGATTGATTTGGAGTTATACCTGCATCACAAGAATCATAAGAGTATGGCCAAACACCTTCAGTTGAAGCTAAATAACCAGGTCTACCTAAATTACCCATTGACCACATACCAGGCCATAACCCAGTGACATTCCCATAATTTGGTAATCTTGCTGAAATTTCTAAATGTCCTTGTGTAAAACACATTTTATTCCAACTTTGTACCATACCAGATCTATAAAATAAATTATGATTTTTAAAAGCATCCATTCTTAAATTCAAAGTACCATTTGCAGTTGATGAAGCATCTGGATCATACCATTCTAAATCTTTTGTTGCATCATAATGAATATCTGGAGCAGTCCAAAATTGATCATCTCCATCATAAAACGTTCTACCTTCAGCGTTAAATTCATCTGAAAATACTAATGTCCAATCATCACCATTTTTTGATTTTTTTGTAAGGGCCAGTTCTGGAGTATCTGGATCAACTAAAGTTGTACGTATACCACTGATCATTGGATATGAATATTCCGTTAAAATTTCATAACTTTCTGGATGATAACCATTTGTAACTCCAGAATAAGTTAATGCAGGTAATACAACAAAAACAGCTAAACAACCTAATAATAAACCAATGAAACCTAATAACCCACCTAAAGATCTTTTATCCATATTTTTCATATCATAAAGAAACCTATTTTTATCATATTCTGAATCAGCAATTGGATCAGGATTATGTATATAATCATCTGGTTCTTTTTCATCTATAGACAAAGGAAAACTTGATGCTGGGTAACCACCAAATGGTGAAAAATCATTTGAAAGCAAACTTGGTGAATTATTTGAATAAGTTTCTTCATTCATACTACTTGAAGTACCTGAATTGAATTTATGATTTGAATTTGATTGTTTTTGATTATATAATTGTGATGCTAATGAAGTTGATGATACTACTCTTGAACCAGCCATTGAAGGATATCTATCAAATTCAGCCGGTGATGAAGGATTTAGTTTATTATCACCAGTAGGATCATGACCATTAGTTATATTTTGAGGATAATTATTTCTTGAATTATTATTCAATAGTCTTGTTTCATCTGAACTTAAATTTTCATGAACTAATAGATTTGAACTACCTCCATTTGAATAATATCCACTATAAGCTTGAAATGGTTTACCATAATCTGATGAATTATTTAAATTTATATGTTGACTACTATTAGGGTTTGGTGTGTGTAAATGCAGTTGATTTTGATTTATATTATGATTTATATTATGATGCGTTGATGATGACAATGATGAAATATCTCCTTCTTCATCAGCAAATGGATTTGCTGGTGTATACTCGGAGGAATCATCTTCATTATTATATGAAAATTGAGGAGTATTCGAAGTTAAATCTCTTTGTGATCCCATTTAAAATATATTACAGATGAATGAATGGATCAATGAATGAATTATGCTAATAAATATTAAGTATTAATGGTTATATAGCTTCTTTTTGCAGCTAATTGATGATTTTGCAACCAACTGATAAACAAACAAATATACTAATTAAGCTTTTCTTAGATAAAGATCTAGATCTAAATTATGACAAGAAATGATGATACTGAACTTTGATAAATTTCTTTGATAATAATAGAATATTGTAACTTGATAATAAACTTCTTTACTTACAAAATATTTCTTTCTATTTTCTAAGAACTAACAAATATAATATAAAATTATCAAAAAATTTTCTTAACGGTGTGAATAGTTTAATTCTCCTAACCTTGGCAAAGAAAAGTTGAAATTGTGAAAAAAAAAACGAATGAATGAAAGTTACAGGGCTGTTATGATGGTACTCTATAATCAAAATGAAGATGAGCAGTTGTTCAGTCTCAATACAGTATTGGTGATGTTTAGAAGGAATGTGTTGTAAAATTGAAGATAAAAATAATAAAATTGAAATCGTTAAAAAAAAAAAAAAAAAAAAAAAAAAAAAAAAAAAATAAAAAATTTTATTTAAAAAAAAAAAAATATAAAAATAGAAGAAATAAACAAACAGTTATCAGCCAATTTTGATAAGTTAGACTTTCGAAAAAAGTAGTAATAAACCCGAACAATAATGAAATGCAATATTTGATGTTTTTAAGCCTATACTATTGAAATTAAGAGCATTGTAATTAATTTAAAGCCAAATCTTTCAATTAAATCTAACCTGCATATAAGAGATCTCATAGATTTTGTTACTGAAAATTATATAATACCAAAAGAAATTATTACATAATTCATCTAGAATTACTTTTTCACAAGTTTCACAAGTTTCACAATGAATATGGAATAAGTTTTTAATCATAAATGCTTTGACAATCCCAAGTCAAAGTCAGTTTTGCGCGTCTCTTGTTAATATTCTTTGATTTTCCTATTCTTTCAAATGCATCAGCCCCATAGTTTGTTTACAACTTAATGAAAGCATTCATACCAAGGAATATAATATCGATCTACCTCTATAATGAAACTCCTTTCAGTTCGTATTGGATATAATAGTATTGTCTGACTTTAGCCCTGTTATCGCTTGACCAATTGAAGACGAGACATATGTCAAATTGTTAATGGAAGCACCAGCCATGAATCAGAAATAACATTTTTTAGTATTGATCGAATCATTTTAGATTATTATTGAATTAACAGCCAAATTGAAATTGGTAGCACATTATTTTTTGCAATTTTCCAAAATTTATTGTTGCATAAAACACGCTTTTTTAAATTTTCACAATTTTGTGTACATAAAAATTGCAAATAAAAAATATTCAAAGGGGTTGGGTTTGGAATCAAAACCACAAAATCAAAAAACAATACTATGTTGATGTTCTTCTACGTTCCTTTTATTAACTTATTGTTTCAACGAGATGATGAAAAAGAAGAAGGGGAGCGAGTATGAAATTATTATTTTTATTAAGACGTGTTTATTATACGAAAAAGTATGAAAAAATATGATGATCTTAAACAGTCAATTTCACTTTAGCTTGAAGACCAGCTTCTGAGCTCTGCTTGTATTTAGTTTTGTTTATGTTCTTTCCATAACTATATATATATGTAGATTACAGCCATCATCTATATATAATGGTTTATTTTTTTTCTTAATATTGGTTTTGTAAAGTGGCAGTGTTGTTTAAATTTTAACTTTATTTGTCGAGTTTATTTCCAAATATAGAAGAACGATTATGTAATCAATTAGATACTTCACAAATATTGCAGCTATATACGATATTAATGAGCATAATGAATAACTCATGTCCATACTATTCTTCAGTACTTGATTTAGCTGATCAGCTAACAGTATTTACTTTACTTACAAATTTAAGTGATAATTTTATTTTAAATATTTTTTTTTCCTTTTTTTTTTTGCAGCCATATTACCATTTTGGGAAGTGCTGCAAATTTATGTTGCAAATTTTTTTTGCAGCCAATTCACTTATACTCATTTTATTTTTTCATAATGATATCAATATTGACTGGTAGAAAATAACTTTACTGAACAAAACAAAACAAAAAAACTTACAAACAACCAAACCCTAGTCTATTTTTAGCTTTAAATCAACCTTGTTCCAAAGCTTTTAATTTTAATCAAGCATTACCAAGAAATTAACTTTATTTTCTTGATTGAAGAAAAAATATAAAATATTAATTAAACTTAAACTACGACAATGACAACGACGAAAAGTAACATAGAAATTGTGAAATAATAATCATTTATTTGCTACTTTAAAATATTATTTAAATAAAATAGTTGTATTTTTTAAAATCATTTATCATCATCAATCAATTTAATTTTGATGTCAATATAATTAATTTATTCATTCGTTTAATAATTTCCTAAAAATAATCAAATACCAAACTACTATAGAATCGACAATTTTTTCATTTTTATTATGTCACGAGATTTAACGTTTAATAAACCGATATTCAATATAACTAAACCTAATGAAAATGATGAATCAGAAACCGATATAAATCCCCAATATCATCAAGAATATAATCTTGATCCATTTAATACTTTTGAAGAGGAAGATTTAAGTCCCACTCAAGAAACATCAAATCATAATTATTCTGAAAGTGAACCTTCATCATCTTCACCACCTAGAAATAATCCTCCATATTCTAATTCACCATTTGTATTTACTACTTCACATTTCAATAATGATAATTCGTCAAGTACTCAATTATTACAAAGCAGTCCAATACCAACTTATGATAGATATCCAAAAACATTATTTTCAAATTCCAATTCTGAACAACATTCAAGAACTTCATTAATTGATAATCAAGCAGCAGAATCATTTATTTCAAATTCTGATTATTTTGATTCTGATTTTTCACCATTTGGAGGATATCCCCAAAGTTCCTTCCCCTTGTCTATTGATGAAAAAGAACCTGATGATTATTTACATAATCCTGATCCAATACTAGATGCACAATATGATAAGAATAGATTTTGGAATGATTTAAAAAATTCAAATAAAAGGTCATTGGGTGGATTATTTGGATTTTTAACGTTATTGATTGGTGCTTTATTAGTATTTATATTATTACCAATTTTAACATTTACTTCATCAAGACCATTTGTTCCTCAAGTTTATGAAATTTTAACAGATTATGAATATCCAATACTTTCTTCAATTAGACAAGATTTGGTTGATCCAGATACTCCTGAATCAGCATTATATAAAACAATGAGAAATGGAGATAGATGGAAATTAGTATTTTCAGATGAATTTAATGTTCAAGGTAGAACTTTTTACGATGGTGATGATCAATTTTTCACAGCTCCAGATTTTCATTATGCTGCTACTAATGATTTAGAATGGTATGATCCAGATGCAGTAACTACAGTAAATGGAACATTAACTTTAACTTTAGACGCTTTTAAAAATCATGATTTATTTTACAGATCTGGTATGTTACAAAGTTGGAATAAAATGTGTTTTACTCAAGGGAAATTGGAATTTTCAGCAAGATTACCTGGTTATGGATCAATAAGTGGTTTATGGCCTGGAATGTGGTCAATGGGGAATTTAGCAAGACCTGGATATTTAGGTTCAACTGAAGGCTTATGGCCTTATTCTTACGATTCTTGTGATTCAGGAATTACAGCAAATCAAAGTTCTCCAGATGGTATTTCATATTTACCTGGTCAAAGATTAAATAAATGTACTTGTCCAGGTGAAGCACATCCAAATAGAGGCGTTGGGAGAGGTGCTGTTGAAATTGATGTCCTTGAAGGAGAAATTGCGACTGATCCAGCAGGTATTAGATCTAATGGTGTTGCATCTCAATCTTTACAAGTTGCACCTTATGATATTTGGTATATTCCAGATTATGATTTTATTGAAATTTATAATAAATCAGTAACTACAATGAATACATATACTGGTGGTCCTTTTCAACAAGCAATTTCAGGAATTACAACTTTGAATAGAACATGGTATGAGCGTGGAGAGCCAGGAGAAACAATAGATCAATTTCAAACTTATGGTTATGAATATTTAAATGATGATGAAAATGGTTATATTACTTGGTATGTTGGAGAAGATCCAACATTTACAATGTATGCAAATGCATTACATCCAAATGGAAATATAGGATGGAGACAATTACCAAAAGAGCCAATATCGATTATCATGAATTTGGGGATTAGTAATAATTGGGCTTATATAGATTGGACAGCTTTGGTATTTCCAAATACTTTTAAAATTGATTATGTTAGAGTATATCAACCTGAAGATCAAATTAACCTTACTTGTGATCCTGAAGATTATCCTACTTATGATTATATTCAACAACATTTGAATTTATATCATAATGATAATTTAACTACTTTTGAAGATGGTGGTTATACATTTCCAAAAAATTCATTATTAGGATGTTAAGAACTTCATGTTGTATCATTAGGACATTATCTATTAAATTATATTTAGTTTGTTTATAGTTTGTATCAAAATACATTTGGATTTATTATAGATTGATTTAGTAAACAGGTTCATTATAAATTAGTTCATGATGTCTACCTGGATAAATCTCTTCCAATCTATTAACTTGTTCAGTTTTCTGACTCATGTTGAAATTGCCAATACCAAGTTGAATAAAATTTATAATCCCATTATTGATTACAGCAAGTACGATATTTCCATGTCCATTTTTTATTACCTCATCTCTTGTCTTCAAATATTCATTTCTTAATCTAGTTGACTCATTCAATTTAGATTGTCTTTCTGCTTGTTTTTTAGCTCTTACTTCTTTTTTTGATTCCATCTTTGGTTTTTTCTTAATTGATTCTTTAACTTTTAGTTCATATTGTAAACTTGTTGTTTTTTCAAATAAAAGTTGTTGTATTTGACTGAATTTGAGAAAATCTGTATTCTTTGAAGTATCAATTACAGATACTTGAAAATCGGGAAGTGGTGGGGATTTTTTAGAAAAATTTGGTGTTGGTTTCCATACATTGAAAGTTAAATGAAATGGTGATGATGGTTCCTTTTTCGGTATTTTTGGTATATTCAATTGAATTGATTTGTAGACGTCTGTGTATCTGAAATAGTGAACTTTCTTGAATTGAAGTGAATGTAAAACTGGATATGATAGTATTCCCCAAACTCGAGGAAGTATAGTAAACGATTTATCTTGTTTATGTTCTTCTGATTGTTCTTGTTCTTGCTCTTGCTCTTGCTCTATTTCTTCTCTTTCCTGTATTATATACCCTAATCTTTTCAAATATGCATAAATTTGATATTTTGCAAAATTAACATTTGATAAAGCATATAAATATTCTAAATCCAAAGCCACCAAATTAGTCTCATAATCAAACTCCATATTTCTATCTTTCAACCAATCCATAAACTCATCATCACTTAAATAAATCACCATACTTCCTCTTTCAACAAGATAAATAGTTTCTATTGGATTTAATTCAATACAATTATACAATTTGTTATATTTCCCCACATCTTTAAAATAATTTCCTTTTGCGTTAGGTACCAAACATGAGTTTGAATCATCTTTCCATATACCAACAAGTGTATTCTTTATATGATGTTGTCTATTAGCACCAAGGGCATTAAACATTGCATTTCTTGAATCTTCAAGACTGTTCAATTGGAATGTAGTACCATCAGGTTCAAATTCTTTAGTTCCTCTTTTTGGCATACCGAGATTTTTCCAATCTTGAATCTCATCTTCAACATCAATTAAATCATTTAATTCATCTTGGGACATTTGATCTCTATTTTTTTTTGTTTTTTTTTTTGTTTTTTTTTTTTCTTCTTCAGTTTGATCTGAAGTCAATATGACTGAATCAGGTATAACTTATGATAATTTAGTAAGTAAAGCGAAAGGAATATTATGAGAATGCTTACTGATGATTTAGGCTGCTTCGTTATTAAATGATATGATAAACAATATAATTAAAAATGAAGTATTACTTAATTTATCAAACCACTTGTCCATTGAAAAACAAATTGGTGATAATAAAGAGAATAACAATTTTAAATTTCAAGAAACTGACTCTTCAAAAGACATATATGGTCAAGATAAGATGAAATTGAAAACTGTTGAAAGTGGTAGGTATTTTAGTTGTGAAAATTGTGGACGGAAAATTGCTGGTGGTAGATTTGCTCAACATATTAACAAATGTTTAGAACGGAAAAGAAAATGATGTTGAGATACAATTGGAAAATATTAATAAATGTTTAGAACTGAAAAGAGAATGATTTTGAGATACAATTGGAAATGCTATTGGACCATATATATCCTAAGGGCTAATTTTCATCGGTTATTGAAGGTAAAGATTAGATCATTAATTCCAATTATTGCCGGGATTTTTAGTTCCATTATAGTCCGACGGAAGGAGTTTGAATTTTAAATTTTAAGTGTTGATAAGAATTGCTTCAAATTGAGAAATTTGAAAAAAGAAAAACCAAACAAAAAAGGTTAAATATTGAATTCGTTTATGTTCTAATTATTCTCGGGCTTTGATGCCTAGAATAATAAGCGACTTCCAAGACTATGAATAATGTTGGGCTGTTTGTTCGTTGATTCTTGATTATGCTTAACTAGAGTAAATATACAACCAAAATTGATTTAATAGTCCTCTCTGTCTTATTTTTTAACTGGTTATTATATATTTATTTGATTACCCGGTTACATGTAAGTCCCCACATTTCAAGCATATTTGTTAGTGTACCTTATACTACTAGAAATGACAATTATATGCGGTAGTAAAAAAAGTCGTGCCGTACTAATTTTTGAAGATTAAGATAACAAACAAACAATCAGTTATATGCTATACTATTATGCTATACTATTATACACCACAGTTTGTCCACTGTAAACAACAATAGTTGAGTCAATTGGTTGGAAATTAAAAATGGCTGCAAAAAGAAAAAATAAGAGTTGGTTGCAAAATAAGCTTTTTATATGTAAAAACTAGCAATTGGTAGTCCCCACCAAATCATTGTTAAAATCTGTGGAGTAAATAATAAGAATAATAATAATAATAATAATAATAATGACAGATATTTCTTATAGTTTACTCAAATCTATATAAATAGATTAACTATTTCCGTCATTAATTGTTGTAGAATAAATAGTTTTTCAAATGACTAGTTTATTTTCATCAAGTGTTTCAATTGATGAAGCTTTTTCAAAATTACCATTAAATGATGATGTTACTGTAAGTGTACCATTACAAAATACTAAAACAGATGAATTTTCATCTATTTATAGAAATAAAGTTATTGGTTCTCGGTCTGATTTATTACTATGCGTTCATCCGTCATTAGATACTCATCAAAAATTAATTAATTTTGCATGTAAAAAATTTGCAAATCGTCCTTGTTTAGGTTATAGACCGTATAATTATGATCAATTAAGTTCGGAAAATTATTACAAATCATTTAATTACAATGATGTTTATAATCGGAAAAATGCGATTGGATCGGGTATTTTAAAACATTTAATTAATAATCCGTATTTGGATTTAAATTTAATTTCACATCAAAAAGTTAAAAATCATCTTAAAAATTGGTCAAATTATGGGATTCCAAAACTGTGTAGATCAAATATTGATTATGAAATCGAAAAAAATTGTTCATTTATATTATCAATTTACTCAACAAATAGATTAGAATGGTTACTTGTTGATATTGCATGTCTGTCTTATTCAATTACAAATACTGCATTATATGAGACTCTAGGTCCTGATGTTTCTCAATATATTTTAAATTTAACTGAATGTCCAATTGTGGTAACTACAAATGATAAAGTTGAAAAAGTGATCGATTTAAAAAGAAGATATCCTAATGAATTAAATAATTTAATTTCAGTAGTTTCAATGGATCCAATATCTTTAATTCCAAAACAAGTAATTGACCAAGCTAAAGATTTAAAATTAGTAGTTACTGATTTATTTGAAATTGAAAAAATTGGCCATGCAAATTTAATGGATCAATTACCACCTAATAAAGAAGCAATTTTTACAATTAGTTTTACTTCAGGTACTACTGGATCAAGACCAAAGGGAGTTATGATTTCTCAAGGTCAAGCTTGTGCTTATGTTTCTTTTTTATTATGTATTGAACCACAAGCTAAATTGAATGATATTGCTTATATTTATTTACCGTTGACTCATTTATATGAACGACAAACTTCAATGTTTGCATTTCTGACTGGTTATCATTTATGTTTTCCTCAAATTACAATTGGTCAATCAAATAATAATAATTTTGAGTTAATGATTAATGACTTAAAAATTTTAAGACCAACTTATATGTCAATTGTACCTAGATTATTAACAAAATTGGAATCTCATATAAAGAATAAAATTAAAGAATTATCATCAAATGAAGCTACTCGAGTCAATGAAATAATTGAATATAAAATAAATCAACATTCGAAATATGATGGAAATGATGGTTTTAATAATAATTATGATAATTATCAACCATATAAAACATTACGTGAATCTATTGGATTTGATAATATGAAATGGGTTCAATCTGCATCTGCACCTATTTCTCCAAATACTATAATTTATTTAAAAGCCAGTTTAAATATGGGTTTACGTCAGTTATATGGATTAACTGAATCAGGTGCTGCTATTACTTCTTCTGTTGAATATGAAGCTAAACCAGGTACAAATGGTTCAATTGCACCAACTGGTGAATTTAAATTAAGAAATGTTAAAGATATGGGATATTGTTATAATAATTTACAAGGTGAACTTATGTTACGTGGACCTCAAATGTTTAAAGGATATTATTATAATCAAGAAGAGACATTGAAAGCAGTTACAGAAGATGGTTGGTTTCATTCTGGTGATATAGCAACAATTGATAAAGAAACAGGTAGAATTTCGATAATTGATAGAGTTAAGAACTTTTTTAAAATGTCACAAGGTGAATATGTAAGTCCAGAAAAGATTGAAAATTGTTATGTTTCATCAAATCCTCAAATTACGCAATTGTTCGTCTATGGAAATTCCCTTAAATCTTATTTGATAGGTATAGTTGGAATTGAATTTGAGAAAGGACTTAAGTGGCTAAATGAAGAAATTGGTATAAATAAATTAGATATGACGGAGCATGAATTGTTGTCCACCATGAATCAAAAAGATGTTAAATTGAAATTTTTAAAATTGTTGAATTCAAATGTTAGAGATAAATTAAATGGATTCGAAATTTTACATAATATTCATATTGAAATTAATCCACTAACTGTTGAAAGAGAAGTTGTTACACCTACTTTTAAATTAAGAAGACCAATTGCTTCTAAATTTTTTGCTAACATTTTGAATAAATTATATGAATTTGAAGAATCATTAATTAATGAAACTAAATTAATTGCATCAAAATTGTAAGGGATGTTGCACAAATGTGTTTTCTGGTGAATTAGCTGGTCATTCTATTTAAAATTAAAAATATTGATTAGTTCAATATATATCTATTCATAAACCTTGGCCTTCATGTAAAATAAGAAAGCGTATATTTAATCCTTATCTAAAGTTGTCTCTTCAATTGGGTATTTCATGAGATATAACCCAATGTTTCTTCATACGGGTCGCCTTACAATTAGCACCAGGGAAATATCTTTGGCTTTGATATTGGGCGAGATTTTACAATATAAATAATAAAGACAAATGAATTCTGAAACAAATTTGACTTATATGCAGTTTGCAGTCTTACAGTAGTTAATCAAGAGACTTAAAACGTAAATAACTCCCTTAATATTCAAGCCATCATTTCAAAAAGTTTTTCTTAGAATCGTTAGTTAATCCGGAGTAGACAGATATTAGATTCTTTTATTGAAAGGCAGCTCTGATCATTTAACGCATCATTCAAAAAATGCAAAAAAACGCTAAATTGGGAGATAATCAACACTTAGAACTCATTTAACAACTTCTAATATAGCTGATTCGGTTTCTTAAATCCCAAGAAATGTTTAAGTTATGTTTTTAAGCCAACATTTTCATTTTGAATTTTTTTCAAAAATTTCGAACCAAATGTGAAAAATAACTTTTTTAATTTTGAATGCCTTCTCTTAAAAATCATGAGCTCTAATAGCAATCCAGAACTACAAATTCTGATACTTTTGTCAAACTTTCATCAAAATTTTGATTGTGGAATTAGATTTTTCATAAAGTCAATTTGTTGGAATTTTTTCATACTTAAAAGAAAAATTTGAAATTTTTCAATTTTAGCTCAAGTTCAACCAAATTAAGTGAAATACCTTTATTTGAGGTATAATATGTATAATTCTTAGTTTAATTTGAGGTTATGGCCCTGAATCAAGCATAAAATGAGATCACATTTTTTGGATAAAATTTTGTATGACGAAAACTGGCCAAACTGACAACTTGAAAAAAAAATTCTCAAATCATAAAATTTAAAATATGTAGAGGATATAATTGATTCCTGATCTTCTCAAAATGGCCTTTTTTTCGAAAGAATGTGTATTTCATGAGATGTAGCCCATCAAGTTTAACACGTGTCGCCCTATACTTGTACGAGTAAAATACTTCGCTCGATCAGTTTTGAGCGACAATTTACGTACTTCCGAAAAAAATTTGGCTTATAAAGTGATTGAATGTAAACAGATTGGAAATGACTTCCACAATATTCATGCTGTAGTTTGTCAGACTTTTTCCACTGAAGCTTCAGCAAGGACATTAATTGACGACAGTATTTATTTATAAAGCGCAATTCTGATCACCATAATCCACTTTCAAGTGATGTAGAAAAATGCAATTTTTCAAGATAATTAACATTTAGACATTGATTAGCAACTTCTAACATAGATGACTTGGCTCGGTGTACTTGTCGTTTGTATAGCTTAATTCTATTAATAACTTTTTTGGGCCAGAAGCTCTTCAAAAGAAGAGTATTATGTTGATCTACGATAGCGCGATTTAAAACAGCAATTCTAATTTACTTGCAGTCTCGCCTTTCATCATGTTAAAAGTTAACCGGCAAATCAATTCCTCAATATTCAAGCACTCAATATCAAATATAGATCATTAATACTATAGCTACTTTGAAGCAGTTTCATATCCTAGCTTCTTCAAATTACTTAATTGTGATCTTCCAATTCCTTTTTTAAAAAATGAAAAAAAACGACAAATTACGAAAAAGATTGAGCTTAGACCTCATTTCACAACTTCTAATTTGTTAGAATATGGTTTCTTTGGACCTTTTATAAAGTTTTCAGAATGTCATATTGTTTTGATAATTTTGCAAAATTTGGGATTTTTTAAAGAAAACTTATGTGACAGCAAACTTACCTTAATTAGCTCAACAATAATTCAGCCAAAATATCTATAAACCCCAGCTCATTCACTATACTTTGAGTTTGCTGTCCCCTGAGGTGAAGTTGATGGAGAACCAACAGTCTCAAATTACAGATTTGAACTTCAAAGTTACAGAAACTCAAACAGCTATTTACAGAAATAACCAAAATAGGTGAATTGTTCATAAACTATTTATTCGATAACTGGCTACTCTCTGAACTTGTTATTATGTCAAGTTTGTGACTGTTTTGTCGAATTTCAATTAATCAGACGGCTGCGAAAATCTTTTCAAATGACTAACACAAAATCAAAATGCCATAAGACATACTACTCAACACTAGAAAATTGTAAACTTTAAACATTGATCTGCATAATCTTTGCACAAAGACTTCTTCTTCTTATCAATTTACCATGATTCAATTATGACTCGTACGAGTTAAACTTTCCCATAAAATAATATTCTTTCCTGTATATAAATTCCGCTTCCATCACCTTTTTTTTTTTATGGAGACACATTAATAAAGTACACCATTATTTCATATTTTGCAACATATTGATTCAAATATGCCTCCACCACCATTCCCATTCATAATTGATGCACAAGCTTTATCTGGTATAACAGGATCAATATCAATATCATGTTGGATTATAGTTTTTGCTCCACAAATATATGAAAATTTTCAAAGAAAATCAAGTGATGGACTAAGTTTAACATTTATCATATTATGGTTATTAGGTGATATTTTTAATGTACTTGGTGCAATAATACAGGGTTTATTACCTACTATGATCATTTTAGCTATTTATTATACATTTGCGGATATAATTTTACTTTATCAATGTTTAATTTATAAAAATGGACCAAAAGAAGAAATTAAATATGAACATTTATCACCTGCAAACCCATTAAATGAAGAAAATACATTAGAAGTAAGAGATAATAATTCATCAATTTTAATAAATTCACTCATGGTATTTCTTGTTATATTATCTGGAATTATTGGATATGCAATTACTGGAAAAGATGAAAATAAAGGAAATGAATTGATATTGGATCCTTTGGCTCAATTTTTTGGTTGGTTATGTGCTCTATTATATTTAGGCTCCAGAATTCCTCAAATTATATTAAATTTTAAAAGAAAAAGTTGTGAAGGTATTAGTTTTATGTTTTTCCTTTTTGCCTGTTTGGGTAATTTGACTTATGTTATAAGTATATTGAGTATTGATATGAGTTATAGTTATTTGTTAGTTAATCTGTCTTGGCTTGCAGGAAGTTTAGGTACTTTGGGTTTAGATTTCACTATATTTTTACAATTTTTTATGTATAATAAAGATGATATTTATTGTGATTCAATATGTGATACAGAAAGTGATATTGAGAGTGTAAATAATAGAGATGAAGGTTCTTTGTTGGTTAATGGTAATCAAAGACAATATGGTACTAATTAAAGTACAAAAAAAATTTTGAAACAGTTTTTAGATTCATAGAAAGTATATATTTTTATTTATTTTAAAGAATTGTCTATACTGTATTCTATCGATTGTGAATGGTGAAATTGTGGTGATGTACGGATCCGGTTGGGCAGCTCTTTAACTTTCAAAGTTACTTACACCATACGTTTTATCCTATAAAAAATGTAGCTTCATGAATCACGATACTTGCAGCTTTAGTAAGATTCTTAACATACTTAGTAAATATGATTGACTTGAGTTCGACAAATCTGCAAAATTTTATATCTTAAATTTTGATGAGATATTTGAACATAATTAGCCTGACTTTTTATACTTCGAACAATCTATAATTTCATAAGGATCTTCCTTCAAATTATAATCTAGTTTTCTTCTATTAATTGTTGGAAAATTTCAATCAAATTTTCAATCCCTTGTATTATATTTTCATCATAACCTTTACCGGGAACATACCTAGCATGTGCAAAATCAATCAATTGTAAAGAACTCAAAGGAGCAATAATTTCTTCATATACTCCCTCCTCATCTTCATCTTCTTCATCTTTCAAATTTGCTAAATTTTCATTTATTAAAGGATCTAAATCATCATAATTATCATCATTTACACCTTGCCATCTTTTTAAATCACTTTCGTAAATAAATAATAAACTACCTGAAAACACTCTGATTTCCTTGTCTAATAAACAATTATACAAAATCTGTAACCTCTTCAAAAATTGACCTAGTAATTTCTTTATAATTTCTTTACCTAAATGACTCTCATTGAAAAATAAATATATCCCTTTTTTTATATTACTTTCATTCAAAGATTTTCCATAAATCCTATTGAATTCAAGATAATAATGTTTTGACTCCTCAATTATAACTGAAACAGAGCTATCATTCATATTTTCATAAAATTCAACCTTGGGCTTTTGATGATTAAATCCATTAAACACCTTCATTCCACAAATTCTAAAATTTAAAGATCCAGAAGTGGTAGATTTTGATACTTTAGCTAACCTTTCTACCTTATCCTTCGTGGTTGTTAGATCATCAGTTAGTTTTGAACCTAATTTGATATCTAAAATACTTGGATAATTAAAACCATAATATGAATTAGAAAGCACCATGTGTATCTTTTCTGATTCTTTGACATTTTCTCCTTCCGTCAAAGTCCCCATAAATGTAGGCATCCAATGAGATAACAAATCACCTAAATTTGAATTTTCCTTTTTTGAATCATGTAAAATTGTTTCTTGATAAAAGTCAATTTCTTGTTTTGTTGTTGATTTAATGAATAAGGATTCTGAAGTTAAACAACCGTCATGACCAGCTACTTGATGTTTTGAAGGTATGAATGAATCTGTAGATAATGATGATGTGGAAATCATACAAATCCAGGTATACAAAAGATGGAAATTTATAATGGAACTAAGCGCGAAGATTTTAGTGTTTAATGCCAAAAAAATGGGAATAGAATGGTACCATTGCTGAAGCGAGAAAATGCAATAGAAGGCGTGGTAGCAATGCCAAAAAAATGGGAATAGAATGGTACCATTGCTGCAGCGAGAAATAGTAATAGAAGGCGTGGTAGCAATGCCAACAATTTAAACGAATAAACGACAAAAATTAACCAAACTCGTGGAGTCACGAAAAGTAAGTAATCAAAAAAAAAAAAAAAATAATTAACAAGCTAAGCCAAGATTTGAGAATATACGAAATTGAAGATTCTCAAATGATGATTTTGGTCAATAGTTTATCTAACCAGCATTTGTTGTAGTCATCAATCAAACACAAAACTGAATTATGATCATCACATGAAAGGTTATAAACCTATAATCATAGTACAGCCTCGTCGCCATCGATGAGATAATTCTATGAATTCCAAATTAAACGATTACCATTACAGCCGATCGACACATTATTTTACGACCAAGTGGTATGAAAATGAGGCGAACCCTGGTAGTAAGTTAATTTGTCCCAATTAGGCGAAAACGGTGCAAAAAGTAAAAAAAACCACGCAAAAAAATTTATCAATGTTTATTTTTTTCATTCTATTTTTTTAGACCTGCATCCAATCATCGATAAAAAAAAAAAAAAAAAAAAAATAAAAAAATAAAAAAAAAATAATTTCATTGAAAGTTTAAAATTTAACAACCAATTTTCATTCAATAATTGTTGATATTACTACTGTGACTTATTCATTCATTTCTTATTATTATAAAGCATCATAATTATTAATAACTAATACAATATAATAATGAGTAATCCGTATGCGAAACAAGATGGTGGTTATCAATCTTACAACACAAATCAGTATCAGCCTCCAACAAATCCTCCACAACCTCAAGATTCTTATGAAATGAGTACTTATTCAAACACTTATGGTAGTAATAATTTATCCGGTAAACAATATGGTGAAGATGATTTTGTACAATTTATGAATGAAATTCAAGATATAAATTCTCAATTGGATAATTATTCTAATTTAATTAATTTAATTGATAATAAACAAAAAAATTTTTTACATGGTATTGATTTAAATGACGAAGAAACTGAATATGATTCAAATCAAATTGAAAATTTAGTTAATGAAGCTCAAAGTTTACAATTGGATTTAAAGCTGAGAATTAAAAATGTTCAAACTCAAGCTATACATTCAAAAGATCAAACAAAAGTTGATCAAGCTGAAACTGCAAGAAAAAGATTTTTAGATTTAATTCAAGATTATAGATTAGTTGAAGCTAAAAATAAAGAATCAACAAAACAACAAGCTGCAAGACAATATCAAATTATAAAACCAGATGCAACACAAGAAGAAATTAAAGCTGTTGTTGAAGATGGACTGCAACAATATTTCCAACAAGCTTTAATGCAATCTAATAGAAGAGGTGAAGCAAGATCAGTATTAAATGAAGTCCAAATAAGACATCGTGAATTATTAAAATTAGAAAAAACAATGGCTGAATTAACTCAATTGTTTCATGATATGGAAGAATTAGTTATTGAACAAGATCAACCAATTCAACAAATTGAAGAACAAACTGGTACTGCTCAGCATGATATTGAACAAGGTGTTGGTCATACAAATAAAGCTGTTAAATCTGCAAAATCTGCAAGAAAAAAGAAATTATGGTGTTTAGCAATTGTTATAATATGTATTATTATTGTTGTTGTTATTATAGCTGCTTATTTTGGATCTAAAAATTAGTTAATGTTTTACTTTTAAAATTTAATAATTTTCATTTTATATGTCATAAGACATTTTATATAAACATACATTGTATCTTACTTAATACATAACAAAAGAGGAATACTGAAGAGATCTGAGCAGTAGAGGAGTATATTTTCTAACAATCAAATTGGCAATTAACTATAGTACAACTTTTCAAATTTGATGGAGGAATAGCTGGAGGTTCAAATTTGAAATTTCTTAATTCTAAATATTCAAATTGAGTTGGAAAGATAATTGAACCTTTAAACGTAATCGATTTAATTGTTGTCATCGCGATGTTTTCCAATTTGGGGAATATAATTTCAGTACCAATAATTAAAACACGTCCCTCTGACCTACATTTTCTGAATACAAATAGTATTAATAAAGGGAAGTTGATACCATTAAAAAATGACCATGGGAAGTGACTAATTGTAAACACGATTTCTGTCAAATAATGCAAAAAAATTATATCCAATCTTTTTGAGCCGTAATCAATTACGTTAAGCTTACTTAATGAAAGTAGAAATCTTAACATTTGAGATGTTTGGAAAAGACAGGCTTCTGTATAAGTTGAGGTAGTCTAAATACACAACATTGTCCAACATATTAGCAACAGTACTACCTAATGTGAGTCTTTCAAATTCTAATTTGGTATTTGTTAGACGGTAAGCGATTTGATTTTTCTCCTTTTCAGAAGACTCGAAGAACTCTTCAACCTTCAAATTTTGAACCTTGGAGCTCAACTGCAAATTTTCAAATCAATGAACTCAACTCGTAAATAGTAAATATCGTTTAAATTGTTTAAAATATCAAAATTATTGTCGTAAATGAAACGTTCAAATGCTATATTAGACCAATAGCTGGAATGAGGTAACCTATGGGAGTCTATTAATATTGCACTTGAGTAACTTGGTAATTTTGAGCAATCTTGAGCATATATCATATATTCTTCGTCTTTTAATTTTGTCATATAAATATATTCTGGTACTATGCTGTATTTGTCAACCGATTTTGTAAAAATCTCTAAAACTTGACAAATTTTATGCATCACTAACATCAATACACTCTGAATCGGTTATATATTTGTTTATGACTGTTGAATTAGAATTTTCGTTTAATATTACTAGTTTTGAAAATAAAAATGATAACGCGAATGGTTTTAAAATTGGATCAACTAATAACGGTATAACGGATTCTTTATTCAATTGATTAATAATAAACTCAATTAAATCATCTGGTAAATCTCTAAATCTTCTAACAAAAGCAAAAAAATCAATCATTATACGGTTGTTGTAATAATAAGATAAGTAATAATAATTGTTGTCCAAAATTTAAATTAAATTAATTTTGACATTCCCAATTTTGATCTGAAACATTTCTACATTTGGTAGCGCTTTAGTAATTCACATAATCAAATGGTTGCAAAATTTGAATAAGTATTAGAAATAGTCCTTTAATTTCTTACAATGTAGACTAGACTATCTGATATATAGCCGAGCCAAAGCCTAAGTCGATTGATAAAATTGACAGAGACGAGCTCAAATGGTTGAAACTACAAATTTTCAAACTTCACTTTCAATATTAATCATGGTTTCAAATTGTGTTGAGCTTATGTATCCAGTTCTAGCAAATAGTGTCAAACAACTGATGTAGAAGCGATTCCGTAAATAGTCTATGACTAACTTCTCAAGAATCATGTAATTGTTATGACTTAGTCTCTCTTGATAACAAGTTTTCAATATATTATAGCAACAAGTTATTTGCCAAGTCCAATATACACAAGCTTAGTTCACCGTTAGTAACCGATTCAATATCTAGGCACCAATATCAAATCTCAGTGAAATTTAAGAATTCGGTATAACTTCGGTCCTGAACCGGTCGAACGTTTTGGTGCTAAAATATTTTTTTTTTTTTTTTATGGAGTAGAAAATTTTTCAAATCTGTCAATTTCTATTACTCATAAATAATTTAGAGTCACAAAATTAGAATATATAAAGGTTGATTAATCTAACTTAACATTATTATATTTCTTTGGTTTTATATTCATCATGCCTATGTTAAAAGATCCTTCAGTGAAATATAAAAAATTTCCAATTATCAATTTACCAAATCGTCAATGGCCATCCCAAGAATTGAATAAACCTCCAAGATGGTTATCAACAGATTTAAGAGATGGTAATCAATCATTACCTGATCCAATGTCAATAAATGAAAAGAAAGAATATTTTAAAAAATTAGTTGACATTGGTTTTAAAGAAATTGAAGTTGCATTTCCGTCAGCTTCTCAAATTGATTTTGATTTTACTAGATTTGCTATTGAAACAGCCCCAGATGACGTTAGTGTGCAAGTTTTATCACCATGTAGAGAACAATTAATTGAACGAACAATTGAATCATTAAAAGATGCCAAAAAGGCAACTGTTCATATTTATTTAGCAACTTCTGATTGTTTTAGAAATGTCGTATTTGGCTTAACAAAACAAGAATCAAAAGAATTAGCTGTTAAATGTACTAAATTAGTTAGAAAATTAACAAAAGATGATCCTTCAACTGCTGGTACAGATTGGGATTTTGAATTTTCACCAGAAACTTTTTCAGACACTGATTTAGATTATGCATTAGAAGTTTGTGAAGCTGTTAAACAAGCATGGGAACCAACTAAAGAAAAACCAATTATTTTTAATTTACCTGCAACTGTTGAAATGTCCACACCAAATGTTTATGCTGACCAAATTGAATATTTTTCAAAAAATATTAGTCAACGTGAAACTGTTTGTATATCATTACATCCACATAATGATAGAGGTTGTTCAGTTGCAGCTGCTGAATTAGGTCAATTAGCAGGTGCAGATAGAGTTGAAGGTTGTTTATTTGGTAATGGTGAAAGAACTGGTAATGTTGATTTAGTAACATTAGCATTAAATTTATATACTCAAGGTATTTCACCAAATTTAGATTTCTCAGATATAAATTCAGTAATTGACGTAGTTGAAAGATGTAATAAGATTCCAGTTCATGCAAGAGCACCATATGGTGGTTCATTAGTTGTTTGTGCGTTTAGTGGTTCACATCAAGATGCTATAAAAAAGGGTTTCCAAGTTCATCAAAAGGAAAAGCAAAAAAATGGTGGGAAAGAAGTTCATTGGCAATTACCTTATTTACCATTGGATCCAGAAGATATTGGTAGAACTTATGAAGCTATAATTAGAGTTAATTCACAATCAGGTAAAGGTGGTTCCGCATGGGTTATTTTAAGAAATTTAGAATTAGATTTACCAAGAGGTTTACAAATTGCATTTAGTAAAGTAGTACAAGAACAAGCAGAAATAAAAGGACAAGAATTAACAAATCAAGAATTATGTGATTTATTTAAACAAGAATATTATATTGATTATGAAGAAGATGATAAAGTAGAACAATATTATAAATTGGTAGATTATTCAATATCGACTCCATCAAAAGGTGTTAAAGAAATTGAAGCCGAATTGAATATAAATGGTGATATAGTTAAAATTAAAGGTCAAGGTAATGGTCAATTATCAGCTTTTAATAATGCAATTGCAAAATATTTGAATATTAATATTGATGTTAAACATTATCATGAACATTCATTAGGTGAAGATTCAGATGCTAAAGCTGCAACATATATTGAAGTGAATGTTAATAATAAGATTAGTAGATGGGGTGTTGGTATTCATACTGATGTTTCCCAAGCTTCATTCTTATCATTAATTTCAATTCTTAATGGTTTACATAAAAATAAAAATATTTAATTGTGAAATATTTTCCTGTGTATAAAAAATAAACAACAATATATACCATCGACGTTTTTATAATGACTCAAGAACAAGAACCAAACACAAGTATTGCAGAAACATATAAACAATTAAATGAAGCAGAATTACAAGCTACTAAATTAGAAAATATGTTAGATTCTTTAGAAGGTAAATTAGATTCAATTTTAAAAGAAGCTGAAAATATAACAAAAGATGAAAAAGAACAAGATGTTAAAAAATAAAGGATATCAATGGCATCCTTACCATCCTTACTCTATTAATCTATTAATATAATACATCTATTTCCTTCTTTAGTACAAATTCAGGTTCATTAGTTTTTTCAAATGGATTTATTGGTTTCCATGGATTTATAACCATTTCACCATCATTTAAATTTGGTATTGATACTTTTGCAGGTTTACCACCATCCAACCACCATTTAGATTTGTCAGAACTTGGAGGAGGTAAACTTTCACTTTCTTCATTAGTTTCAACATGTTTATTAAGGGATAAAATATCATTAATACCTCCACTTTTCACTTTTTTATAATTTTCATACAATTCATTTGATAAATTTTTTTTAATTTGTTGATTTACAATATTTGCGGTGATTATAAATGTGGCATAAACTGGTCTATGATCTGAAAATATTAAATTTTGATCACAGTTATAATTTAATGGTTTAACTAAATTTTTTCTTGATAGGTATAATATACGATCAGTCCATGCTGGAATTCTTTGTTTCTCACTCGTGTCATAAACTTTTGTACCATTATCGAATTTATAAGTTGGTGGGAATTGAATTTCTGATTCTGCAAAAAATGGAAAACTTTCACCATTTGCCATTTGTAGATTCAATTGATCAAATTCGAATAAATTATTAAATTTTTTTTGAAGAATTAATGGTTTTACTTGTTCAATTGGTAAATTTATCCTATAATTAAAATCACCAAGCCATATTACAACATCATGATTTTGAACTCTTTTATTTTTTGAAAACTGTATTCCCTTTATCAATGTTTTATAATTATGATGTCTTTCTTCAATATTACTTAACCCAGCAGCAAAATGAGAAGATACAAAACACAATGAGGTATCTGAAAATTGAAAACTAACGGCCAAACCACCTTTATTTGCCGATACTCCACCAAATCCAGTTTTCTTGAATGAACATTCAACATTTGAAACATGTTTAACTTGATCTTCTTTAACAAAGAAAAATAAAGCTAATCCCCCTAATTGTCCACTCCACATAACCATATATTTATCTTTTTTTTGTAAAACTTGTAAAATTTTCCTTTCCCATTGTGTTTTATTTCTTGTATCGGTATTGACCATCTGTCCAGCATTTAAATCAACAATTTCTTGTAATCCAATAAATATAAGATCAAATGTTTTATCTTCTGGATATATCCAATTATCTATATCTCCGTCATATACTGTACCATTAACATTAAAAGTAGAAGCAAATAATGAAATATCCATCAGGGATGTAAATTCTTTGGAATGTTTATTTAATTCTTTTGAAATATAATCATGTAATGGATTGTGAAAACTTATTGGTGTTTGATCTTGTAATCTACCTAATAACTTCATCAATGCAATTTCTTTTGGCTTTGATTCAACTACTGAATATAAATACTTCTTTGTTATATGATTCTTAACAGATTTATGTTTTGACGTTTTTGATGATTGTAATTTATCACTAGTTGATACAAAACTTAAAGTTAATTTCAGTATACAATCATCATTTTCTTCCCATAATTTTGCATGTTTTAATTTTACGTCGCGATGTAGTATTATTCCAATATCTTTAAATGCTAATTCTATAACTTCTTGACTTATAACTTTTGATAGAAAATTAGCTTTACTTAAACTATCAAAGGAATTTATCCTGAATACACCCAATTGTTTCCCTATAAATACTGAATTATCAAAAAATAAACCACCAAAATTTACAATTGAATCAGAAACTAATGAAATTATATCGTATGGATTTTGACCTGTATACCCTATTTTCTTTAATCTTGCTGATGCTATAGGTATATGAGTATATAGTATTTTATAACCATTATCATATTTTTGTAAAAACACTTTTATCTGTTCTTCAAATGATGCTGATAGCACACCTTTATATGATTTATCACTCAATGCATTTAATATATGTACATCACCATATTGACCACATATTCTATCCATATGTCTTGTAAATGCATCTTGAGAAGCTTCAAAAGATCTTGGAAATACAATTTTTTTACCACTTGAAGTTAATACAGATTTTGTTGAAAAATTATGCTCCATTTCCCAATACATTGGAACATTCCCTCGTATTATAACATATGATAAACATAATCTTTTAGTATATATAATTATTTCACTTTCTAAATAATTTGAAACATATCCATTTCCATCACAGCCCCAATCACCAAATAATGGCCCTTCTTTAGCGCTTGATTGTTTTGAAATTAAAGTTAATAAACCATCATTTCCATCAATTGATATATTTACAGTTTTAGCATAACCTCTAGCTATAATTACATAAAAACCACTTTGATCCATTAATTTTTGTTCGATCAGTGGTAATCTATTTCGAAATTCTAAAAATTCACCCAACATGAAACCATTCCACATAAATCTACTAAAGTATGCGGAATCAGCAAATAATTCAAATTCTGAATTATTTATACCGCGTTCTTGAATATTTGAAGTTATATCAAAATTTTTTGAATAATAAAAAGCACCAGTGGATAAAATTTTTCGTATTGACCCAGCAGGACTTAATTTTTCACGTTCTTGAAAACTCAATTCTTCAATATCTTTATCTAATAAATAATCATATTCGTCATTATTAATACAAAAAAATTCCGTACCTGTAATTTTAAATATTTTGTCATTTATAGTAGGTAAAGCAGTCAATTCTTCTCTAGTAATGAAACCAAGGAATATTTTATTCTTTATACTTAATAGACCTAAACAACCAATTAGATTTCTTGGTGTGATATCTTTATATTGATTTAAATCTAGATAATCTTTTAAAACAAATTCAACTATAACTTTATTTTTGTTATTATTATTTTCTTTTTGTTTATAACCAGGTATTAGATCTTTAAGAGACTTATGTTTATAATCTGGATTAGGATGTCTTATAATTAAAGCATGAGTAGTAGTAGTTATTATAAAAGTACGTGGTTTTTCATTTAAATATAATCTCATTAAAAACTGTTGATAGTTTCAGAAAAAAAAAAAAATATACGAGTACATAGAAATTATATATATTGATTAGTTGACTTTCTTTGATTTCTTTGCCTTTAAATGACCTTCTGGAATCCAATTAACATCATATCCACTAGTAGTTGAACCCTGTGATACTGCTGCTGGTTTTGCTGCTGTCTTTTTAACTTTTACAGTTGTTGAATTATTAAATTTCAAATATTGTTTACCCCAAATTTCATAAACAACATAAGCTAAACCAATAAATGAAACAAGTAAAACTAATTCCAAAAATAATAATCTTGGGTCAAATAATGAAATAGATTTATCTGATATTTGCATTAATTGACCTCTACAAGGAATAACTTTAATTAAATCTTCATGAGCAATGAAAATTTGGGGAATTAACTCATAATTTGATGCAATTAAATCAACATTAATTTTTTGATCAAATTTAACAGCTTCACCAGATGCAACAGTAATTGGACCAATTTTACCAGTTGTTAAATTTGTTACAATTTGATTTGTGACTGGGTTTTGAAATTGTCCAGTAACTCCAATTATTGTAATATCTGATTTTTCTTGATTTTCTAAAATATATTCTAAAGTGACTTCATCACCATTTGTCCAAGTTGCAACATCATTTTTTGAAATTTCTGGATTTTCTTTAATAGAATAATCTATAACAATATCAACAACTTCATTACCTGTAGTTTCATACGCAATTACAGTTGATGTAATTAATGCAATTGTTGATAAAATTGATGAAAATTTCATACTGAATAGTTTATGGAATATGTGTTTAATTAATTTTTCAGTCAGTGTTGATGAACAATTTTTATTTATTTAATTGGGAAATAAGTCACGTGAAGCAACGCATCAAGATATATACAGCCGTTGATCAATGACAATATAGTATATATACATATATACATCACGTATAGAAGTAAGACGAAGATGCATAAATTGAAATAGTGACCAAATGCCATGGGCTCATTGATGCTTCGTGAAAATTTTACAATCTGCTCAATTTTCTTGGATCAGACCAAACCAAAAACACCACAATATCAATCTATAAGTCTGATCCCATTTCGCTGCTTCTCAACGCGTGTCAACGTATCTTGATCTTCTTATTCTTTCTTAAATTCAAAAGTTGCAGCCAAATCAAACCAATTTTCAAATTTTCGTGGTGTGCGAAAAATGAAAATTTTAAAATCCGGAACAATATAATGAAATGAAATGAATAAATTTAGAATACGAAACAATATACTTCCAAGAGTCGTAATACGACGTAATTATAGAATATCAAATGAATTAGAAGATCAACAAAGATATGAATTAGGTATAAGAAGGTCAAAACACCAATATGAGGAATTCAAAAATCAACAAAATCTAGCTAGACAATTCATGGGGCATCGAAATAAAATACTTAAAATAGTAGATGATAATATTAGTGATATAAAACCAAATGCGGAAATGAAATATGATTATGATGAAATGATTGGAATATGTGGAGAATTGAATTATACAGATATAGAAATGCGAAATACAATCAATTTCATAATCAAATCCATGATTGAGTCTATATTGACAGAGATGAAACTAAGTACATATACGGATGCAAGAATACAAAAGGTGATTAAATACATTAAATTGTCTGACTCATTTACTTCCCTTGGTGATTTCAGGTACAATTTTTATAATTACAAGAGTTCCCAATTTTTGAATTATATCAATTCAGATAATTCTAAAGAAATAGAAAGTTATAATTTCATTAGTTTCAAATCTCCAATTCGGAATAATGAGGAATACATCACCAAATTTGAAAAATCATTCAATAATGAATTGAGTAAGAATCATCTCGTGCTTGGTTTGAATATAGCTAAGGATTTACTATCTTGTAGTAGTTATACTCCAACTATGGAGATCTTCAAATATTTGATTGATAAATTTGGAGAGCTTAAATTATACAATTTTCAACAAATTGTCTATTTTTCAATTCTACAATATAAACATATTCCAAGCATATTATCTACTGACTCAATATTAATGGCCGACCATTTCCTACATGTCATAGAAACAGAGCCAAACTTCCTATCTACATTGATCAAGTATCAGGAAGTCAGATCAGATAAACGAATGACAATTGAGTTATTATCATTTTTAAAATTGGATAAATTGGCAGCTGAGACTATGGTTATTAGTAGTCCTTATCTCGCTAAATCCAAATATAAAATGCCGAAAGATTGTCCAGGTATAGAATATACCGATAAGAAAATAAGAACAATTTCAAGAAGTTGCTTATATGAAATCATGAACTCAATTACAAATTTAAAGATGTTTGAGTATTTGAATTTGTTAATTAATAAAATTGTATTACATTCATACGATAACTCACTGATTCAGCTAGATTACATTGATGGGAAACTAGTGACTGGTGATTTATTCGATGAAGAGTTGATTAAAATTATATTACGTGCAAGTTTGGAATCTAATGATTTGGGAAGGTTGATTTGGTTATTGCCTTTTCTTGATGAATATATAATGAATAATGAGATTACAAAAGAGCTACTAGGAGATATAATGGATACTTTGAAATATTTCAATATAGAAGGTAAATTATTAAGTTATAAGAAAATAATAAGTAAATAGTAACATTATAATATTATATATTTATACCTTTTATTCACATTCCGTTCATAATACCATATCTAACGCTAAGCCATTGTATCTATAGCACTTAATTCATTTCTGTTTTTAGTAATTTGGAGCACTTTGATTATTTTATTGAAGTTTTTGATTTTTATATATCTACACATTCTTTACCCTTTGAATTCCATTTTTTAATTAATTTTGTTGATTCCGTTATTGATCTTTTTATAGGTAATTCTAGTGTATTTGGTTTAGCTAATACTTCATTACATGTTAATAATAATGATGATTGTATAACTATAGTTGGATAAATATTTGCAAATTCTTTTGATTGTAAAATATACATTAAATTTAAATAAAAAATCATCTCATCTAAAGTATCCCTAAACTTCTTATCACCCATGATGAGGAACTAAAAGGTTTATATAAATTGGTTGTAACTAATTATTGATCTATAATTAATTTATTTTCTAGAAAAATAGTAATACGAATGCTACCAATTAAGAATACTAAAAAATACACATGAGGTAATACGAATGCTACCAATTAAGAATACTTAAACATACGCATTAGTTTCTATTATATTACAAGTAGTCTCTATATTGTTATATTGTTTATTGCATCCTTACTCTTTCTCACCTTATAAATTTCTTCTCGAAATATCTAGCAACATTAAATCCTACAAAGGCAAATGCAAAACCCATTTCAAATCCGATATCACCACCAAAATCACCAATTTTACGACCAACTACCCCTGCATACCATGTTTGATTCATACCTAATACAACACCAGCAACACCACAACAAAATCCAAAAGTACCAGCAATACCAGGAGGATAAGCTAGTTTATCATTATATCTTTCATAATCATAAGCTGAAAATTTCCCCTTATGCCATATAAAATGAGATGAAAACATCATTGCTTCATAAATACCAAGATAATATGAAATTAAATTCATAAAATTTTCCATAACAGCTTCAAATTTATAATAAGCAGGAATACAAATAGCTAAAGTAGCACCATTACCTGCAATAGTCCATAAAACTCTTGGAATTTTTGCGAGGGGACTCCATACAGTTTGTGCAGATAATGACATTGAATACATATTTGGAATATTATTAGCAACTGTTGTCAATGCTAATATAACACAACAAAATTGTCCAAAACCATGTAAAGAATCTTGTACAATTATAGCATAAATTAATCCACCTATTGAATTATCATCATATGCTTGTTTCCATGATGGATCAGATAAAGTACCAGTAGCACAAGCAGCTCCCAAAATTAAAGCAAAACATAATGGTAAAAATAATCCAGCAAAAACCCCGAAAAATATTTTATAATGATTTACATTTCTTGGTTGATAAACAGTATAATCAGCAGCATAAGTAGTCCAACCTGAAGCATAACCAAAAACTGTACCACCAAAACTTAAAACACCACCAGCAGTAGTTTGACCACCTACAAAAGGATCAGATTGGAATTTACCACTCATTGCAAATCTAGCAATTATAACAATGAAAACTACTAATGATGGAATCCATGACCATTTTTCATAAGTATGTATAACATTATAACCGAAAAATGTGACTATAATAGTACATACAACAATAATTAAACAACCAGCCCAAGGTGGTAATGCTCCATTATTTACAATATGTAATAATTGAGCTGAAGACATAGTATTAACAGCACCCCAACCAACACATGCAATAACATTAATAAAACTTATAATTCTAGTACCCAAATCACCAACGAAAAATCTTGACAATATCATTTGTCTTAATCCTAATTTTGGACCAAAACATGAAAAGAAAGCAACGGGAAAAGTACCAATTGCAGAAAAAAATATAATAACTAAAACTGCTTGACCAAATGCCAAATTAAATACTGTTATACCTAAAGCACCTAAAGCAAATGTAGCTATAACACAAGTAGCAGAAAACCACATTGTACCAACACCCCATAATGAAGTATCTGTTTTCTCATCATCTGAAACAATATCAATACCTTTAGTTTCTGCATTTAATTTATGAGCAAATCGATTAATCCAATGAACTTTAGTAGATTCAACTTCTGCTGACGAAGCAGCAATATCATCATAAGAATTAATTGATGATTTTTCAACCCGACTAGGTTGCTTCTCGTAATCCATGATATAAAATAATTAAGGCTGGAGGGAGCGGAGGGTGGGGGGGCAGTGATATAAAATGTACGATGGATGTGGATAATGTATATTTACTTTGAATTTTTAGTAAATATATAGTAGGTGATTTGATTTAAATTATATAATTGGAATTGTAAAGATTTAAAAACTGGTGTAGTAAAAGTGTTGATAAAAATGGAATGAACCAAAGTTTTATATTTGAACAAAAAAAGCTAATAGTAAAATGATAAGATGATGACAATAGAAGTTAATTTATAGAAATCTCATCAGTTTGTATTCTATTGTTTAAAACTTTCATATTACACAAAAATTAGAGTATGCATATAATTTAATTTATTTTTTTTTTTTTTATTTTTTTTTTTTTTTTTTTTTTTTTTTTTTTGCCTAGCCATCAGAAGTTAAACCTAAAGAGAAATAGTTAACCATTGCGTTTATTATCACTATTGTTTTATCTATTTACTCTCCTTTGGAATCTCCATGATATTGATTTAGCCATTTTGACTATATTTTTAATAGGAATGTAATAATTGATCTACACTTCTTCTTCTTCTTCTTCTTTTTCTTCTTCTCGCAATGATACGAAGTGGTTATCATCTATCATCAACTTTATTCGTTGTCAATTATCAGAGGATAAGAGAATAAGAGAATAAGAGAATAAGAGAATAAGAGAATAAGAGAATAAGAGGATAAGAGATAAGCGAATAAGCTTAACCTGTCAAAATTTAAAAACTTCTTTAACTGTTCTTGGTTTTTCAAGGAAAGTTTAACTTTTTAGTCCATCTATTGAGGTAATTTTGAACGGATATTTTTGACCCAGATTGGATTGCGAGCCAATACTCAACCAAGCATCTTAACTCTCTAATTGTTCAATAATAATTCATCCCTTGATTCTTACTTCTTGGATATTGGTTGTTTTTGAAATCACGCGCAAATCCTTTCCAAGAATTTTTAAATCTAGGGCATCAAATTATTTATTTGATACGCTTTAAATTTTCCGATATTCATTTTTTGGTTAATGCACTACTTAGTAAAACCGTTAGAATTTATTTTTTTTCATTCTTATCTATACTTACCTTATCAACTTGGTGGGTTATTTGATTATACGGCTTCAAGATAATAAATGATTTACGCCGATCGATCGATCGATATCTATCATCTATTCATTCTTTTTATGATCTTACTATATCAAATACAATCTCATTCTTAGTTCTTCTTTTGATCGTATTAAATATGGAGTTAACCTGATTTGTGGTAAACTACGGCAATTTAAAATTTCAAATTTCAAATATGTACAAAATATTAAAAAATTTGCTGTTCCGTGACTTGATAAAACACAAAGATTAAGATCATAATAGAAGTCAAAAATTAATTAATTAAGTCTACTTTTGTTTCACTTTCAGAATATGTAGCTTAAAGATGGTTTATTATGCTAGATCTTACCTTGTACTTTCTTTAGAATTCACGTCTCACATCTCATTGAATTTCCCCTTTTTGGCAAGATTTCAGATTTCAGATTTCAGATTTGGGACCTCAGATCTGAGAATTTCATTTCTTTTTTTTTTTTTTTTAGTCAGGTGACTTAGTTTGGGGCAAATAAAAAATTAAAAAATGGCTGCAAAAAAATCACTTATGAACGCCGTTCTCTGCAGACAGATGAGCACTTGATGTTTTATTTGTAACATCTAACTAATTATGTGTATATTAAACTAGTGGATATGTTTTGCATCTTTGATCTCATGTTAAAATGTCATTTTTCAAAATTTAAGGATTTTTGGTAGCGCTAATTTATAAATCAAAATATAAACAATAGAATATAAATTTTGCAGCCAAAACCAAATTCACCATGTTAATTTCGATTGACAAGCAATATTATTTCCAATTTAGGTCTAATAGTTTCATCTGTAGTCAGTCACTCTCATTTAAGCTATTTCAAGCCCGATTTTGTTCTTTTTTTTTTTTTTTTCCTACCCTTTCAAATTCCAACCTGAAACAAATCAGAAACAAATTCAACAACATTATAAATATCCCCACAATTGTCGAAATTTTCAATTCTTTTTCTTTTTACCATTTTTCATGAAAGATCAATCGTCCTCATCATCAAAAAATAAACTCAATCTCAGTATCAATACTTCAACATCAGATATAATTCCACAATCACCAATTATACAACATCCAACGACTCCAACATACGATCATTCAAGAACTGAAGATATTTTTGAAAGTCCAATATCTAGTTCAAATAATAGTTTAAGTGAATCATCAACCGCAACAACAACAATTACAACACCAACATTCAATTTCAACCCTTTAAAGAAATTTAAATCAATGGATGATCCATTGAATAGATACATATCTCCAATAAGTTGTTTATATAATTCCGAAAATGAAGTTGAAGAATTGAAAAGAAATAAACTAAGAAAAGATTTCAACTTGAATTTTGAATTAGATGTTGAAACTCCAATTTTAAAATCACAATCACTACAACGAAAGCCAAAGAGGAGGAAGAAGATTGATTTGAATAAAATTCAATTTGAGACTGAAGGAACATTAAAACTTAAAAAGAAAATCAAACCACCAAGTTTGAATATAACTCCGAAAATATCACCTAAAACTATTGATATGGTTCACAGTCCAACTGAATCTAAAATTTCCAGACTGGCTCCAATTACTCCTAGAAAACTACCTCCAAGATTGAAAATTGAAGTTGATGATGCTGAATAGAAGAAAGTGATACTATTGTAATTAATTCAGAAATATTGAAATACAAATCAATTGAAAACACGATTAAAGAAATTAATGAGCTGGTAGACTCAAAAATCAATAAATCAAATATTAGATTTGAGATTAGAAATAAAGTATACCAGTTAACAGATGAGGATCCTATAATTTGTCTCATTTTGATTTTAATAATAAATAAGTTAGCCACTTTATTTACGAATGATTTTACAATTACAATTAAAGAATTATTTGAATTAGATAAGGATTATTGGGATAATGATACTAGAAAATGTATAAATACAGTTGGATTAATTGCAAGTGGATAAAATTGTTCATTTACTGATTTGAGAGTAGTTTGCAATGAAATTAGTATTAATGATAATTATGATGAGGAGCATGGTAAAGACCATGATGATCATAATGACGCAGATTGTTGATGAACCAGTATATAGAGTTAAATAGATTTGAAAATTTTATATATTAAAACAAAACAATATAAATAAAATAAACTTGAGATCACAGAACTAAAAAAAAAAAATTAACAAAACTTATTCAAAATTCAATGCCATTTGCCATTAATAAAGCTTTTAATCTTTCATTTTCATTACTCAATTCTTCAACTTTATTTTCCAACATTGACATTTTTTGAACTTTTCTTTCTCTTGATTTTCTTGCAGCCAATGTATTCTTTGCACGTTTAATTGCAATTGAATCATCAGTTTCATTAATTGTAATTGGTTTCAATTCTTTCAATTTTCTTTTAGTTCCCTTAGTATCAAGCAATGGAGTAGATGAAGGAGTTGCCAATTGTTTAACAGCAGAAACTGATTTAACTGAAGTTGGAGCCGTTGTAACAGTACATGAACTCAAGGAAGGACTTGATGCTTGAGTAGTAGCTGCTGAAATTGTATCATCTGATAAATTGACATTATTTGGTGAAGCTTCCAAAAATAAACCTTCGAGATTTTCATCTCTTGGAATCATTGAATCGTCTTCATTTATTTCCTCAATTGTATTTAAATTTAATAATGGTTCATTTTGATTTTCTTCTTCATCACCAAATAAAGCAACCCAATCATCTTTAGAGTTAACCTTGGCTCCGTCCAAGATAAAATCTAATTCATCAAACATAGGAGTATGATCTATATTTGAATTTGGATCATCCAAGTTAGAACTGAAAACAGAATCTAAAACACTTGAATGAATATGAAATGGAGAAGCAGCTTTATCAATTTCTGGTGAATCAACTTTAGCAGTCTTTGGAACAATCATATTATCTTCATGATGTCCAGTGATAGCAGTTGTATCTAAAAATAAATCTGATTCAATAAATTGAGAATCTTCTTTATGGAACATTTGAGTAGCAGTAGTAGCAGTAGTAGTAGCAGTAGTAGTTGTTGTAGCAGACATTTCTAATAATAATCTAATAATTGAGCAGGTAAATATAATATAATAATAATCTTTCTCTAATTTTCTAATAAGTAATATAATAATAATATAGGAACACCATTTTATGGGTTAATTGTAAATTTCTAATTCTATTTCAACATATTGGATAAGGGAGTAAATTAAATAACAACGATTTCGATTTGATAACGTATAACTTGTAATTTATTTTAATTAATTGAATAATTTAATATAAAATAAAAATTGTAAAACTTTCTAATAATAAACACGCGGAGGGGGGTAATAAATTTAAGCACACATAGTGTATAAAACTTCTAATTGATAAACTATGGGGGAATAATTATAATAAAGTAAAAATAAAGCTAATTGACTAGGTTTAATAAAACGATGTTGTTGTTATTTGTTGAAATAAAGAAAGTGTAATGATATATAAAAAAGAAAGTGAAAATTTTTTTTGATGGAGATTTGGTTAAATTTATATACAACATTTGAAAATTGAAAAATTTTATGTGTAGTACACGACTATATTTTCATTGGTTTATTGGATCGATAATGTAGAAGTTACAAAGATATTGTAAAATACACGACTAGATTATATAAGCGGTTATTTTACTATTATTACTAGATTCAGTTGTATTTACGATATATTTATGAGTCATGATTGTATATGATTGTATACGATTTGCAACAATACAGCATAAATCTAAACTCTCTCCTCATTTTGGTACTAATTATAACTATACTCTCAATTGAATTAATAATCAATTGAAATTGAGCAAATTCAATTGAGTTCGTGGGCTGATTGTTTAATTTGTGAAAAAGTTTTCATTTTCGTATTATTTTTAATTTATGTATCTCACTGTTTACCGGTGTGAATATTTTTAATTTATCACGTGGAATCACAATTCCGCTTTTATAACGTAGATTAATAGAATTGCCTTTATAAGTTTATTGATTCTCTTGATTTGCCACGTTTGAAAGAAATACACAAGTCAATTGAACCGTTATCTACAATTTAGGCAAATGGAATGTAATCAATCTAGAATGATCGTTTAATTGATCGAGTTACTTATATCGATTTCCGCGCTACCAATGGCACATAGTACAGAGCCGCTAAAGTTGCAAATATTAAACTTTAATGAAATTTTTCTTTGGCAACTAAGAAATGGAACGATACAACAAGGTGATGTCGCCTTATTCTCGCACCATTGAAAGAACTTATTGCATTCAATTTATGCGAGATGGCCCCAAAACTTAATTTGAGAACTGAAGTAGACAAAAATTTTTGCTTAGTGAGTCAGTATGATTTCTTGCGCTAGCTTTAGGGCGACTCGTACTAGATACTACGGCTTATTTTTCAAAAACAACTCTATTTTTCAAAAACAACTCCTTCTCACAAAAAAAAATAATAGTAGTAGCATAAAACTGTTTAATATATTAATTAATGATCAAAGGCTATTGTATGGTAATTATAGATTCATGGGTCAATTGTGAATGATTTCGAAGTTTTGTATTAAACTAATGCCAGTTTTGGGTTGAAACATTCAAGTATCTATATTCAAATTCATACGTATTTTTCCAATAGTTTTTTCCGTCTCTTAGCTTCATTTTCTCTTTCAATTTGCCTTTCTTCTTCCTGTTTTTTCTGTTTTAACATCACTAACGTTGGACTTGCTTCAACACTCAAATTTAAATCAGTTTCAGGTAGTAATTCGTGTTTAACTGCTTTTTTATCTAATTCCCAAGCAAACTTTTGTAAGTTCTGTAATTTCTTACTCTCATCATCATCATTTGATTGTCTTACAAATTGACTTTCGTCATTAATCAAATTCTGTTTTACCAAATCTGATTCATTTTTATTTTCGATTTCAAGTTTTTCATTATTCATTTTAATATTCCTTATATAATCAGGTATATCACTTCTATCTCTAATCATCCTCTCCATTGGATCTTGTTTATAATTTCTCTTTAATTTTGATTTATCAATACCTAATTCAATTAATTCTAATTCATAATCCGTATCATCTGAATCATTATCATTTGTTGTAATGTCGATGGGTTTCCACTTTTTTAAATGTTCTAACCATTGCTCATTAGAATAACCATAGTATTTATCTCGTTTCTCGTCATAATTTGTGGTATCTTGTCGTAGGCTTAGTTCATCATTTATACCTTGGCCAGTAGTAGCTAATGAATAATCTTTAATTTCAGATTGATTTCGGTGATGTGCTAGTTCATCTTTATTTTCATCTTCTCCTTCTTTATCATTCTGATCATACCATTTTGGTTTATCTAGTATATATCTGGGAATATATGGATTTGTAGTTGATGATTCTTTTGACATAATTATAAGAAATTATTTTTTTTTTTTTTTATTTTTTTTTTGTATGCAGTATTATCATCGTATATTTTTTGCAGCCTATTTAATTAAAACCTTTCCATTCATCTTCACTATCATCATCATAATTAGCTTCATTATCACCATCTACATCTTCCTCACTTTCATTTGAATTCTCTATTACTTTCCAATTTATTAATCTTTTATCATCTAAAACATCTTCTTTACATTTTTCTCTTAAAGTTTTCAATTTTGCAGATTTATTCAATTCTTTAAATGAAGAAATCAATTTCAATACAGGCACCTCGTTGACTATTTCAAGTACTTCTTCATCTGTTATTTCTTCTTGTTCTTTATTCTTTATTATATCTTCAAATATAACCAATTCTAACTCATCTAAATATATATCACATAAATGATAAGGTAAAGCTAATGGAACTTTTGAATCTCCAGATAATAGTGTTTCATTCAATACACTCAACCATTGTTCAATTAATTTATTATCCCATTCTTTTGCTTTCAAATGTTTAAAATTATGTCTCAATATTCTTCTAATTAACATATAAAATTTATCTATTCTCCATTGATCAATACTTGGCCATTCTTTTATAATTATTAAGTTAAAAGACTTGAAAAGTTTTAAAAATGCGTCTTGGTTATCTAATAATGTAGTTGAATATATAGATGCTAGATTTTCACATAATTTAGTCTGGGTTTTTACTCTATCGCAAAACCATACTGAATAGTATAAACCTTTCCATAATTTTTCAAACTCAAATAATGACAATTTTGACGAGTTGTTTTTTGACCCAAGATATAATTTTAAATTCGCAATTGCTGAATCTCTTGTCTTTTTATCATTTGATGCTAATTTCTTTACAAACTTGGAAGTTGTAGATGAAGACGACATGGTTGAATTGTTAGGGTGGTTAAAAAAATTATTGAGAAGAGATGAAAATAAAATTAAATGTGAAACCTGTCACGTGAGTTTAAATTTTCAACAACTACTGATAAGAGACAGAGACAACATAACAACAATTGACCTTTAATAGTATAATCTTGATCAGACTAGTTATTAAATTGGATCGGTTCAATTAACAGGTTTTTACCGTTTCATTAATTTATATTAATTGTAATTAATTATCATAAACAACACCTTGTGGTTTTCTTCTTCTTTACCTTGATCCAGCAATTTCTCTAGTACTACATTTATTCTTCCTTTATACAATTAAGTATCTAATTGGAATATGAATTAATTTAACAGCATAACCAACAATACCCATCATTATGAAACCAATACCGACAGCTTTAATAATTTTAAAATATTCTTTTTGATCTGGTTTTGAACACTTTTTAACAAATGCTGAACCATCTTTAAAAAATTCAACTGGAACTTCTGTTAATTTTTCAATACCGTCAGCCATTTCAATATTTATGTATCAGGTATCGATTGTTGAAAAAAAAAAATTATTGTTTTACGTGGTTTGAAAAATTAAATATTCTTTGAGTCATACACTACTTAATGCTACCATATGCTAATCTATATAATCTACTCTATATTAAGTTTAATAATTTTTCATCATTTTTATCATTATCATCATAATCATCATTATCATATTTTTGTAAACTATTTATAAATTCTGTTCTTTTTTGTTCTAGTTGTAATTTATAAGTTCTTATCAAATTTTCTTTTTGAATCCAAGATTTCAATTCCATTATCATTTCATCATCTAAACTCCATTCATTAATTAACGGTATAATTTGACCAAATTTAAATTGTTTAAACTTAATTTCAATAAAATCTTTGAGTATTTCAGTGTAAATTGTTATAATTTGTTTATCAATTCTAATTGATGAATTAGAAGTGAATGATTGAGAATCAATAAAATATTTTTCATACTTGAGTTGTAAATTTCTCATAATTTCATAATAATCAGACTCATTTATATTCTCTACTTCTTGTTCTTTTAAATAATAATCAATATAAGTTTTATAAATTAAACTTGAAAATGGAAATTCATCATCATTTTTAATTAAATTCCAACATTGTTTAAAGGTCTCTATTCTTTCTTGTTTTAATTTTTCAATAAATTGTAAATAGCCTTCATAGTCAAAGTTTATATTGTTTTGAGCATCTTTTAATGAATTTGGTGATATACTTTGATCCATTCCAATTTCTTTACAATAATATTTTAATGCTTTTGATTCTATGAAATGAGTTTTTAAATTTGCCCATTTGAATATCATTTCATAAATTTTACATTTTTCATACATTGTTGGATTTATATTATATAAATTCTGAAATTTATTTATAAAATTTATAGTTTGATAAAATTCAAGGTTTAAAATTAAACTTTGAAATAATGCAATGAGAAATTTAACATCAGGGAATAATTTATGAGTCGAATCAAGTATTGTTCCTGTTCTTTCACCTTGAGAATTTATACCCAATATAATTTCCAAATATGAGAATAAATTTTTTAATTGTTTTGTATATCCAAAGTAATAAACCACTGAGATATGAAAATCTAATGATAAATCTGATTTATTGGGTATGCAATTAATATCAAGAAATGTTTTGTTATTTCTATAATAACAGAATTTATTATTTATTCTTAAATCTGATAATTCTCTATTAGGATAAATATCCCAAATTCTAAAATCACCCAAATTTTCAAGTTTCATAATTAATTCCCACAATTTAGAAGTAATTTGATCTTGATTGTATTGTTTTTGAAATTTTTTTAACCAAAATGAAGCTAAATCTGGCTTAAAATTGTTTAATTCAAATTCAATTAAATTTTCATAATCTGAAATCAACAAATTTTGGACTTCTTTAAATTTCTTTGATTTATCATATAAATGTGAATCATCATTGAATATTAGTCTATTGTAAATCTTTCTAATATTATCCCTAACTTCTTTATGTGTGATTGGTAAGTTTTTATCTATACTCTTTTGTAATTTCACTCGATTTAATGATTTTAGAACTGGTGATATTTTATAATTTGCAATTAAATTCTTTTTATAATTTGAGATTATCAAGTTTAAATAATATGATATTTGTGACCTACCTAATGTTCCAATCATGGCATCAAGATTAGATTCACTCCAAGCATTGAAAACAACACACAAATTTTTAAAATCATAATTTTCAGCTAATTTGATAATTTCTTGTTTAATCTTTAATTCATTATTTTCTGATTTTGAAATCTTAGAACAATTGATTGAGCTGATATTATATGATTCTGTTAGTTTAGTAGATGGTAAATTCGATACATATTGTTGAATTTTAGGATATGCCGTGGTTGACCTTGTTTTTTGGTTTATGAGTATATTTGTTGATGCTTCCGAAATTGTGGTTGAAATATCTTCATTATTTAATGACACAGAACATGAAGAGTAATTGGAGTTGGTTTTCACTACTTTTTCAATCAATTTTATACCATTATTACCCCTTTGTATTAACATTCTTTTTGGTCTTAAGATCAAATAAAAAAATTTTCAGAAAAAGACCAAGCGAATAAAATAACCGTCGAGTGTCGTGTCGAAAAATTTAGATGACATTGAAATTGAAGTTATAAAAGTATGAGTTATAAGACATTGCAAGACACTTTTACAAATTCAGTAGATAGAGACGCAATTCTACAGATATTCTTTTTGAAGAAGTAAAGCTTGTTGTCGAAAACTGACGCGAAATCAATAAAATCAAGCTTTGATCACTGTTCAAAACCATGTATTTCTCTAATAAATAAACAAATATATTATAATTTCATACTGTTTCTTGTAATATTAACAGCATTATAATCAGCAATTTGTTTTAAACCAGCTTCATGATTTACACCATCTAATTGATCTTGAATGCATTTCTTTGTACCTTTAATAGCCCATTGCGGATGACCAACAATCTTTTCACCCCATTCTTTTGCCAATTGAATACCTTCGTCAACTGATTTAACAACTGTTGAAACATAACCTAATCTGTAAGCTTCATGAACATCAAAAACATCACCTAATAAAGCATGTTGATATAAAGCAGATTTATTATTTATAATATGAGGTAATCTTTGTAATGAACCCATATCAGCAGTAATACCAATATTGACCTCAGCAATTGAAAATCTTGCACCTTCAACACCAATTCTAATTGAAAATGCTGATGCTAAATCTAATGCTAAACCATAGTTTATACCATTTAAAATTCCAATAGTTGGAGTATTAATTCTTGTTGGAACTGTAACAGCATTTTGAAAATCAATTATATGATCATATAATTGTTTTATAGCTTCTTTTTCAGATGTTGTATTACTTGATTTAATTTGCTCCATGGCAGTTTTTAAATTCAAACCTGAACTAAAAGATCTTTCAACACCGGATGAAATTAAAATTAACTGAGAATCTTCTTCTTTATCTAATCTTGTTAAAATATCTCCATAATCTCTCCAATTTTGTTCAGTGAAAGCATTTAATGATTTTGGATTAGTATATTTAACATGAATAAAACCAGGTTCAATCTCTTCAATAGTGAAAAATTCGTATTTTTGATAGGATTTAGCATCAAAAGTCATCGTTTACAGCTAGAAATAGTTAAAAACGTATAAATTAATTGTGGTAAATTATCACTATTTATATATCCAGCGGTTTCAAATATCAAATATGGAGTAGTGTGTGGGGTTAAATTTATTTCTATCAGTTGAAAGTTGAACAAAATTGTCACAATAAATCCGACACGAACGCTACCATGTTTCAGGTTGCAAACTGTTAATGATTAGATAAATATTATTTATGTATTTGAAATAAAGCTATAAAACAATCCTTATGTGAGACCATAACCATTTCTTTTAGCGTTGGTCTTTTCAAATTTTGCTTTCAACTTACGTTCTACTTTCGTGCTTAAGCCGCAACGTAAGTTAAATCCTTTTAAATTCTTTGAAAGTCTAAAACTTTTATCAAAATCTAAAATACTCGAATATAATGACAAGTATTCTAAACTCGTTGGAAATTTGATAACTACCTATCTATTATTTTCTATACTTTATATTTACCAGTTGAATTTACAGCTTCATCTTTATCAACTAATTCAATACCTTCAATTATTTTCTCTTTAATTAATTCTATTGCATCTTGTATGCTTTTATAAGTTAATCCCTCAAGTAATAAATATAATTTCGGTGGTTGATCATTTGTAGGTACTTGATTCAATTGATAAAATTGACCTTTTGTAGTAATTGAAGTTTTTGAAACCTCTAATATCTTACTTAAATTCTCTCTTTGAACTATATTCCATCTTACTTTTTGTGGCAAATCATTAATTGTAATTTTACAATAAAATTTACATTTATCTGGACCTGAAGTTTCTCCTGAGTTACCTTCAATTATATTAAACTCAGGTAAATCAAATGAAGGTGTAGATTGTTTAGATTTCAAATCTGGTTTATTATTAATTTCTTCATCATTAGTTTCTCCGTAAATTTGTTTTTCAAGTTTTAACTTTGATTCCCTAATGTCTTGTAAATTATCTAAACCTTTACCTCCAAAACCAAAATTAAATTTCTCTTTACCTGATTTGACTTTTGATAAGAACTGATTGTTAATTTCTAGTAATTTTGGATCAATTTCTTGTTCACTTAATGTTAAAGCTTTAACTAAGCTTGAAATTTCCTTTTGCTGATTTTTGAAAACAAATGTAATTGATTCTCCAAATTGTCCTGCTCTACCAGTTCTACCAACTCTATGAACATAATCTTCTAAATGATTAGGTGGATCAAAATTAATAACTAAATTTAAATTTTTAACATCTAATCCTCTCGCAGCTATTGAAGTTGCGATTAAAAGATCTTTATCATTGGAAGGATCTGAAAACTCTTTAATTGCATATTTTCTATCAATTTGTTCCTTACCTCCATGGATAGAAACGCAAGCAAATCCTTTCTTCATTAACTTAATTTGTAATTCATCACAATCATTCTGCTTTTCAACAAAAATAAGTACCTTACCATGACCTTTGAAATCAGTTAATATCTCAGTAAGTTTATCAAATTTCTCTTGTTGATAATTTGATTCATCTTCAAATAGTATAATCGTTTGACTTATCTCCTTTGCAACTATGCTTACACCACCAACTATAATTTTAACCGGATCAGTCAATAATTTCTCAGCCAATATTTCCATTTTTTTAGGTAAAGTAGCTGAAAATAATATAGTTTGTCTATTTGGTCTAATTTGGGTGAAAATTTTTGTAACTTGTGGTTCAAAACCTAGATCAAACATTCTATCAGCTTCATCGATAACAACATAGGTACATCTTTTCAAATTTGTTAATCTACTACTATTTGCAGCTAATAAATCAATGATTCTACCTGGAGTACCAACAACAATTTCAACACCTTTTTTCAATTCATTAATTTGTGTTTCAATATTTGAACCACCATAACAGCAACAAACTCTTAATTTCTTTTCTTGTTTAGTAAATTGTAGAATCTCTTTTTGAATTTGTATTGCTAATTCACGTGTTGGACTTAAAATTAAAGCAATTGGACCTTCTCCTTCTTTTAAAGGTCTTTGATCTTGAACATGTCGTAACATTGGTAAAACATATGATAATGTTTTCCCAGAACCAGTTTTAGCTACACCTATTAAATCCCTTCCTGACATAATTGTAGGTAAAGCCTGTGCTTGGATACTTGTAGGTGAAGCAAATTGTAATTTATTAGTAATAACCTGATATAAATTATTCGGTAATGATAAATGAGACCATTTTAAAATTGGATTTGGAGGATTATTTCCTTTAACTGACAAACCATCTAGCTCTAATCTAATCTGATCAATTGCTTTTGGAGATAACTTGGACATCTCATAAGGTTCTTGATAAAAAACTTTATTGAATGGTTCATAATTTTCCTTTGAATGATCAATTTCCTGAAGGTTTTTTGTTTTATTTTGTAATTTGGTTAATCTATTAGCTAATAAGTCATCAAAATCATTTTCATCATCTAAATCATCTATATTTTCATCTTCTTCTCGACTTAAATGGTATTCTGATTCTTTAATTTCTTCATCATTTAAAGTTTCTAAGAATTTGTCTACGTCATCCACATCATTGTCATTATCTTCAGTATCATTAAAATCTAAGCTTGGCTTTTTAAATTTTGGTTTTAAGTTACTTTCAACATCATCTTGAAACATTGGCCTTGCCCTCTTTTTCAAAATCGAAGATGTTTCTTTAATTATTGTTTTTTTCTTGTTTATACTTATTTTGGTTTTGATATTGTTCTCAACAGTTGGAGTTGGAGATTTTTCTTCACTCTTATTTAGCTGTTTGGATTTCTTCCATTGCTCAATACGTTGTTGACGTATCTTTTTAATATCCTCATTATCATCTTGTTTCACATCTTCATTCCTTTCTTGCTCCTTCTTCTGTCTCCATAATAACAACTGTTCTCTTCTCTTTCTTAATTTCTCCTCTTTGGATTCATTGTTAGTATTATTATCATTGCTTTGTGTCATTTAGTTACTATACCTTTATCTTTTGATAAAGAGATGAATAGAAAAAAATGCTACCAAATAAAATTTTACGATCTACGAACCTTTGAAAATACAGATAATTTCAAATATATATTATCTATAATGCTGTTGTGACAGTGACAGTTTGTGAATTTACCAATAGCACCGGTGGTAAGTTTTCCATCCAAATTGCTAAATTATTAGTATATTCAAAAGCATCATTATCATGCAAATGTGTTCCCATTGAAGGAGCGGGTAAAGTACTGAAAATAACGTCTGTTTTATCTTTTACTGAATGTTTAAGCATTAACTCATTCAAAACTATATGTTGACCCTTTGCTGGTAGGCCATTAAATGTTAAACTTTTAAGTTCTTCTTGTAACTGTTTTTTAGTAATTGTTTTATCTGAAGTATATTGAGATTTTCTCGCGTAATGAGCAGCTGATGATAATGGAGAATTTAATGATAATTTTGGTGGATCAATTAAATCATCATCAGCTATTAAAAATTGTGGTGTTGAAATATGTTTAATTACTTCATCATCATTTACAATTAAACTACTCTTTTGTCTTGATTTTGATCTCAATGATGGTCTGGTTGTAATAGCTTGCTCTTCTTCATCTTGTTCTTTAAATTTAATTGTATGTCTACCTCTGGAAGTACCTTCTTCTTCATCTTCGTCTGCATCACCATCTTCTTCTTCATCATTAATTTTTGGTATCTTAACTGACAGAAAATTTGGTCTTAAATTAGAAACTGATGATCTTATTGAAACTTGATCTGGTGATTTCATACCAGATTTATTTAACGTGATAGTCGATGATATTGACCTAAGATAATCGCTATCATCATCTTCTTCACTTGCTTCACTGTATTCATCATCATACAAAAAGTCACCACCTTTACCTTGATATTTAAATGATAACGACATTCCTTGATCATGTAAACCGGATAATGTGTATCTTCTCGGGTTTTTCAAACTTTGACCTAGTAATTGTGGTGGGCTAGTGCTTGATAAACCTAACGTTTGAAAAGTTTCAGGTAAATCAACTCTAGAACTTGATTTACTAAGAGGGATAACTTTCAGTTTTTGTTTTTTCAACGTCTTTCTTTTTTCAATTTCTCTTAATGTGGATCTTGCTTTACATAAATTCTTCCACCATTGATCATGACAAAGAATATTATCAACTTTATTATATAAAATTTGATTTTGTTTGGTAAACCCTTTAATCATATAATTATAAGAATCTAAATTTTCCAATTCTAGACAAATAATTTTTATTTCTGCATCTATTCTCAAACTCAGTAACAATTTATTTAATCTTTCATTCTCATCATTTATTTCAGTTTCAAATTCAACAAACACAATAACCCTGACTTTATGATTAGTTAAATTCCATTCGTCAGTAGTTGATAAAATCGAACCCAATTGCAAAATTAATGTATATGTATCAAAGTTTGTCAGTAACACAGATTGCCCATCTTTTAATTGATTAATTGAAGACATTTGAATAGGATATAAATCAATATACTTAAAATCTTCATGATGCAACATTTGCCGCTTTCTAGTAAACCAATTATTAGAATGTGTAAATTTTGGTAATTTTAAAGTTTTAAAATTTGCTGCAACTGCAACTGTAGCTTGTAAAATTATCAAATCTTCAACAATTTGAACCCATTGATTTATTGATACTTTCTTTTCCTTTCTACAATAATCAGTTGGTAGTTGATCAATACATTTATCTGATGAATCAAAACTTTTTGGTATTACTGGCATTTCAATACCATGTTTTTCAAAATCATAAAAACCTAAAACTGTTATATTTGGTCTCATACCACCTAAACCAGAACCCAAATAAACATTACGAACTCCCCATGGTAATGTTGGACCTAATGCAATTTGAACAAATGCTTTAATTTTAGACATATCTCTAGTTTTCACCCATGCTTGTTTTTGTTTTCTTACTTCCTGATATGTCGAAGCTGAAAATACACTAGAATTTTTATCATTATTTGATGATGTATTTGTATCATCATTCATTAATACAACATGACCCAAAACATAAAGACCCCCTTTTTTCAAATGATTACAAAATCCAATTAAATTCCACGAAGTTCTTGGATTATCACAAAGTAATAATATTTGTGGTCTCCAGTATTTAACACTCATTTCCAACTTTAATCTTAATAAATATTTTCTAACCTGATGATAAATTAACAATTGTGATATATCACCGAATTTAGATGGTGGAGTTGAATAATGTATTAATAAAATTAAAACTGTTAAACAAAATAACACCAAAGTTGCAGATATTCCATCAACTATAAACATGGCAATAAAACAAACCATTGCTCCTAATCCAGCAGTTCTTGTACTAAAGTATTTAAAAGATGGTCTGAAATTTGGTGCCGAACCAAGACGTAATAAGAAACATGCAATATTTGTAACGATAAACGTCATTAAAAAAGCCATTGTGATAAATGTTGCAATTTGATTTATGTCAGAAAATAAGAAAATTTGAGCAATAAAAAATACAGCGATAATGGAGTATATCTGTGCCTTCTTTTTATCTGTTGATGATTTTTTTGAAGTTGTGAAAATTGATAAACCTGGTATTATCTTATCATCTGCAATTGCATTAATCATTGTAGCAGCACCGACAATACCCATAATCACTGAAAACAATGAAGTTGAAAATTCACCTGCAATGATAATAGAACTTGATAAATTAACAGTTTGAATAACTTTAATATCCACATGTAATAAATCTCTCGGTATTGCAGCTCCCATAGATAATATAACCAATGAATATAATAAAAACGTAACAAATAAACCTTTGAGTGTACCATTTGGTATTGATTTTGATGGATTTTTCAACTCTCCTGACATTGAAGCACCAGCTAAAATACCAGCAGTTGCTGGGAAAAAGATACCAAACATATCTCTAACCGTTTCATGTTGATCAGGTGGTAAAACTGAACCTGCAGCTCCACTTGTAAATTTTGGATATAAATTTTCCAACCATGTTTTCCATGATAAACCAGTATATAGTATATTATTAAATGGTGGTTCTAATGGATAATAAGGTTTAACAAATAATGTTGATATGGGAATTGACAACGTACTAATAGTCAATATTATAAATAAAAAAAATGCAGTTTTTGAAATTAATGATGAGCCAACCATGGCAATAATTGTACATATACTTAATAAAATTGTTGAATAAAAAACATTCCAAACATATCCAGTTGGTAAAAGTTGATATAAATCACCTTCATTATAGCCAAAATTAACTAACAAAGGCTCAATAAAACCAACAACATTTAATGAACTATTTAAAATTTGTCCAATTACAAATATTATACCAATGGCACCACCAAATTCTGGACCCAAAGATCTCGAAATCATATAATAAGCACCACCACCTTTAACAGTACCATTTGTTGATATAGCACTGATTGACAATGTAGTTAATATATCTATGGAATATGATAAAATTAATAAACCCATGGTACCAAGTATACCCATTTGACCAATTATAAAGCCAAATCTTAAAAACATTAATATTGATAGCACATTGAGTGATACCGGTAGAAAAACACCATCAAAAGTACCTAAATTTCTTTGAATAGGATCATTCTTTTTGTTAGATTTTGATTTCTCATTGTAAGTTGATTTGTTTGTTGATAGTAAGTATGAAGTTTCAGTTTGATCATTTTCGACTTGATTAGCAGAATTATCAAGCACTGACATCAGTTAATTTTAGTTCTTTCGTATATTTTTTTCCCCCTTCGGTCGCAGTTTGCTGTAAATCACACGTTAAAATTTGGCTGCAAAATAATAAAGAATAATCATCCTTTATATCTCAATTAGTTGATTGTAGATGAAACAAATGGTTTCTTATAGAGAAATTGCTCCTTTTTACATAAATCTGATCTTAGATAGGAAAAAGCCACGAACTAGACAAAGCTGGATCATTCTATCTACATACAAACCTGAACCATTTAGGATTGCCTTAAAAGTAGACAAATAATTCGGTAAAAAAGCTAAGAGTGAAATCTATAAATTGTGCTTTTTAGCTTCTAATGAGCTTGCTGTGTAACATTTGGACTTAATTGCTCCAAACTGAATTATGCTAAAACGCTTCAAAAGTGATGAAGTGGGCTCCACAAATCCTCTTTTAATGCGATCATGAAGCTAAGTTGCTTTATATTAGTTTGGTGTAATTTGGTTTCCATATATTGTTCGTAACCAACAAGCTACTAAATTGGTACGGGCTGGATTCACAACTTGCGCGATAAATAATATTGTCGCACCAATTTAACGCATTGAAAAATACATACTTTCTTGTTTAATTGTTTAATTCCAAAACAAATTTGACTTATATACAGTCTTGACATAATTAATCTCAAACCTTAAATTGTAAATAACTCTCTGAGTATTGAAGCTTTTTTCATTGAAACTTCGATTTGTTTAAAGTAAGCCGATAATGAAATTTTGAGAAACGATATAATTCTGATTGATCCATTAATTATCTAAAAATGCAAAAAAACGTTAAATTGCAACATTATCAACACTTAGACCAAGTTTACTGACTTCTGTTATAGCTGATCTGGCTAAATCGACCCCTAATATTGTATACATGAAGTTTTTAAGGAGTCAAAATCAATTTGAAATTTTTTCAAACATTTCGATCAATGTCCGAAAAATTACTTTTCGAATTTTAAATACCTTCCCACAAAAAATCGCGAGATTTATCATGGTCCAAAACTACAAATTCTGATACTGTTGTCATATTCCAATTTGGAATTCGAATGTGGAATCAAATTTTTTGTAAGATCAATTTATTCAGATATCCCCATACTAAAGTGATATTTTTTTTGAAATTTTTGAATTTTAGGTAGAGTAGACAAATTTAAGCTCTGTACATTTTTTCAAGATCCAATAAATATAATACGCTAATTAATCAAAAGTTTTCGTCGTAAATAAAAAGATACATTGATTTACATTTTTCGAAAAATTTTGGTATGATGAAAAAAGGGCAAAATTACAACCTAGGTAAAAAATGTTCAAAATTTGGAGCTTAAAGTGTTTAGGGTATACAATTTAAGACTCCTGATCTTACTCAATGAGACTTATCTTGTGACAATGTGTTATTCTGTATGTATAAGCCAAAATATCTTCCACGAGTCGCCCTAAAGCTAGCGCGAGCAATCATCTGATTCGCGTTTTCAACGGGCGCAAGATATCCTTTCATTGTCAAAAATATGAACGACTAAATTATTCAATTAAAAACAAATATTAGGTTTTTTCTAAAAAAGCGATAAATTCTGATATGCTCAATTAATCAAGATTAATTCATAGTGAGCTCTATAGTTTCTTTTGGGGTTATCTTAAAATTATTTAAAATATTAGAATTAACAGTCTCATCTATTAAAAGTAGTTAATTCCGATGACAGATTCTATCCATTAGTATAAATCAAAGTTATTGGAGATATTTGTCCAACATTTATAACTTGATTGATATTATAAGATCTTTGAAATAGAAAGGAACTTACTTAAAGTTGCATTAAATAATAGATTGTCAGTTTTCGATCATTTGTCCGTATTATTAATTATAATAAAGCATCCAACGGATAATCTCTTTTACGGAAGATAAGCTTCCAAATTTATTGATAAAATGGAACCTTCAGTTTATTCACATTTAATCGTTTTATCGTTTAAATATCGTTTAATGCGTCTGCATCTCGTTTGAAAACAAGACAAGACTTCACCTGATTACCCCCTTATTGTTCGCTCAAAATATAGAATTGAAGCTTTAGAGCATAGCCACAATTAACAACTATTGGCCAATTTTCTACATTGATTAATGGTTATAATTATTCGGTATAACTGTTTATCGTTATTATAATTTCGTTAATCAGGAAATCACGCAACGGCAAGAAAGAAAAGATAAAAAAAAAAAAAAAAAAAAAAATACTATAAAATAAATTCTGAAATAGATACAATTTTTCACTTTATTTATAATTCAACAATAAATAACCAGTATGTTTAGAATTATAAGTCATAATGCCACCCAACAGGGTTTAAAACCATCGTTAATATCGAAGATTAAAAATATTTCATTAGCATCGTCAAGTCAAACAACTGCAACAACACCAGCTTCTCAACCTACTCCATTATATCAGTTTAATAGACAAAATTCAAATATTGCTTCATCGATTCCACAAATTAATAACCAAATCAAAGATGGAGAATCACCAATTAAGCATCATTATAAACCACATAGGATATCTACATATACAAACAAAGAGTGGAATAAAACTATTAAAAATGAAAGAGTTGTTGAAGATGAATACATAAAGAGCTTTTTAAAATTATTAGATAAAGAACCAGCATTAGTGAAAAAGGAAGATTTGTATCATTATTCAAATAATTTATTCACCACGGCTTTAAATTTAAGAAGAAATAGATTATCAGGTAGTAGAAATAGAGATAAAGATGATTTTAGAGGTGATAAAGATGATATATTAGTACAAAAAGCATTATTACATTTGACGGAAGTTATTGCAGATGGTAAATTAAATCATATATTAAGTCCTCATTCTTTGTTTAAAATATTTTCCACGTTATTACAATATAGTTTAGATAATGAAATTATTAATTTATGGGAACAAGGAGTTTCGTTACCAGATGAAAAAATTGGTAAATATTACTTATCACATCAAGTTTTATCAGTTGTTATTCAAGTAGCTTATAAAAGCAAAAAATTTCAGTATGACGAAATAAAAAGTATATACGATATGAGTACAAATGAATCAGATCAAATTCATCCATTTTTAATTGATCAAATGGGTCAAATTGCCATAAGTGAAGGTGATTATAATAGAGGTTTAGATGCAATTGAAACTTTAATGAATTCATATGAAAAAACTCCAGGTTTTACTCCTATTTTAGGTGGATTAGCTCAATTACATTTAAGTTTCATTGGAAATTGTAAAGATTTATCAATAAGTAAAAGATTTTTTGAAAAAGCATTGAATAGTACTCAAGGGTTACCTTATTTAGTTACACTAAAAGCTCCGTATATGGTTCAATTTTTAAAAAACTGTGAAGAACAAGGTGATTCGTTTGATGAAATTTTAAATCTTTGGACTAGAATAGCTAAAGATTATTATGATAATGAAAAAGATATGACTGCAAAGATTGCTAGTGTAAATAATGCATTTTTCAAAATATTTTTTAAAAGATTCCCTGAAATTAATGATGAAGCATTAGAACAATTAAAGATTATATTTCAAAAAACACCAAAAATTGATCAAGTATTTTTAAATACTTTAATTTCACAATTTAGTTACCATGATAAAGAATTATTTGAAGATATTTTAACTAGTTATGATAGATTTGATGTTCCAAAATCACTTGTTACAGAAAGAATTGTATTGAAGAAAGCTGGAGAAATTGATTTTTCAGTTGAAGAAATTTTAAACAAATGGAACAATGTTTTGAAAACTTTGGATTCTGAAGGTATGACATATATTGCAAATGCAGATTGGTCAGCAATTAGACAAGCAACCGTATTATCAGAAACTCAAAAATCAAGTGAAAGAGATGGATTGTATTATTCAATTGTTAAAGCTTATAAAAATTATATGCAAAATGATGATGCTGCTTTGAAATCATTAAGAATGTGGATTAAAATACCTGATATATATAAAGTAATGTCAACTATAACATCAGAAGAAGATCCAATAATTGAAAATGAAGTTCAAATTATAAAACCACAATTCAAAAATTTAAGAGAAAATATAAATTATAGAGCAGTTACCAAAAAAATAGTTGATAGTAAACCAAGATTATTAGAATAGATGAGGGATAATTATGATTTTAATGTTAATATGTAAATCTGTATATAGAAATTGATTAAACGATATTTTAATTTTTAAGCGGTATTTTTTAAGTTCTACTCCTTTTTTTTCTCCAGATTTACACCACCAAAAAATTAATTGGTCTGTATGATTTAATATGGGTAATCATGTATCGAAAAGCAGAAAGAATAAAATGACGACAACAACGACAGCTAAACCTACTAAAACTACAACTAAAAGTACTGCAAAACAACCAACTAAAACCAAATCAGTTCCAGCATCTAAACCAGGATCAAAACCTCAAGTTTCACCAGTTCAACAAAATAAAAAACAACAATCACAATCACAACAAAAATTCAAACTGGAATCAAGATCATTAAGTCAACAAGGTGAAGGTAATAGTACCTCTAATGGTTTATCAGCAAGAGAAGCAAGTGCAAAAGCAGCAGAAGAAAGATATCAAAAATTACATCAACAAAAAGTCGGTCAAAATGATAGATTAAGAAGTAAATCAAAGCAATCAAAAGCTGAAAAGAATTTATAAATGAACACTGACTATAGAATACTATATAGATTTGAATATTATATGTTTGGTATAAATGGTAGTGTACTTTGTCGCATGGCCAATTTATAATTTTGCATCTTTTTAAACTTAACTCACTAACTTCTTTATTCATAGAATCAATATATAACACTCATGGGCAAATCATTTTATGCTATTGAACAAGAGAAAATCAAATCAATTATTGAAATACCATTATTAGAATTAGTTCTAACATTTCTACCTCATTTACAACCTAATCAAACTTTAATCAATGATACCTGGGAAATAATAGCCATTAAATTGAATAATACAAGGTTTAAGGATCTAATAGCAACGACGGAGAAGACGATAGATGATATTGAATCATTACCTGAATTAAATGGAGTATATTTGAAAGATTATTATGACGAATTATACTCCAAATTCAAAGGACGATTAATTTTTAAACTAACTTATAGACCAAATGAACCAGCTCATAATAAACGAGATACTTTAATATGGAAAACTAAATCAGATGCAATTTTATATGAGTTGAGTAAAATTGAATATGCCAATTTTGAAATAATGTCGACATTGGCGAGAGAAAGACTAGAAGAAGCATATAGATTAGACTACAAAGAGTCATACATTGAAAATGACAAACTACATGAAGAAGAAGAAACTAAGGAAGAAATATTTGACTCGAAGGAAACTCTTGAAAATTATAAAACCCTAGCATTAAAAGAGAAGAATCAATTATTATTAAAAGAAATAGAGAAGAAAGATAAGAAAATGAATCAGATTAATACTGAAAATGAGCGATTACTATCCTTGAATCATCAGTTACTTGAACAAATGAAATAAAGTCAATAATAAATATAAAATTACCCCTTAACAATTACCTCTTAAAGTTTAATCGTGTATTAATCTCAATTTTAATTTGAAAAAAAAAAAAAATATTAACTAACTTATATATAAACAGTTTATAATTCATGGATGCAAGAGTTCCATTATCACATTCCTTATGGTCACCTTATGATACAGTGAAAGATGCTGCTGATAGTTTAGGAATTAATTTACCAGATGAAGCTGCTAAGAACCTAGCAATGGATGTTGAATATCGAATTCATGAAATTTTAGAATTATCAATCAAATTCATGAGACATTCAAAAAGAAAATTATTAACTACTTCAGATATATCTCAAGCATTAAAAGTATTGAATGTTGAACCATTATATGGATATGATAATTTTCAACCTTTAGATTTTAAAGAAACAATGGTTGGTGCTGGTGGTCAAACATTATATTATATAGATGATCATGAAATTGAATTTGAGAAATTAATAAATCAAGAATTACCTAAAGTTCCAAGACAAACTACATTTACTGCCCATTGGTTAGCTGTTGAAGGTGTTCAACCAATGGTGCCACAAAATCCATTACCACAAGATATAAAAAATTTACCACCAATAATGAGGGGTGCTACTTCGTCTATATTAGGTAATGATATTTTGAGTCTTGCTAATAACACAACCACCGATGAAAAGAAAGAAGGTAAAGATGAGAAAAAGAAGACAACAGATAAAGAACTTCAAAATAAACCATTAGTCAAACATGTATTATCCAAAGAATTGAAGTTATATTTTGATAAAGTGGTTGAAGTTTTAGTTTCCCAAGATCCAGAGAAGGAAAATTTGAAAAATGCAGCTTTGACTTCACTTAAAAATGATCCTGGTTTACATCAATTAGTCCCTTATTTTATTCAATTTGTAGCTGAACAAATTACAAATCAATTAAGAAATATAAATATCCTAATGACTATGTTAGAAGTAATTAGTGCTTTAGTTGATAATAAGACAATCTTTTTAGATCCATATGTACATGCATTAATGCCATGTATTTTAACATTATTATTAGCTAAAAGAATAGGACCAATTATTAAAGATACAGACAGTGAAGAAAATCAGCACTTGTTGGAATCACAATTGTCAGTTAGAGAATTTGCTGCAATTATGTTGGAACATATAATTAAAATTTATGGTAATTCTTATACCACTTTAAGACCAAGAATCACACGTACTTTATTAAAAGCATTGTTAGATTCTACTAAACCAATAGGGACACAATATGGTGCATTATTAGGATTGAAAAATATGGGTAATGAAGTTATAAAATTAGTATTGATTGGGAATTTGAAAATTTGGTACAAGACAATAATTGAAACTAATGAAAATGAATTCGAGAAAAATATACTTATAAATACGGTATTGGAAATATTGAGGAAATTAAAAGTTGAAATTAAGGGTGCTGATGAAGATGAAGATATGGATAAAGATGTTCTGGAAGATATTAAATCTAAATTGATTGAAAGAATAGGTGAGCCATTATCTAAACTTATACTTGAACAAGATGATTCAAAAGAGATAATACGAGGAATATTTTTTGGTGAAATAAGTGTATAAATTTAAATGTAACACTATTTTATTTCTAATTTTCGTGGTTTTATTTCATCTGAATCGTAATCATTATCGTTATCGTCATCAGTTAAAATTGAATAAAATGGGGATGATTGAATTGGGTCACCAGGTTTGGGTTTTTTAGTAGGTGATGAATTGATTAGTTGATTCGGAGTTGAGTTTATTATCGCTGTGTTTCGTTTGACTGGAGTAGCTTCAATTTCAATTTTTTTATTAGAACTACTTGGTTTTATGAATCGATCATGTTGTGGAGTTGCTTCAATTTGTGAAAATGATTTTGATTTAATCATTGGTTTTGATTTTTGTGGAGTTGATTCAATTTGTGAATATGATTTGGGTTTACTTGGAGTGGATAGTATATTTTTCATTGATTTTGATCTTTTAGCTTGTGTGAATATATTTTGTGAATCGACAAATGAAACTTCGACTTCTTTCTTAGATGATTCTTTAAGATTTAAATCTATTTGTCTCTTTGATAAGTTTTTGGAACTGAGGTTCGATTTTGATTTTTTTAAACTTGGTATTTTAGATTGATATTCTTCACTTAAACTAGTTGATTTTTTCAAAACTGGTGGTGGTTTATTAAGTAACATTTTTTTATACTTACCATTCGAACTTTTAGAATCAGTAGTAGTTTCAGCATCTTCTTCTTCATGATCTTTCTTTCTTTTACTCGTAGTTAATTTCATATTTGAATCTTTCATTGAATCAACTAAGTACTTAGTCAAAACTGGTAGTCTCTTATTGTAATATGGAACTAGGACATACCCCATGTATTCGTAAGTATGATTTCTTTTTGATAATGTATCCCATAAACTTAATCTATCAATTAAATTATTCATAAACATATATAGAGCAAAATTGAAGTCTGATGGAGGTTTAATATCAATTTGAAAACTACCAGTCCCAAGAAAAGTAGGTACAATTTTCTCCTTGTCTTTCTTCTTATCCTTTTTTTTAATTAGGTGCTTAAACTGTTGTTTTTCTAGTTTTTTCAAATGCTTTTCATATTTGGTTCTGTTTTCCAGTAGAAATTCATTTTCATTTTTGTTCATTAATGATAAATATTCCAATATGAGTATAATTTGTAACTGGCCCTCTCGTATCTTTAGATCAGTTAATAGTTGTGGATTAGGAATCTCTAGTATTCCATCCTTAAGCTTTATGTCATATTTTTGCATAAATAAATCAATTTGTTCAGATTCGTACTCATTAATTGAGTCAGTTTTCTTTAGTATTCCTTCATGTCGTTTATCAAATCCATCAATTGTCAATATAAGTTCTTTTAGTATGTCTATTTGATCTTCTTTCGAGCTCGTCATGTTTTTGAACCTTATTAAACAAGTTTTCGGAAAATAATTTAATGGAGTTTTCAATAGATACAACGTGTGGTAATATTTCAAATTAATGAATGATTCCGGATCATCAATTTCTTTATTTGGTGGATCCATTGAAAATTTTAAAGGAGTATTATCTGTTATTTTTAAAGATGCACATTTTGATATTAGATCACTTGGTTTTGAGATGTCAAAATATGGTTCAACAGCTTCTGACTCTTTTGGTTTTGAATCTATCTTGAGTATTCCATATAATTCAGAACTTATAGGTATTAGAACTCCATATTGTTTCGAAGATATTGCATCATTTGATATTTCAATAAGGTGCGGCTGGGGCAATTTAGCATTCAATTTCGCTAAATATAGATTATCGTCATTTGATGATAGAATATTTGAGTTCTCATTAACAGATATACCTTTCATATTAACCTCATTTGTTATAGGATGTAGTATTTTAATATTTATATTGACATTATGTTTTTTATCTTTAACATTAAACATTGACCATAATAAATTTTTTTAAAGCGCGTTTCAGAATTTAATGGTCTCAGAATTGTATATTTATGTATTTAACCATTCATGTTCAACTATATCTGCTATAGTAGGTCTACAATCCACATTTCTATTCAATATCCTTTTTATTAAATTTATAGATTGATCACTTACAATATATGGAATTCTTAAATCTCCTTCCATAATTTCATCAACATTATAAAATGGATTTTCCTTATACAACATAGTATATAATAAAATCCCCAATGCCCAAATATCTTGTGGTTTACCGTGATATTTCTCACCTTTTAAAACTTCAGGTGATGCATAATCTATTGTCCCCACAAACACATCAAATGGACCTTGTTTTACATATCCAGCAGATCCAAAATCAATCAATTTAATAATTCCCTTTTCATCTACAATTATATTCTCATCTTTAATATCTCTGTGAACTATTCCTTGTTTATGTAAATGATAAATTGCAGACACAATTTGTTTAAATATAAACTTACATTCATATTCTCCTAAATCTTTTTTAACTTCAATAAAATCAAATAAATCAATAGCTGGTGGATTTCCAAAAATTGGTGTCTCAAGATAATAATATTTCAGATCTTCGAAAAAATCAATTATTCTCATTATGTTTGGATGTGGCTCACTATTTAAAAAAGCCATAATTTGAATTTCAGATGGAATTGTACCTAATTTTCGATCTCTAACCCAAGTATCAACAAGAATACGTTCCTTATCAATACATTTGATGATGATTTTATATAATGGATCTTCTTTATGTTGAGCAAGTACTACTTTTCCATAAGCACCTTCACCCATTTCTTTCAACACTTTAAATTCTGAAAATTGTTTATTTCGACGTATGAGACCAACTTCTTTTGGCCATTTTTTGGACTCGTTTTTCAACTTCTCTAGTGAATCATTTTCTAACTTTAATATATCATCTTCAGGATAGGTATTAGATATAGAAAAACCTGTATCATTTCCTATCTTTTCTTCATTTTCTAAAATTCCGCTTGTATTGATTGAATCTTTATCGTAATTATAACTAGATACTTTTTCTAATGGGACCATAAATGATGAATTTGTCTTTACTCTTCTAGTACTTGATGCTCTTGTGATTTCTCTTGGTGAAAATTCCAACAAATCATTTTCTTTATTATTATCAAATAATTTTGATTGTGAGGGTACGATACTATTATTAGTTGATGTACGTTCATGTTTCAAATTATCTTCTATTTTATTACTTGAATTATTCTTTGTATGTCGTTTATTTAAAGATAATGATGAAGTTGAAGAATTGGATAACTCTTCTAAATCTTTTGAAAATTTATTTTCTCTATTATTTCTTGAATATGTTATCCATATAATTAATGTATCATGAGATGAGGCACGTAATTGAACATCAACGTATATGATTTTACCATCTCGGTGTAGACCTTGAATCCCACACGAATTGAAAAATATAGATTCTTCAGTCACATTTTGATATTGTTCTAAATTATCCAACTTTTTCAATACTGAATCGTACTTCCTGAAAAAATGTTCAGGAAGTACCAAGCCAGGGACAACATCGATTCTATCGATGTTATCTTCTAATCCAGCATTTAGAATTTTTGTAAAATTGGGTATTATTTCATTTATCGATTTATGATGTAATTGATCAATAGATTTACCAAATAAATTCTTTGCAATTGCATTATTACATGATAAAATCTGATAAGATTTAGAATTTATCACAAATATGCCAGCAATATAAGGCATACAATGAATTTTGAGTAATAATTCGATTTGATCTTCATCATTGTCCAATATATCTGAAGTAATGGCACATGGAATATTTTTATCATATAACTGAATAGTATAATATCTTGTTTCATTTATTGATTCATCTGATTCTTCATTTAGTTCTTTACTTAATGATTCTGAAAGATCACTCAATTTATGTAGTTTAGGTAATGTATCTATCAAATCACCCGCATTCTCATTAATTGACTCTATGATATATTCACTGCTGTTTTGATCACTCGATATTCTTACATCAAATGCATCACAAGGTATTTGGTCAAACATAATAACTAAAGTCTTTCCATATAATGAAGCGAAAATTGAAGCAAATGTTTGATCACTTCTTGAATCTCCCTTAACAATTGCAATAATTTCACCTGCAAATATTATCTTATTATTATCTTTTCTTAAATTTATATTTGTTAATCTTTTCAATACAAATTCTCTAAATTGAGGAGCAACTAAATCCATCAATGTCAATGCTTTAATTGTACTTTTCGATACTCCAAACATTAAACATGCTAAATCGTTAGCTGCTTTAACCAGCCAGGGGAAATCCGCATCTACTGTAAATACAGATTGTGGTAATGAATTTTTAGTCATTGCATGAAACGGTCTATTTTGATTAGATAATGATGTAGTTGGAGTAATTGGTGAATTTAATAAGTTAAGTGATACAGTTGAAGGTCGTATTCTTGTTGAACTATCTAAATCATTACCTAATAAAGAACTGGTCAATATTGAAGTTTCCATAAATGGCATTGCTAACGCATATAATAATTTATGTTTAACTATATCTTGTCTCCATTTACTATCTGACTTATTTTTATTTAATGATAAATCATGTAATGTACTTGCTATTTCGGAATTATCCATTAATGAATCTAAATCATTTTCTAATAGATTTATAATATCTTTAAAATCATTTTGATTTTTAGTAGTGGTCGATTTAGATAAAGTTGATGGTACCAGTATTTTACTCAATTGTATATTTTGTTGTTCATCCAATGGTAAAGAATCAGATCTTTTTAATTGTGGTTTAAATAAAGCAGCAAGAGCAGCTGATGATGCATTTGATTGTAATTTGTATTTTTTATTTTTTAAATTATTTGTAGTTGGTGAAGTATCTAATAAATAATCTGAAGAATGATTAGTTTGTGAATATAAATAATTAGGTCGTGGTTGTAATGGCATTTCCAAATCATTAATTGGATTTGAAATTGATCTATAAATTGTATCTTGTGTTTCTATATTCTCTTCATTTTCTAAATTTATAGATTTAAATAATTCTGGTCTATCTTTTAATATTTCTAATGATCTTTTTAATACATTTAATCGCAAGGCTAATGAATTGGGTGATAAATGAGCATATGAATAAGCATGAGATGACTCAATGGGGAATTTTAAAATATCATCAAATTCATTAATATATAATTGTTGTTGACGCTCTTGTTGTTGATTATTTAATGATTTAGTAGGTAATGTACTAGGTGCAAATAATGAAGATGATGAATCATTTATTGGTTTGATTGATAATTCTGGTGGTGATTTTTTCTGAAATCGTTGTCGCTTTGGATTTAAGCTACTTGAAGTTGATGGAGGAGTTGGATGTTTATTATTATTATTATGGTTATTATTATCATTATCTTGTTGAATATAAAAAGATGGTGGTATTGAAGAACTCCGTTGATGTATATTTTCAGACATTAAAAAATAAAATGGAGCTGACTCAATATGATTGGTGGGAGTTATATAATTCTAGGTTGTGTGTATATAATATATAGCAAATGACTATAATTGTTGTTGGTTAATGTTGATAAAATATAATTAATCTATTGTTGTATAAGGAAGGGTTAAATTTTGTTTCAAAAATTTACGTCATATTTTGTGTGTTGAAGAAAAAAAACAAGACAATGAAACGAGACAAAAATAATTGTACTATATTGAATATTAAGCGGCTTATACATGGTAACATTTTGCAGCCATTTATATTTGAGTCATTTGTAATCCAGATACACAAACAGAAGTGGTAAAAGAATGCAGTTACACTGTTTTATCTCAAATATAAATCTGATGGTCTCAATCACAATATCAAAATTATGGGACTCGAGAATGAAGAATCTGCAACATCGGAAGGTTACTTCAAAAATCACATCTATTAAAACTTAAATAACGCCTCAGCAGTATCGCCTATAGCTCTTAACAACTTTTTTGAAGCTAGATGCTGGTCTACACTGTAATATCTTAGTTTCCTAGAATCAGTTTTAAATATGAAGGCTTATAAGATTTCATTTTATCTTAATCATAAAACCATCGAAACTGTCGTCGTATTACAAAGCATTATATTAAAGAAGAGATGCATGAAGCAACAATCTCTCACTCACTCAAGAATACCAGCTTGCAATCAATATTCGGAACCTTTAAATTTTAAGGGTCAAATTTGAGGACTAACTAGATAAGGTATTCAGATGCAAGTACAACGATGTTTTAGAAATCTTGCCACCATCTCATTGTTGCATCTAGCAACAGGTGTTTAATTCTGTACTTCCTAATTTGAAGTAAACTGGAATCCTCGATAGCTTAAATCAACGAGTTGCATTCGCCTTAATCAAGAGTTTTAAACAAATAATTTCCAACTTTCATATATAAATAATCCATATAAATCGAAATACCTATAGTCCTTCATTTGCTTCATTTTTGATCAAATTTTTTAACCCATATATCACTACCTTCATGATTTCTCCATAATCTACTCAAAGTAATCCCCAAACTATATTTCTTTTTCTCAATTTCATCTTGTTTCATCTTTAATTTATCTATAGCTCTATTTATTTTAACTCTTGTATTATAATCAGTTTCAACATTATAAGGAGGTAATAATCCCATTAAAAATTCAATTTCTTTTTGAATTTTAACAATTCTATGCTCATAAGAATCATATTTTCTTTGAATATGATTTAATTTGAGGCGTTCTTTTAATTCTGGATTATCTTTTAAATCAGAAGATGATATTCTAATTTTAGATGAAGAAGAACCATCCCGTGAATGTCCATAATGATGACTAGAATGATGATGAGAATGACTTGTTGATGTGTTTGGTGAATTTGATGAAGATGAAGTATAACTTTCTATTGTCGGTGATTGAGTTGGTGATTTTATTGGTTCGTGAGATACTTTACGTACTGTAAATTTTATTGGTTTTTTGGGTAATTGATTTGATGATTTTAATTTCTCTTTATCAATTTCTGATTGTGATTTTTCAATTAAATCGTTATAGAAATTAGTTTTTGAGTAGACGGATTGAGGTATTTTAGGTGAATTGGTAGTGGATTTATTGGTTGTTCTAGATTCTGTTAAAATTTGTTTAGTATCGATATTTAATTCTTTTGTTGATGAAGTCTTGTTACCCGGGGTATCTGTTGTTAATTTGTTTTCTTCATCTTCATGTAAATTTGTCTTTGATAAATCTTTGATTAAATTTTCAGTGGATTCCATAGATGATAATGAACTTATAGATGGAGAATGAGTACTAGTATTTATTTTATCTTTATTTAATTTGATTGAAACAGTAGTTGAATTAGCTTCTTCCTCTTCTTCCACTACTTCCTGTTGTTGTTGTTGTTGTTGTTGTTTTTGTTTTGATTTAGTTTCTTCTTTACCAGCAGCAGATAAATTAGTATCAATATTATTTTCTTTATTGTCTTCTGTTGTCATAATAGTCTACAACTTATAATAATATTATATTTTAGTAAAGTATAAGTATAGTAATTGAAAGAAAATAAACAAAATAATTTCACGACGTGTATTATTTCTTAAAAAAAAAAAAAAAAATATTATAGATGCATGGAACGATTAATACGGTAGTCGGTTACAAATTGAACGAGAAGGTAATTAACGAAAACGGTTTATCAGACAGACAGATAGATAGACGGACAGACAGACAGATATCGAAATCAAATTTTAATCTCATCTTTAAAGTTGGTAATTTATTATGGCTGGTGGTGAAATAATATCATTATCTTTTGGTCAATTATCAAATAATATTATAACTCATTTATATAATACTCAAGATTCATTAATACCTTATTCAAAAGAACAAAAAGACATCCTACTTCATGATTTATCGACTTTTTTAACGAGATTTAAAGATCCAACATCAAATGGCTACAATTATTCTCCAAACTGTTTAGTTTATGACTTGAGAAATGGGTTGGGCAGCTTATCAAAATACGAATATAGCGAACCAAAACCAAATTTATCAGATTATACAATGTTGAATGGTCAACTACCTCCTAAAAACGAATTTCAGAGACAATTAGATATTGGAGTATCGAAAGGAAACTTGTTGAATGTTCCAAATACTGCCAATTGGACCGATTTTGGAAAATTGATATATAATAAAAGGTCATTACATACAATTAAAAACTATACTACTTATCTACAACATTATAATATCCCAAATTTGAAATTTGATACATTTCCAAAAGGTGTAGAAGAATTTAAAAGTAATGATAAAGAAATAGATGATTTCAGATTTTTTCTTGAGAAATGTGATAAGTTTCAAGGATTACAGATCTTGAATGAATTAGATAATGGATGGAATGGGTTTTCAAATGAGTATATAACTATGTTGAAGGATGAATATTTTAATAATTCAAATAAATTGAATATTTGGAATTATTCAATTATAACCAAGGAGAATAAGAATGTAAGGCAGAAACAGAATTTGATAAGGTCATTTGTTGAAACTTGGAGGAGTTCAAGTCTATTTATACCGTTGAATTTGGACACTCATTCAGATTTATTAACGTCAAATTTCAACTTTGAGTCCAATTGGCATAAATCTGCCATATTTGCAATGTTTATAAATTCAATATGGGGTATCAATTCACAAGATAAAGACCAGATTAACATGAGTGGGTTACAAAACCTTATACTAAGTGAAGAAAATGAAAATAGAAAAATCATAAATGATGTTAAGATTAAAGGTATTGATATTCAGGCAGATATTGTAAATTATTATGATTTACCTAATTATGATATAGATTTAAGTTTAGCTAGTGGTCCTTCAGGCTTTAATTTTAATCAAACATTTATAAACCAGGACTCAACACTTGTTAATCCTGATATTGAGAACATTTTACAAGTTGATACGTTCCCGACTGGCATTCTTGTAAACAAGAAGGAGACTAAGTTCAATATTGAAATGAATCAGTCATCAAGTTTGAGAAATTGGTTAAAACCATACATGAAAATAATTGAAAATTCAAAAGAGAATGAAATAATCGATGATAAAAATGAATTAATTGAAGAAATCTGTCAAATTATGAATGAATATGCTACTACTGAAGAATCAGATGAGGATTATGAATAGGAACCGAGTTGCTGCATATTTTATAGATTTAATGAAAATTTATTTCAACTATCTATTTTTCTCTAGATTGTTTTTTCAACTAAATAAATATCATACTTATCTTTTAATTCCTTCATTATTGAATCATTAATTTCTGAAGTCATTGGAGCTAGTAAACCTTTTTTATTTAATGTACCATTTAAAATTTGTTTAGTTGCAACTGCACAAGGAACACCAACCAATTTAGCCATTGAGGAATAACCTTTTGGATCACCATAATCTACCAAAGTACTTGTTCTTGTTTCTTCACTACCATCTTCCCATTCAATACCAAATTTATGTTGTAAAATAACTAAATCTCTTTCTCCTTCTTCATATTGCATCAATTTTTCCAAAGTAGCACATAAGGTATCTAATGGATTACCTCTTGGAATAATTTTTGAATCAGATAATAAACCTAACCATTTATAACCAGCAAGAATTCTTTCTCTATCTTCTGGTGATTTAAATTTAGTTAATGAATCAATTTTTTCAATTAAATCAGATTCTGAAGCAGATTTGGCATTGATTAAACTAGCCAAAGCTTCATTCCATGGTCCTTCTTTTGAGAAAACTTCTGATTCTTCATCGCTTAATAATCCTAAATCTACAAAAGTTTTAATAAATTCAGGAAATCCTTGAAATCTTAAAGTACCTCTTATAACAGTTTCTGCTTCTGGAATATTATATAATTCTTTGTAGGTTGTTGAATCCCTGTTTGGATAACAGACTAATGCATATCCTGGATATATGAAATATGGTTTTGCACTAGCCATTAAATCTTCACTTGAAACATTTACAATTTCACCATTTGCCCAATATTTAGCAGAATTCCTTAAAGCTAATAAAACACCTCTTGAACTCCATGAAAATTTATAACCTAATGGATTGTCTGAATTTTCAGGTGCTGGTAAACCACCACAATATGATAAAAATGATTTAATTTTACCATTTTTAGCATGAACTTCTTCAATTGTTTTTATAGCATATAAATGATCAATACCTGGATCTAATCCAATTTCATTCATGACGGTAATTCCAGCGTCATTAATTTGAGATTCCAATTCTTTTAATTTTGGATTTATATATGAAGTAGTTACAACATGTTTTTTATTTTTGATAGCTGATTTAACAACTAATTCATGATAAATATATGGAATCAATGAAATAACTAAATCATATTTTGCAACTTCGGAATCTAATGCCGATGAATCAGTAACATCTAATGATATTGAATTTGCAGTTGATCCAGCCAATTCTTTAGCCTTTGATAATGTTCTACATGCGACAGTTACTTCGATATTTGGATCTTGTGATAAAATGTCAACTGTTGGTTTAGCAACAAAACCAGAACCTAATAATAAAACTTTTTGAACCATTGCAAATTGATACTAAGAATGAAAAATTTGAAAAATTGATATTAATTTGGTTCGTGGAAAATGTTCAACAAATTAAATTTGATTAGGTCGATTAAGCGCGAGGCAATTTTTAGTTGAGTCATAGTTTATCGCGGCTAAATTTTTACATCGAAAGTGCTACCAACTGTATATAGAATAGTTTTATTGTTTATATTTGCAACTATTAACGAGAGTATCAAGTATCTTGTTTACGGGATATACAAATAATAGATATATAGTAAACTGTCTTTTAAAAAAAAGTTGTGTTTTGCTTGGTATTCTTCCATACTTCATGAAATTCTGGATTTGGGAGCAAAATATCACCTAAAAGACATTTGTGCCACTTTACATGACCATTTATCTGCTGATAGGGGTTTACTCCACATTAAAACTATAGTATAGTTTATATTAACTGAACAGAATTTATTATATAATTCATACATAGTTGTGAGCTTCTCCTTCAAACTTGAAAATAACTTCTGTTTCTCAGTTGGTCCTTCATCAAACGTTATGATTAAAATAACAGCTGCGGGAAGTAGCTACAGCAATAAGGAATAAAGTACCAAAAAAAGTACAACACTCACCACTCAATTCACCCATTTGTACCTTAAAATTCTTTTTTGTGTTTGTTCCTGAATCCAATGATTTAACTCTTGATTCGATGTCATCTTGATTATTTCCTAATTTAACATCAGCTTGCCTATTCTCTGCTTTAACATTATCTTGTTTGTTTTTCAATTCAACATCATTTTTATCAATCGAAGAATAAGAAGGTAAACTGTCAATCCCAGAATAAGAAGGTAAATCAACTCTATCTACTGACTCAGCAGAATCCTTTGAGCTGGTACTATCTCAACATTTTCTAATTCAGTCGATGGGGTGATATTCATATTGTAACCTACATCAAAACTAATTTTTGCTGGTTTAAATATATTTGTAGATAAAGAAAGTAAAGGATTTTTAAGCCTAGAAAGGACTAGACAAGCCAAATTCTCATACAATCAAAGCAAAAGTTTATCCTATACTTCTATACACTCAGTGAATTTTTTTTGTAATGATTTTTATAACTTTGAAAAACGTCAAACTTATTACGACGTCTTAAAAACAATATACAAGGAATTTTTGGGCTCAAATGAACCAAATCAGATAGAAGTTCCTAAACGAGGTCTAAGTGTTGTGTATCTCGCATTTTACCGTTTTTTAACATTTTTTGAATGAAAAATAAAATCATCAATATAATTTTTCACTAAATGATACTAACATCAGTCTACTTCAAATTCGGATAAGATCTCGCTGAATGCAGCTTGAGGATATTGCTTGAAAATTATGGGAGTAATCCATAGATTAAATTTTGAGATTAAGTATTATGGGACTGCATATAAGTGAATTTGTTTCAGAATTTTATTTTTTTGCTGTCGGTAGTTTTCCGCCCCAATCTGAAACCAAAATAATATTTTTTCTCACGCTAGCTTTAAGGCAACTGGTACCAAACAGATTGGACTATATGTAATGCACAACAGATAAAAACTATTTATATGTAATCAGAGCTATGAATTCTATACTCTGTATACTTTTGATATCCAGTTTTAAACATTTTTTTTTGAAGTTGAATTTTTGACCATTTTTCACGATATAAAAATTTTTCAAAAGATGTAAATTTGTGCATCTTAATATTTTGGGCCACAACTCTCAAATAAACAACGAAAGTTATATATTACTCCTCAATTAAAGATGCTGGACTTGATTCTAGTTGCTCTCAACTAAAATTGAAAAATTTTGAAATTTCCCCTTAAATATGGGGAAATTCAAATAAATTGACCTTACAAAAGATGTAGCTCCATAATGAAAGTATTTTTTAAATTATAGTAGGTCTTTCAATATTTTTAGCTCTGTGCATTCATAAATCTTAAGAGGTTCTGAGCTAAGGTGTACAAAATTAGAATTGGATTTTTTGTAAAATGAATCGAAAATTTAGTGAAAATTTCGAAACGATCATGGCGTCTTAAAATGATAATTAAAGCAAATGATTAGAAGTATTAAAATTGAAGTAACCTTAGCTTACTCTCAAATTTTGAATATATAAGAAATCGTTGTAGCTTAATTTAAAAGTAAACTTTAAGATCTAATATTAGATATTAAGGGGTAATTTTTGATTCTGAGATAGAGATCTGAGATCCGCTACCATCTCGAAAATGAGAAATATCACATGCAAACCAACCAATCAGGCAAAAATTATAGTATATGATTACATAATATTAAAGCAAATATATTGAAATATGGAGGAACACGAACTTTGAAATTTTTCAAACAAATTTAATTTTTCAAATTTATCATCAATTTATCAAAATGGTGGCTTTTCAAGATTATTTATTAACTTATGCTAAAAGCTTCATTCCATTGTATCCTCAAATTAAAACAATTCGTACAACTTATGATTTAATTGAACATTTAAAATATGAATATAGCTATTTACCAAATGAATTAGTTTTCTTATTCAATCATTTTTTTGAATATGTTACAATTGATAAATTTTTTTGGATTACACTTGGTTCAATTGCATTTAATCCAATATTTTGGAATATTGCAGCTAGATTAGAATACAACAACCGTATTTTAACTAAATTAGCATTTAATTCTCCAAAATTAGGTTGTTATATTTTAGCAATTACAATTTTTTCATTAGGTATATTTAGAGATTCAATTTATCATGAATTTTTAAAATTACAGCCAACTTATGCACCAATTGAAGAGAGTTTGATAGTTAAATTTATTGCTGTTTTGGTATTTTTATTTGGAAATGTTTTGGTGGTTAGTTCAATGTATTCTTTAGGTGTTACTGGTACCTATCTTGGAGATTATTTTGGTATTTTGATGAATGAAAGAGTTACTGGGTTCCCATTTAATATTAATGATAATCCAATGTATAATGGTTCTACTTTATGTTTCTTAGGTACTGCTTTATGGTATGGTAAACCAAGTGGTATTTTAATTAGTGGATTTGTTTATGTCATGTATAAAATTGCATTATTATTTGAAGAACCATTTACTGCTAAAATATATGCTAAAAGAGATGAAGAATTGAAAAAGAAAGAGATTTAGGTAGATTCTACAGTAGCTGGATTAGTATGAATACTTCAACAGATTACATACATACAATTAAAATATACTAGCTGAGTTAGTATATACTTCAACATGTAAATACACACACACACTTTATATATAAGACATTTGAAATATTAGCTCTTTTATCTACATTGACATAATCGTAACTAGATCTTCGTATATACATTAAATATATTCAAAACTATTATTAATTCCAAAATTTGATTCATATTTTAAATTTAAACTTTGAAATTTTTCACTTGAATGATGATAATATAATCCAGAAATTTCACCATTTAACACATTTAAAACAATATAATAAAAACCTTCAAATGAAGCATTTGAAATTTGTTTTATTCTTGAATCAGGTAATAAAAATTCTTCTTTCCATCTCATATAAATAAAATGACCACTCCCATCATCTTGATTCTCTTTAATTTTATTTAATTTTTCAATCAATTGTAAATCTGAAAGTAAATTTGATTCATCGTTAGTTAATTTCTTCCAATGTTCATAATCATTTTTAGGAAATGATCCCCAATTTTTATTTTCTGTAATAAATGAATAATTTACATTTGCACTGTTATTCAATGGATTGTTTATAATTTCACCTTTAAAATAAGTTATAATTTCACTGAATTCATCTGTTAAACCATAAATTTGTAAAAAACCAGTACATAAAGAATTTGAAAGATCAACAGTTTTAAATTCAACTTTAATTTGAAAAATTTTATCACCACTTTTCTGTTGACCTTTAAATTTTGAATTTGGTTGTAAATAAGTTGAGGAATAATTGGGTATAAAAGAATCTGGTTGTTTAAAATTATCAAAGTAATCTAATGAATATTTGGAAGTTGGTAAGGTATCATTATCTAAATCATAAAGTGTTTCATCATCATCATCATCATTAATTAATTGTTGTTTGGCTTGAGTTGTATATTGTTGTGTATCTTCTCGTACAATAGTTGTTTGTGTTGGTTTTTGTTTTATTTCATAGGTGGAGTTATCGGTGTTTATTGTCTTATCAATTACTTTTGGTAATTTAGCGTCGTCATCATCACAAAAATTAAAATTTCTATTAATATTAAAATTAAATTCTTGTAAATTATTTAATTGATTTTGATTGAGATTATTTGGAAGTCGTTGATGAAGAGCTGTAGTTGTAGATGGTGATATATTATATACGCGTTTTTCTTCTTGTAATTGCTGTTGTTGTTGTTGTTGTTGTTGTTGATTTAATTGATTAATTTTATTTAAATATTGTTGTTGTTGTTCTATATCATTATTATCAGTATCAATTATTATATTATCCACATCATTATTATCTATTTGATTTGAATCTATTTGTAATTCAGTAACAGGCATCTTGTAAACTTAATCAAAAAGAAGTGTTGATGAAATGAATTTATTGAGTTGTTGTAAAAATAATGAAATTTCAAAAATTTTTATTTCTTTCTCAAATTAAATTTTAAATTTAAAGTTTTTGTGTATAAACCGATAAAAAATCAAATATCGATTAACTACTATAAAAAAGAAGAAGAAGAAGAAGAACAATAGAAGCACGAGATGATTAATTCATATAATGGTCTAAGTTTAATAAATGACAGCTAATATTAGTTTGCTTCGGCGTAAATTTCGATTTGGGCCACACTTGCGTCGACTAAATAAATTCTAACACCACCAGATGAATGATCTCTCTCGTTTCTTTCTTTATTTTATAACTGACAAGAAATAGTGAATAGAATTGCTTCACTTTTAAGTGATTATGTAAGTTATTATCTAATAATTCTATTATGTAAAAACCTGTGTGTTCTTACTTAATATTTTAATCTTTTACCTAATAATTTTATTATGTAACAACCGGTGTGTTCTTACTTAATATTTTTATCTTTTATCTAATAATTGTATTATGTAAAAACCGGTGTGTTCTTACTTAATATTTTAATCTTTTGATTTATTTTTTCGCTTGCAGCAAAATTGAATCATTTACTTTACAACCAGATTATTTATGAATTCAGTTGATAATCAAAATGAAATTGAAATTGGTGCTGCTGCTGATGCTGCTGCTGATGCTGATGCTGATATCGATGTTGATTTACCTCCAACACCATTACATCCTGCTCCTAATGAAGAAATAAATAATCAACTACCCCAGGGTAAATTACAATCATCAAACATAGATTTAAATCCTGATTTATATGATGAAGAAGAAGAGAAAACACCAGATAACGATAAGATAGAGACAGACAATTCTAATATACTATTGGATCAATTATCAGAAACGGAGTTAGAAGATGTCAATATTAATTTAAATCAAGTTACATTATCTTTCGATCAAGCTTACGAATCACTCAAGATAAATTTTTATAATAACAAATCACAATCATTATCAGAATCTCAACAATCCAAATTTATAAATTATCTAGATGAGGAATTACTCAAAGTTCAACGAAATTTTATAAAACAACAAAGTGGGGAATCAACCAACTCCCTTATTGACTTAATTTCAGACTTGAATCCAATTTTAGAGCTTTTATTTGTTTCTATATCTCCAAATGCAAATTTATTTGCACAGGTGAGTTATTATATTAAGATACTTGGTGATTTTGAAGATTTTATCAATCATTATAATGTATTATTCGAGTATAATAATATATCTCAAATTGCGGAATTTTTCAAATTTATTCAAAATTTAGATTTACTGATTTGTTTATTGATTGATGGGTATGAGAATATTAATAACCATAAGGTGCAGAAGTTTAATATGACTGAATTGACCAGATTATTTCCTATTGTGTCTCGAATAAGAATTTTAATAATTGAGAAAGTTGATAATCAAAGAAGAAGAAATCGAAAACCTAATGAGATGATTGATAATTTATTAGAACTAGAAATTAGTAGAATATTTGAAGGTATTTTAACACGAGATGTCAATTAATAATTGACTCAACTCGAGATAAATTTGCATTGAAACAAGGACTACTCAAATAGAGACTACTCAAATAGAGACAAAATTGGATAATAATGATAAAACAAAAAGATTTAAAAGAGCTAATTGAATCAATGAAAGAACTGAACACCTGATATCGTTTACGTTAGTTGTTATCATTTTCTCAATTTATTATTACCCGAATTCAAACTATAAGAGCATAAAATGGTGATAGAAAATGACATGACTGGGTAGCTTATATAATACTATTACAGTAATGCTTTTCACCATCAACCGTGTAGTGATGATAAAAAGATAAATGCTCAAAATCGTGTTTATTGACTTAATCTGTGGTCCAGTAGCTTTAAAATAGTGTTTGTATATATATAATACTGTGAAAAAAAAAAAAGCTAAGAATGTCTCTATATGCTTAGATCTTTAACAATATGCCTAATCCAAAATTCTCGAAATCATAAATTCTGAAATACATTTGGTAGCTACAATTTTAATTTTTCAAAATTCTGAAACTCCATCAATTCGATATGTGGTGGCCATTCAATTCAAATAAAGATATATCAGACCTATCAAAAGAGACAGATATCCCAACAGATTTAACATCACAATTAACAATATCATCACCTTCTCCAGCCCCAATTAATCAATTAACACACATAGAAAACATTCTCAAAAACAAAACTACATCAAAAGAATTAGAAGAATTCAAAATTGCAAATCAGCCAAAAGATGTAGTTCTAGTCAATTGTTCAGAAATAGAAATGCACTATAAGAATTGCTTATCAAATTGGTCTTTCTTCAAGGGAAATAATTGGAAAACAGGATATTGTGAATCAGAAAGGGAAAATTTGAAAAATTGTTCTTCTTTGACTCATGATGGATTAAGTAGACTCGGCTATAATTATTGTTATGAAGTCAATCAATGTAAATATATTAAAAAATTTGTTGATTTGACTTTTACTAAACGATTTGGTGAATTAGGCGATATTATAAATGAAAAAAATGTTCAGTTGTTTTATAAGGATTTAAATGACGAGTTTTGGAAGATATGGAGGTGAGTCAGAATGTGGGATGCAATGGTGAGAAGTCAAGTAGAAGGTTTGAGCTAGTCCAAGACTTAAGAAACGATAGGAGATGAAGTTGAAGATGATCATGGTCAAATATTAGCTGTAAATAGATGTTAATAGATAATTTGGGATATCAAAAGAGGTTCAATTAGGTGGTTCATGTCTATATTAAAGTGTTTAAGCTATTCTGTAGTTTATACAGTGTGTAAATGCAAATTTAATTGTAAATTAACATCGAACTGATCTAATAATCAATATAAATTCAAGTAGTTCCATTCTTTGAGCTTCCTCTAGTCCAGTTATGGGCTCTAATTGTACTTCAACTATAATATCCTTTTCAAGATCTCTAAACAGTTCTACCATGCAATAATATACCTCAAAAATTCAAAATTTTCATATTTTATCAACCATATCTTGCCATAATTTCAATTTATCTTGAAAATTCATACTAGCAACCAAACCAGAAGTACTAGGAAACACAAATAATTTACAACCCTGACTCAATTTATCATACATATTCTCAATAATCAAATTATACTCCTTATCAGCCCCCGTTTTGACCTCACCCCATACAAAATTATCCTTACTCAACTTAAACTTCTTCTTACCCATATTTAGCATTTCATATTTCACAATCATCTCCCAAACACCTTTCCCAATAATAACTACATTCTTCACATTATTATCTTTAATTTCGGTGTATAATCTAGGCACATTCTCTAATTTTTCATCATTTGTTAACTCGTGAGCTTGTTTAGTACATCGTAAACATAAATCACTAAAACCAATAGAGTACTTAATTAACTCGAAATCTAATTCCAGTGTACATTTGAATGAAAATTCACCATTCGTGACTTTTGATAATGCTTGACTCTGGTTGAATAATTTCCAAAATAAGTTTGAATGATGAGCATAATGATGTTGGGTTAAGCTTGATTCTACACCTGGGTTAAATCCAATGAATAAAAGTTTTAAATCTGGTTTTAAAGATGGTTGCAAATCTTGAAGTTGAGTATAATTTATGACTTTCTTTTTTGGTGATACATCTTTCGTTGTTTTTTTAATCTTTTTAGGACTTGTGACTTTTGTAGTCTTGAGTTGTTCTACCTTTATATCTTCATCCTCTGTATATTTGTATGATTGTATTATTGACTTTAATGACATACAATTTATGAGATGATATGCAATAGAAAATAAATTAAGAAAAACAAAAAAAAAAATTGATAAAAATCATAATAAACAAACAAGAAATTGATAGACGATTCTAGATAAAATATCACAAGCAATAGTAGACAATTGGCTAGACATAGTGTGAAGAATTAACAATTGAAAAGATATATTATAATTAAGTGACAATTGAAAGAGATTTTGAGATTCCACGATGCCCAGGGCTAATAATAACGAAATTGATTATTCAAATATAAGTATAACAGGTATAAAATCAGAAAGTACTCCAATACAACGTAAGTCTGTTGATTTTTCAGATTATATTACATCAGAAACAAAACGAACAAGTAATAATACAAGTACTTTGAAACAAAATAATTTAGATCCATTAGAATCAGATGATACAACAACAGCAGAAGAATTAGAAGAATTAGTTACATTACATCCAGAATTAAATTTAGCAAAAAAGGATGGAGATGAAATAAATCCAGTAAATTTAGCTCATATAATGTTTTCACCAAAGAAAAATAAACAACCACCAAAACCACAAGAATTACCACAACAATCAAAATCAATACAAAAATCATCATCGGAGATACTTAATCCATGGACTCCATATATTTTAACACTATATTTTCAATTAGTTGTCAATGTGATACTATGGTCAATTCTCATTTATTTTATTTTCATTTCAATAACGACGATAAAATCAGATATAAACAAAAAGGTAGAATCAAATACATTAGAAATTCTAGATGAGATTTCAAAATGTAGTAAATTGTATTTATTGAATAAATGCAATTCAAAAAATCGCCCATGGGCCATTGAAAAAGAATGCGAAGCTCTTGAAAAATGTCAAAATCAGGATCCTACATCAGTTGCAAGATCTAAAGTTACAATGGAGGTGATTGTGGAGATATTGAATACGTTTGCTGAAAGATTACACTATAAGACTTTTTTCATTTTTATTTCATTTTTGATTTGTTGTATTTTATTAACTAGTTTAAATTTGAGAAATTTTCAAAAGTTGGGACCAATGGAGAATAATAGTAGATTGAAGATTAAAGAGAATTAAGGGGTGTATTATTTTGAAGTTTAGACTCTTCAACAATTTAAAGCAATAGACTATGAGGGTAATAAATTCTAGGTCAAAAGCACTTAAGGTGGATGTTTGAAACTTTATTAACTAGTTTGAGCTTAAGCATAGTAATATATTAAGACCAATGGTCATTATTCATAGTAAATTATGAATCAAAAGCAACTACAGACTGTATTATCTTAAAATAGAATTACGAATAGCAAGATAAACCTCCTAAATTGCATTTATCAATTGAACATTAATTTCAAAAAGTGCAAAAGATACAGAAGGATAGACTATTGATATTTGAGAGTATATAACAATAATTAAGTTGTGAATTCTATCAGTAATTATAAGGTATAATGAAATCTCAATAAATATTTCATCTTATTTCACGTTTCACGTATCAGTAAATAACAAACTATATTCATGACTTCAAAATCGGGTTATAACCTATACTGAATTGTTCTAATTGACCAAAATAGTATTATCGATTATTGATTGAAATTCAATTGAGGTTTCCTAATTAGGTAAATCCTGTATATAAACATTCCAAATCTGAAACATAAAGTGGCTAGTTTTAAATCTAGGGTCCCAAAAACGATCCCAATTTTTTACTCGAAATTTTATTTTTGCCATCAAATTTTTGTCATTTTTTTAACTACAACAATTCATCATCGTGTCTATTATTTTCAAAATTTGATTAAAGGTTTAAAGAACTTACCAATTGACTTAGTTTTATCAATTGCTTCGGAATTAGATTTGAAACGTTTTGAAATGCTTTTTATGTGATCGAGAATTGAAAAATTATATTCCTCCAATAATTTTAGAAGAGGTTGAGATTTGCAAGATTTTGTCGATGATGAGATGATGGTATTTCCAACTATGAAAAAATTAGTTTCTTTAATGAAACGATTCCACACGGCACCAAAATATTTATTCGTAAATTGACTGATAGCACATAATAAAGATAACAATGATGCATTGGATAAAATTAAAGAGATATATTTTGATGAGGAGTATTCAACAAGTCTGAAAAGTCTTCGTATTTTGAAATCATTAAAAACAAAGGTCTTTTTAACAATTTCACGCAACGGCCTGAATCTTCCATATTTTCAGAATATAACCGGTCTTGAGATAGAATCTTTGCTTTTGTTAGAAGGCAACAAACTTTGAAAATCATTCTACCCGAGCTCTGAAAATTGAATCATGAATTGACCGTGAATGAGCTCATTTCATATTTTAAAAATTTAAAACTTTTAGATTTAAGAATTATTCATTCTTCAGTTGCTATGAGTTTTATTATTCTAAATGTATGAACTGAATTAGAAATTTCCAATCAAGTTTTGGGTAATTTTGATTTCTTAAAAACATTAACAAAATTGAAGAATTTATGGCTTTACAATTGCGCTTTTCCAAAGCACTTATTTATAGATGAGAATGAGTACTTTCCAAACTTGAAAATCTTTCGATACTAGGTGTCTGTGGATAGAGAAGATTATCTTAGGTATCATGAACGTAAGCTTTTGGATACGATCGATAATAAGGTCAAACTTCCACAAAATTTAGAATATTTTTCAATATAACCAGAATATTTAAATGGGAATGAAACTTTTGATTTTCCAATGAATTTAAAAGACTATAAATTACGTTGTGAAGTATGTAGAGAAGTTGAAACTTTATTAAGTAGAAAATTAATCGTCATTTACTAGCAGGCAAAAGCTGAATCTTTAGATAATACAACATAAGTGTGTGTTTTGTATTTGTTCCATTCTAAATAGTGTAATATTCTATAGTAAAAATTCAATAAAATCGATCTTTATAAAAAAACGAATCATAAAATTCATCGTGAGTGAAGTTGGTAGCATCAAACTCGGGCCTGCATTCTCGTACTACTTAGCGCGGCTTGTGGTAGAGTGTATACCATCGTTCACGGTCATATCACGAAATCAAGCAAGAACGCTAGCGATTTTTCCAATTATTGAATGAATTTAATCTAATAATCATTAAAATTATACTTATTCGGTACGTAATAACATTGATTTACTCTAAATGGGATCACAATTAGAATAAAATAAGTTTGAAGAATAAAACCTGAATCTTGATGGAGTCACAATTCGAATTTCAGGATTAGCCATGATAGGACTGCATATGAGCAAATTTGTTTCAGAAAGTATGTATTTTTCAATGCGAAAAACATGCAGCGACAAAATAATTACTCGCGCTAAATGTAGGGCGACTCGTACTGTATTTATTGGCTTATGCAACGCGAACATCACATTTTTCCGGATAAATACTAATGACATCAAATCAAAAGTATTGAATTGTATATCAAACACAACACAATCTTGGATGTATTAAAATTTTTCTTTTTGAGTTGTCATTTTGACCATTTTTCACCATACAAAACTTTTTTAAAAAATGTAAATCTATGTATCGTTTTATTTAGGGCCATAACCTTCATTACAAAACGAATATGGCGCCTTGAAAACATAATCCGAATTCTTTTTGGGGACAAATTATCCGAATCAGATAATCTAGAAGATGTCAAATGGGGTTTGAGTGTTAACTATTCCGCAATTAGGCGTTTTTTGCCAGTTTTTTATTGAAGGATTATGTGATAAATTTTGAGTCTTTACTCAAAAGACTAACATTTGCTTAAAGTATTGAATGTTTTGATGAGCTGAGTTTGAGAATAATACCCACAATACAGACGAGGCTTTTCACATATTAAGTTTAAAGATCGATTATGGTAATCCTGCAATTTGTTTCAGAATTTTGCCTATTCGACAAATACTTAAATCTAAGTAAGAAGTAACTGAAGTAAGTAGAAATACATAGATCTTTACTAGATTCTATTGGACTGACATACGCTTCACTTAATTATACCAATAGCTCTCAGCTGAAAAAATGATGACCTTGTTGCTGTTGTTATTGGTTTACTCTTAATCAGCTCATTTTAAATCAACTACCGGAGACACATAGAATCGATGTAAAGTCTCTATCTATTAATTTAAACAGTTTACATGAGTGATTTATAATCACTTTACATCACTTCATATCGTATAAGTACCCACCAAATTAATTGCATACATTGCCACATCCTAATTTGGTAATTTTATTTCAAACAAATTTAAACTTTTTTTACTTCAATTTCTGCAAGAATAGAGCTAATTTATAAAATGGTCTAGGATGGTTTAAATACTCCTCAATTGAAACTCTTGGTCTCAAGATGCTTATCATTAGCACAATATGGATGAAAAGAAGTCAAATTATCTAGATGATATTGAAGAAGTTGATATTGAAATTACCACCGGGATCAATGTTTTTATGTTTCTTAATTGGAAACAAGATTGGTTAATTATAACTTGTGGAATTATATTAATGACTACATCTGCTGTTTGTACACCCTTGAATACATTATTATATGGTAAAATATTTGCAACTTTAAGTGATTATTATTTAAATAAATTTACAAATTATGATTTATTTATTAAAGAAATTTTAAAATTATGTGGAATTATTATGGCATTGGGTTGTGGTAAATTAATATTAACATTTCTTGGTAATTCTATATGGATTAAATTTGGTGAAATACAACAATCAAGAGCAAGAACTAAAATTTATACAAAATTATTAAATCAACAAATTTCATGGTTTGACACAAATGAAAATATAATTGGTAATTTAACACAAATTAATAGATGTATTGAAGAATATAGATCTGGAAATGGTGAAGTATTAGCTAGCATAACTCAAACAATTGGATTAGTTATAAGTTTAATTATAATGTCATTTTATCAATCATGGGCAATTACATTAATTATAATGGCTCCAGGTCCAATTATGGCTGGATCTGCATGGTATTTTGGTAAATTAACTTATAAATATCAATCGAATGAGAATGATTTAAGTTCAAAAGCATCAAAAATTCTTGATTGGAGTTTAACTTCACCAATGATTATTCGTATTTTCAATGGTAAATACTTGGAAATTGCCAATTTTAATAAATTAATTAATTCATCAGCTATTGAATTTTTTAAAATGTCAAATGCAATTTGTTTAAATATGTCAATTTTAAAATTTTTAAGTTTATTAATGTTTGTTCAAGGTTTTTGGTTTGGTAATTTTTTATTAATTCATCATCATGTTAGTATAAATCAATTATTTACATGTTTTAGTTCTTGTTTAATGTTGGGTGATTCAATTTCAAAGATTTCTGAATTGATGGCTATTTTAAATACTGCCCATGCAGCTGCTTGTAAAATTGCAACATTTTTAGATAATGTAGATGATGAAGTTAAAATTAATCTACTTTATCCAACTGGTTGTTTAGGTACAATTAAATTTAAGAATGTTGTATTTAGTTATCCATCAAGAAATCAAATTATTTTGAATAAAATCTCATTCGAAATTAAACAAAATAAGTTTAATTATATAATTGGTAAATCAGGATGTGGGAAATCAACTATACCTTTGTTAATTATGAATTTATATAAGATTCAATCAGGTACAATTGAAATTGATAATTATAATTTAAATACGTTGGATTCAAATTGGATATATGAGACTATTACATTGATACAACAGAATCCGACAATTTTTAATGACTCAGTTAAGAATAATATAGCTTATTCAGTTATTAATGAATATGAGTTAGATGAAATTCCTGATCAAATGATTTTACAAGCTATGGAATTTGCAATGATTGATAAAGATTTAAATTCAAAAATTAATCAGTCATCATTATCTGGTGGTCAACAGCAAAGGATATCAATTGCAAGAGCTTACTTGAAAAATTCACCAATTTTAATTTTAGATGAAGCTTTTAGTGCATTGGATTATAACAACAAACAAATTTTATATGAAAAGATTAAATTTTGGAGAAGGGGTAAAACTACAATTATAATAACTCATGAATTTAATAATATAGATGATGATGATCATGTAATTATGTTGGATCAAGGTGTTAAATATGAAGGTGATTTTGCAAATATTAAGAATGATGAATTTATTAAAATTTCAGAAAAGGAAACAACTGAAGAAAAGGAAATCATACCTGTATCAAGCAAAGAAGAACTTTTCGAAGAAGAGCCAACGATTATGGGAGTATTTGCAATTTTAAACTATTGTAAAAATACAATTGATAAAAAATTCATCATTTTAATAGCTATTTTTATATCTATACTTGAAGGTGTTGCAAATCCAATATTTTCATTTTGCTTTTCAAAATTATTATCAACTACAATGAATGCATCAATTGGTAAAGATATTAATTCAGTCATAATTAAATGGTCTTGCATATCACTTTCAATTGCATTTTCAATTGGAGTAACTAATTATATTTCGCATTTTTTATTAGCTTATAGTTCTGAATCATGGATTATTCAACTTAGAAAATTGTCATTTGATAAAATCTGTCATACTGATTTAAAAGCGTTTAATGGTTTAAAACCAGCTGAAGTAACAACTTTATTGATGAACGATACAAGGGATTTACGTGGTTTAATATCACAATTTTTGTCATTATCAGTTAATCTTGTGTCAATGGTTTTAGTTGGAATTATATGGTCAATTGTATCAGGTTGGAAATTGGCATTAGTGGGTATTTCATTTGTCCCATTGGTTATGCTATTAACAATTGTTTATGGAATTTTATTAGAAAACGCTGAAAATAATTATAAATCAAGGGTTGTAGATTTAGAAATTCATCAACATCAAACTATAACAACTTTAAAAACAATTAAGCTATTTAATATGAATAAGTTTTTTGAAACACAATTTAATAATCATTTAAAAGAAATTCGTAAAGTTGGTAATATTCGTGCATTACATGCTGGTTTATCAATGGGTATAAATGATTTTATAACTTCATTAGCAACTGGTATCATATTATATTATGGTATGCAATTAACTGGTAAATATCAATATTCTCATGATCAATTATTACGAACTATTACATTATTAACATTTACAATTTCAAATGCATCATCTTTAATTCATCAATTGCCTGAAATTGCAAGAGGTCAAAGAGCAGGTACGTATATTGTTAAATTATTAAATGAAGTTCAGGAATCAAAAGTTGAAAATGATGGCATAATAATCCCTAAACATATAAATGATCCAATTATTGAATTTAAAAATGTAAATTTTTCGTATGAGAATAATCAAGTACTTAATTCAGTTACATTTTCAGTTAATAAAAATGAAATGGTTGGTATTATTGGAGAATCAGGTTGTGGAAAATCGACAATTGTTTCAGTGATTCTTCGACTTTATGAATCAGAAAATGTTTATTTATTTAATCAAAATATCAATGATTTAAATATTGATTGGTTACGAGAATCAATTTCAATTGTACCTCAATTTCCTAAATTTTTTGATGGTTCAATATTTGAAAATTTAATCTATGGAATTAATACAATTCGACGAATTTCAATTAATGAAATTTATGATAATTTAAAAAAAGTTGGAATTTATGAATTTGTCATTGGTTTAGCAGAAGGTTTACAAACTAATATCGGTGAAGGTAATTCAAGCTTAATTAGTGGTGGACAATTGCAAAGATTATCGATAGCTAGAGCATTATTAAGAAGACCCAAAATTTTAATATTTGATGAATGTACATCAAATCTAGATCCGATAAGTACAACATTAATATTTGATTTGATTGAATCATTTAGAGGTAAATTAACAATTTTGTTTATAACTCATGATAAAGAAATGATGAAACTATCAGATCGAAATTTAATTATAAAAAATGGTAAATTAATATCACAGTATATATATAATCTATAATTTTACACAAATATAAGGAACTTCAACATCTTCATCATTTTTATCGTCACAACAAATTTCAAAAAGTAAATGTTTTACGTGTTGTGGAATGGGTTTTTTACTAACTTCTTTAATTAAATCAGTTAATTTTAAATTTAATCTATCTTTAACTTTTTTAGGTGGGAAAAATGAAGCATATAATAATGAAACACCATATGATAACATACTTATTGTTAATCCTTGTTCTTTTTCAAAATAATCTAATAATTCTTGTAATTTAATGTCACCTTCAATATCAAATCTATCCCAAATTTCATCAAACTCTTTATCATTAAATTTCTTTCTTGAGGATTTGATTGGTTCTGAAAATCCAATAAATGGTAAAGCTAAATTAATAAAACCATTTTTATATTGTTCAATATCAGTTTTTGAATCAACCACTTTATATAATTCAAGACAAACTAAACCAGTAACTAAAGCAGTTGTAGTTGCAATTGCAGGAATAATTTTACCAGCAATAAATTTTGTTTTTGATGCATCAGCAGTTTCAATACCATAATTCAATGCTCTACAATTTGATGCAGCAGCTATAAATTCAATATGATGATTTGTATCATCATCTTTTTCAAATTCAATTGGTAATAATCTATAACCTGCTAAAGTACTTGGCTCAGGTAATTGAGCAGCAATTTTTTTAATTTCATCTGAATCAATTGATCCTGATAATTTATTTGCTTGTTCTTCAGCTTCTGCATCAGTTGAAGCAATTTCAACACCTGATTTTGGTTTAAATTCAGCAACTTTGAAATTTTCCAAAACTGATCTATAATTATCTGATTCTTTCAATCCATATATAAATGCTAATAAATTAGCACCACCAACTATAAAATTGAAATGATCTTTGTTATTTATATCAAATTCCAATGGTTTTGGTGCTCTTTTTGGTCCTGACCAAAATGGTGCACCAGTTGAAGTTTTTGCATCTGGAGGGAAATTATATAACAATTGTTTTATTTCATGATTAAATTTAATTTCAAATTGATTTCTTGCCCATTTAATACAATCTTCAAAAGTATATGGACGATTGTTAAGATATTGTGATATATTTTCCAAGGTACCTTTTATATCTGGATTTTGTTTTAAAGTTTGTTCAACATAATTTGGTTGACTTAAATATAAATTTACACTTTCTGGTGAATCAGCAAAATATCCTTGAAATAATGATTTTGCCCAAGCAATTGTATGATCGATTTTATTTGGGAACGATCTTAAAGTACATAATGGTATAGATTTTTCTGGTGGATCTTGTGATGATGAATATGATTCTGTTAAATTTGGTATAACAACTTGAGTATTACCTTTTGTACCTAAAGTACCAGACTCCAATAGTGGTTTTTTATAAAAGATACATCTTCTATCAACATAAGTTCTTGCTTCAACATTATCTAAAGCATTAACAACAATATCCAAACTTGACCAAAAATCATCATCAAAAATATCTTCAGTATCAGGACCAACTTTATCCAATTTTGCATCAATTTTACCTTCCAATTGTGGATTCATTTCAACAACTGCTTTTGCTGCAACTTCTGATTTATTTCTACCCACATCTTTTGGTCTGAATAAAAATTGACGATTTAAATTTGATTTTTCAATTGAATCATTATCAGTAATGAAAACTTTACCATTTGGTCCTGATCCTAAACCCATCATTGCCCAATTCTTCAACATTTCACAACCAATTGCACCTGCTCCAACAAGGAAAACTTTTAAATTGAAAATTTTTTCTTGATAACTTTTACCAAATACAGCAATTTGACCATCATATCTTGAACCAATTGGTTTATTATTTTCTTCAGATCTTGGAAATTGTTTTGAATCAGGTAATGATTCCAAGGAATCAAAATATAACCATTGTTTTATTGGAGTAAATTTAGATGAACAACATTTTAAAACTTCTTGAGCAATTAAACCACCATAAAAGGCAACAACACCTGGAATATCACCTCTAGCTTGATAAAATAATTCTCTTAAATATTTTTCATCCAATTCAACTTCATTAACTTTTGCCAATTCTTGTGCATATTGCCATGCTTCATTTGCGTCTTCTTCATTATAAGGTTTTGGTAAATTACCTTGATTCTTAGTTTGGAAAGCATGTAAAGCTTGAAAACCAATATGTAATTGAGCTGGTTTGTCGAATTTTGCAAAATCAGATATCAAAAATTCTGGATTTTTCAACTGTTTAAGTAATGGTTCATATGATAAATCCTTTGGTACTTTAACTTGTGTATATAAACCACCTTTCTTATAATCACCATAAGATTCATCAATTTTTATTTTAAAAGCATAAGGTCCTAAAACTTCAACTCTATGTAATGAACCATCATTTAATTTTGGCATACCATCAACTTCAGTAAATTTAACATAATCACCATCTTGTAAACCATGTCTGTTATCATCCAACATAGTAACCGTACCATTTTTTTCAACATCAGAAACTATACCACTTAAAGGCTCTTCACCAGTTTGATCAATAATTGTAAATTTATCACCAAAATCTACAAAAATTTGTCCAAATAAACCTCTTATATCTGCATTTATATAACCAATGTCATTTTTATGAGTGATATTATTAATTTTAACTTGTTCTTCCAAAGTAATATTTGTTGAAACAATACATTTAAATTTTAATAAAGTATCTTCATTTATATTATCTACAGTATTAATTGGAACATATGAATTTAATTCAGATAATTTTTCACAACTTGCTTTATCTCTTGGTTGACCTATATTAGATTCATTTAAAAAGAATTGTGATGATAAATCTCCTATTTCAATTGATGTTGGATCATATAAACTTAATGATTTTACACCGGCAAGGGCAATATTTTTGGCAATTTCAATACCTAAACCTTTTAAACCAATGATTAAAACATTTGCATTTTGCATTTTAATCATTGCTTCTTTACCTAGAACATATAATTGACGAGAATATAAACCTTCATCAATTTCTTGTGGTGGTGGAGAATCAATTTGCATATTATCAGACATCTTGCTGTATCACTATATATTCTTACTAATTAATACTTTGTTGAAAAAGAAAAAATTAATCTAGCTACACTACTTTACTCTATATAACCCATACCATATTTCTGTATAGTTTCATGAATATTGAACGATGGATCTCTTGGTTCTAATTGTTTAATTACTCTACCTGGTACTCCAGCAACTAATGAATTGGCTGGTATATCTTTTGTAACTACTGAACCTGCTGCAATTACACATCCATCACCAATTGTAACTCCACCAATAATTGTACAATCTGCACATAACCAAACATTATCTCCAATAGTAATCGGTAACGCATTTTCCAAAGGTGGATCCCATCTTAGACTTGGATTTAGAGGGTGACATGGGGTTACAATTGAAACATTTGGACCACACATACAATAATCACCAATTCTAACTATAGCAACATCTAAAATTGTTAAATTATAATTACTATAAAATCTTTTACCAAGATATGTATTAAATCCATAATCAAATCTTGCAGGATATTCCATAAAAGTATCTTCACCAACATGACCTATAAATTTTTTAAGAAAATCAGTTCTAGCTTGATAAAATTCAGGAATTGATTTATAATCTCCAGTTCTAAAATTACCATAATCTAATATTAAATCTCTAACATTCATTCTAACAATTTCTAATTCCTTTTGCATACAATTATATAACATTCCACTAA